GGCGAACTCGACCATGGTCGAGTTAGTCGTTTTCCGGCGAACTCGACCATGGTCGAATTAGTCGTTTTCCGGCGAACTCGACCATGGTCGAGTTAGTCGTTTTCCGGCGAACTCGACCATGGTCGAGTTAGTCGTTTTCCGGCGAACTCGACCATGGTCGAGTTAGTCGTTTTCCGGCGAACTCGACCATGGTCGATTAGTCGTTTTCCGGCGAACTCGACCATGGTCGAGTTAGTCGTTTTCCGGCGAACTCGACCATGGTCGAGTTAGTCGTTTTCCGGCGAACTCGACCATGGTCGATTAGTCGTTTTCCGGCGAACTCGACCATGGTCGAGTTAGTCGTTTTCCGGCGAACTCGACCATGGTCGAGTTAGTCGTTTTCCGGCGAACTCGACCATGGTCGAGTTAGTCGTTTTCCGGCGAACTCGACCATGGTCGAGTTAGTCGTTTTCCGGCGAACTCGACCATGGTCGATTAGTCGTTTTCCGGCGAACTCGACCATGGTCGAGTTAGTCGTTTTCCGGCGAACTCGACCATGGTCGAGTTAGTCGTTTTCCGGCGAACTCGACCATGGTCGAGTTAGTCGTTTTCCGGCGAACTCGACCATGGTCGATTAGTCGTTTTCCGGCGAACTCGACCATGGTCGAGTTAGTCGTTTTCCGGCGAACTCGACCATGGTCGAGTTAGTCGTTTTCCGGCGAACTCGACCATGGTCGATTAGTCGTTTTCCGGCGAACTCGACCATGGTCGAGTTAGTCGTTTTCCGGCGAACTCGACCATGGTCGAGTTAGTCGTTTTCCGGCGAACTCGACCATGGTCGAGTTAGTCGTTTTCCGGCGAACTCGACCATGGTCGTTAGTCGTTTTCCGGCGAACTCGACCATGGTCGATTAGTCGTTTTCCGGCGAACTCGACCATGGTCGAGTTAGTCGTTTTCCGGCGAACTCGACCATGGTCGAGTTAGTCGTTTTCCGGCGAACTCGACCATGGTAGTTAGTCGTTTTCCGGCGAACTCGACCATGGTCGAGTTAGTCGTTTTCCGGCGAACTCGACCATGGTCGAGTTAGTCGTTTTCCGGCGAACTCGACCATGGTCGAGTTAGTCGTTTTCCGGCGAACTCGACCATGGTCGAGTTAGTCGTTTTCCGGCGAACTCGACCATGGTCGAGTTAGTCGTTTTCCGGCGAACTCGACCATGGTCGAGTTAGTCGTTTTCCGGCGAACTCGACCATGGTCGATTAGTCGTTTTCCGGCGAACTCGACCATGGTCGAGTTAGTCGTTTTCCGGCGAACTCGACCATGGTCGAGTTAGTCGTTTTCCGGCGAACTCGACCATGGTCGAGTTAGTCGTTTTCCGGCGAACTCGACCATGGTCGAGTTAGTCGTTTTCCGGCGAACTCGACCATGGTCGAGTTAGTCGTTTTCCGGCGAACTCGACCATGGTCGAGTTAGTCGTTTTCCGGCGAACTCGACCATGGTCGAGTTAGTCGTTTTCCGGCGAACTCGACCATGGTCGAGTTAGTCGTTTTCCGGCGAACTCGACCATGGTCGAGTTAGTCGTTTTCCGGCGAACTCGACCATGGTCGAGTTAGTCGTTTTCCGGCGAACTCGACCATGGTCGAGTTAGTCGTTTTCCGGCGAACTCGACCATGGTCGATTAGTCGTTTTCCGGCGAACTCGACCATGGTCGAGTTAGTCGTTTTCCGGCGAACTCGACCATGGTCGATTAGTCGTTTTCCGGCGAACTCGACCATGGTCGAGTTAGTCGTTTTCCGGCGAACTCGACCATGGTCGAGTTAGTCGTTTTCCGGCGAACTCGACCATGGTCGAGTTAGTCGTTTTCCGGCGAACTCGACCATGGTCGAGTTAGTCGTTTTCCGGCGAACTCGACCATGGTCGATTAGTCGTTTTCCGGCGAACTCGACCATGGTCGAATTAGTCGTTTTCCGGCGAACTCGACCATGGTCGAGTTAGTCGTTTTCCGGCGAACTCGACCATGGTCGAGTTAGTCGTTTTCCGGCGAACTCGACCATGGTCGAGTTAGTCGTTTTCCGGCGAACTCGACCATGGTAGTTAGTCGTTTTCCGGCGAACTCGACCATGGTCGAGTTAGTCGTTTTCCGGCGAACTCGACCATGGTCGAGTTAGTCGTTTTCCGGCGAACTCGACCATGGTCGAGTTAGTCGTTTTCCGGCGAACTCGACCATGGTCGAGTTAGTCGTTTTCCGGCGAACTCGACCATGGTCGAGTTAGTCGTTTTCCGGCGAACTCGACCATGGTCGAGTTAGTCGTTTTCCGGCGAACTCGACCATGGTCGAATTAGTCGTTTTCCGGCGAACTCGACCATGGTCGAGTTAGTCGTTTTCCGGCGAACTCGACCATGGTCGAATTAGTCGTTTTCCGGCGAACTCGACCATGGTCGAGTTAGTCGTTTTCCGGCGAACTCGACCATGGTCGAGTTAGTCGTTTTCCGGCGAACTCGACCATGGTCGAGTTAGTCGTTTTCCGGCGAACTCGACCATGGTCGAGTTAGTCGTTTTCCGGCGAACTCGACCATGGTCGATTAGTCGTTTTCCGGCGAACTCGACCATGGTCGATTAGTCGTTTTCCGGCGAACTCGACCATGGTCGAGTTAGTCGTTTTCCGGCGAACTCGACCATGGTCGAGTTAGTCGTTTTCCGGCGAACTCGACCATGGTCGAGTTAGTCGTTTTCCGGCGAACTCGACCATGGTCGAGTTAGTCGTTTTCCGGCGAACTCGACCATGGTCGAGTTAGTCGTTTTCCGGCGAACTCGACTCTGGTCGAATTAGTCGTTTTCCGGCGAACTCGACCTGGTCGAATTAGTCGTTTTCCGGCGAACTCGACCATGGTCGAGTTAGTCGTTTTCCGGCGAACTCGACCATGGTCGAGTTAGTCGTTTTCCGGCGAACTCGACCATGGTCGAGTTAGTCGTTTTCCGGCGAACTCGACCATGGTCTAGTTAGTCGTTTTCCGGCGAACTCGACCATGGTCGAGTTAGTCGTTTTCCGGCGAACTCGACCATGGTCGAGTTAGTCGTTTTCCGGCGAACTCGACCATGGTCGAGTTAGTCGTTTTCCGGCGAACTCGACCATGGTCGAGTTAGTCGTTTTCCGGCGAACTCGACCATGGTCGAGTTAGTCGTTTTCCGGCGAACTCGACCATGGTCGAGTTAGTCGTTTTCCGGCGAACTCGACCATGGTCGAATTAGTCGTTTTCCGGCGAACTCGACCATGGTCGAAAACGACTAATTCGACCATGGTCGAGTTCGCCGGAAAACGACTATTATTATTATTATTATTATTAAAACTTTATTTCATGAGGGGTTCACATTGTTACCTTAAGGTATTCTTCCCAATGGCCCTCGAAAGGTAATATGAAAGGTTTCATCGCGAGAAACATTGGCAACGAATGATATGCTTGCATACAGTGCAGCTAAATTCATTAACATGGTCTACTTCATTGTTTAATTCTAAACCATGGTCGACTAATTCGACCATGGTCGAGTTCGCCGGAAAACGACTAACTCGACCATGGTCGAGTTTTCAGGCGAACTCGACCATGGTTGAGTTTTCAGGCGAACTCGACCATGGTCGAATTAGTCGTTTTCCGGCGAACTCGACCATGGTCGAGTTAGTCGTTTTCCGGCGAACTCGACCATGGTCGAATTAGTCGTTTTCCGGCGAACTCGACCATGGTCGAGTTAGTCGTTTTCTGGCGAACTCGACCATGGTCGAGTTAGTCGTTTTCCGGCGAACTCGACCATGGTCGAGTTAGTCGTTTTCCGGCGAACTCGACCATGGTCGAGTTAGTCGTTTTCCGGCGAACTGGACCATGGTCGAGTTAGTCGTTTTCCGGCGAACTCGACCATGGTCTAGTTAGTCGTTTTCCGGCGAACTCGACCATGGTCTAGTTAGTCGTTTTCCGGCGAACTGGACCATGGTCGAGTTAGTCGTTTTCCGGCGAACTCGACCATGGTCGAGTTAGTCGTTTTCCGGCGAACTCGACCATGGTCTAGTTAGTCGTTTTCCGGCGAACTCGACCATGGTCGAGTTAGTCGTTTTCCGGCGAACTCGACCATGGTCGAGTTAGTCGTTTTCCGGCGAACTGGACCATGGTCGAGTTAGTCGTTTTCCGGCGAACTCGACCATGGTCTAGTTAGTCGTTTTCCGGCGAACTCGACTCTGGTCGAATTAGTTGTTTTCCGGCGAACTCGACCATGGTCGAGTTAGTCGTTTTCCGGCGAACTCGACCATGGTCGAGTTAGTCGTTTTCCGGCGAACTCGACCATGGTCGAGTTAGTCGTTTTCCGGCGAACTCGACCATGGTCTAGTTAGTCGTTTTCCGGCGAACTCGACCATGGTCGAGTTAGTCGTTTTCCAGCGAACTCGACCATGGTCGAGTTAGTCGTTTTCAGGCGAACTCGACCATGGTCGAGTTAGTCGTTTTCCGGCGAACTCGACCATGGTTGAATTAGTCGTTTTCCGGCGAACTCGACCATGGTCGAGTTAGTCGTTTTCCGGCGAACTCGACCATGGTCGAGTTAGTCGTTTTCCGGCGAACTCGACCATGGTCGAGTTAGTCGTTTTCCGGCGAACTCGACCATGGTCGAGTTAGTCGTTTTCCACCGGACTCGACCATGGTCGAATAGTCGGAACTCGGCGGACTCGACCATGGTGGCAGCGACTGGTGGTCACTTGATTTGAGATAATCATGTAATGAAAAAGAAGGCAATTTCACGACGCGGTTATATATCCATGTACCATGCACGATATATTTCTTTGCAAATGACGCAGTGATACTGTGACCGGTCACAAGTCACGATAGTCTACGCATGCGCAGAAAGCTACCGAAATTGCATGGGTTCCAAATTTATATACTTGATCTTAATTAAGTTTTATTATATTTCAATAGATCACGTAACTTTTAAAACCGCTACAATTGGTCATACTGGGCACAATGGTCACATTGGTCACATTGGTCACACTGGTCACACTGGTCACAATGGTTATCCAGGTAATTCGAGGTCAGTGGAAAAAAAAGATGGCAGGTTTGCATGAGTTTTCTGAACAAAATCAACACGATTTGGGTGCAGATCAAGAAGTCGCAGCTGTTCTTGGAGGCCGTTGTTTAGGTGAATATCATTTACTTAATAAATATGTTATCTTGCAAGTTTTGGGTAGATAAATTGTCAATATTAATGTCGAAAATTAACGATGATAGTTTGTTTACATCAGCTGTATAATTCTTCGACACGTGCTCATTGTTTTGAAATGTGGCAATTATTGTAAAGTAGATAAACATGTGTTTCTTTGTTTACCAGATGTTCCAGTACAACAGCATGCACGCTCGTCTTCAAGTAAGTCAAGCAAAAGTCGAGATTCTAACTGCAGTATGGAGAATATAAAGGTTTGAATACTTTATACTCTACTGTAGTGGAGTATACTCTACATATGGATATCTATGAAATACCTAGTAATCTCGAGTTATAAATATGAGACTATGAGTTTGGGTTTATATACAAAAGCTTCTATTTGTTCTGCACATAATTTTTTGTAATAATCAACACTGATTGAAATGTAGAAATAAATTGTAATACTTTGCTGCTCATTTGGTTTTGAAGTATTTTTTTATAATAGGATATTGTATTGTGTTTATACTGCAGATATGTATTTATTATTATTGTTTAGATTAAATGTGAAAGTGTGACTCCTGTGTCAGAAAGTAGCTATGATGGCGACACAGCGCATTGTGAGTTTGTATTGATTAAATTGATCATTAAATCTTAAAATATCGATCATATCATGAATTATCTTAATGATTTAATGTCATGACCTGGATGAATAAGTGATGATCTGTTTAATAGATCCATCCTTGCAGTTTTTGGCAGCTCAGGGTGAAGTTGTAAAAATCAAGGAAGAAATTGAGAGAGGTTGATATATGAACTGTAATAAAATTTGGATGCAAAGACACTCTGTACAATGAATCATCTTTTATTTAGGAATTGATGTTAATGCCATGGACAAGCAAGGTTTGACACCATTAATGTGGGCTGCTGCACACAGACAGGTAGCTAAGCTTTGGCGAAAACAACCGATGTTGGTCAGCACCATTGATTAAAATCTGATGTTTGGTTCATTATGTAGAAAGCTGCATCAAATTTGTTGCTAGAGAATCATGCTGACCCAAATAAAGAAGGTTTAGGGGGGGAAACTCCATTACTTTTTGCCTCAAGTCAAGGTCAAAGTGACATTATTGATCAGCTTTTGAGTCATGGAGCTAAAATCAACCATATTGATATGGTAATTTTCTTTCTTTTGAAATGACTTTGCATTTTGGTATATTCTAGCTGTAGCTTTCTTTTTTTAGCATCAAATTTTAATATTTTTCAGAATGGAGGGACAGCATTGATGTATGCAGTTTTTGGAGGTTTTCCAGAGATTGCTAAAAAGCTCTTAGGTTAGTGATAGTCTCGTGGAGTTCATGCATGACTTCGTTTATTGTGATGAGTTACGATACGATACGAATTAGTTTACTTATCTGTTGCGTACTGATGAAAAAAACAACGAATCAACCAGAACACTATTAGACTTAAATGTTGTAACTGGTTGTGTTTTATAGAATATGGTGCAGATATGACAATAAAAAATGAGAATGATGAAACATGTTACAGTTTAGCTTTAACCCTTGGAAATAAAGCTGGTAGGATTTTATTTTCTTTGTCAAGAAACTATTAAAGTGGGAAAGTAGAAGTCAAGTCAGTTCTGCACATTTGTTTACATATGGAGTTTTTTTCTCATTTAGCAGCATATTAGCTGGTGTGATAGATTTACTCTCATGTGGGTATCTTTGCAGTTAAAAAAGTGATGGAGGATTACCTTAGGGGGATATTGGAAAGCTCCAAGACATAGGTCACAATGATCACAATGGTGAAAAGATATAACTCAACGAGATTTCAGATGGCAGCTAAGCTTCACCAGCATTATTGGGTTGAATCTCTCACAAGAATACCTTACAAGAATATTGTATAAGCAGAGAAGACACCGAAAGAGTAAGATCGAAACTTCTTAACCACAAATGGAAGACAACATGGTCCTAACTGATGCTAGGACCAATAACAGGACCAAGACATCAAACTTGTTAGTCAACTGATAGTTTTTTACTAACATGGATATGGTCAGAACTCAGAGGACATCATAATTAAAGAGCTGAGGTTACCAACCTAACATCTCAGCAACATTTTTTAACAAAATTTTTTTCTGAATAGTCAATAAATATTACAAAAAATTATTACGCTCTGTTTATTCTATTAGCAAGAACCTTTGCGGTCATTGCAGACTACCCCAGGTGAAATTGGTATGCCCCTCCTAAATTACCATGGTCCCTTGTGTAACCAGTCAGGCAATTTTTATGCTAGATTCGGTCGGATGCAGATAAGCTGCCCCACCATACCAAATTTATTCCAGGGGGGGGGGCAGTCTAACTAGAGCAGCTTTGGTTATAAAATATTCATATAATATTCATATATGGTCCGGTCGCACTGTTATGAACCAAAGACTGTGGGCAATTGTTATACCACGGATATTTTACCCTAGGGTTATATTCCCCTGATCATCTTTTTACCCGGTATGAAATATGCAAGGTCGAATATCGTATGATCATGAATTAAGGAAAGAAAGAGGTGGTTCAAAAACCGGTCGATTATGTGAGAATTATCGCAAGATTTTTTAGGAAAGACAAAAAAAAATAACAACGATGAGTAATTTGCCAGTTGCCTCACGTCTTAAAGCACCTACAAGTAGGATAGCTAAGTCAGGAACGGCGAAATCTGAGGCAGTGACTGCGCCAAGAACAAGTGGTTTAAAGCCTCCTTCGTCTTCAGCTGAAACTCCTCAGAAAAGTGGACTAAAACAACCTCTTTTAAAACGATCTACTGGAGCAGCAGAAGCACAAAAGTCAGAGAAAAGAAGTGCTTTGCCAACTACAAATTCTACCGGGTTGTCAACACCACGGACTAAACAAAACGGCACGCAAAGTAAACTGAAATCTGGCATACAACCCAGAGGTGTTTCAAGTGAAACTACTCCTTTGAAACGAGACAGTTTAACACCACGGGATGGCTCAAGTACAAACTTAAAACGACAATCATCTAGCTCCCATAGTTCTTTAAGTAAGGAGTCACCGACTCCAAGTCCGATGCTTGCGAGAGAAAAAACACAAGAGTCTATAAAAGATGAAACTACTGGGATTTTATTTAAAGTTGGCGATCGTGTTTTAGTCGCTGGCTCGAAATCAGGGGTCATCGAATATTTAGGCGAAACAAAATTTGCAAAAGGCCTCTGGGCTGGAGTTAAACTTGACGAAGCTGGTGGTAAAAACGATGGATCTGTTGCAGGTGTTAGATATTTTGACTGCGAACCTTCACACGGTGTGTTTTCAAAGCCAAACAGGTTACATAAAATCAATATTGTGCCGAAAAATTCAACATCAGATCACGCGATTTTGGATGATTCTAGTACTTTAAAAATCGGTGATCAAGTCATTGTTAGCGGCACAAAAGTTGGAGTTTTAAGATATTTAGGACCAACTGAATTTGCCAAAGGCGAGTGGGCAGGCATTGAACTAGAAGAAGCTCTTGGGAAGAATGACGGGGCGGTTGCAGGAACGAGGTATAAATATATATTTGTTTCACAACTTGTGAACGGTTACACTTTTGTTTTTAGCCTCTTTAGAAATACTTCTTTAACTTGTTGGTTAGTCAATTTAAAAGAGATTACCCTTTAAACACTGTTTACACTATCTCTTAAGGATGAATTGTATAGTAATAGTCATTTATATAATATTTACTATGTGTGATAATAATTGGAATTCGAATATGACAAAGTGATACACTTTATGAAATGTACAAAGATTAAATATTGAATTGATATTTCAATATTTGCCAGTAGTGCTAATATTGTTAAACCCCCTGGTCAGGCAGTCTAGACTAAATGGTAGTTAAATATTAGTCCTACATGGGGCATGTTTATTGTAGAGACTTCATTGAGATTAAGATCACGTTTTATCAACCATAAATCATTATCATTTTCACATTAATTGTTCAACCAACAGTTGGAATTCCCTTTACTTAGACATTATTTATGACAGGAGTTTAGCTAGGGTTTATACTCTACCTGTCCAGTATTCATTAGTGGCTAAGTGCCAAAGGTAGGGGGGCTAGTTTGCTCCTTCAATATTACTGCAAAATTATGTAACCAAATTTTAGTTATATTAATAATGCATAGTATTTTGCAAGAACAGAGAAACCACATACTGTTTCCTCCAGTGTGTGCACTGATATCCAAGCAGATGCCACATTTGAACTAATAATGATAAATCTATTTAAGGTATTTTACATGCGAGATGAAATACGGATTGTTTGCACCCTCATCCAAAGTTACAAAATCGAAGAAAAAAGTCCTATCTAAGAAACCTTTAAGTTCTCCTGGTCCATCTCTTGACATTGCAGCTAAAATGGTGTTTAATAGGACATCTTCAATGAACTCAGATGTTTCTAACATAACATCAGTTTCTGCAGCGGCAGCACCACACCCTGGTTCACCAACAGAGAAGGTTGTGCCACAAACAAATGTAAGTTCTGTAAAATCTTGGAATTTGTTGTCATGGTGGCTGATTACTCTACCAATATACTAATTTCTCTAATGATTTTAGGAACTGGCCACTTCAAATGAGTCTCTTCATTCAGGTGTGAAAAAAACTCCTTCAAATTCTCAACAAGTGGCTGCATTACAGGTTTGTCTCTTGTTTATGATTATTGATGTCTGTCATCAAATAAAGAGTCTTTCTTTCAACAGTCATTTGTAAACTCATCATTTCAGAGTGCTCTTGAGGAAAGAGAAAGGGAAATCCACAAAATGTTGATGGAGAGAGAGCTTGAGAAAGATGAAAAACTGAAAGGATTTGAATCAAGTGGAAAGGTTATCCATTTCATTTCATTAATCTTCAGCCTCCAAACTCATTCAGTGGCTAAATAAACATTCTTCATTTGTTCCAGGGCAATGGCAATGAATTCAATGATAAGGTAATTAGTTATTAAGAACTAAGTAATTAGTGGTGATTATGGAAACTTAGAGTTTCATTCTTTCATTCCATCCACTTCTTCTCCAATTTATTTTTCGATGCTTACTATGTTGTTTAGTTGTTGAAAGAAAAAGACGAGATCATAAATGCATTAAAAGATAATCTCGCAAAGGCAACCAAAGAGAATTCTGAAACAAGAGCAAAACTTGATGAAGAAAAAAAGTAATGATGTTATACTTTTGCATGTAACTGGTTTGGTAGGGTATACATCCACTGCACATCCTAATAGTAATGTGGTGTTTGTTGTTTTATATTTCTTAGAAAATATGAAGATTTACAATTTATGTTGGAAGAAGAGAAAATTACTGACGATGAGTTAAAGGTAAACAGCCTTGTTATTATGACCCCTGCCACCTCAGCAATGAACTTCTTTCTATCATACTTACTCTATAGCCATACCATCTTTGGCCAACCATTTAAGTTCCCCCATCATCACAATGCCATAGCTTCCTTGCCCCCCATCCATACCCTCCTACAATCCTATTATATCCCAAGTCCCCCTCATTTCCCTGCCCCTTAAGATCCTATCACCACCTCACATGCCATCCTTGCTCCCAGTAGTCATCACTGAAAGATATCCTTTTCTTTCGTGTTTAAAATAGAATCATGTGAGACAGGATGAAGACAAGATCAAAGAGCTCTCAACACAATATGAAGAACGAAATATGAAGATCAAGGAATTACAAAAGGAACTGAGTGAAGTGCGTTCAGACAAACTGAGCAACGAAGCCAAGATGTTGGAACTGAGAGATCAACTGGCTGAGTCTAGAACAAGCTTTCAAAGTCTTAAAAAAAACATGGATACCGAAGTTGAAGGTAGAATGTCAATGTACTTACACTTCTTCATGAACTGTTTTCCCAAGAGATTGTCTAATGACATTTTTTTTCTGAGAACATCAACTGTGTTTACATAACTTTGATAGCACGGGCTAATTTCGGGCCAAAATGAAATCGAAGGTTACTTGAACCTTCGTATCTGATTTTTACGTTTAGAAAATGATCAGAACCAACAGCTGGAAACATCTTTAGAAATCGTGAAAAAAGAATTGTCGAAAACGAAGAAAATCTTGGGTGAAAAGGAAAACAAAGTAGATGAACTCGAGAGAAAGTTGACTGAACAAATGAATAAACATGAAGAAACGCAAGAACAGAATAAAAAAGAAATGAATCAGAAACTAACAGCTGCTGAGGTGAGGCGGGAGGATTTATGAAACTATTTGTTTCAATGAAGTTTCTTTCTTGGCTTTCTGTATACTTAGCCTAAATCTAGTTTAGTTCACAAATCCATCTGTTGTTTACCAGAATGAGAGAAAGAAAGTAATTGAAGATTACGAGTTGATGAAGGCTGAGAAAGAACGATACAACGAAGAACTCGTGAAAACCAAGCGAGAAAAAGCTGCAGTTGAAAGCAATCTTCAACTAAATGAAGAGAAACTTGAAGCTTCAGAGAAAAGATACAAAGATATAATGGAGGAAAATCTTCTTGCTTCAAATCAGAAAGATGAAGCTAGTAAAGTAAGGTTAAAGATTTATCACCTGACTTTGTATTGCCGGCGATTTTTCTTTGGCGATTAAATATAGTTTTGGAGAGAAATATAGTTTATTAATACCGGTTAATTTAAGATGGGTTTACAATCTACAAATCGGATTCAATGGTTTCTCTAGATTGCTGTTGTGAATCTGAAAACAAGAATCGCTGAACTGGAAGGCGAACTGCTGGAGTCAAAAACCAAAACCTCTCAACTCGAAAACAACATGGCGTTGGAAAACGACATAGCACAACAAAAAACAAAACAGCTTGAAAGCCTTCTGGCAAATACCAACAAATTACTGGTCGAGACCAAAGAAGACGCTAATAAGAAAACACAACTTGTAAATGATTTGGAAAACAAGTTGAATACTCAGTTAACACGGCAGAAAGAAATCGAGAAAGAAGTTGAGAGTTTGGTTAGTTGTTAGACGTTTACAGATGATAGAGCTATCCAGTATAAAATAACTATAAATAAAGTTAGTTTAGTTTAGGTTTCCTCCTGTAGTAACACTGGATCCTTACTGGACCTCTAGGAAGAACAGTTCAGAACTGATAGAGTTTAGCGGATTAGTCTACTAATTCAACGAATTCTCTTTGCTTTGTTAAAGGGTGAGGCAGATAAAAATTTAACGTTAATGAAAGAGGCTCATCGGTCCGAGGTCGATGCTTTGGAATCGAAAGTGGCTTCGCTCGCGAAAGATTTAAAAGACTTGCAAAATAAACAAAAAATACTGACTCAGGATCATCGGAATGAACTTACGTTGGTGGAAACTGCTAGAGACGACGAAGTCAACAAACTAAAAGAGAGAATGCATTCAAATGAGGTAGGTGTTAAATACCTTGTATTCTTTCATGTAAAGATTCGCTGAATCTTTGAATACTGGTTCTTTGTTTTTTTTTAGATTGAACGTGGTAACCTTGTAAAGGAATGTGAGACGTTGAAGTCTGACAAAAATAAAACGAAGGAAGAACTCGCAAAAATACAACAGGAACATAACACTATACAACAAAACAATAATACCTTATCACAGAAACTGAAAGATCTGTCAGAGAAATGCGAAGAACTGTCTAAAGCTAAGCTTGAAATTACGACAGAAAGAAATGATGCTATACAGGTAATGGATATCCTTTCCTTTCTTGCATCAATGTTGGAGCGCATCTTTATTGTTTGTCTATTTTGAATTTTTGCAGCTTTGCGAGGAGCAAGACCGACAACTGGAGGTATTCAAGGCTGACAACGATAAAATGACTTCTGAGAAACAATCTTTAACGAAAGATCGGGATAATCTTTTAGTGGAAATTATTTCTCTTGAGACGCAGGTATATGCATGTCTGACATGCTCAGGTAGAAATCTTCATCTTCACTGATGTCTGAATGATGAGAGAGGTACGAAATCGTGTACTTGGTGTCTTTGTAGATCGAGAATCTGAACTCGGATTCTAGCCAAAAACAGGGACAACAGCAGAAAGCGATGCAGTCAGAAATTGCCGCCTTAAAGTCTAAATTGTAAGTCCAACATTAATTGACCTGGTTCTTGGTTGAGGAAAACTATAGACACAGCTAACAACTATTGATACAGCTAACAACTATAGACACAGATAACAACTATTGATACAGCTAACTGATGGAGTAAGTGATGAATGAAATGATCTTCCATTATAGAGACGAAGTTAAGAAGCATAATGTTGAGAAGGTGAATACTTTAACCGAAGAGAAAGAAAATTTGGAAAATCTTCTTGCGAACAAAACTAACGAAATCAAGAGGTTACTTGGCGAACAATATAAAGTAAGCCGTTGTCAACATTTGCGTCTTATTTTCCCATATTTCTCATCGTTATCTTCCGCTTTTCAGATGCAAGAAAGATCGCAGCAGTTGGAGGGTCAAGTTAGCAATCTTAAAAAGAAAATGAGCGATGCTGCTGAAAAGTAATTCTTTTTAAAATCGATTTTTTAGCCACCTGAAGTAAACTAACGTCTTTCTAGTGTCCAGTGAGGATCATTTCTAGTTGAATACAGTGTTGCTATAAATGAAATCAAATAACTGCATTTTGCAGGACTGAATCAAACCTCAGTTACTCCTCTTACATCGACAATGTCATCGGTGGGTAAAATAACACGAAGTACAATGGTTTTTTTTCTTTTTTAGCGCTACGAACAAAACAGAGAACCTTAGCAACGAGATTCTGATTTTGAAAGATGATTTTGAGGAGGCGAAAGGCGCTCTCAAGCAGAAAGAAGATGAGATCAGACTTTACAAAGAACAGATTGAGAAGATGGGAAATGGAGAGTTTCCAAAATCCCCAATGGATGGGGATATTTTAGGTAATTCAGGGTATTTCTTTTGATATGCATGGATATAACAGGACACCACTGACGAAGAGCGTTGCTGGCTAGCTTCCAAGCGACTAGTTCAGATTGTATTGAGGAAGATTGTCGTATTTATCTTTACGTATATTACTTGAAACTTCTGTAGAAAATGCCTCAGCTCTGATGCTACGGTTACACGAAGCAGAATCCAAACTTGCTGTGGTTCAATCTGAAAAGGAATCTGCAGAGGAACAGGTATTTAGGAGCAAAGATTTAGATCTAATTGCTGGGAGGAGCTCAGTTTCAAGCGGAGATAACCAGTTACTAAACTATCTTAGTTTCATTAATAGTGCATGCAGTCCTATTTATCATCAAACTTAATCTTTTTTTTCTTCAGGTGGAGTTTTTGAATTCTATTATCGTCGATCTTCAGGTCAGCTGATATTTCATTGTGTTAAGTTCCCTCTCTGTAAGACGAGAGGACGTAGTCCAGTTAAATTATAGGTCATTACATTGACGAAAAATCTCGGCTGCAAGCGCAGTTATGGAAAGGAAAACCGGCCGCGTACAATGACTTCAGTTAAAGGAACGTAAGAAGTTTATATTTTCTCTAGAACAAAAATCAGAAAGCAAATCAAACCATTGCACTTTTGGAAGCTGGAGACGAAGCTATACTACTTCATGGTCTAGAGTCTGAAAGGTGCGGCCATTTTGTCTATAGTTTGTCCTTTGTAAAGACAGTATAAAATATAAAATGAAAGAAATTCGATACAACTTATAGCAATATATAGTTTCTCCTTATTGAGTCGCCAGGGTTGTGAATACTCGTATCTAATTTAGTGATGATGAGCTGATGGTAAAACCCAAGTATGCAATGCGAACATTTTGTGACATTTGTGATGTGTTTGACCAACATGAGACAGACGAATGTCCATTGCAAGAAGGTGGTGATGACAGTGGCGGAGTGCAACATCATGGTGACAGGAACCATGAGAGACCATACTGTGGTATATGTGAAGGTAAGTCATTGCATTTTAACAGATACAACCATACAACTTATGAGAAAGAAAGGTTTAATACAACAGAATGTTCCATCATGTTCTATATTCACTGTTTTGTCTAGTCTTTGGTCACTGGTCAGAGGACTGTAATGATGAACAGGTTAGTAAAAGTAGATATCTTTTTGTAAAAGTAGATATCTGTTCATTTTATTATTCTCTTTTAAACAATTTTCGTTTGTTTTAGACATTTTAAGAAGTCGAGATGCAAGAATTAGAATATTCCCCGAATATCTACACACAAATGTCGGGCTGTTTGGTATTTTATTTTTATAAAAATATAGTTAGAAATATGTAAATATAAACTATAGGACAATTGACAGGAACTATGAGAAGAGCTATGATATAATATTTGTATGAAAGATGACGCGGAACCGTCTCGAGTCCGACCGGCGACGACCCGAGACCGGACGTTCAGCGATGATATTGGATGTAATGAAGTTACCAATTTAATATCGAGAAGATGTTACATTCGTTGGTTTGAAACATGGATGTTATTATTTATTGCTTGCTTGGCCAGACAATATTATATTTGAACCTTATCCTGTGAAGTATATTCGCTTATAGTCTATCTATTTAACCAAGTTATCAAAAAATATATATAGTTTTTTATTGAATTACGGCGTTAATCTGTTTCACCATGCAGCTAGAGAATGAATAAACAAACAGATGCAGATCAAAACAGCGTGGACTCCAAGTCCTCTGATTCCAATCTGTTATGATGCCACCTGTGTCTTGTTGCAGGTTCAGTAGATGAAGATAGATTTCATTATTTCCTACTCTTGTGGCCGTAAATAACATAACAACAAGCTAAGAGTGATGTAAGAAAAATCAAAGAGTAAGCGACATATATGATGACATCCAGTTCTTTAAGTTTAGCCATCAGTTACGTTCTTACGGCCATCTTGGCCAGCCTTTTAACAACCTTGTTTATTGATTCAACTTTCCGTGAGGGTATTCTTGGTGGACGAACTCGTTTAAGAAGAGAGAGTTTACCTGTGAAGGTCGAAAAGGTGATTTTGAATAAAGCTGTGAAACTTGGAGCTTGCTGTCTGAACGGCTCCCCGCCGGCGTATCACTTCAGAAAAGGTATAAATTAGTTTCAAATGAAAGAATGTTGGTAAAAATCTAGCTGATTAATGAAGTGTGATTCTTTGAATTGCATTCTTTAACATGCGACTCTGTCTTTTGTGTAGGTTTTGGAAGTGGTGTTAAACGATGGGTAGTTTTTTTCTGCGGTGGTGCATGGTGTTATGACGAGGAGGCGTGTTATCAACGCAGTCATGGGCCCTACGGCTCAAGTTATAATATTGAATTCTCTGATGGTGGTATGTACTCAACTGATCCACAAATCAACCCCGATTTCTATAACTGGAATGCAGTGTTTGTTGCATACTGCGATGGATCATCTTTCACTGGGAAACGAGAAAACCCATTATATTTCATGGATAAACCTGTTTATTTTCGTGGCAAAGTGGTACTTGATGCGATCATACAAGACTTACTTGACAGGGGGATCGATACTGCGAGCGATGTACTGCTGACCGGCAGCTCCGCGGGCAGTCTTGCGGTTCTTATTCATGCTGATTATATCAAGAAGAGGTTGAATCCACACACTAAAGTCCGCGCTATTGCAGACAGCGGTTATTTCACCGATATACAAACACTGGCCGGTGTTAACAGGGTTCGGAAACAATTCAAACGAATGCTAATCACACATAATTCAACATCTGGCCTTCACAAAAAATGCGTGCAGCAAATGGCTGAATCAGAGCATTGGAAATGTTTGTTTCCAGAGTATTTCTTTCATCTTATTGAAACGCCGTTCTTTATTCTCCAGTCTGCCTACGATGTATGGCAAATTCCGAACAACCTTAATATTCTCTGCAACATACCAAGTTATCAAGATATGCTTTTGTACAAATCTTTGGGAAGACTTCTAGACTCCCCACCAGACACTCCGCGCAGGAGTAGTCACTCATCTCGGAAGAAAAGCCACACTACGACAGTGAATAGTCGCGCACATAAATCAAACACCATTCCAGGCAAAAAGACGTACTCTCTTACCAAGGTACCAGCATTAACTTATGATTTCCTCCCACGCGTCAATAATCGCGCAAAAACTCTTGCATTTGGAAGAAACGATTTGACAACTTCTCCAAACGCACCTGTCTGGCGCAGTCCAAAATGGAAGAAAAATTCATTCACGCCGCAAGTTTCGTATTGGAAGAATCCAAGGCCTTTGTATAATTCACATCAAAGAGATCCTGGAAACAGTTTTCTTAATGCGCGGCCTTTCTATACTCCAGTTACCTCTCAAGACCTCCGTCAACAGAGTCTTACTGACATGCAGAAAGTTCCGTTCCATAACCCACAACCGGCTCTATCGACTTTAGATTTATCTAGAGTTGATCGCACACGTTCGTACGGCCCCGTAAATGACGGGCGATTTAGGTTGAAAAGAGGCGCAAAAGGTGCGCAACGCGCTTCAACAAGTTTGCGCAAATCTGCGAAATATTTACAAAAGAAGGAGCTAAAGAAGTCGCGTCACAATCCTCCTGAAACTCGCGTCAAAGCAAATTATTATCAATGGCATTGGCAAGGTCTTTACAGTAAGCCCACAGCTTGCACTAGAGATGAAATAAAAGCCATCCTAGGCTTGCGAAAGTTGACATTGAAAGCACTGAAGCCTGTCTTGAAAAAAGCCAGCAGCGGCGTCTTTCTGTCCTCGTGTTTTGAACATACCCAAGCATCTTTCACAAATATTTGGAAGACAAATAAAATCAAGGGAAAATCTGTCCGAGACGCTATTTCTGAGTGGTATTTTGAGAAGCCTGGTAAACATGTACATATCGGCGAGGAATTCGAATTCAAGTCTTGTACGATGTGAGCATGCGTATATGTAAGCTTTTAATGTTCAAAGTTGACTGTTTGTTCATTTTGTAAGGTTGAAAACCAAAAACAATGGAATCTGTAATTTACAAATTTTGAAGGAACTGTTTTGTAGAATATTCAAAATTCGTTACATTTTTAATCTTCAAATTAAATGTATCGCGTGGAGAAACATTTTGTCAATTTATTCTGAGGGAAAACTCCTGCGCATGCCCCAAATTTTGGAAGTAAGCGGTGTTCATAGTTAGTGCATTCGACGGTAGTGGAGTCCATACCCCATAACCGCGCATCATTTTCAGTGAATTGTGGAAACGAGGCTATTGAATGGAGTAACAAATCTGTTGAAAAAAAAGTCTCTTCTTTCTTGTTCAAATTTCTCTCAATTTTCCCCATAAAATCCCGTGCAAAGCATGTCAGATTTCTTTGACAGTGAAGCTGAGGAATCTGGCGAAGATCTCGGCAGTGGTAGCGAAGATGATCAAGCAGAGGATGAGATATTAGCCCAGGAAGAACGTGAATCAGGCACCATTGACGATGCCAATGATATTATAAACGACGAGGAAAGTGAAGGAGGAGATGATGACGACGATGATGATGAAGGCGAGAGCTCTCGGAGTAGAAAGAGAAAAGGTTAGCCTACAATAAGGCTATGATATTTCACGATGAATATGTCTGGGTCGAATGAAATCTGAACAGAATTCAGTCAATATCATCGTTCTATTTTATTTATGTGATTTATACAAGTTGATTTGAAACTATATTGTTCCTTGAATACCATATTATCAGTGCAATACAACTGTGGCTGATGAAATCCAAGATACACAGGGGAGAAATTTCGAGACGAGACAAAATAATACTGATAAACAGTGAAATATTGTTTAGATAATATTCTTAATATTAAACGACTGTCCCAGTGTTTCAGGCACATGTGTCTGAGAAAATGACAATAATTAGCACCTGGTCATTTGTCTCTGTCTGATTCTTCAGATTAAACTTTACCACAGACAATCTGTCTAGGGAATATTCATTGAATTGCGTTGAGAACAATTCTGTTAATTTCAAGGATATTTCATTAGTATGAAACACATCATTCCTGGAGCCCTTGCAAATCAGTTTACAGTCCAGTTTAGGAGTGAATTATTTTTCATGACATATTGATGGGTTTTGCCGTAATTATTTTAGATTTTGATGATGCAGTTGATGAGGAGGATCTGGACCTGATTGAAGAGAATCTGGGAATCAATTTAGACAGAGTAAGTTTGCTACCAATTATATTTCAAAGCTTGTTATTTAAGATAATAATTTGGTCAGCAATTGCAGTAGTTTATGATGTTTCATTCTTGATTCTTTATTTTGAAAAGAAAAGATACAAACGTTTAAAGAAATTAAAGCCAATTGATTCGGATGAAGAAGATGACGATCGTGCCTCTGTTGGTGGCCACAGTGCTGATGAACGAGAAGCTTTGGCTCATGAGTTGTTCGAAGATGATGATTTGGAGCAATTACCTGTATGTACATTGATTCAAAATATGTCTTCTATGTCTTCATTAAACTAGAATATGCAGATAGTTCCCAGTTTAAAATACAAGTGACAGATGAATTTTGAAGACTAGAGCTCAGATACATGCATAGCTAGAACTAGGGTCAGGTTAAAGCTTCAGCCTACTTTAATTAATTCAATTACTATTGCAGAGAGCAGCATCTGTAACTCCAGCAGAACCAGTGGATGACCAGTATGCAGGTTTAGATGATTCAGAATCTGAAGGTATTTCAATAAATGGTTACAGCTGCAATTCTCCCTGGAATTGGTCAAGAAAAATCCCATACAAGGCTACCTCCCCTTTAGGTCTGTCAGATCACCTCCCCCCCTTGTTTTCACGGTTCTGAAAATTTAAAAACCCAATTTAAACATTTTAGGAGAAGATGATTTTATAGTTGATGATGAGAACCAACCTATGCGTGAAAAAACGAGAAAGAAAGGAGGCAAAGTTCAGGATAGGTAGCTGTATATTTCTTCCATTTACTTTCCTAAAACCTCTCAAATTAATATAGTGTATATAAACTCAACTGTTTAAAGTTGGGCACCACATGTACTGTATGTGATATGGAAAATATCTCCAAAATCATTTAGGGCCTTGCAAGAGGCTCAGGATATATTTGGCTTGGATTTCGACTATGGTGAGTTTGAGAAATTTGGACAGGAGGATTATTCAGAAGACGAAGAAGCAGATGAGTACGAAGAGGAATATAGTGATGATGATGGACAGTCGAGAAGAAAAGGAAAGAAAAAAGCATCCAAGAAAACCATCTTTGATGTAAGATATGATGAAAGTGTGTAGTTGATGTTTGTTGTTATCCAATCAAGTTCTTTCCATTAAGGTTTATGAACCAAGTGAGCTGGAAAAAATTCATCTAACTGATCGTGATAATGACATACGTATCACAGACATGCCCGAGCGATTTCAGGTAACTTTTGCTGGTCTTAGAGTTTGATGTGATGTGTCAGAAGTTGAAGATTTATTGTATTTGCCACATGAGATTACCATGGAGTGGAGTGGGTCAATTCTGGGTTTTTCTTATACTTTATTTTACTTTTTTCCAGTTACGGGAAATTCCAACAAAGCCTGCTGAAGATGGTGAGTTAGATGATGAAGCAGAGTGGATATACAGACAAGCGTTTATGACAATGCCCATTTCAAACCAAGTATGTTTTGTACATGTGTCTTTTATCTCTGTGACTGAGGTTTCATTCCTGCAATATGCAGTTGTCTGATTATAATTTCACCTCAGGACTTTCAAGATGGTGATAAACTTATACAGTCGACAGTCACGAAGCCGCCCACAGCAATTCCAAAGATTCGTGAAGCTCTCAGCCTCATGAGAAATCATTTCTTTGAGGTAAACTTGAAATCAAGCTGTCCTGCATGAATACTTTCTTAGGCCCCATGTTAGACTTTTAGTAAATCAGATATATTTAGTCGTTTATTTTTGAATAATTCAGGTGCCTTTTATTGCGTATTATCGCAAAGAATATGTTGAACCAGAGCTTAAAATTGAAGATTTATGGCGAGTTTGGCAGTTTGATGAAAAGGTTAGTTCAGGTTTTTGTTCAAACATAAATCATATCAGAAACATGCTCACGTTCATTTATAATTTTCAGTGGTGTCAGTTGAATACAAGAAAAAAGAATTTGAAACGATTGTTTGAACAAATGCAAACCTTCCAGTACAACAAATTGAAAGAAGATCCTGATAAACCTTTAGATGAAGACGAACGTATCTTGGAACACGATGATATTGAAAAGTAAGGAAGGAGTTAGAATTATCAAGATAAACGACCTTGAAGTTCTTAATGGGAATTTGGTGAAAACATACGTATTCTGTAAATGATAGCTTTTAGACCAGGCTTCCTCATTCTCCAAGAGCTGCGCGTCTTATTCTGTTTGATAACATCATTTTATTCCAGGCTGGAGGCGGTACAAACAATGGAGGAACTACGAGATGTCTACTCTCACTTCATGTTATATTACGGTCACGAGATTCCCGCCATGAGACTGGCAAAGAAGAAGAAACCGCAAGAAGATGGGGAAAAAAATGACGATGACGAAGAAACACAAGATGAAGAAACAGGAGAAAGACTTAAGATGCCAAAGAGAAGAGATTTGTACACGATCTGTCGAGATGCAGGTAGAAAACGTCTCTGGAAGATCATCTCTTATTGATCCAGTGTTACTACAGGAGGAAACCTAAACTAAACTAACTTTATTTATACTGGATAGCTCTATCAGTTCTAAACTGTTCTTCCTAGAGGTCCAGTAAGGATCATCTCTTATTGATCCATTGTTTTTGTATTTCAGGTCTTGGCGGTTTTGCTAAAAAGTTTGGTCTGACACCGGAACAGTTCGGGGAGAATTTACGTGATAATTATCAACGACACGAGACCGAGCAATATCCCATGGAGCCTGGGGAGGCGGCTGAAGAGCATCTCTCCAGTATGTTCCCGACTACTGAGACAGTATTGGAGGGAACACGTCACATGGTTGCCATGCAGATTGCACGTGATCCACTCGTGAGACAATGCATTCGACAGATATTCAGTGAACGAGCTAAAATTAACATAACACCGACTAAGAAAGGAAAGAAGGTAAGGGGGGGGCGGAATTCTGGCGGGAAAAGTTAGCTAGTTGATAGCAAATCTCGTTTTGACTGTATTGGATATTAGTTCGTCAATTCATTGTGATATTTTGTTATTTACTATTCGATATTGTGTTTTGCTATAACAGCCATGCCCTGCTGGCTTAGTTTTTTTTCAATTTTTTCAGGACATTGATAAAGATCACGAGTATTACCCGTTCAAATACGTCAAAGATAAGCCGGTCGCTGATTTGAAGGGAGAAATGTTTCTGCAGGTGCATAAAGCCAAGGAAGAGGGATATATTGAACTGAAGATTGGGATTGATATGGGACAAGGGTGAGCATACAGGGATAGCGTAAGCATGCAGGGACATAGGTTAGCATTTGGCAACAAGGTTGAACATATAAGGACAACGGTGACCATAAGCATTAATGAAAAACGTAATCTGGTATTTGAAATGTTATAATTTGAAATTGTGACTAAGACGATGTTTGAATTAAAATTATTGTTATCTTCTTAGATTTCATTCTTATTACGATGAAGCAAAGCAGTTGTACTACAGAGTACGTTTATTATCGTGTTCATATTAATTTCAAATGTAAAAATTTCACAAAGCTAAAACCATCTTTTCTTCTTACCCAGGATGAGTTTAGTAACCTCGTCCAGATGTGGAATGCACAGCGAACCCAAGCCTTGTATCGAACATTCTATCAAATGTTGTATCCATTATTTGCAAAAGAACTTGAAGAGAAACTATTACAAGAAGCTAAAGACTTTGTTATCAAGGTATAATTGAGGGAAATCTACACCCTTTAGCTCTGGTTTAAGATATACTTTCAGGCAGTTCAGGCACCAACTAAGGCAGGGTACTGTATGATGCTATTCTTTATATCATTTGATCCGCTTCTGTGTTTTCTAGAGTGCGTGTCGTCGGTTGTATTCCCTTGTAGAAGTCGCGCCTTACCAAGCTGAGCAACATGATGACGAAGAATATGATATGTACTCTGGTCCCCAGGGCCTACGCGTACTCTCCGTGGCTGTGCCTTCAGACCCGCAGACGCCAGTGTTCTTTGTGATGTTGAACGGCGGCGGACAAGTTGGAGACTTTCTTAAACTCAGCTTCATCATGAAGAAAAGAAATTCAAACAGAGCTAAAGAACGAGAGAAGAAGGTCGGTTATTACAAAACTGACTTTATTTTATACTGAATGGTTCTATCAGTTCTAAACTGTTCTTTCTAGAGGATCATTTCTTATTGATCCAGTGTTAGTTACTACAGGAGGAAACCTAAACGTTAACGTCTTTTCAACAGGAAGAAGATTTAGAAACATTGAAACAGTTTGTCCTAAAGAAACGTCCTCATGTCGTTGCCGTGGCGACGGGCAGTCGTGATTCTCAAAGCATTCTTGAAGACATCAAACTTTCCATGAGAGAACTTGAGCAGGAAAATCAAATTGCGCCAATAAATGTGGAGTTAGTTGACCATGAAGTTGCTGAGATATTTGAAAAATCTCCCAGAGCTGAGGTACACTCATCCATTCATGTTAAAGATTTGATTTGATGAACAGATTCGATTGCATCCAGCGCAGAGTACATTGTACTTATATACGTATTAATGAGGTGTTTCCTTTTTGTTTTGTTTTTCTCGTTAGACGGAGTTTCGTGAATATCCAGCCATTTTAAGACGAGCAATCTCAGTTGGTCGGCGCATTCAAGATCCTGTTGCAGAGTTCTCCAGTTTGTGTATCGACGAGGAGGAATTATTGTGTTTAAGACTTCATCCAAGACAGGTTTGTGTGTTCATTGTTTCTAGAAAGTCAAACAAGTGCTGTTAGAGGTTAATCGTCTTGTTCAACTTTATCTGTTCCCACAGAATCTCATCCCTACAGAAGAGCTGCTGAAGTCATTACGAACGGTCTTTGTGACCGTGGTGAATGAAGTTGGCGTGGATCCAAACAGGGTGATGGACTTCCCCCATACGTCGGGTTTGATTCAGTTTGTCTGTGGCTTAGGTCCGAGGAAGGGTTCTGCTCTGATCAAGGTGTGTTGACAGTCATCATTTCAGTTCATCTTCCTGCATTGTATCGCTAAGCCAGGGTCTTATTTTTATGTCACAATTGTTTTGTTTTCAGAGCTTACGTCAGCAAAGCAGCAAACTCGAGAACCGATCCCAGCTTGTGACCGTCTGCGGCATGGGACCGAAAGGCTTTTTAAACACGGCTGGATTCATCAAGATCGACACGTCATCGTTGAATGAGAATACAGTTAATTATATAGAGGTCTTAGACGGGTCAAGAATTCACCCTGAAACGTACGAGTGGGCAAGAAAGATGGCGGTTGATGCCTTGGAGTATGATGAGGTGAGATGCTTCTTCATCATTTTTCTTCATTCAGAGCATAACATTATTCCTGGCATCACTCCAGTTCAAGGTAGTCTGTGGTTCTCTTGGATGGGTGGTTGTTGCAAGCGAACCCCCTCCCTCCACCCGGGTAAACCTCGAACTTTACCTTGTTTAGACAAACGAGGATTCTAATCCATCAGCTGCTCTTGAGGAAATCTTGGAGAGTCCTGAGCGTCTCAAAGATCTGGATTTAGACGCATTTGCTGAAGAGCTTGAACGGCAGGGGTATGGAAACAAGCGAACAACTCTCTATGATATCCGTGATGAGTTGTTTGGCCGCTATAAAGATCGGCGGCCGCCGTATCGGGAAATCTCCGTGGAGGACCGTTTCCGATTGCTGACCGGAGAAACGAAAGAGACGCTGCATTACGGGAAGTTGGTCACGTGTGTTGTGACGGGATTTGCGTATAGGAAACCGAACCGAGAAAGACTGGATAATGCTGACCCCGTGAAAGACGATGATACTGGCCTTTGGCAGTGTCCATTCTGCACAAATAATACCTTCGGTGATCTGAGCGAGGTATATCTCATCAAACATTTAATGCTGGGTAGCTCTACGAATCCATCTCTTGTTGATCCAGTTTTATTACAGGAGGAAACCTAAACTAAACCAGTTTTATTTTGCCTGATATTGAGACCACAAACATAATAATTCATGCATTTTTACCCAGGTGTGGACTCATTTTGATAATGGCAGTTGCCCCGGACAGATTGTTGGTGTTAGAACGCGACTTGAAAATGGTATTAATGGTTTCATTCCGACAAAAATGATTAGTGACAAACACATTAAATCCCCACAAGACAGAGTGAAGGTAAAGGAAAACATTAAATAAACCGTTTTTCTGTTGATTTGGTCGCAACCGATCTAATAAACCTTGTTTCTAGGTTGGTTTAATGGTTCATTGTCGCGTGACAAATATAAATGTGGAGAGATTCCAGGTCGACCTGACGTGTAGATCCTCAGATCTTGAAGACAGAGATGGGAAATACGGGTAAGTGATTTGAAACCAGAGAACTAAACGGAAAAACGTTTCTTGGTGAGAACCATGATGTCTGTTTATTTTCAGTCGCCTCAAAGATACATATTTTGATCAACCAGCTGAAGATCGAGATAAAAAGGCTGTGAAAGACGCGCAGAAAAAAGCAAACAGACCGAGTAAGATTTCTCGATTTATTTCAACTGTTTTGCCAAAGAGTCGTTCCTCATCATATTCTGGATATTTTCATGCAACTTAGGCTACATAAAGAGGGTGATCGTTCATCCTGCATTTCAAAACATCGCGTTTAAAGATGCTGAAAAGAAACTATCTGGAATGGAGCAGGGAGAGTGCATCGTTAGACCCAGCAGTAAGGTCTGTATGCATGCTGGTAGCTATAAAACTTGGTTAGTTTGGAGATTTGAAGTCCCATCCAACGACTCTCATGCTGTCTAAACATTTTACTACGTGATTTACTCGCAGGGTTCAGATCATCTGACGGTCACATGGAAGGTTGACGAGGGAATATATCAACACATTGATATTAAAGAACAAGGAAAACACAATGCCTTCAGTTTAGGAAAATCGCTTTGGATTGAAAATGAGGTGGAGTAACAATCCAATCCTGTGACTTGAAACCGCTTGATTCAACAGTTGTTTCATCAGATTTTTGCTTGCATATCTTTCATTTAGGAATTCGAGGACTTGGATGAAATCATAGCTCGTCATATTCAACCAATGTCGTCGTTTGCGCGAGATATTCTCTCCCACAAATACTACAAAGACACGGAGGGTGGAAACAGAACAACCATGCAGGAAATCTTAAAAACTGAAAAAACAAAGGCTCCAAAACGCATCCCGTATTTCTTGTCTTCCACAAAAGAATGTCCGGGCAAGTTTCTCCTGGGTTATATGCCCCGTACTAAACCTCGTATAGAATACGTTTCAGTGACTCCTGATGGCTTCAAGTATCGAGGTCGCATTCATGCAACATTAAACGCTCTTTTTAAATGGTTCAAGGAACATTTCAGAGATCCTATCCCAGGTTTGTATGTATAAATAACTAACAGCTTCCTAATGAAGTATTTAGTGTTAATTAGGTACTAATTATCTAACTAATTGCCATTGTTTCAGGTGTGTCGCCTCGTCAGCGATCATCAGGTGCCACAGACAATACCCCCTACACCCCGGCGGATTTTACTCCTGCACGAGATTCAACCCCACGAGGTTCGACCCCACGGAACGCTACCCCGCAAGTAGACCCATCAAAAATCATGCCTCATCTTCGTCAACCGTTCCCGGGGGGTGTCCTCAAAGATCAACAAATGATAACGAACTTGACCGCAGCCGTTGCTCAACAGAGCCCGCAAACTTCGCGGGGACAATATCAGCAGTTTGGTTATACACAACAATTCCCACAACAATTTCAACAACCCACGTACTCGAGATAGTACTGGGAATAGTCTTGTGTCGATCGCGTGTTAGGCTTTGTGAAAGAATGTCCTGGAACTAGTTGGAAGCTGAAGATTGCGTGTGTTTGTGGGTAATTATTTTATGTTTCACCTACAAAAATGCCGAGTTCTCTTTGTTTCCAGTACCTCACCTTATCACCATCTCCATGACGTCGGCGTTTTCGCGGTTGAAACAGGAAATAATAACCTGTCCTTGTAAAAGAATGTTTCCAGAGATCTGTTCCCACGAACCAATTTTGTCTGAACCAATTTTGAACGAATCCAATACTCTTCTGACGTATAACATTGGCTGGCATTACTCCATTTTCTTCCCATATATCTGTGACATTAAAAGACAACACACCACAAAACATTCATCAGAAGTGAATTGGATTCGACAGAATTGGAAACTTGCCACTGTCCTACGGTAGAAAAACTGCAGATAACATCACACTGATGTTCTCATAGAAATGTTCAGTCAAGTTTGCTGGGAGTTGATACATGATTTAGCTCAGCTTTCTTGGCTCCAGTAAGTTGAACTAAATCAGCTGTGCTGTAAAACTTACCCAATGCTAAAAATAATAAGTCAATGTAGTTGTTATAAGAACTCATTAGTCATTAAGGAGCACAATATGCCAAGCCAAACCTATGTAAAAAAAAGGTAAAAATCGCACTGGCAAAAAAATCCTGCTTTTATCCATCGTGTTTTCAAAGTCTTATGTCGAGTGACTGGAGTCGTGTATTAAATGGTAGTTATTTAGGCTGTTAAAGCTTCTAATAATTGGTGAAATAAGTTTTGTATGTATGTATTTGGTTATTGTGAAATAAATGTATATGTTTTCTCAACTTGTTAGTAAATAACTGATTTCAAATCCTTTGGTGGACATTTACAATCCTCTGATATAAAATATAGTGAATCTCCCTGCTCAACTACTCATTATATCCTTTCTCTAATGTTGCAAATAATACCCAATGAACTGAATTAAATTTACCAATTAATGGTTCATTACTTAATTACATCTGATTAATTTCATCGGTTCTAAATTGAAACCCGATACGTTGTGTTATTTTGAGATAAAGGCTTTCAAGCGCCATGCAAGTGAAATAGTCAAATTACTCAAATACCGTTTTAGTTTAGTTCATTTTATATTTATTTCAATTATTTGGTAAACAAAATGTCTGCAAGAGTAGCTTTGAAAGATGTGCAGGAAGCAAGCAAGAGAATCGCGCCGTATATTCATCGTACGCCAATAATGACTTGTTCAACACTCGACGAGATGGCTGGCAAGTCGCTTTTCTTTAAATGTGAAATATTTCAAAAGGTTGGAGCTTTTAAGGTGAGCATGCTCTTTGTGTATCGACCTATCATATAACCTCTGTAAATCCTTAAGTTTTCTGGTATGTATTGTCGTTTGCATGTATGATCTGTGTGCAATTCAAACTTATCAAACTAGTTAGTAAAACGTCTGCTTAATACCCCCTAGACTAGTTCCACTCGGTTTTAACCATAATTTGTAATTTCAGTTCCGAGGTGCATCAAATGCAGTTGGTAAGCTTGTTGAAGAATGCAAAGAAGACAAAAGTCAGATGACCATCGTCACACACAGCAGTGGTAACCACGCCCAGGCTATTGCACTAGCATCTAAACTACGAGGGGTTAAAGCTCACATTGTGATGCCCTCTGATGCTCCCTCTGTGAAGAAAGAGGCTGTGATGAATACCTATGGGGCACAGGTCACTGAGTGCATCAATACACAGAAGGTTGGTTAAGAATTATTGAACAATAAAATGTACAGCACGTAATCTCATGATTACAGCCAATGTATGGAGGCATGTCTGACTGTCAATCATCTGGTATTTTATAACCTGACATTTGTTTTTGACTTAAGAGCCGTGAAGGAACCTGTGCTGATGTTTTAAAGTCAGTTGGTGCAAATGGACACTTGATTCATCCATTTGATAATCTCAATGTGATTGCAGGTCAAGGGACAATAGGTCTTGAAGTATTAGAGCAGGTAAGCATGATTTACTTTATCAGTTTTAAACTGTTCTGCATGAGCACCAGAGCTTGCAATAACACTCTTCATTTCTCATGTGCTCAGGTACCAGATGTTGAGGCGATTGTGGTTCCTGTCGGAGGAGGAGGCTTGCTCAGTGGTGTTTGTGTTGCTGTGAAAAACACAAAACCTGATGTTAAGATATTTGCAGCTGAACCTCTGAATGCTGATGACTGTGCAAAATCATTCGCAGCAAAGAAAAGAATACCATTACCAGGTGGGTTCATCTGAATGGAAATTATATTGTTGGACATTCAAAACAATGTTGCACTTCTATTTTTGGTGATTGCTTGATTTTTATTTGTGCATAACCATTTAGTTAGTTGAAACATTATTTTAATAGTCATCAAAAAATATTATCTGTTTTTAAGGTCCTCCTGACACAATTGCAGATGGCTTGCGTACAAGTGTTGGTCAGTTGACATGGCCAATCATTCAACAGTATGTTGATGATGTGATTACAGTGACTGAGGAAGAGATTATTCATGGGACAAGATTGGTAATTGAGCGTATGAAGGTAGTTATAGAGCCTTCGTCAGGTGTGGTTGTAGCAGCTGTACTTAATGAGAAGTTTCGGAAAAGGACTGCGGGTTTGAAAAACATTGCTGTTCTTCTTTGTGGAGGAAATATGGATTTTGATAAATTTCCTCCATCATCAGTTGAACCTAGTCTGAGTAGAAACTAGATATGTGTTGACTGAGTACATTTCTTGTATAAGATATTTCTAAAGTAGCTATGTTTTCTAAAGTAGCTAAGTGTTGAGATTAACATGACGCGTTCTCTCTAAGAACACTTATCAATATTTATTAGTTTCAACAAAATACAGCGTAATTAAAGTTGGTTGATTAACTCAGGAAATATGAATAATTTATTGACTCCACAGGTGCTTACTTATCATCAATAAATGCAATCGTTTTACATGTTGCAAAAAACCGCAGGTTACCGCGAAAACCGGCTGAGGTCATAATAAACAATTTAGAAAAGCTGTATTTTTCAATGCTCAAGGCAAACACACGTTACTAACAAGTGAAAAAGATGTGCTAAGAACCATATGAGAGTATTTTAAAGGTTTACTGATGTGACAAAAGGTTCCTTGCCGAGTTTATTGGCAGGTTCACTTGCATTAAGCATTGAAAGAAAAAAAAACTGTATTAAAGGATGATTTATTGAAGATTACCTGTACATCATGGCAAAATTGAGAAGGTTTCTTGTGGAAGTCCTTGCATTCATACTTTGTCTCTTAATCGGCGCTGCCGTGTTTCATGCCATAGAATACAAAAACGATGAACCTGTTGGACATTCACGGCCAAACAGCAGTGAGATATTGGACAGTGTTGTGAGGAATATTAGCCTTAAATACAATATATCTGCCCGGGATATGAATCACACAGTTAAACAACTACGCAGAAGATTATGGAAAAATGAGAATAAGAATTGGGATGTCTGGGATTTTACTGGATGTTATTTTTTCGCAGGAACAGTTGCTTTTACAATCGGTAAGTAAGATGATTATGAGGAATTATAAAGAATCATAACAACTGCTACATTTGTTCTTACAAAAGCTTAAATGTTCTAGGATTTGGCCATCAAACACCAACCACAACCTTGGGTCAGTTAATGGTGATAATTTATGCAATGTTTGCCATTCCCATTACAGGTAAAGGAAATTGATTCTTCAGCAATTGACATATTACATTCAGCTGTTTTCCTTACAGTTAATGCAAATTGCAAATCACCTTTATTGCAGGACTAATGCTCTCAGCATGTGGTGAACGAATGGCTGTACATCAGCGAAAGGCTGTCATATTTATCGAGAAGAGAATTTTGAAAAGGGAACTTAAAAATTTACACGGCAAAACGATAGCAATGAACATTTTTGTCCTAATGTTGTTTTTCATTATAGGAAGCATTATGACTAAGTAAGTTCAGACATTAAGTGACAATGATGACAGATATTATCATTACTAGGCTATCTATAGTTCTATGAATAAACAATTATTGGATGAGGTTTTTGTGATATGCAAAGTTATCAAGGTCGAGGTAAGCGTTATTACCTTGACCTTGATAACTTTGCATATCACTAAACGCAAACTTCGGCTTGGTAATTCTCGATATCATACTCAACCTCATCCAATAATTGTTAAACATCAGTATATGGCATACGTATAAAGTCGTAGTAACTTCTGCATATAGTCCTAGAAGTTTTTCGAAGATTTTTTTACTTATGAACTTTTCAAAAACGTCTTTGAGACGAATTTCGTAACAAACATCGTTTGAGTGCGGTTGAAAAAATTCACGCTGTGATGAAGAAAATATTACTAAAAAGAGAAGTGTTTTGCGACTTCGAAACTAATTTATCAATATTATTATTCTCAGTATAAGATGAAAAGAAAGACATTAATGAAAATAAGGAAGACAAGTTTTTAACTCCATTGCTTTGGAGTTTGCAGTCTTTGTAATATACAAAAGACTAAATTAAACATTTTATTTCAACCTAGATATTATTACGATGGATGGTCGATAATTGAAGGTGTATATTTCCTATGGATATGCATGTCGACTGTTGGTTTTGGGGATTATATTATTAACGACGGCAAACCTTACTACGAAGACGATGTGGGACGGACAATTATGTTAAGATTTAACGTGATAGGTTTGATCATCGGACTCTGTCAAGTATCTTGTATTTTGGTGTCCATTCAAAACGCGTTGGAGAAGAAATTTGTAGAGAGAGTTGGAGACGAGACTGGTGAGACTGCAATGGAAGGTGTGAATGGCAGCGGACGAGGTGAAAATATTGGTCAAAAAAATGAAGGTTGTGCGTTGGAAGTAGTTGAAAATGAACAGAACAAGACAGTATCTGGAATTTCTTTGAACACATTATGACACATGAAATTCTGACGTTATATTCTGACTTTAAAAATACAGAAGAAAGATCCATCTTTAGAGCTACGGTTTTGATCTATCTTTTAAGCTACGGTTTTCACTAATTCTAATTTATTATCTCTAAGAGAATAATTATCATATTTAAATTAAATTAAAAGCTCAAAGCAATATGTTTGTATCCAGGTTTAGAACGTCCTCCCAGCCAGGCTATTGTTTTTTAGACGGAGGAAATTTATCAATGCCTAAATTCCCTCCACAAAGAAGAACAGCAATATTTTTCAAACCCGCAGTCTTTTTCCTAAACTTCTCATTGAGTACAGCTGCTAGAACCGCACCTGACGAAGGCTCTATAACCAATTTCATACGCTCCAGCACCAATCTTGTCCCATGAATAATCTCTTCCTCAGTCACTGTAATCACATCATCAACATACTCTTGAATGATTGGCCATGCTAACTCACCAATATTAAATCGTAAGCCATCAGCAATTGTGTCATTTGGACCTATGAAAATCAATAATAAACTGGTTAGTTGTTGATGAATGAAAACTTCTCAACTACATATAAATTCCTCTTACAAACCTGGTAAAACTATTCTCTCATTTGCTGCAAGTGATTGTGCACAGTCATCAGCATTTAGTGGTTCAGCTGCAAATATCTTAACATCAGGTTTTGTGTTTTTCACAGCAATACAAACACCACTGATCAAACCTCCTCCTCCGACAGGAACCACAATCGCCTCAACATCTGGTACCTGAGCACATGAGAAATGAAGTGTATTATTGCAAGCTCTGGTGTTCATGCAGAACAGTTTAAAACTGATAAAGTAAGTAATGTTTACCTGCTCTAATACTTCAAGACCTATTGTCCCTTGACCTGCAATCACATTGGGATTTTCGGATGAATGAATCAAGTGTCCATTTTCACCAAGTGACCTCAAAATCTTTGCACAAGCTCCTTCACGGCTCTTGATTTAAAAATATGGAAATGTTTAGATAGAAATATCAGTAACAAGCAACTTTGAGAGTCTTATTTTGAACCAACCGCTTTGGTGTTTGTCTCACACTCAGTGAGCTGTGCCCCATAGGTATTCATCACAGCCTCTTTCTTCACAGAGGGAGCATCAGCAGGCATCACAATGTGAGCCTTCACACCTTGTAATTTAGATGCCAGTGCAATAGCCTGGGCGTGGTTACCACTGCTGTGAGTGACAATAGTCATCTGGCTTTTGTCTCCTTTGCATTCTTCAACAAGCTTCCCAACTGCATTTGATGCACCTCGGAACTGAAATTACAATTCTGTTAATAAAACCGAGTTGAAGTAGGGGGTAGTCTTTGGTACTTCTGAGTTCACTAGCCACTAGGATGATTTTAATAAATTGCTTTTACGTATATTTGTATATAATTATACATGCTAGTAATTGAAAATCGTTTAACCTTGAAATATTATAACATTGTTAATGTCATTTGAAATGTCTGCCAACTAACAAGGAAGTAATAGTTTTATGTTTTTCTGAAAATCACCCCCGTTAGTTCCGACTGTTATATTGACACCTACTGTATTAGGACCCAGTACTGATTCACCGTATCGTTTAAAGTGGTTGCAGTGGATATATGATACATCGAGACATCACGGGCACACTTACCTTAAAAGCTCCAACCTTTTGAAATATTTCACATTTAAAGAAAAGCGACTTGCCAGCCATCTTGTCCAGTGTTGAACAAGTCATTATTGGCGTACGATGAATATACGGCGCGATTCTCTTGCTTGCTTCCTGCACATCTTTCAAAGCTACTCTTACAGACATTTTGTTGACCAAATGAATGAATTAATTGGCCGCAAATATTTGCTTTTTTCTGATCGATGGGCAGTTCCGGCCATGTCTCTCAGCAACCACATTCCAAAGTACGCACTTGTATGTTAAGGTGAGGGGAGAGACAGAGAGTCGCGCGTTCCCGCAAACGACGCAAATCTAAAAATAGAACACCCCCAGTCCCCTAAAATAAGTTGAACGGCCGCGGTGGTTTCTATGATTCCGTTGACTGGGAAATTTTGGATGAAAATGAAATTATTGGAATTTGGAAGAGAAAGAAACAAAAATGGAAGTTTTGGGGAAGAAGAAGATTTAACTCCGATATGAAAGGCTTTATTTCATCGATATTTTCCCGTCTAGTTCCTTTCCTTTTGGTAGAAATTTGCAGAGCTCAACCTGGTGAGTATAAAGTTGTTGAAAATCATTTTTAAATTTAGAAGAGTTTTGGAGAATCAGTGAAATTTAATATTGAGATACAAAAGCTGTAGGTTGCAAATGAGCTGGAATCAAAATAGGATTTATTGCCACTATTTCTGCCTTATTGATGCTTCAAGAAGTTGATAATTGAATATAAACCTGATCAGTCATCTCTAAACTGAGCAATTGTTATTTCAATATTTATATAGTTGTGGACATCATCACATCAAGTTACCCAAATAACATACTACAAGTTCCAGTTTATAAAAGATCAGGAAATCTAGATGTCAAACTTAGTGAAGTTCCTCAGAATCATCAGGTATGTTATGTACTTGTTGATGTTTCTTCAAATTCAACCTTTTATATAATATTCTTGTAGTTTTGCATTGTGAATTTATGACTCAAATTATCCTCTTGTGGGAGTAACTTTTGGTCCACTGATGCCTAATGAACTGCACTGAGATAAAGTGCAATACTGCATGGTTTTCCTACAAATTGATGATTTTTCTTATATTTATTGCAACAATCAGAAACAGCAGCAACTTAATTTATTCTCATTAGGTTGAGATAACATGTGGAGCACTATCGTCAGATATTGGTCTCACAAACATTTCATTCATCACGGAAATTATACAAAGAGGACAACAAGATGGTTCGGTGTCTTTCAGGTACGAAGGATTGGTTGAACCCAAGAGTTGTTGCTGGTGTAAAATGTGTCATTAAACAGGAAAAATGAAAATTATCTGCATTATTGCAGTCAGATGATAGGTTAATTAATTGGTAATTTTGAAAACTTTTAGCATTAATGCAGCTGGAAGAGCTGTTCAAGTTCGTTGCTCAGGTCAGAGCATTGGTGGCACTCAATTCCAGAGAGCTTCTTCGTTTGGGCAAACTAGGTTGGTATATTTTCTCTTTCCTTAATTGTGTTGGTATTTATATTATTACCTCTTGATATCTCCTTGTTTCTTAATAGCTACATTCAAGTAACGAGACGGCCAACAGTCAGCCTATGCTTGGATGTTGTCAATATTACACCAAGTCCTATGGCTGTCAAAAAAGTTGAAATTTCATTCAGGTACATGTGCTAGCATAACACAAACTTCTCATTAATAAAAAACAGAAACTAACAGCTAGCTTGAGAAAAACTCCAAGCTACAACATCTAACTGTGGATTTAATATGATTATTGTTTTTCTAGTGAAAGTATTCTTAATGATCCTGTAATCTTGAACTGCTCTGTTATTTCATCACTCAGAGGTCTGATATTTATTACCATAACACAATTGTTGAATTACTTGAATGCAGAGTGTAAACAATGACTGCCAAATCATGGTCAATGAAATAAGCATGCAAACTGTTTTATTACATCTTGTTTATAGCTTCCTCTAATCCACTAAAGGTAACCTTTACTGCAAAAACTGTTCCAGTTTCAACAAGAAAAACAAATGTATGTTCCCTGGTTTATTTTTAAATATATTCATTAAGCTTGACTGCACAGTAATTTCATGGGTAAATATATATTTAAGTATATATAGACTTAGGTTCTTAGTTTTTGCTTCATGTTTAGATATCATACATTTTGGAAAGTGAAGGTGATCCAGTAGTTGTAGCTTGTTGGGCCTCAAGCAAAAGCACAACAACACCTGCAGACAATTTACAGTACACCAGAAATACGTCACAAGGTATTTACCATTCAATGCAACAAAATGAAATGGTTTTGATTGAAAGTATTATGCAGCTTAGCTAAGCATGTACAAAAGGAATTGTTAGGCATTGCAGGTTGATACTTAAGGTAGAGTCTCCTGGGCAAGGAAATGTTTCCAGTTGTTTGTACAAGGTTTTATTGCAAGCATTGAGTGAGAACATATGTCTAGTATATACAGTAGTGGTGTGACGAAGATCACCTCTGGCAAACCAAGGTGATTAAGGTTTACGATTTTCATTTTAGGTGACACTGCTGTTTTCATGTACCAGATACAACAGGCTACATTTGTTCCTGCCTCAATTACATCTCTTGGACGGACAACTGTGGCACGTACAGTCAGTTATCTTGTCTTGGAAAGTCCTGCGACAAATTTGACACAGTTCTACTGTACATTTCATAATGCATCACAGAGAATAGCATCGCTTTGCGCAGGAAGCTTTCCTTTGAGGTCATCCCTTGAGCTGTCATCTATCAGGGTAGAACTGGTGACCACCAACATGACTTTTGAGGTAGGCTCTAATGATCTCAATATACATTGTCCGATACACATCATAAATACCTGAAGCAAGATAGTCATGACAAAGTTTGTGCCAAAGGTAGAAGTTAGTGCTGATTTCTTATTCAGGTTGGGGATTTTTATAAGCCACTCATAGTTCAAATAAATGGTAGCAGCACCCATCGTGTTCAACGGTTGCTGGATGTGACTTGTTGCAGAGACGCCGACCCAAAATACTTCATGTTGTCAACCTCATTGTCACTTTGGATTGATGTTTATCCCAGCATGCCATTCAAGTGGGAGAATATTTCAGGTAGGATTCTATTTTATTAAAACAGCATGAATAAATACACTGCGCATAAGTGCAAAAGTTCTAGGTACAAACCTGCAATTGCAAATGAGAATGTTTTTTATTGGACAGCTAGTGCATTAACCCAGTGCTAAATTCTTGCTTATTCTTTTATGGTACATTACAAGTTTGAAGTTTGTGCTTTGAGAAATCAACATTTTATGTGTTAATACAGTGGGAATGACAGCTCAGAAATGTCAAATTATATTGTTAATATAGAAATTCTTATATTAGCCAATGCTTATCAGATCATGAAATGTCTGAACAGTAAACTTCAACCTCACAAAAGTTTAAATCTTCACTAATCTGGGATTGAATAGTCAAATATCGACCATGCATGATTGGTGTGCATGTTATACTCGTCGTTCCAATACCAATCGAGTGCCTGTCACCGCACTTTGGATTTACCAGCCCATTATTAATCAAACTATCTCCAACCTTAAATGACGAACAACAATTAAGTTTAGAGAGAGAGAGAGAGAGAGAGAGAGAGAGAGAGGGATGTTTATATTGCAGAATTTTTCTACTTTGATAGGCAGAGGTGAATCAATATGAGATTCTTCTAATATAAGCAAGAACGTTGTTCATAGTAAAGAGTTTTAGCGTAAAGAAAAGGTGTCTGCATTTGAGAGAGGTGCGCATGGAATAAAGAGGGGTGTGACTGTATTAAAGCGGGGTGTCTCTAAAAAGCGGGGTGTCTGAATTCAATCTCTAGACTGGAATGAAGTGTGTTTATTAGAGATATTGTCCATATCAGAGAGACATATTCATATTAGTTGTTTGACTGGTATATTTTACCTTAATTTCAAAATCTCTCATCCGATCCCAACAACAGTCACCGCGGTTAGTGATTGCCACTCGTGCTACTGGGATTGTTTCACCAAAATCAACTCTCCACCATTCACGATTCCCTCCTAGTGTGTGAACACACTGAGCCGCACCGTTGTAAACCATGATGGTATTCCTGTTTCCATCCACAGCATGATGGGCGTACCCGCCACCACTCCACGTTGAACTTTGAGCTGTTGGCTTACCCAAAGCAAAGTTGTGACTCGGAACTAAGGGAAGACAGGGTTTTACGCTACAGTGGGTCGTGAAATAAAAATCCTACGTCTCGATATTATGATATAGCAGCAACTAAGCATTCGGACTACCCTGATTAGGTTTAAAATGAGTTCTTATATCAGGTTTATGGATGGTTGGATTAGGCTTATACCAGGCTTATGGATGGTTGGATTAGGCTTATATCAGGCTTATGGATGGTTGGATTAGGCTTATACCAGGCTTATGGATGGTTGGATTAGGCTTATATTAGGCTTATGGATGGTTGGATTAGGCTTAGATCAGGCTTATGGATGGTTGGATTAGGCTCATATTAGGTTTACTAAACGTTTGTGAACGTTAAACCTCCCACAATCAACTATACATGACCACATATATCACATTTCTTGCCACGCATGAATATTGGACAATGACATTTGAACACCGCTTCTCTGTCTGGCTCGCAGGCCACAAGTCTGCATGGATTTGGGACACAGGGATCCTGAAACGATATCATGACATTTCCCAATGCTTTCACATATTTGAAGGATTTAGATTAAGTAAAAATGTAAAAAGCCCCTCACAACAGAATGCGTCATGCCAAGTTTGATACCTGTAAAAAGAAGTGTGTAAAACTATTGTCTTGTGTTAGATTCTTGTCGTCCCGATATTTACTTGTGTTTAGTAGTTCACATTGAAAATTACTCGCTGAGATCTGCTTAACATTAAAAGAGAAACATCCTTCGTTTCTGGTGCAACTCAAGTAGCACTTTGTTTCTCTGTCAACATCAATCGTTGCTATTGGCTCGACTTTCAAGCGATGTTTATGAAGATGGGAAAAATTTTTCAGTTTCATTTCGCCTCTCGCGCTTCGAAGAAGCAGTTGAGCTGAAACCAGACTCGTTATGATAGCACATACAGCGGAGAATATCAAGCATGTTAAGCGAGTGAATGCCATCTTCTTAATGCCACCTCCTGCGCGCTGCGTTACCAATGCGAAAATGTAGTTTCTGGTTCCAAGTTTATAGCAGGTCGTCGTAACCTCAGCGCGTGTATGTGGTTTTAAAAATAGCTTTCTCCGTTTAAGATATTTATATTTTATTAATATTGTACGTTATTATTTTGAAAATTCTACTTTTTTTTAAATTATCTTCGGTGTAATATAATTAGAAAAAAACGCGGCAATCATTGCTTCTTCATCTAACGATAGATTTATTTTTCGTTTCGTAGACAAGAGTCAGACCACTTTTTATTCTGTATTCGATCCTCATTGTCTGTGTGACTTGGAAGTAGATCTTTGTGATGCCAGGTGTTGCTGTGACAAGGTAAAGTTAAATGGTAAATTATCTCGAAATATGCCATTGTCTTAATTGCTTTGACATGCGGTCATTTTGTTGCGTTTTTGTATTCTAAAATTGTCGTGTTCGAGTAATTTATATCGAAACCTGTATGATTTTGGTGTTTGCTTTTCATACTTTCTCCAAGACTTTCATATTGACTTGAAGTCTACTTTTTTCTTAAGCAAGCATTCTGTCTCTTCTTGCTAGGACTGTTCTTCTTTTGAGAAGCAAAGCTTCCCCTGTGCCCCAGGATATTTTGGTGACGCAAGCGAGCCCACGATATTTGAGTACGGTTGCCAGGAAACGTGGAGCAATGGCGACAACTATCGAGCATTATTCTGTGTAGTAACGGACAACAATCCATTTCTTGGTTTATTGTATGATTCTCCACCCACATTTGCAGGTGATAGCGTGCAATTTGACTCCCTGCAGGCAGGCGCGCCCAAATATGAATACCGGAAGAATGAAATTCGTTCATTGGTAGAAAACGACGTCAACAAAAATGGATATCGTGATAGTGTCGTTATAAAAACTGACCGTGCCGTATTGACATTACCCCAGGAGATTGGTACTAACGCATGCGCACGCTACGCTCCAGTTGTATTTCTAAGGGACTTTTCCACATGGTGTAGCTCCGAATTCTCAGAAATCATGTGCTCTAAAAAATCTTCTTGGAATGCCTTGGAATATCTAGTTCCTAGTACTGCGCGATCATGCTTGACCTCGCCTCAGGTTCTCAATTTGAACTCGACTGCGAACTCGTCCTCAGTTCCTACGCATGTCCAATATTTTTGTCAAAAAGATTCGACCGCTTTCGTGACAGAAGTTGGAAACGACTGGGATCTAAAGAGCGGATCTTTCAACACACAACAGGGGTCTGGGGGTGAATCCCATGATTCTCGTTGCGCATTCGATGATGGCGTGAGCAAACCACCTGCCCCAATCTTCGACGAAAACTCGAAGAGATGTTCGAATGTTGTATTGAAAGTGGCTTATGATTTCTATTGGAAAGGAGGCAAGATCGTGCAGCTGAGAGCCAGGATCGCTTTGGGTGATATAACGGCGTCTACAGGCAATGTAATCGTTGCGCAGCGGTTTTCAGTGAAATATACGCACCTTGCCACGGTTGATGCTACAAGACTTCCGTTTATTCAGCCTGTGGTTGAGGAAAGGTCAGGAAATCCTGGGTACATTAGGGGAAAGAAAGTGATTGCTAAGGTAACTCATGAACACAGCCGTCTCGTTCATATCCCCTGCGCTTGGGAACTTTTATTAAATCCCACGAATTTTCATTTTTTAGGCCAATCAGACAACCCAGGGTCACGTGAGTCTTTGGTCGACATCATCCACTGGTCTCTGCGCAGAAGCGAAGACCTCGGATCTAACGTTTGGTGAGAACAGTCACACAGGTTGTCTACTGAGACTTTCATTGAATGATTTCATCAACTGCACTTTGCTGAGGAACACGGTATTGGAACGTCAGCGAAATCTTGTAGGAGCATCTTTTGTGGCAAGGCGTGGAAACGCCACATTCAATAAAACTGACGATTGGGTGCCATTATTGTGAGTATTTGCTAAACTGTGCGGGTTTTTTTCATTTTGTTTCTCAATTCAACACTTGTTGTGATTTTAAAGGTCTGACACTGCTATTCAACCACCCAATGCAACTGTAAATCAATCTTCGTCTGCAACGACTGTGGAACAAACCGCAGGATCTTGCGACGAAATTCCATCCAATTTACGTTACGAGATCCTTATCAGACAGACTGGAATATATTACGGAACACCTCAGATGGAAATAGTTGGTGCCCGTGTCAGGTAATGAAGCTTATCGATCATCGTTTATGTTCGTGTTTAGAAAACTTATCAGTTACCATTTATAAATTCAAATGTTAATTTTTTAAATGTTAGTTTTTTTCGTCATTGCTAGGTGGCATATTTTGTTGCATATTCAAAACTATGGCTGTTTTTCGACAGGTATTTGTCTCGTATCTGGAAGTTTCAATGCTCTAGCGGGAAATGTTATGTCTGCAACGTTTCTAGAACAGAAAACGGTAACGAAACACGATGTACGGATATCATTCAATCATTTGCTGTGACAAGTTCTGTGGATTTCATAACTCTTTCTGACGATAACAAAACCCGAATGAAAAGGTGAGTGAAAACTTAGATATCTTTCAGAATAATCCAGGAGATACATTAGTATCGTTTTACAAAGTATTGTCATCGGTTGACCTGAACCTACCGAATTCTGTCTCTAATAAGTGCTTCATGGCTTATTTTCATTTGCCCTCTGCGACAGGTCACAAGATGCCAGCCCCATTTGTTACCAGGACGCGTGTCCAGAGGAGGTGTTCTACCCGCTGCTGACGTCATACGACGGTGAGTCCCGAGAGGTGGCGATAGCTTACGGTTTAATGCTCGTCGCCATTGTGCTGCTCATAACGAGCGTTTCAACGTCACTGCTGCAAAATTTGAAGTCCTTGACGATTGGGTAAAAAGATAACGTATTGAGGTTAGTCACCGTGCTGTGGTTAAATGTCTGGTTTCCTTCAGCTAATAGCTGTCCCTAGCCATCTGGTTACGTTCCTGATACAAACGGCCTTCCCTATGAATTAAAATCTGCTTGATACGTTGGTGTCCATTGCCGATAGGCCTCGCACCTAAACTGACTATTAACTGAGTCCGTATTTCGTCACATACGACTCGCGACCGTTCTGCAAAACTATGTCCTCGACAAGGATGGATATCCAAAGGAACTCCTCTGGAACATTGAGATTATCGTCTGGGCAATTTTTCTTTGAGAGTCAAATTATACGGCGTAATTTAGCAATCTGTACCTGTTGTTGATCTGAACTTGTGAGGTCCGAGTTAGCAGGTTGTTTGTTTTGCAAGTTAACCGCAAACCACTGCTTTTATAAGAGAGAAGAAATCTGTTTCATGTGTAAACAAGGCTGATATTCAGGACAGCTTAACGACATCTCGTGATGAAAACGACTGTTAATATCAATTGTTGTGTAGCGATTTGTATCTTCAATGTGGCCCATCACCTGGACCTATCATCATGTGTATGACATTGACGATAATAGCAATACCAATGACAATAATAGCAACACAGATTTTGCGAAACATTTATTTACAAAAATTATCGTTACCTAAATTTACATTAAAATAAAACAATTTTTCATATTGTTTGAATAAAGGCTTCCTCGCCTCGCCTCCTTCAATCTTAGCTGATGCATGAAACCACTGCACAATAAATAATATTTAATGCCTTAAAATCCCGTTATGATATAATTATCAGCAGTCCACTGGTTATGAGATGTATCTTATTAGTGCTTGCGTAAATTCTTTTCTTTGAGATGCATGTGTTTTGCATTGAGGTCCAGTTAGTCCACGATCATCCCTGCATCGCAGGCCATCCGCCATCGCCCGATTATATGAGGTCATCGGGGCCTGTTCAATGTCCTATTGTTTGAATCTGGATAGGAATGTCTGTAATAGTCGATTTGATTCGCTAGTAGATCCAGGTCCTCGCGCAGTTTTTGATTAGGATCCGATGGGTAACCTGGAACCAAGTATGTCATTAATGTCACTGATGTCAAGAGTTCAACTGGATTAAGAAACGTCTTCAATGAAATTGTACTAACCCTTGAAGTGATTTGCTGCATAATGTGGTATCCTAGATGTCCCAGGTTGTATCCTCGATATCCCGTGTGATCCTTCGCCATCACCACGAGACTCTGAATTTTCTTCGTGGGTAGCACTATCGGAGGCCTGCGGTTCATCAGCGGTTTCATCTCTCCTTGGTTGGTTAGCTTTATGTTTGGCAAATATCTTGGCATAAGACGATGGTTCTTTTGCTCGTTGAGGAATCTTAGACATTCTCACGCTGATGATGTAGAAAACAATAAACAGACAATAAGCCGGGTTTAGTAGCACTTCAGTGCAAGATCAACAAACCTTCCTAAACTCGGCGGACTCTGGTGGTATACGGTTCATGGAAACGACGGCAATTAATGTGAAAATCTCAAATACAAACCTTCTATTTGGACCATTCGTCTGTTCATTTGGGTTCCCCTCTTCGACATCATTATTTACCTTATCTAAAAAGTAATATTTATGTTAGATTATTCTATCAGTTCTAAGCTGACCTTTCCAAAAGCTCCAGAAAGGATCATATGCCATTGATTCATCTCACCTTGGGAAAAAGTCGATGATTTTGTTTCAGCGTTGCTGTTTTGTCTACTTTGATGTTTCGCCAACCACTCGACATCTTTTTGGATATTCAGTAAAGTCGGCTGCGGTCGTGACTGCCCGGCAGGTTTAGGCGCTTTCTCGGGGCTGGTCGTGGGATTTGATCTTGTTTTTCTCACCGGAGGTAAGCAGACGACACTGCTCGGGGTTGTGGCGTTACCAACATCCTTTGATTCACTACTAGTTGCTTTATCACTGTCGCTGACGCTATTGTTGCTAGGCAACGGCGATGTTCCGGGGGAGGTGAGTAGTTTCGGGTCGTCTGTTAATGATCTCATCCGCCCCAGGCCACTGGGTAAGCGGGACGATGAGGAGACAGCGCTGGAGCTTCGGCTACGAACATTAGAAAGAAATGAATCAATTTTTCGTATAGTAATTGGAAGAATTGAAAGACATCTGTGTTTTGACTGGCGATAAAACTCTAAAGCAGGATTTCATTCGCATTCAGACTAATGCAAGGTAATAGTGGATCAACAAGAGATGCTGCCAGTTGATGACTAGTAAAAAGTTAAAAGGAAACGTTGACAGATGGAGTCCAAACTCGTGTGTACCTTTCCAATTGTTCCAACTTCTTTACCAACATTTCATTTTCTCGTGAGATTACCTGAAAAGATAATAACAGATGATCCAACCTGATCAATATAAATGAAGCGTTTATTTTCTACAATCCTATGCTCTACATGAACTTACGATATTCTGTCTTCTCATTGTATCCCTGCTCGTGTAGAGATCACCATTCTCTGTCCTAGTGAGGCAACAGTCGAGACCATCAGATCAGTGGAAGATAACACGTAGCATTATTACTATGATTGGCTTTATGTCAGCAATTTTGGCTTTATGTCAGCAGTTTCTAATACTCAGGCTACCTTAAGTTTTCATTTTCCACCATGTACTCCTGAAGCATGTCGTAAAGTCCCGGAGGTAAACTAAATATATGAAAGATTATTGACTCAATGTCTAGTCATATCTCGTCGGTGTAGGTGGAGAACAATCCAGTTCTTGTTTCTAGATCAGCGAGACCTACCTGGCTGAACGTTCAACGGACATTGCCTGCCAAGGGGTTGGCGTTCTCTCTTCGTCCGTATCTGGAGAAGGTAAGAAGAATGTTTTGGTGTAAAACGTTTATACTTGGAAGATTTAATCTAGAACTGTATTGCATCTCTGTGGCCGGTTGTTCGAAAGGCGTTTAGCTTAAACGGTGGATAAGTTCAAAATGGAAAACAAAGAGCAAGTTCAACGGCAGGGCTGAAGCTATGTCCGTGGACCCAGAAAACAATCATTGATCGTGTATTAAGAATTGCATTTAATCCCTCTATTTCATGAAATTTGAGCGTGTAAGTGTGTGGATATTTTGTGTAGTGTTTGATCGTCTTAACAGTTTTATTACCAGTCGAAAGAGGAGTCTCTCTCAGGCTCTCCCCTCCATCATCAGTCCAGGGTTCAACGCTTGATACAGAGGCTGATGTAGGACGCGATGATGAAACGCCAAACTATAAGTGAAAGAAATTACAACATTTTTATATCTGTTGCTTGGCTTCTGTCAGTCATAGCAATTCCTCAGCTATCTTTCAGCTATCTTTCCCGTGGTTATTTTGCCAGGTACTTTGCCAACAACCAACACCTACCTGATTTTTAAAATACGAATTTTCTTTTCGTAATAGTTTAATTTCGCGTTTTAAACTAAGAATTAGTTTCTCCTTGGGATCCTAAACACGCCGGAGAATACGTTAGTTTAAGCAGGTGGGGAAAAACAAATAGTTTGAATTAAATTTTCAAGATGTGAAGGGATGAATCAATCTAACCATTTGAACGACTGGTTTATTTTTAATCTTCTTCGCTCTCTGTGCATAACGAAGGGTATTCAATGTGTCAGACACGGCGTAAGAGGAAGGTGATATGCAGGCAATCTATACAAGAAAGATGATCTTTCAGGATTCATCCCGTTGAAAGAGCGGGATGACGTGAAGAGAATAAGTTGGTTGTATTCTTCTTCGTTTACCATAAGCGTCATTCCATCACCACCAATGCTTTTCGCTAATAACTTGGTCAGTTTGCTGTCACGGTAAGGAATGTGTCCATTTCGTTTCTTAGCATCACTCAATGCTGATATGCAGTTACCTACACAACACGACATTTTTAAAGATGTAGACTTCGTTTTCGACTAGATTTATTGGATCTTTGAATGATAATGGTCTGTGTAAATATAACTACCTAAAGTTAGTAAACTTTTGTTGATGTTCTGTGATTCAGTGAACAATTCCCCAGATGATTTTTCGTTTCCTTCACTCGTTCGTTACCTGGGATATAAAACTTAGATATAATTCGAATTATTTTCAGCTGAAAACAAGGTTGATTTAAGTGAGAGATGCAGCTCTTTTTGAATGACGATGCGGCTCAAAGTTAGCGTCAAGTAGGATTCATGTCTATGACTAAACTACAGAGAAATGGTTGGTTTAGCCCTGGGCATGTCCAAAACCATCCTATGATGTAACCTGTCATGTAAAAGGGACAAGGTATTGCAGTGCTGTCCTAGTGCAAACCAGTTGATGTAATAATTTATACCCGCCAAATCAACAAAACAAAGTTTTCCATATTTCATGATGACAAAATCACCATCTTCATCTGCTTCGCTCTATAAGAGAAATATTTAGAAATGGTACTAATATTGTGGTGTTTCTTGAATGGTTGGTTAAACAACGCTTGCAGACCGCAAAAGACAGTTGTGTTAATTTGCAACTCACTGTTTCGATGTCCAGGTTCAGTGTTAACATGCAGTGACTTCGGCTGGAATGATCGTTGATGCAATGAGCTCTCACTTGACGATTTTGCAAACCTTGAAAGAAATCTCACAATGATTAGAATTATGAACGCATAACAAAACTGTGAAGAAGCTGGGAACAAGCGACATTGGCGTAGTTCTCTGCATGCGTCGGTGTAACTTGGACACCGTGGGGGTGTTTACCTTCTTCCAGAACAGCCATCAGATCATCCTCATTTTCACACGTGACACAAAACAAATCCTCCACGTAGAAGCCACGATCTGCTGACCAGCGGACGACGAGCGAATCACGTGAAGAAGACAGCTCCAACAAGTCTTGTACCTGGTGAAATGAAACCCAGTTCAGGGGTTCAGTGATAAAAGGCGAGATTTCAGAAGAATCTCAATGAGCTCCAAAACAGTTTCATAGTTCATACCCTCTCGTTGTAGACCTCCAGGTAAGATGCTTTCAATGTGAAAGATGCTTGTTTGCTTCTCATTTGCTTGATGAGATAACGGAACGATCTGAAACATGTAGAATACGAAATTTAAAGACTCGTGTGACTATAGTTACCATTGCAATGATCATGTATGTTTAAAAGAAAGAAAGGTGGATAACTTGAGTTCCATTGTGTTCACCTTTGCATCAGTCCAAATGAATCAGCTGATATTTGAAGAGCATTTCCATTTTCATCCCAATTGCTGCCCTGTGTTGTCAGGTATAAAATATTAGAAATTTGAAAAGAATTAAACGTGATTTGTGATTGCGAGAGAGAGTCATCATACCAAGTTCACTGGTCCAGTCAGTGTATAGGTCTTTCCTGATCCCGTTTGCCCAAATGCCAGCACAGTGCAGGAATATCTTGAGAAACATTGAAATATTTTTTTAATGACTGGATAAGAATGCAGAAACAATGGTAAAAATCTTGCATTTTGAAGCTTGGATAGCTCTATCCAACATTCGTACAGTCTCCAGCACTCAAATACAATTACTTTCAATTTCTAATGACACAAGCGACTGATCAATTAAAATATTGAATAGCACTCGTATAAAACGCTTAGAACCAATAAGTTTTTAAAAAATACTGCGTGTGGTTTATTTTACAGGCAGGCAATGAGAAGATAGTTCCGCGGGATTTTGAAGATGCGCATGTCGCTTGGTGAAGATGAAACCCGACAGACGATACCCTGAGGCGTTAGATGAGAAATATGCTTCTGCAGAACTCGTGCAAATATTGCGTGTTTCTCGACCCTAATACCACCAAACGATAGCCGAATATGTCCAGGTTAGTTCATCAAGTATTCCTTTTGTTATTCGGGTAGCTATTACTGTTAAATACTGCTTCAGGATATTATTCTATGGCTATGCAAGTCGTTAATATACAATAACCTTGTTCTTGCGCAAGAACCATGCTTTATTGTAGTAGTGTTTATATTTTATCAAACTATTTGTTTGTGGGATATAAGAGTTTTAGCGAAACAAGTTCGAAAACAGAGGACGCTATATCGATAAGTATTTCCGGCATTCGAATACGTTCAATGAGAAATAGCGAGCATAAAATTTAGAGCGTTTCTTCGTCGGTATTGTCTTGCTACAATGGCGACAATTAAAAGGTGAATCGTGGGTGATTTAGTATATTATTTGCAGTAAACTTGAACGTTTCACGCTAAAAAAAGGTGCATGCGTGAAATGTGATCGACATGAAGGATTAAACGGATTTTATTCGCATAATCTTTTTGTCATCTGAATACCATAATCTATGGTAAATATTTGTAGGATATTCCTGTGAGAGGGAAGAGATGCAAATGATGCCTACCCTTCCAGTGCCATGTCTATTAGATGTTTGATTCCACATTCCTCAAACACCTGAATAAAGAGAAATATATTTCATCTGAGGTGAACATTCATTGGAATGATTGCATTATGAGAAATATTACTGAAGAGCAGTGATTCAGACCTTTTCCTGGCTAGCGTTATGAGGAAGAACTCGGTTGAATGTGAATGGTTTGCTCTGACCAATATTATTGTCAATCTAAAAAAATGCAACCATTTTGTAGAATTTTATTACCATATGATATTCTGTGTCCTCTTACCCAACCAAAGAAAAGTACAATCCTTTTGATATTAGAGTAATCAATTTTCTCTCCTTGAAACCCCAGGGTGTCTGCTCAAAATGTGGGAGTTATCCTGCTATTTCCTGCAATATTCTCACTCACTTAGTCTAAACATATCATCTAACTCCAAGAAACTACCTCAATTGACAGTGCCAGATTCCAGAAGAAATTTTGAGCTCACTTATCAAGTTTATAGAAATGAAATATTATTTTAATATGAACTATAATATTCAAAAAGTTTTTTTGAAAATTTATGCCTATTTTTAAACACAACAATTTAATGGTAGTGTATTTATAAAAATAGTTAAAACAGGTTGCAAAGTGCTGGCTAATGACTATTATTCAGTATAAATAAGGCAATTAGTTCAGTCTAAACTAACCCATATAGCAGCCCCTTCATCAGGGACATTGACAATATCCTGATCTTTGCGTTGTTTTTCAGGTACACTCAACGGCCGCACTCTGCAAGTGATCAAAACATTCTCATCAAAAGGGGTTTCCATTCTCCCATAGACATCTTACCACAGTCAACCGTCACAGCTCAAACCTTGCAAGGTATTGTAATCATAAATCTTTTCCAAAGACATTAATTTGTGGCTTGACATTATGTTAGCCTATAAATCTGTTAATTATGATGGGTTTCGGGTTGAAGATTACATGTAAATAATCCAAACAGCTTAAACATAATTGCAATTAGTGATATCTTGATCTTTCAATGTTTTTTATCAGGAATGCAAATCAATTATTGTACTAATATTAGGTACAAGGGGGCAGATTTAAAGTATATTTTATAAACCATACATCACCTTACAACCACATGAATATTATCACCATTGCTTCCACTGTCTGAGCGGTCACTATCTTCAGTTGTTGGTGATTTAGGTGAAGTTGAACCAGTTTCCTTGCTGGAACTTAAGAAAGTACAGCAATACAGAGTTTATTATATATTTATATGCCATAGTATAAAATTTGCATTATTTGCAGTCCTTTTGTAAACGGGGATATTTATAGCGGCGTTATTGTGTAATATCTGATTTAGTCCGAAACAATATTTTGCCAGCTGGCAATAAAAAAAGGCAATATTATCGGCAATTAGTCTAAATACAACAGATTGCGGTTGCTAGATAATTCATAAGTTGGCCAAAAAGAAGGATTTCGTAGTCAGTATCTTTTTAAAATTACAGATCTATACGCTCAGAGTTACTGTAATGTATTATACAAGGTAGTCTCAAAAAAACAAACTTTAAATGAAATAAAACGCGATCAATTTTGCATGGGTAATCTCGGCCGTCTCACGGACCTGTCGTGTTTTTATAAACAACTACATGTTTGCATCCGTTTTAAATACACAAAACACGCAAACCTGTGCTTTATAAAACTTTAAGAAACGAAACGTAAAGAATAAAAGTACCTTTGGGCAATGCCATTAGCTATTTTCTCTCCGTACTCATGCGATGGACCCGCAATGTTTTTTAATCCACTTGGTCTTTTAATAGGTTTCGTTGTTGTGGTGGTAGCTTTAGGGCTTTGGCTATCTTGCATCACGCTGTGAAGCGTTTATGTTCTGCGGAAATACAACACACGACCGCAGTTCCACACACACGGTTTAAGTAGGTTCACAAACAACGGTGGAGCTCTTTGTTCGCGTCGACATGAAAGCAAATAACGGGAAACCATCTGTAAACATGATTTATACAAAGCACAAATTAGCTTCGGCCGTGTCCTGTCTCCTCCCTCCCGACAGTTTACACGCGCATTTCAACTGAACAGTACTTCAAAAACGATTTAAAAAACATCTACCTGTACATGGTCGTTTATCAATATAGCTTTTCACACACGATTATAGGCAGTAATCTTTTCTGACGAAGCGACAATAGTGGTTGTTTTACGCACCCATTGATAAAGTATATTAAACGTTGCTGCGTAGCAACCACATACCGCTACAATACAATGTTTCCTTAAAATTTAATTGTCCTTTATTATTTCACAACCCAGACAAATATTATGTTTACTTTTGATAGCTTTGCTCAAATTAATCTGTCGGAAACTGTCCAGAATGCTGATTTCAATCGCATTGCAATTTTTAAATAAAACCTTGCCTACCTTGTTTGTCTTGACCATTTTAATGCCATCGCTCATCAAGTGGTAACCCCCTCCTGGTTTTACGCGTTTTTGAGATAAAACAGGGGGGTGCTCTGGCTGTTATTCTATATTTGTGGTGGCAAAGGTCATTCAGACCCCCTATTACAAAGTTCCAAGCAATAAAAAACGATTTTAAAAAGCCTTCAGCAAATCTGAGAATTCGGCATTTGTTTACCAGAATGTGTTTGCACGGTTGACGCATATTGAAATTGTTATTTTTCTAGAGAATACCTGAACTGAGTCAAACTCCCTCACACACAAATTCATTCAATAAAACATGTTTTATATAATTTATATAATACAGAAAGCTAAGCTTTACAATTTAGAAAAATAATTTAAATCGTATATAACAGTCCGTCTATCCACAGTTAATAGAAGATCATAGCCAAGTGCAGCAAGTTTTTCTCACCCCGGTCAAATTAGTTCTAACCGTTCTTTTGCCTTTGTATAAATGAAAACAGCAAGAATTATCTGGGAAAATACACTATTGAATACACCTTTTGGACTTTAAAAGTCTGATCGTGTTCATCGCTGCTGAAGGTCAACACTCGCTCGTTCACATAGTTTAAGAAACTCGTCCTGAAAAAACAATGTTTACAGATTTATTGAACTGTGGTAGTGTGGTATTTTTAGGTGGGGAATGGTAATTTGACGTTGCTAACTGTGTTACTGTTGTACTGGTATGTTAACAGCCGCGTGCAATGATAATGGTATGGTGTACTTTATCACCAACCTGTTTCGATAACTGTCTCGCCATTTTCCGTCCATGTTGAAGTAGTTCCGCTATAGACTCCTCTTTGCTTCTCAACTCGTTCAATTTCGTTTGCAACGCTTCTTCAAGCGCTACGCAATTGCGACATTGCTCGGGCTGTTTCTAAAAGCAGAAACCATATTTATCGAGAGATTAACCGCCTCCCCTGTCACTCCCATTTCTAACAACCCCACCTCCAAAATTAGATGGTAAACGGTGTGTTCACCACATCGTTCATTACATTAGTACAACCAGAGACAATCCAAAAGACATTTGGATTTTCTATGGTACAACTCACTTGTTTCGTTAAGGCGCGTAGTTTGGTTTTCAGCAATTCTGTTTCGTCCGTAACTCTCGCCAGCTCTTTCGTAAGTTCGTCCAACTGTCGTTGTCTTTCCCTGCAAACATTTGCGCGATTTAGTTTTTCACAGTTATCGTAAAAAGAAATCGTTGCAGAGCCAGTTAGAAATCCCGTTTCTTGTCAAATAATTCAGAAGTTGATTCACCAATATGTGAGAAATGGTAATGGAGATTTCTATAGGTCTATGTCATACTTTGAATTGTTATTCATTGCAGATTCCAACTGCATTTTAAACATAGAAATTTTGGCATCACGTCCAGCCAGTTCCTCCTTGTGTAACTGCTGGAATTCCAACAATTTTGCTTGGTTCTAAAAGAAATTAAAGCTTACATAATGTCTTAAATCTCATCCCAGACAATTTTTCATTTCTACTGCAAGGGTATACTTGAACATAGGGCCTGTCACATACACATACCTCTTTCAAAATTGCTTCTATTTTTTTATCATATTTTGTTTTTGTTTTTGCTAGTTCTTCCCTCATCTTGTCCGTCTCTTTTGACCGCTCTGTTATCGCTTCTTTTAGACCTTTTATTTGCTCATAAAAACTTTCAATTTTGCTTTCGTGTTGTGCAATAATTTCTTTGTGTTTTTGTAGATTCTGGTTGTATTCACCCTCCTTGGGAAATATAATGTAAAATATGGGAGAATTGTAATGATTTTGTGGTGAATACAAAGGTAAGCAAGAATTATTGATAAAATGCCAAAACTGGTTGTCATGGGTGAAGTGTCTCTTCCATGTTATTTATAATATGAAGGAGATTAGTTGAACATACTTTTTCATCTAGTTTCTGTTGTAAATCATTTATCAATTTGTTTTTAAGTTTCAACTCTTCTCGTAACTGACTTGTCAACTTTTGTAAGGACATGTATTTCTGGTATAGCTTCTGGAAAGCAAATATAGAAGAAATTTTAAGCAATTTTTGATTAGAGCAAAAGCAAAGCAAGTCATGCCAAGTTGACAAGATGCGGGCTCATTTCCACATCTAATTTTGGCCAAGCCTAATATCATCTGCAGTTACACAGAGTAACATATCTTATACTACTATAATATGCCTGTAATAGTGAACATTGCTTGCATTTATATGGGTCAAATAAGGCTGCTTTTCAATAAACTGGCAACATCAATGTTGACCAGTGAAGGTGCTTGCAGTCTGTAACCATAACAACAGCAAAAAGTAACAAACTTGTAGCACCAACTGCAATACCTCATAATCACGATTTGATTGCAAGCCATCACAATTCTTTGCACTTCCAGCCCCAGGTCTGTTTGATCCATGTATAGTGTAGCCTCTGACCATATCCAGTGTCCATTTTAAGTCAACACTCCCCCGTGGGCTGACAGACACACACCGTGGGGAGACAGGTGGCAATTTTGTAGTACTGTCGGACTTTGCCTTTGCATGAAGGGAAGTTGTGCTAACGCTGGACGATTTCAGGCCTTTTACTGTCGGTTTTAAATCCGTTCGTATTCTTGACATTACGATATCATATTGAACTATAAAACCACCAACTTTCGCTCGCAAAAGCAACGACCCAGAGTCGCTAGGCACCGCAGAAAGTCAACGAGGTAGAGAAAAAGCCACCCATATAAAAGATAGTAAAAAGGCTATAGGAATATGTTCATATCTTGTCACAAATCACTCCAACTTCCTAAAGTTTGCCTTGAGTTTCTCCATAAAAAGCACAGCGTAATAAAAACAGCAGTTGACACGTATTTAATAATTGTTTACATACAATAATTATGCACAATTTGCAAACAGTAATTTTGATTTTATGAAAATTTGCATTCGTGTCCTTTGGTCACGAAAGTCTCGAAAGAGATTGAGGCGAGCTCGAAGAGGTACAATAATAGCACGAAAGAGTGAAATAAAACACGAAACGAGAAAAACGAGAACGAAGTGACATTTTCACGCACGTTTAAAAAGCCTTAAAATGTGTTGGATACTTAAGTCATCTAATATGAATGAAATCGTTCATCACTCATTCAGCAATTAATCTTCGATGAAACAGATACTGATTTGTGCAATTACAGGATGGATAAATAATATATATCTTAAGTTGCAGTGTTGTCAGTTGTCACGTAACTATAGGATTAAAAAGTATGCATTTATTTCATGCTTTTTACATTATTATGTTTCAAACACAACACCCCCAATTTCAGTATATAACGAATGCAATACATTCCGGGCAAGATTAGTATTTTATATCTGTCTTAAGCTTTATTATAGTTCTAGCTCTGGTGGTTTTAAATAGGGTAATCTTGCTTGCGTTTTCTTGCGATGTGCTCGCTTGTGTTGCTGTCCCTCCGTTCTGTTCACGTCTCGTTTTACAACAGTTTTTGTAGCTCCAGTCAGCGTCAAGTGGGGCAAATGTGGAACGCCAGTTAGGAACGAGCTTCCCTCCTTTCTTTCGTGAATTCCGCGCGTCCGAAGTACGTGTTTGGGTGGAGGTCTCAACTGTGGTAAACCTGTCAAGCAAATCTTCTTCTCTGGTACTCTAGATAAAGTAAAGCCCGTAGGCATAGCTAAGAAAGAGTGGTAGCAAAACTGATTGTCGTACTTGGCTTTCATCTCTCCAAGATGTGTATAAACGTGTTTGCGTGATCAAAAAGATGGTTTATGCTATCAAAGCTACTTATTTTGATAAAAAAAGATCAAACAGCTTCAGGGATTTGATATATTTAAGAGCTCGCTCGAGCAAACCTTCAACAACGACCTTCTTAAGTTCTTAACTCTATCACGTATCCTTAGTGAGTTGAACTAAACTTTCACTAAACACAGGCTGTGCATATTAACAAATTTCAGCTAGATCAATTCAGACTTAAGCTTATCATGTTCTTCAAACTGAACAACAGAACAAGCAACTAGGCTGAGTAATTCTCTCTCAAAACTTTCCCGCAATTCTCCTCCGAGTGCGGTTGAATTCCTCTCAATCATTCTCTTGTTTTTTTTTATGCATCAAATAATAGAAGGCTAGAAGCCTGCCAAAGTGATTAACATTCTTTTCAGCATTACACCGAGCCAAAAGGTCAGGGAAACATGCTCAAATTCCTATTCAAGCTTTAAATATCGTAAGAAATTTCCAAAACCAAATCTAAATTGACAGTGATGAACATTCACATCGTGTTTGTTCGCCCATTGTTTCCAACTTGATCGCTCACGATAAATTGACAGTTGCTTCTCGAATCATGTTGTCTGCTTTTTGTTTGCTCATTAAGAGCGTGATCACTGCTAAATATTTAATGAAAAATGTCAATCTTGTCCTACTGACCTTATATCAATAAATTTTGAAAAATTATCATCTTCCGTGATCGATTTTGTATTGCGATGGACCTGGAAATTGCCTTCCTCCCAGTCCAGGGACGCGTTTGCGACCGTGTGCTTTTTGCGATATTCGTCAATGTATTTCTCCGCATCTGAAAAATGATGAAATTTGCCTTCCTCAGACGGATTGGTTTTGAATTTCATTCTGTTCACAACGCTATGTTGTGTCTGTGATTGCGTGTATTTGGTTTTTGATCCACTTTCCACGACTTTTTTCTCAATTGGAGGTAAATGCCAGCCGCAAATATGACTTTCCCTCTCCATAAAAGTCAACCAATCTGAGTTGTCCCATAAAGAAATAACACTCGCAAGCCAGTTGGCAACCGTTTGCTCGTAATGTAGATCTATCTGGATTCGTTGTTTAAAAATTCATTTGCCAATTTAGATAGAAATACGGTGATTAACAGCTTGTGTGATTCATATTTGTCTAATCATTACCGCCAGTTTGATCAGTGTACGCGCAGTTTTAATGCCCTGGGTTTGTTTAATTTCTCAGCTTCGCGTCTCTCAGTTGTCATGTTGCATGATATTAAACAAAATATTGTAACTTGATATATTATTTCCTGCTTCAAATCGCATTGAGGTAGTGATATTGACGTCTTGTTATCAACCCTAGCCCACGTGCATTCTTTTTTGCAGAAATCGCAAAGTGATACGATCCAGCAATCGTAGATCATCAACAAAAATATTCTTTAAAATCTTACCCCAAAACGAAGAAATATTTTTGACCAAAAACGTTAGGTCCTGATAGATAGGTTTTTGATAAATAGACCTGGCAACCTTGCACGTGATGCACATGGTTGGTTGGTTGGTTGGTTGGTTAGGGGCATTTTGGTGGTCGATTTTTAGGTGCCTAATGTTACAGGGGTGCCCCCTTTCCCTCCCTGTAGATTCAGAGCAGGCATGACGGGTGCCTATGGACTGGACCCGAACTATAATGATTGTTTCCATGGGAACGCAACTGTTTCCATGACAACGGTGCTTTTTCAAAATGGTGGATTTTTAAGTTTTAGGAAAAAGGAGTGAATTTTTGCAAAAATGTCAACAGAAAATTCTTTTTCAGCTGGTGAAGGAGAAGGACACGAGTCTCCCCGTGCATCCCCAGTCACACCGAAAAGCTATTATGACACTGCAGCGTTTGATGAGATGAAAAACAACGACGAGTTGAATGAGTCTCTCAAAGGAAACAGCGCTCTTGTGAGTGGTTTGAAGTAAATGTTTTATTTCTGTTGCTGTGAACATAAAATTAACATATATGTACAATATCGAGAGTCAAATTTCAGTTAGTCTACTATAAATAATGATGGATATTTCTTAAAACATTGCACTCCTAGAATCTTGTTTGGTCATTTGGTATCAACAGAAATATTCCAGTTCACAACATATCTGACGCCAATCGACAGGTTTGCAAAACTAATAATTTTTTTTTCTTACATTTTATATAAGAAATTCACAAGATAACACTCCATGCTTTTTAATATCCCAGGCGGTGTTTTATGTCACAGCCCATACAGGAGTTCTCTATGACTGCATCACCAACAGACAAAAGCTTCTGCAAGGCCACGTAAGTTATACAACTCTTGTATAAGGGTTAAATGTTTCTAATGTTATAAGAGTTTGTTCGATACAGCTATTGTTAAGCAGCTTGTATAATATTTAAAGGTTGTAGTTCTAGTGAAGCACCCTCCTATTTGTTTAGTGCAATGACCTGTCCTGCACTTGTGTTAGTGCAAACAAAAGATGGCTGGTGACAGCAGACGCTGGTGATGATTCCATGATCATTATATGGGACTCATATTCATGGTATGACAAAGATGATTCAAGGTTTGATGATATAAAGGTTTGATGATCTTGCAATGAAATTAATGTTATTTTTGTTGTAGTATTCCTGTGCGGACAATATTTGACCCACATCCTGGAGGAAGCATTGCTGTGTGTATGACAGCTGATGCAAAGTACATTGCAACATTGAGCAGCTCCAGTCCGCAAGTGAGTCACCTTAACACCTTGAGTCAGTCATTGTGAGGTGTTTGCAAATAATTTTTATTATATCTGAAATTATAGAGCATAGTCGCATTTGCGTAACAATGTTATTATTCTTTTAGGTGATGTCGATCTGGGATTGGACAACTGAAAGTAATGATCCTGTCTGCTCTCTGACGCTCAGTGAGGAATATGGCATTCAGGTTTGTCTTTGAAAACTATATATATACTATTGATACATATCACATGTATGTAGGTTTCTCAAGATAGCTTGTTAATTACAGAGTTAACATTGTCTTGTCAGTGTTTACTGCATCTAATATACAAAACACTTTATTTTGACTAGAATTTCATTGCGTTCAGCTCTGAAGATTGTCAACAACTAGTCAGCAATGGTCATGAAAGAGTAGTCTTCTATTTCTGGGTAAGATAGACAAAAATCATGGGCTTATTCATGCTGTAAATGATTAGATCAAACATCACGCCTCTTTGTTGACAACAACTTCCCTTTTAGGACAATGAAGTGATTCACCACTCTGCTCCACCATTAACTGATGAGGTTAGAAAACACATTTTAATTATCTGCAAACCAATAAATACTTTGATCTTTTATAGTATAAACTGTTTATTCTTAGAAGTTCAGACTCCCCAGTTAGGATCATATATTTCTCCACCAATTGAACATTCAATTTTGGAAATCAATTTCTTCTGTGCAGGATTTCAACAAAGTTGTGGGTTTGTTTAGTCAATCAGTGTTTCAGCCAAAGTCAAGCAAGGTTTTGACTGGTACAAGCGTTGGAAATATTGTCGTGTGGGATGTCGTTGCTGGAAATGATATGCCTTGTAATAGAAAAGCCTTTAAGATTGTCCGTCTGCAGGAGAAGGGGATTAATGTGGTCACAATAGTTGACAGGTGAGATATGGTGGATAATAGTGGATATAAGTTAAGGGAAATAAAGTGTACCAATGTGTATGTTTCTTAGTTATATAGTAACTGGTGATGTTGTTGGTCATGTCAAGTTTTTGGATCTAGAACTACGCTTACTAAACTGGTAGGTTTGAATGGATAAAGAGGAATGTCTGGGAGTAAGAGGGGTGTGATTTGGAGGACTTTGAGGGGTAGTGCAAGAGAAGGAAGAAGATTGTGACTGTACCACATTCTTTCTGCAGGTACAATAAACTAGGAGGTGGTCCGATCATCTCAGTGTCGTTCTCTCACGAGCAGATGAACGAAAGCATGTCAACGAGTCCTAAACATCCTCGCTCTGCCACACTCGAAGGAGACCCGTTTGTTGTAAATGACTTCGTTTTTGGAACTGAAACAGCAAATGTTGGACTTTACAAGACAAGAGAGAATACTAACCAGGTTTGTTGGCGTTTGACCATTTGTCCAGGTTTGCCTGAACTGAGATAGCTACGAAAGATAGATATTACATTCTGCGTTATTCTATTTCTGTATTAGTGTATTTGCGAGTGTTAAAAACAACATGTTATGATTTTAGTTTATTCTGAAGCAACATGATGCACCTATCCACGCCATCGCCGCTCATCCCAAAGAGTAAGTTCCATCTTGCCAGCTGTTGCATATCATGATCATGATAACACTGGGCCAGGGATTCATTGTCAACTTCTTCTCAATACAGGGCCAAGATTTGTATTGGAGGATATTCTGGATCTCTTCAACTATGGGACTATGAGAAAAAGTAGGTTACCTTGTTAGATCATTATATATCTTATCATATATCAACGTGGTTTACCATTACAGTAATCATTCTACTCCTTTCTAAGCCATAATTTCAAATCTTATTTCATCTGCAAAATTCTTTCCAGACAACTTGTGATATCTCGTTCATTTGGTTCCAAAGTGATGATCCAGTGTCTCCAGTTCAACCCAACGGGCAGTTTACTCGGTAAATTAGTTTGCATCGCATGGCATTTTAGATCTATCTCTTCAAAAGATCTTGGCAGGTCGACGTCACTTCTTTCTTTCTCCATTTTTGCTATAAAAGAATCGAAATAATGCATGGTAGAGGCCGACCTGATTTAAGAATTCTCCCAAGACACACCTGAAGCCACGAGCGCAGTGGTAAAGTACGACTAGATTACAATATATTACTATATTTCAGCCATGGGCGGTACGGATGGAAGTGTCCGAATACTTGATGCAAGAACCCTTCTTGAAGAGGGAGAGGATGATGGCGTGGCAGTTTTCAAACATTGTCATGACTGTATCACTCATTTGACGTTCTCTCACGACTCCAAATATCTCGCCTCTGCTGTAAGTATTTTGAATAAAGTTTATCGACCCGCTAGTCAAGAATCCACGGTGATCATTGCAGTACTTCTATATCTCGTCTCGCCGTCCTTTTCTCGGTGATTATTCCGTTTTCTCTGAAATTCTAGGACCTTGATCACTGCGTCACCTTGTTCCAAGCAATTCCTGGAAATTTCAAAGAACCCTGGTTATATCTTGGAAAACAGCGAGCTCACTACAAAAGAATAAGTGACATCACGTTTGGTGTGGCTCTGGACTCTGACGTACCTCGTCTTCTGTCCTTAGGGGAGGACAGATTGATGGTAAGATATCTGCTGGGGTGGATCTCATATAGTTTTATTACATCACGTTTTAACCTTTTTAAACCTCTCCAGGTTGAATATGATGTCATCAACAGTGGTATAGATGACGTAAGACTGATCAGTTCAGATCGTATTGAGCAAAGTGCTGTCCCGACATGCCTTGCTTGGTATCCTCCTGTCGTAAAGGAATCGTTTCTGGTCGTCGCTAACGATCAGGTTTGTTGCAATTTCTCGCTAAAATCAATCTAACTTTGCAAATCTGGATTAATAGGAGATGATCCTTACTAGATCTCCTGGAAAAACAGTTAAAACTGATAGAGATATATAAATAAAGTTAGTTTAGTTTAGGTTTCCTCCTGTAGTAACACTGGATCAATAAGAGATGATCCTTATGATACCGTAGGTCAATCCTGTTCACCAATTATTTTTCGTTTTTCTCTCCGTAGTTCAAACTTAAGTTGTACAATTCAACGACAAAAATGTGTAGAAAGACACTACTTGGTCCTACATACGGATCACCTCTCAGAAAGTAAGATTTTACACCAGCATTTACTTCGACATTCCTCAGCAACAAATGTCGTTCATACCCAGCGCTTTCTGCCAATGATATCACAGGAAAACTGGATGATTTTTTCTCCATAGGTTGGTGATGCTGCCGAGTGAGAATGGCTGCGGTGGTCAACATTACATGGGATACATCACTGAGAATAAGGTGCCTTATATGATTGTGCTAAAGTTTAAAATAAACGTCTAATATACCTTTCTAATAATGACGTCAAATACAGCATGCTGTTACACGAAGTTTGATTGGCTCCGTGAAATTAACGAGCCAATCAAAACTTCGTATCGATTCAGACTTCCCGCGTTTGACGTCATGGTATACACCATATTTAGGTTGGTCTCCAGATTCTTCCACTTGATGGAAATCCTCATAAAGCAATGGCGTTGATAGCTCATCCAAGTCATGTGAGTAGAATTCCTTTTAAACAATATTCTGCCAAGGATTGCCTCCAATCAATAAAGAAGAAAGCATTTTCCAACGAGCTAAACGTTTTATGCACCACTGGCAATGTTTATCGTCAGTATTTCAGGAGTGTTTTCCAACACACTTATGTTGCTTTTGTGAAGCTTCATATTGTTTTAACCTGTCGCTTTATTGCTGTATTTTTCTCAGGTTTCCAACGTTGTGTCCTCGTATGATGGCGGTTACTTGTTCACAGCTGGAGGTTGTGATTCGTGCGTGGTGATGTGGAAAGTGAACTCTGAGTACGTGTTTCATGTTACTGATCCAGCAAGGAGAATTCGGTGAATACAGTCACATAGTTTATCTTCAATTCATAATCGATTGTTTTTTGATATTGTTCAGATCGTTGGAGGCGTCTTCTCAGTTGGGCGGTGAGGATCTCGAACCTTTCTATGAATTGTTAGAAGGTGGTCGAGACGGTGAACTATTCCAAGAATTGGAAGATTACTTCTACTACGCACTTCTGAGAAGCCAGAACGTGGACACGATGGAAAAGCGCGAGACCTCCACGAGAATTCCTCTGTCTCAGGTCCCATTCGTGATGCGCGCTCTGGGTTATTACCCGACCGAGCAGGAGGTCGATGATCTTATCAATGAAGTGAAATACAGTGAATATGTCGACACAGGGAAATACGTGCAAGATGTTGACCTGGGAGAGTTCATCAGGTGTAAGTAGAATTGCTTTATTCTCTTCCTATACACGCCATACGTCTGTGCTTCGTTTGTCATTCGAATATTTCTTCAAAACACAAACGTGTTTGTTGTAATGAAGGTGAAATTTAGGTGCATTGCTATAAATAATGCGCTAACCTGAGCGCTAATCAAATAGAATCATGTTAGGTTGCCTCAAATATACGAGGCTGAAGTTAGGGACCAGTCTTGGAGCATATGTTTCGGGGCCTCCGTGCATTGTAAGCTATTAAACTCACTTGATTTTATCATTTTCTGTCCCTAAACTCAGCAAAACTAATCCTAACGTACGTTAATTGTAGTGTACGTGAATCACAGACCAGTGTTTGGTTTGTCGTCAGCCGACCTGGATGACGCATTCACAAGGCTTGGTAGGAAGAATAAAGATGGCACTGTCATGATTCAGAGAGACGCCTTTCTGTCTGTCCTTCAAAACAAAGGTACGTTTCGAAACACGTCGGATTTTAGTAGAATCACGTCCGCAAATGCAATAATTTTTTGATCGATTTTTTTCCGTCAGGCGAACACATGACTGAAGGTGAATTATCGGAACTACTGTCCACCCTTCTCGGAATTGCAGATCTTGGTGGAAGCGCTGAGGTAGGTGGTGTTTCTCAGAAAGAGAACCTCATTAGTTTATTGAAAACACACCTACCGGAGAGAATATCTGCGGACATGTTTCTTGGTAAAGTTCTGGGCTTCGGGGCAGCCAGCGGCGAGCGATGAATTTGATAAATGTTGGTTTTCGTTGCACACGGATTTTGCGCCTTGTTCTCGATTGAACTCGTTTAAAGTGAAGTGTAAATGTTCATTTGTAAAATATTCTTTTAATACCCGAACAATGAATGGTTTAATTTATAAAGTAAAAGCTAAAGAGATATTCATAATAGTGTAGAATGATACAAATAACAAAATCACTGTTTGAATTAACGCAGGCAAATTTAATGTCATAATTTTGAATATTCTTAATATATGTAAAGTTAAAGATATATTCAGCATCACACACACACAAGCAGGCATTCACTTTTACGTATTTCAATATTCATCATTTCCATCCTATTTCGTCCATCATTTTACTCCTCAAAGTACCTCCTGATCTCTCACTTTCTTCCACACCAATCTTTAGCGGTGCCTGCAATATTTTCTTGAAAACTTTTCTACCTTCGTCGTGTTCTTTCAAAATCCTGTGTTGATCTTCCTTACCCCTCATTTTCGTATTTATCTCTTCTAGTACTGCTCTATTCCTCCATCCACCCCTTGTCATCCTAGCAATTCCTTCAGTCTCCTCCATTGATCTATCCTTCTGGCTTTCAGACTTTTCAGTACTCGCTTCTATCCTCAGTCCACCCTGCCTTTCCCTTTCTACGCTATGACTGCCTACTTTGCCGTGTTCTCGTATCTCCCCTAGTATCATATCATGTACTCCTATTATCCCATGTTCACCCTTCGTATCCCTTGCTATCAACATATATCGTAATTTACCCTGTCTGCCTCTTTCTCCTCTATCCTTGGTTAAATGCTTATTGTCACTTATTCCTCCAGCTGTGCCTGGTCTATAATCGTCTACAATTCTTCTTTTGCCCTTCATCAACAACCTGCTCCAAAAATTTTTGAGACTTCCCACTGTCCTCCCCCCATATTCAGAGATTGTCTTCCCCCCATATTCAGAGATCTTCGTCCCTCCAACTTCAGAGATCTTCTTCCCTCCAACTTCAGAGATCTTCTTCCCCCCAACTTCAGAGATTTTCTTTGCAACAGCGTCAAGAGCTTGCTGCTGATTTCTTTGTTGCGAAAGTCCTGCCTTAGTCGACTTCACGTTTACTTCAAGTTCATGTATTTTCCTGTCAAGAAAACCAGATTTTTCATTCTTCTCCACAAACCCAGACGAACTCTGTGTATTATTCTCTGCTGTTTTCCTGCCATTTGATCCAGCCATCGCTTTTATTGTTTCATAATTTATCAACAGATATCCCATCTTTCTTCGTCCGTCATCTAAACTGGAGTTTCGCTTCATGTCTTCTGTCTTTGAGGCGCTTGTCTTGTGATCTCGTTCGTCTTCTGTGCGACCAACCTCGGCCAAATCATTCACAATGAACACAAGAAGATACAAAGTGGCAGATCGAAAGAACAGCCTCATTTTGCCTTTTGTAAAAGGAATAATTCACAAATGGATAAACTGTATCGATGTCTTTGCTGTCGAGACCCTTATGAAAGTGTAACTTGTTGAAAAATGAATTATCTTGATGCTTGGCTGTTCACTTCGCTCTGTCTGCGGGTTCCTGGCATTTGGTGCATTTTAAAAGAAAGTCGGGGTGTGATCATTAGAAAATACGGCATCATTATCTCATACGGCAGGTGTTTTGAACAACACACTTAGAATATTGTGTTTGTTTTGATCCAAGCTATTAACACTTTCGCCCCGCCGTGGTTTTCACATTTCTGCCCTAATGAGGTTTGATGATTTGTGGATTTCCTCCTGTTACTTTAATCAAATGTGCAAATTAGTTTTCTCAAATGAAAATTCAATCAGCAAGTCGCAAAGTCTTTTCGTTTAAAACGTGCGAAAATGATGTCTTGGTGTAAAATCGAGTGGTTGTGTTACGCTCGTTCCACACCGCCATGGCTGAGGTGAGAATTATATCAACCTGGTTGTAAATTAAATTTAAATGACCACGTGCAAAACTATTGTCGGAAGGAAGACTGCTGTTCAAACTCGTTATCTGGATTCTAGACAAACGCTTGCCTGAGAAATACTTTCAAATTTTATTTTACGAAAGTTTTCTATTTTAAAATTATTATCATTTTAAATTGAACAAATTGTTTAGTTCGTCATATCTATACTAGAACGTGATTATTATATATATTTGAGTAATTTGACAATTAGTCCTACGAGGGATTAAAGTTTTAATGTCGATGATATTTTTTATTCCTTTCCACGGCTTGTCTCCTATAAGCAAAGATAAGGTTAAAGAAATTAAGATATTCCTGTTAATACATTGAGATCAGTCATCAGTGTATACCTTCATCTGTTTTCCGCTTGTTTCAATCGGCAGCAAGGCCGCTGCCACAGAACACGCGAGGGCGCAACCAGCGTAGACCAATAACGTCAGCCGTAGTGATCTCTTTACTAAAACCTAGAATGAAACAGTTATCGCAATAAGACTCGTTTTGCAGCTGAGCAGTTCCTCGCAGTTTAGAACTGATAGAACTATTGAGATGTACGACCAGTGTGTTTGGGTTTCCCGGCTTTGCCCTGCAGTTACCTGGGCTAAAAATGGCGTTATTATACATCCGATTCGTGCCATAGCAGAAGCTGTTCCTAGCCCCAGGCCTCGAATATTTGTAGGATAAACCTTAAAACATACAGAACGTGAAATTTAATTATATTATCAGCAAATCCAATTATCACCTCAAGGCGTAGCATAGGCTGCTTAGCGCAAAGACTAACACATTTTGGAAGCTCTGAAGACTAGTAATATATCTATTCATTTGCTCTCAATGAAGGAATGGTGTAGACCTCACCTCCGGAACATATATAAAAAGCGCTTGGGTAACTCCAGTAGAAAAATAACGAACTCCAAACACAAATATTGTTGTCATTGTCCTTGAAAATGGTAAAATAGGATTGTAAAACAAAAATACTGACCACAGAACTCGTGTTCACAGCCAAAGAGATGGCTAATATAAACAACAAAGGCTGACTTACTCTCCGTTGCATAACATAAGTAATAGAAACAGCACGAAAGTACAGCCAAAACCAACCACTAATGTTTTAATTCTACCAATGCGATCAATAAACAACATGACAACAAGAAGACCTGTAAAAATATATGTGAGTTCTCTTTCACTCTCTTTCTTTAACCTGTCATTGCAATACTGATACCTTAGAACTACCTTCTGGTATTAATACTAGCCTGACAAGACTAGTACTTACTGCTTTGCAATGTTTCATTCAATGTTTCTCTTTCAACCTTCCTCAATGTCAGTTGATCATTGCAGAACTGCTAGCTAGTCTGACTGAGTGTTGACTGTTGCTACTAATACCAGCCTGACTAGTCTAGTACTTACTGCTTTGCAATGTTTTATTATTTTCCATTCCTCACGGGAATCTTTGCACTTTGAATTTTCTTTCCTACCTCAATATTGTTGTACCTGGTATATCAGCAAATGAAGTTAACAGCAATGCATAATAATCTTCCTCTTCTAACGATTTACAGCCACACCCTGTCACATGTTTGTCTTCTTCTAACAGAACGGCTAGAAAACATACCACGACGATTATCTATGTGAGTATTCTCCAAAAACCTTCAGCCTTTTAGCTGGATTTGCTTCTACGTTTTATGGTGTCGTATTCGTAAAATAAAGAATGACTTTTGAGATGAACTACTCAGAATATTTAATGCAGATATCCATCTTACCTCCCTCATCGCATCTCTTCTGCCTTCTGTACTGGAATATCTCTGGTGTCATGAGAAGTATCCCGTAGTAAATAAGCAGACCTCCCAACCTTCCACGTAAAACACAATCAGTTTATCCTAACCATGCTTCACGAAGGTGAACACAATCAGTTTCAGGTCAGAACACAGTCAGTTTATCCTAACCATGCTTCACGAAGGCAGACGAACTGGTAAACATTGGTTCTTAGCTGGGAAAACTGGGAAACATTGGTTCTTGCTACAACTTACATTTGTATCCAAACAAGGATGGTCGTTCTCCAGTACGAATTTAAAAATAAATCTACAATACGTCCTCTCTCTTGGACCTGAGGAAAGAGACATATTCACGACATTAGGACGATGGTTTGTTCAAAGAACATTCTACAGAAAGCTGTCGTGGTCGTGTAGCGTTTTATCGCAGAATACCAACTTACTTCAGTTGATTGAAGGCAACTTTGAGAGCCAGGAATTTCTTTACCATTACATTTGGCAACTTCCACCAGAGTTTGATAACCTTTCTGGACTTCACCGGCGCTAACGTGAAAACGCGGAGACTCTGGAAGGCCCTTGAGGTAGAATTATGCTAAATTAATCGACGTTCTTCTACGCAGAGATCATCTCTTATTGATCCAGTGTCACCAGAAATAAAAACCGCCGTTCTACGGTCCCCCCCAGACATCCATCATCCAACTTACCACGCTCAATAAAATAAAAATAACCAGAGGTAAACTTGAAAATGCTAACAACCATCGCCAACCAAGTCTTGGCATTACCGCTATCGCTAGAAGAACCTCTAGTATTCCACCAACTCCCCAGAAACCCTAGAATGACATAACATAAAAGGTCTTGCAGTATCGCCCACAGTTTTGAGTACAAGAATATGGCAAAAATACACTTACAACAAACTTACTCTATACCTACCCCAAGAGCTAATATGGTCACAGCTCTGTATCTTGCCGGTACAAACTCAGCGTATAAGACAACTCTGAAATGGTAAAATACAAATGATAATTGATATGATAATAGCAGCAGGCTCCATGTATCAACCCCAAGCATTGGCCCGTTTAGAAATGAAATTATTGCGGTGATTTTAGAGGGACTCTCCCCTTTTGGAAAATGTTAAAGAGTGGATGATTACGGCTGTCCGAATAAGAGCACCTATATGCATGAGCTTTCAATACTTTTCACTCTGTTGCATCGATCAGAAGAAGAAAATCGCAGGACGTAAAATTGCAAGCGTAAACGACCTTTTCTACTTACACTTGCCCCAGGCCGCTGATCCCACATCCGACGAGAAATCGTAGGAATAGAATCCAGTTATACGTAGGTGATATAGCGCTCAGGATGCCAAAGTACATGATCCACGCTGAACTTAACACTATGCCCTAAGATACAGTGAAAGATGGCTTCAATTGACTGCATATCAAAGGCGATTGGTAGCAGAGACAATAGATGCTTTGTAATTTCTTGCTTGAAAAGAAATGTGCTGGACCATGTACCTTCTCAGTGTTGACCATTCTGGTTACTGTATGTGGTAAATTATGCAACGAATACTTACTGATTTCCTTCCATATAGATCGCAAATCTTTCCCCATAAGGCTGAGCTAACAAACATGCCAACAAAAACAACCTTAAAACATGAATCAAGATGATATCATTTTTAATAAGTTCGTCCTGGAGAAATTAGGCAAAATACGACAAGATTGACTGGCGAAACTGTGCAGAATATGATCTGGGTTTTTTACATCAGAAATTTGTCCATGTCTACTGTTTCTTCCTCCCAGCTTGCAAGCTTGACCCTCTCTTACACCGTGGCAAAGTGTCACCCTCTCCTATACTGTGGCTAAACCAGAACCCCTCCTATATCGTAAATGAACCATACCCTCCCCTCGTCATACCGTGGATAACAAGGCCTCATCCCACGGTTCTAAAGACCATTCACATCTAGAAACAGGACCCAATATGGCGAGTATCATCATCTCCATCGCGTCTGCCATCTAGGAATTGCACCATTTATCAATAATAAACAACTTCAGCGAGACAAGTGCCACAGTAATGCGCTTGTATTTCGTAGTCTGATAACACAAAATCGTTTTGACACTCACCCACGAAAAACCAGCGACAAAAAGTAATAGTATCTGATATCTTCCAAAACCCACATATTCAATGACTTCTTCGACCGAATGTTTGGTATCTTTAAAACAAAATTTAAATTCATCAAAGCTGTTGCAAAACCTGGTTATCAGAAGGTCATGGGGTTCTCAAAATCCTAAAAGGCTAAAACCCTAACCGGGTGTCGTGTCTAGACGCGTCCGTCGACCTCCAGAAGCTTATCAACAAATATTTGACAAAACTATTGACCAATAATGACACCTTTCCCATAATGACACTGACCAGTGTTACGCGGCTAATCATTAGCGAGTTTGCTTTACCAAGGCGTATTTCTACAGGACGTGAGAGTATAGAGATGACGTATTGTCACGGTGCTTGCTAAACAAGTAAAGTGTGGGTTTCTACAAGCTGTTTCTATGACCGTTCATCTGGTTGAACCTGCACAGGTGGCCTAGGAATATCACGGCACTTGAAGTAAAATAAAGTCCGTATATACCTTGAAATTCTGCCTTTCCCGGATATCCATCACTCGTCGACAGTGTGTTCTCATCGTAGTTTATTTGATTGTAAACACACGTCTTACGACTAATTAAATTCTTCGCCATAGCTGTAGAAAAACTTTCAAATCTGACATATGTTTACATAAGGTCATAAGCCAACATCATGTTGTTACTTAGACGAATTCACCACTGCAATGAACCAGTCAAAACAATGATAACCAGAATAGATCATGTGTCACACGTTAGGTTTATACTTTTGAAGGCAAACTCTTATATTTCAAGGTAGTTTTGAAGTAATTTATTAAACGATTCTTCCAACCGTATCCAATTCTTCCAACCCATTTACGCTGACGGGTAGAGACCAGGTCATAGTCGAGCGAACATTTACAGGTGGTTTTTGGGCACGTTTTTGGCATTGCCTTGCATGTATAGAGATAAACTGTATGAGTGTATGTTTAGTTGCTCTTAGGATTAAGGCCGTTTGCATTTGCAATTTTTACTGCGATTTTATGTGCCATTTTCTTCTTTTGACAGATGTGAACGAGTACGAATTCACTTGTAACTAATTCACTCTTTCACATCTATCAAAAGAGGAAAATCGCAGCAAAAATTGCAAGTGTTAACGCGCCTTTAGAACAGGTGGTTGGTAAACTAGAGCGATATCTTGTAGATACTGTCTGGATTAATCCAGCATCTTCTCGTTCTTTCCTCGATTTGAATCTAATTTTTTTTTGCAATTTCCATTCAAAGATCTCATTCTTCTGCAATTCACGTAGGCGGCTTGTACTTTTTTCTATTTAATGACTTCAGGCATATTGATTTATTCAGATAAAGAGATTTTGTTTCCGCATTCTTAGAACTTGTCTACATTTGAAGCGAGGTCATGATATGCATAGTGATTTAATCACTCGTCAGACTTATACAAAACATGGAAGGCAAGTTAGGCAACAAATTGAACAAGGAATCAAAATCTGAGGGGTTCACCAACAAACAGAAAGTCTTCGCATGTCGTGTTTGTTGTTTGGCACCGATTCTTTGTCTGTTATCTGTTTTTCTTGTGCTGTTAATTTGCATGGAAATAACGACGAGGCAGGAAGATGGACAGTCAGACCGTAACATTTGCCAGTTATTAAACTGTACAGTACAATACAAAAACTTCTCAATTTTCGCGTGGTGTATTGAGGGCGTACAACGCAATTCGTCGTCAAGGGACAAGGAATGTCTCCAGTTGAAAGTCCGATGTATTTTAGAAGAGGGGACGAAGTTTACAGGTCAATCACAAAGAAATAGTTCCAAGAATCAATTTTGCTTGGAAAATTCCACAAGTTTTGATACCTCACAAGATCACTTAGCAAAGCGCGGATCAAAATTCCTTGAAAGGTTCATAGCATATAATGGGACATTCCAAAGATGTCAACTAAATCAAACAAAAGTGAAGTCGGGTAATGTGAAAGTCGACACAGCCAGATGCAGAGACGTCGTGAATGATCAGGAGACGGAGATGGAAATACGAATGAAGAAAAATACTTATATTTTTGATATGATTCTAATGGTGCTTTTCTCCTTAGGTCTGTTTGCTTTTATTTTTATGTTCGTTAACACAAGACTAACGCTTAGAGTTTGTTGTGACAAGTGCTATCAGGAGGAATTATGATAAGTTACTACTTCGACGTCTTCAGATTCCTGCCGTTGCTAAGGTTGCGCGCGGATTCGATGTCTCGTGTTTCATGTGAATCAAATATCATTTCCATTGTGATTTCCTTGTGATTTCCTGGTGATTTGCATATAGTTTAACCGTATATAAGAAGAGAAACTGAATTTTGATTTTATAGTTTATTCTTCGTATTATTCTCTACCAATTAAATTACATAAAGTAAGAATGAAAATCATCCACGTCTCGTCATTGTGGGAGATAAGAAATCATAATCGTGGGTCATATTATCATCAAAACACTAACACACTTATTAAAGAATCACTTGTGACGCCATTATGAATGAATTTTCATCATTCACAACAGCGAGAGGGGCACATCATAATCGTTTATACGCATGAAACGTTCGTTCAGTTTTAGACCAGCTAATATTTGTCTAAACTGCCCATCAAAATGGCCTGCTTTGCTTCCGGGTAAAATTGTAGTTAAATATAAGATGTATGTTCAAGTATTGCACCGCTTAGTTGTGCTTCCAAAGAAAACAGAAAAAAGGTTGATTGTACTTTTTTGAGGATAGACCGATCTAAAAGTTTAAATGAATAAGTATTTAAAGACTTTGTACTTCCAGTTTATGCTATTGAGAGATTTGAGACCTCTCAAAGAAAGTCTCAGGGCTGTGACGTAGTTTGCATTGGCCAATCAGAGGCGTTTGTCTGCAAACTACGTCATAACGTTAACTGCAATGCCATCCCGACGCAAAACATGCATTGTTTTTCATTTGTGAACGTTTCGTGTGGTCATTACGTTTATTCCCGTCCTATCGTGTGCGTGGAAGGAGGGCGGTCTATACGGTAAACGTACTCGGCAGGAACAAAGTACCCTACGTAGGTCACTTCCTCTGGGGTCGTATCTTCGTGGTAGTGCCCGCCTTCACCGTGGTGACTAAAGCAATGCGTGTGCTCAAGTCGTATGTCTAAACCCTAAAATGTGAGAGAAAATATGTCAAAGTGAGGTTTGTATTAGTCCATTTAATATGTACAGGTCAGTGGCCTGACCACCAGCCACTGACTGCATGTGGTTAACTGGACTACTAACCAACATTAGTTCACTTACTGAGTCATTAGAGACAAACACACTGAGGCAGACGAGTGGTGCATTCATTGTATAGTACTTTAGCCATTCTTTAACATGCACAGTGCTGTCCAAACCCTCTTCGCTAAATGCTGGCTATAAAATGATAAAAGAGTACTATATATACCAATATCTTGTACATCATCCATAGTTACCATATTCTTAGAGAGATATGGACCATTTGGAAGTATATATGATAGTAGGTGTTATGCAGTTATGGGATGCAGTCTCACCATAACATGAAGTTTTGCTTGGCCACTCTCAATGCAGAAGACACCACCCATACCAACAGTTCTGAAGTTGCCATAGTAATGGTCCAATGATTGACGCATGCAGGATATAAAGTTGTCTTCACCTTTGCGGCATTTTGCAACAACCTTCAGCACCTAACATTTAAACAATTTGTGACAGGATGAACAAATATCAAGTTCTCGTGTCTTAGTGTTTCATAGATAGATAAATCCTGCAACAGGTTTTGGTTCTTTTGAACAGACAGATATCACAAGAGCATGAAAATGCATCTCACCTTTCCTTGTTTGCCTTCAGAAACCAGCATGTCTGCCATCAGAGCAAATTCTTTCACATTATAATCTTGCTGTACAGCAGAACCATCCTGATAATATAATACAGTCAGTGACATTGTGAAATTAAATCTCCTGAAACACCATTTACCAACCAACCATTCAACCAACAAACCTTCCTTACCTGTGGATTAACCTTGATCATTTTTGATCTTATGATATCTGGGGAGAGTCTTAGATTTGCTACCATCTACAAAAAGGTATTTGAAGTAAAATTATACTACCTCAAATTGAGAACTGTTAAACTTAAATATCATTGGAGGGTGGAGGATATGGCAGAATTCAGAAGAAATTTGACCTGTAAAGATTACCTCACAATTTACTCCAACGGCATGGCTGTTACCTGCCCCAGGACCAATGAAAACTCCATTGGGCATTCCAATTTGCTTTGCAATGATATCAAAATTATATACCTGAAAATGATTGCAGACTATTCACAAATACAGCTCACAATTTTGCTCAGTCCAAAGGTACAAGCTTACCTTGGATAAATTTGGAACAGGGACTAAATATGGAACACCTCCAACCAGGGCCAAGCGAGTGCTCCCACAAATACCTGATTTGATTGAATAATTTCAATGTTAACTAGAAAGTCTGAAAGGTGTAATCACAATAGGAATGATAAATGTTTATCGATAGTATTCAATCAAATTATTCACCTGGTGCAGCAAGGGTCCATGGTTTCTGGGTTAGATCAGGACAATCAACAATGCTGACATGGACTTCTTTGAAGTTTTTACTAAGAGCTGATTTCAACACTATATATATATATATGAGCAATATTTGTTAACCCATAAACTCTGACAATATTCTTTGCACTTATAGAATACTAGACGAAGTAAAGTGCTAAAGTACAGCACACATTGTTAAGCAATGAGTCAGCAAGAAACACTGATAGATTGTTTGTTGAACTCATTAATCCATTAATTAGCAGTACTCAAAAATTACTTTCCATCTCAGGCTTGAAGGCACCTGCCTAGACTAGTATTTATCCCTGGAAAACCAAACATGACTGCTTGCCACAAACTCCCTTTAAGGGCAAGCAAACGTATACGAACAGACATTTTCCTAATCAAGAGTTTGCATTGTAAGGCCAATATCAATTTTAATAATTTTAATGTTTGGTCGATTAGCTCTATATGGCAAATAGGGGCGGGATGATGGAATCAATGTTGACTTGAAATTACTTGCAAAGAAAAAGGAATCTACAAGCACAACACTGTGAAATATTGTACAAGCGTTTGTTTCACTACCTTACCGGGTCTGATCATCAAAACATTGAGTATTTTATTACGCAATTTATAATTAACACCAAAATAACACGGTCGAGTGGTTAAGTCGTTTACTAAGAACATCAAAGTATATCGCTGTACCTTTGGACAACTCGTCAAGTGGAGGAACATGTAGCTCTTGATGTTCAACATGACCATGTATATATTCAAATTTTTGTTTTTCCTTTGCTAAAATCCCGTCCGCAGTGCCAGCTGCGCCCATTTCAACTTCATCGATACGAACAACCTCCTCGCTCGCCATGTTTGTTGACACTTTCTCCAGCCTTGAATTCCTTTGCAAACATCATGAAACTCCTCAGTTTTCCATTCATGAATATTACTAGTATTCCATTTTATAAATGTTTAAGTCACAACCTTTTATTAACTGTTAAATATTCCCCCTTGCCCCTCTGGCGATGGTCAAACATCTTGCAGAGATCCTCGCCACCACTACCTCTCCCCCCTCCTCTCCTCCCTCCTCCCCCCATAGTAGCTTAGGGAAAGTCCCGCATGCAACTCAACCCCAGGGGCAAGGTATATAATATATACATATTGCATGCTTTGATGAAAAGCGTTTTGATCAAACACGGTTTTTCAAGACAAAAGTTTCAACACATTTAAGACTCTAAACAAGAAACAACTTCCAACTTTGCATGAAATAATGCGTCGTTCCTTAAAATACATCGTTTTCGCTGGCACAACTGTATTATCAGGCAGTTTACTGTACACTGGAACACGTAGAAATGACTTCGGAACTTTGTATGCCGCAGCAGATGTCACAGCAGCTGACTTCCTGAGGTATGTTTTGTACGAACTAGAAATATAAACTTATCAGAAAGTAGTAGACCTCTAACGTTTTAGAATCGAAAATATATGACTGATATATGATGTATGTTACTGATTGTTGCAAATTTGTATTGGGGAGGGTGAATATTTGGTTAACACATCAACAGTCAGGTATTACCTTGATTGATCTATCCAAGTGCATTTGAGTTGTTTTTTAACCTCAGCTAAATAAACAAATACTTGATCTTAAACAAATGTATCACTTGTTATTAGTCTAATATTGTTTATTCAAGGTCTGGGCTGACTCAAGAGAGAAAAGCATGGAATAAGAACTGGGATTTTCGTGACACAAATAGGACAAGAACAAAGAGTTCTGACAGAAGTCACATTCCATCTTTGAGTGAATACACCAGTGGAACAGATGAGCAAAAGCCTGGTTTAGAGAGATCTAGCGCAACTAGACACTTGGTGTTCATACGACATGGTCAGTATGTTAAAGCTGATGAAGATAAGGACAAAATTTTAACCCAATGTGGCAGGTTTGTCTTGTTTTGTTTTAACATATTCATAGGTAAGACTGGTGGTTTGTCCATGAAGACTATCCAAGATGATGTCCACTGCATTATTGATAAATCAATTTTTCTTTAATTTCAAGGAAACAAGCAGAAGAAACTGGAAAGAGGTTGAAATTATTACACACCAACCAAAAGATTGATAAACTTGTTATTTCAACAATGACTCGGGCAAAGGAAACTGGAGGAATTATTCAAAAGTTTCTGCCTAACGTTCCATATGAATATTGTGATTTCTTGAGAGAAGGTGCACCCTGTGTACCCGAACCAGTCTCATCATCATGGAAGGCAGAAGATTATGTAAGATTAATATATTAGTTGAGATTAATTCTATTTATCATTCCCCTTTCTCCCTCTTGGCATCTCTACTAACTCCTCCATCACCACTCTTTCTCTATTATTTCCCTCTCTCTCTCTCTGTTTTCTCCCCCCTTCTCTCTATATATAACATCTCCCCTCTTTCTCCATTGTCTCTCTCTCTATTATACCCCTCTCTATCATCTTCCTATAACCTCCCCCCCCCCTTCTTTATTAATCCCTTTCTTTCCGTCAAGCTATGACAAACTGGCTGACAAACGAAAGTTGTTTTACTTCAAGGATGTGTTTCAAGAAAGCGCTCGTATTGAAGCAGCGTTTAGAAAACACATTCACAGAGCCGACCCAGAGCAAAAGACGGACAGCATAGAAGTCTACGTTTGTCATGCTAATGTCATTCGCTACTTTATTTGCAGGTGGGCTTAGCGTTGTATCTGCTGCATCTTTCAACTCCTATCCGTATTTATCTTTCTTTTTTTCATTTTTTTCAATTTTCAGGGCTTTACAGTTTCCGACAGAAGGCTGGCTACGAATGAGCATTGGCAATTGTGGGATAACGTGGCTGACTATCAGACCAAATGGTCACGTTTCTCTACGCAATATGGGCGACGTTGGACATCTTCATCCTGACCTGATCACGCGAAGTTAATATTTCCAAAATCACAAATAAAAAGAAATTCAATTTACGATTGATTCTGTCAACTGTCAACTGTCAAGGACATCAGTTGCGCGCACGAAACTACGTGAAACTTTGATGTGTAGTTAGGATTACTATTTATTATATTCATATATTTATTTCTTGTGCGGACAATTGTGCGATTTAAACTAATATTGAGTTGGAAAAGGAAAATACTTAATCTATTTTGTAGTCTCTGTGTTTTAGGCCGCTCAGGTTTTGAAAAAAGCGTTGTAAGAATTATAACAATGGTATTAATTCAAATGATAACAATGGTGTATTGTCTTTTGACGTACGAGTCTTTTGACTTCGTAATACTCTTGGGATGGTTGGGGAAAAATAGCAACTTTTTGCAGGAAATTTGCATAGAGCTTCTCCTAACTGACCACATGGTTTTCACTGCTTTGACCAAGGCTGGATAAAGAAACATGGCCGCTTTTTAAACGGTAATCAATGGAGCTTTACTGCACCTTATTAAACAACTTAAGACGAACTTAATGAAAGGAATGATATGGTTAACCATAAACGTTATCAGTCGATGTATGAGCGTCATTGCCGAAGTCTTGGTTGATCGATTGGTTGAACACAATCCTACGTATCTTGTGTAAGTATATATCAGTGAAATATTTCGATTCAAAAAAGCGCTTTATCATAAATGATCTGTGCTAGTTCTTTCTGGCTTCTTTCGTCCAAGATTCTTGGTATATTTTAGCTCAATTTAGCATCAAATGTGGTACAACAACTTCCTAAAATACACAAAAGCACTTCTCGACGTTTCAACCAAAGGCTAATTCCTAAGGGCTTTCGTTATTGGTGTAATACGTGTTTATAAACTTATTTCAATAATATTTCATTTTCTTCTATACATATACAATAATCGTATATACTTAAATATAAAACTATATATAATTTATAGAGACCCCGGCCATATAGTTTATATTGTCTTTGGGCCAGGAAAATTTACAGTTTTTTACCAAACAAAGTTTACTTTTACAGAGAAAAATTTAGTCAACGGGGATAAAAATTATATACTCTGTATACATTTTGTAAACACCATCTAAGAGTGCAATGAATTAGATTTAATAGAAACAGATGAAGACGTGAAGTAAATCATTGTAAAACAAGTTAAACAACCAATTTTTGTTCAAAATTGTACATCATCAGTCTCCAAGCCCATGTATTCAATTTGAACACAACAGTTCTAATATTGTAGACACAAAACGTCACGTCTGGCGTCAGGGAAAGTTCCTGCTGGATCATTTCATACAGTCGAGATTAATAATTTACATTTGAACGTTGTCCCACCCTAGGTTAAAACATGTAGTCCAGTTAAGTTCTGTATATCAATCAGTGGAAAACTGTTACAAGTCCCAGTCTAATGGATCCTGTGGTCGCGTCTCGTCTATCGTCCTCAATCCTGAATGATCCTTTGACATCCCCAACTGTTCATCATGACAGGGTACTCCGTAATAGTACTGCCAGTCGGAATAATCCCACTGCATGCTTCCCGCCCAGTTCGTCCCTAACTGATAAACCTCCGGGGAGTTAATTCCCGTCAGCGAGTCAGAAAATCCAGAATCTGGGGACTTGAGATTCTCAACAGACGTGACACTTGGTTTTGTTGTCTTATAATGTCCTTGCCGCGTTGAGGAGCGACTGTTGCCTGACCCAGACCCGCTAGTCGATGCCAGTCGGCTCCGACCGCTTGCCGAGTCACTGCCGGTTCCTGAACGACTGCGTCGCGACAGCGTCAGATTGATACTCTGTTGACTTAATCTCCAAACTGGAGGTTCTTCTTTGGGTGCGGTTCCTAATTCTTTTTCATCCTCCAAAAGGCTTCCGGCCGTTTCCGATTCATCTTCGTCGCTATAGTCGACAAAGGAGCATAGTCTTTCGAGGCTACGGATTCGTTTCCGAAGTTCGGCCGAGAAATTATCCGTCGTAGCTCGGTCGGCGACGTTTTCAAGTGAAGTCATATCCAGACCGCTGGTAGAAGGAGTGACGTCAACAGGATCACGTGATGATGAAGAAGCGAGGTTATCACGTGACAAAGTTGTTCTATTAATTCTTTCACGTGATGTGTCAAGGATTCGGTTTTCTAGGAACTTCTTAGCATGAATGCCTTCGTAGAATTCGTCTATCGTTCGTGCTATCGTTAAGAATTCCGAGAGAAAGTCGGCTGGAAGCGTCTCATCATTTTCCTTTGGGATTTTCGAAAAGTTTTCGGCGTCATTCGGAATATCATCGGAGTATGTCCGGTTGCCTTCGGAGTAGGTTACAGTCTCCCCTTCAGAACACAATTCAGAAGACACAACATTTTGAATTTCCTCACATTGTATCTTAGGTCGCGCGTTATGCAAATGTGCTTTAGTTTTCAACGAATTTCTATATCTCGGCCTTCTTCGGCGTTTTGATTGGCTCGTTCGTTTGAATGAGGCTCCTCGAAATACCTCGTCGTCATCGTCACGTCTGACTCCACGAAACACGCGCAACGGGGGATGCATGCGTGACCTCCCCGCATGTAAGCCAACCTCGTTTCCAGACTCGTCTGAATCAGACGCATCTGTAGAGGAATATTCTGACTCAGTGTCCAAACCACGCTCTGTGTAAGGAATGGAGGACAAGCTATTGTAGCCTAAAGAGGAACTCTTAACCGTTAAACTAGGATAATCACGATTAGCAACTGTAGAAGTGCTGTCTTTTGATTTATGCGTGCCGTAATCTGAGTGCATCTCTGACTTTTGTGTGCTGTAATCCGAGTTTGAATTCAATTCAACTTGTGAGATTCCGTGAAAATGATCGACTCTGGAGAGCTTAATTAACGCTTCTTCCTCGTATATTTTCTTCCATTCAATAAACGAGAGGTTATCCATCGCGCATGTGCACACACGTGACTCTGCCTCGTCCTGAGTCCTAACCTCGGCCAACTTTGCGCTAAACCTTCTTCTCCATTCCCCGTATTTTCTCGCGCGTCTTTCCAGCGTCGTGACTTTGCAAAACTGACACAAGTTGTCGTAAAACGACCTCTCATCTTCTGTAGAGTTCTTAGAAATTGCCGAAGCCCTTGCACCTGATTCCACGCTCAAGGTATCCCCAAAGGAACTTCTCCCAGATTTCCTGCTTGGCGGAGTTATGCTGTTGTCACGGTTTCTAACCAATACGCAACCACAAGCGTCGTCATAGTAACACTGGGAACAAGTGTCCGTTTCATCATTCGACTCCACAATCTCAATCCAGGTCCTTTGTGGCGGTTGTAAATACCAACTGGAAGACTTCAATTGTTTTTGGTAAAGTTTATGAGCTTTTTCTTTCTCTTTTGCATTCTTTTCTTCGCTGTGAAGAACAGGCGATGTCGGCCATGATTCGAGAACATCTGTTTTTCCTAAAAAGAAAATAGAATAAGTTTTATTTCCAATAAATACTAAATACTAAATAGCTATAATCCTCCTGGCAATATGCACTATATAGACATGGTGTATCAGAGAAGGTCCAGTGCTGTTATCGTTGCAGGAAAAAAATTTAGGATTTCGGTCGTTTTTCGTTGAGACTTTGTGTGATTACATAAGAGGTTCTCTAAACACATGAGCTACTGGCAAGTTCTTTCTTCTTCTATCTTCTAGTGGCAAGTTCTTTCTGAACCTCTAGAAAGTACTTCAGCGCTATTTTTGGTATTTCACGCTGATTTCTCCCATTGCATTGACGTGAAATCGTCTGGGAGAAGACAGATTGAATAGTAAAGTAGGGCTCATCTACACGAATTGGAATAGAATTCTCAAGATAGCCCGACTCGTGCAAAAAAAAAGTTAGTATGTTCACGTGTGTCAGAATAGTCAGATATAGACCATATCTTTTTTTTATCTGAGACTCTTTGAGACTTGTTTCTATAATGAGTTGTATCTAGACTATTCTTCACTAGAAACAACTTTAGAAGACACGCAAGGTACGTAGTGTCCCATACATATTTCACTCACCCAAGGCCAAATATCGTTTAAGCTTTTTTAACATTACAAGAGCATCTGTTTACATTGATCAAACGTCGCAATACCTCAGGCTGTAAGAGGATCCACAATCAAGGAGCTTTATGCTACTAAATGACCTTGTCTATGCATGTAAACTTTGCATATTTGTAGATTGTGTGGCCTAATAACTCCTCTTAATACTACAATTCGGTAATGTTTTACAGGTGGCAAAAAACCCGCAATAATGAAAGAAGTTTGAAGTCGTTGTTTATGCCGGCATAATCCATACGCAAACGTGAATATTCTACGATCTGATGTATTATTCTTCTGTGATTAGTCAAATATTATGTTAACGTTAAATTGATAGTTATAGATGGATAAAATGATACTAACTTTGAGCATAGTTAATTTTGAGGCAACCGGTTCAGTTCAGTCAAACTCTGTGGGGGGGAAGAGAGCGCAACAGTATAGAATCACTTCCTTTCCAAAGAGTAATGGCCTAAGACTCGGGATACTTGGGCACATTTTAATATACTGCGATGAAGAATGTATTTTAACCACAGCTTAGGCCTTCCCTAGTTACTGCGTCTAGTTTTACGCCTGAACTACCCGTTTGTTTTGATAGTACACTTGATCTATGTTTCAGCTTTATATCGATCTCCACACGTATTTCCATGACCATATATTAAAATAGTCAAATTTTGACGTGTAATCACAAATAAGATATGCACGAAAACGTTGCAGCAGTTAGCACGAATAGTCTTGCAGAGGGCAGTTTGAAAGAGTAAAGTTTTATTGTTTAACTGCATGAAATATAAGTACTGCTATAGTCAAGCTACATGTTGAAAGTTTATGCATATTCTAAATTTCATCAGTTAATCAAACGTTTAAAATTTCTCGGCATACATGTAGAGCATATTTTCAACCACACATAATGATAGAATAGCCAAACCTGTCATCATAGCACTTTATAAGGGTAAAATACTTGTGTTTGAACTGATAACTATTGTCATAGCAATAGAAGTATAAAAACAAAATCATGGCAGCTGACATGCGGAAATCGTCAATCTTATCTTCACAAGTCGTGTATTCATTGTGCGTCTTGTTAGTTTGCTGATGTGAACATGGTTTCTGAATCCCTAGTCATCCTTATATTGTTAAACAGATGACCTTGATGTGATTGTATGTTTAGGGTCAAAAACTGACGTAAATTTTTAACCCTCCTTGTTCATCTTATGGCCACAAAGAACCACTCTGTTTTCTCGTTTAATTTTCTTTCAAATTGTGAGAAATCGACCTAAGCAGTTCACAATTGAAAGAAAAATCAGGCGAAAAGCTTTACAAAAATTACGCCTAGTAGAAAACTGCCTATAAACTCCAACTTAGAAACAACTCATTCGTACGAAACGCTCCATCTTTTTTCTCCAAACAATCCAAACGAAATACGCTTTGCTCTCTTATTACCTCTCGAGGCATCATGGGTGGTTTGGGTGGGGCCATTCTATACTCTCCATCCACAAGTGAAAAGGGATAGTCTCCCCCCTAAATCTCGAATTCACAATGCTATTTTTAATATTCTAGAAACTAATCATTACGAAGTGAAGACAGAAGAATTTTGTTCGTGTGCCGGGGAGCTAGACCACAACTAAAACAGGTTTGAAGCTAAAATAAAGTTTTTTATACCTAGTGTTTCACACCTGTTATCTGAAATTATTTCGTGTAAGAGCCTCGAGTGTTGCCTGTGTTGATGTTATCTTAACTTTGATAAAAAGAAGAATATCGCTTGTCGCGTTATGAAATAACCTGAGAAATTGAAGTGAGATTGCTTGCACTTTCGTGTTTTTCCACATTGATTGTGTGGCGGCTTTCTACTTTTTGTTTGAGCGCGTGGTTCACGGAGATTATTGCTTTTTTAAAATTAAATACAACAAAGAGCGAACAAAGTATTTTAGAGGAGCCTTCTTGTCAATATATTCCATGCTTTGTGAATGTCTAACAACAGCTATAGAGACAAAATGGCTCTTGTATCTCTCGCCTCGCAATATTACCACATTGTTTACATAATAATATTCTAAAAATGGTGATGTTGATATTTTTGCGTCTAGCAACTTAACACAGCAATCATTAAGATCATTAATTCATTAAATAGCTAATATAATTGACACAGAGTCATTGATTGAACGATGTGTGTGATGTGCACGGGCAGAACTTTCTAAAGGCATGCTGCAAATGCATGGTAAAAAACGATCTCTAAGATGGACTGGTTTATTTGTTAAACAGGAAAAAGGCTTGCGGCTTTGAGACACAGTAAAATACCAGTTAGGTTTCATTTGGCTTCATTGTTAGTCATGAAAAAGTGAATCTGGCTACCATAACTATGGTATAATACCAACTGGGTCGACTTGTAGCATGTGACTTGAAGTGGTGTGCAAGAGCGTGTGTCTTTATGCTGGATAGGAATTTATGAAAACATTTTACCATGGCAACGGTTCTTAAGTTTGTCTGATGTGCTGATGTACTTGCAAATATGTACTTCAGGGGAAAAGAATGTCTTTCAACGACTTCGCTGTATGCGAATAGAGAAAACTCATGTATGCATGCATGCCTCCTATTATAAATCAACACGTGGCCGATAAATCCTCAAACACTAACCATGCCTTCCACTTCTAAAGCTAGAAAAATCATCTTAAAATCAGTGAAGCTACCAATCTTGCTTGCATGCAACCGTTGCATCATACGAAGAATGTAACCGAAACGCTCGTATTCTCATTTCGCAATTGAACTTAAGTTTTGAAATCTGCAAAAATCCGGATTGTATATAGTACCTGTGAACTTTCACCGCGTTTAACACTACACAATTTAACTGGTCGAAATATTCAAGTAATTTTAATACAAGGACAACCAACACTCTTTAGCGGTACAAAAACTACTACCATAAAAATCTAATAAAGTATAAGTGATTGAAGGATTAACCTTAAGCTGTAAATCTCGATATAAAACTAAGTCGCGTATTTTTAATACGGGGAAGATTTTGTTAGGTATCCTTGACGTCAAAATAGCGTGGTTTTATACGGATAATTTTTTGACATCGTAAGGATCCTTGCTCAGTTCTTCTATTCTTCCCATATCTTGCTATATTGACGTGTATATTCATGTTTCCTGCACGAATTGTCATACAAGCGCTTTCGGAAATAGGCATTTGATTTTGCGGTTTTGTAAATTTCTAAAAATTTGGCCATGCATGGTCTTTCAGGCGCGTCATCAGTGAAAAGGAAAAAGCAACGTGTGCCCGCCCGATGGTGGTCGGTTATAAATACCACAACAACTTGGCTATATGACCTTTTTCATTTCAAGTATTAAAATTTTAAGTGAAGACAGGCAACGAGTATATAGTGACATTCTTCATGCATCTTAGCCATACAACTATCAAATTTCAAAGTTGAAACTAGCCGTCAAATTCACTATACTTATATTGCCGTTTTGCATGAAATGTACTCAGCTATATTGTTGCTAAATATAAGTCTAGATTCTTCCCTTGCCATAAGATTATAAAAGTTTAAATGCATTTCAATATTTTATATAGTCCCCAATTAAAATACCTTCCCAAAGCTCTATATGGATTATAGTTTGTAGTTTTTTTTCGCGTAAAGTCTTCCTACAATGACAATGTACAAATTCTTGATATATTTGCTTAAGTTAGATCCTTTTAGTTTTGTGTTTCGCCATTAGAAAGAGTGATGAACCATTCGTGGTCATATACGTGCAACGAGTTACAAAAAAGCCAGATGTTGCGTTAGTAACTTGCTGATGATATTCCCACTTTATCTTGTGTAACTAGTCGCATTTTTTCACTTCATTGTTTTGAAATATCCGTAATATCGCACTGAATACCACGACAGAACGTTATTTTTAATCGTAGGCGAGTTTTACAGCGTTGAAACTTTAATAAGTCTCCGAAATGGTGCAAATTAAAAGTTTGAAAAAGGATCATTGTTTCAAAGCCGTTATCCTTTTAACAGATTTCGACAAATGGCAAAAATACTGACAACGAAATAAACTAAAAACGCAAATTTTACCGAATAAAATGGTGTTAAACAAGACATCAAATCCTTACATATGTCTGAAGAATCAATATAGAAGATCCAATGTTACCTTAGGAATACGTTTGCGCTATACATCAATATTTATCTTGATTTCATTAGTCGGACATTCAAAGTACATTCATATCATAAACCTTTGAAAACGATTCCGCATTTTAAACAACTGTACGTTTCTTTGTCCCTACTTTTATCACTGGCAACTTTGAGTCTCTGGAATGCTATATATACGTGTATATAAACAAAGTTAATTCTATGAAGCTAAATTGCATGCATGATTGGTATTAAAACCTGTAAAAGTTTTAAATCAAGACTATACTCTTTCTGCTTCAATAATTTGTTTTTGAGAAATGAACTCTATTCTCTAACTATGAAGAAGCATCCTTCGAAATATAAACACGACCCTTCTGGTAAACTATGCTATAGTAAATGTACAGCTATGATTTATAAAATGTACAAAGTTATAGATACCATATGACCAAAACGCCTTTCCAAAATTGAAATTGCACCCCAAGCACCACAAAGCATTGCGTGAAGCGACACGCTCGTTGTATCGGGCCGTTTTGTCTTGTTGTTTAACTCAAAAACACTAACACAGCTTTTATGTTTTGAGCGGACACCTAACACTCTTTTATCAAAGTAAGCAATCCCCTGCAGAGTGCGAAAAATATGAAAGATCTGTCTTATAATCCGGGGTTCACGATTTCAAAATACATGCCATGCTAGCTTCCGGTTTAACGGCAACTGTTAATGTTACGATATGCCACATATCTGCCCGTTCAAAACGGCATTCGAGTATTTCGTTTCGTCCACAGCCTGCTTTTTGCCACTAAATTTATGTTAAATAGATAGTTTGACGGCAAAGGTATTCATTAACGATGTGTAGGCAGCGTGAACTCGCGAGCAAGCGTCATTACTATGACCCCAGTGATATTATTCTCTGTCCAATTCAATATACCCTATTCATGTCAGTGGTATATGTGAGCAATGTCTTCGGCCCTACACCGCATAAACTTTTTAAGCCAATGAGGGATTTTAATAGGCTGTTAACACATTGTTAATAAACATAAATCATAATATCGTATGTATAAACTTACTTTGGCGGGTGTAAAAGCAGTGAAACGGAGAATCATTGACATTGTAGCGCTTCGATCGTCTTCCCAAACATGACAGCCATCTCCATTTTCGTCTGGCCTTCTTCATAGTTCCTGCTCTTAAAACGCTTTTGATGCAATCATTATTAAAGACAGTCTTGTATCATTTATGCTGAATCTCTTGTAATAAATTGTTTGTCTTGTAATCACGGTTACGAGATGAAGTCAACAAAATGTTGGTTGTGGAATCGAGCCGAAATGAAGGCACCAACGTGTATGGTGAAGCGTCGCATGTCCGTCAGGACGAACCAACATTTGGCAACACTTCTAAACGGTCATTTTCTGAACGTGAATTTCTCTTCTTGGTTCCGTAGCTTAGCGGCTTCACCGCTTTTGTGATTGTATAATATATACTTCGGGAAACGATGCGTGACTACAGTGGAAAATCAATATTGATTCACGAGCACAATTATGGAATGAAGTGTAAGATCACGGCTAGAAAAATACATCCGGTGACATATTGATATCTCAGCAAAGCCACATTCCAAACTTAAGGAAACGAGACGATAAAATGCCAGATAGTGTCACCCTTTGGGATGTAAATGCAGTTTGACAGAAGACGTGGAACTCTGTAGACCTTGTTTTAGCCTCGGGTGAAACGAGGATTCTTTACGGATTAGTTTTAATCTTTGGCGTTCGGCGCGCGCTGGGTAAATACCTGCCGAGCACAGCAAGGTGCCTGTGTATATAAACATTAAACACTATGTTTGCGTATTTTTTAATGGTTGTTTTTAAATTTTGAACGTTAAACGCAGAGCCCTGCAAGGGTTGTGCAAAGGTCAGTGCATTACGAGAGAGGTTAGGATGGTTTATGCGCTACGGTGTTCGCCAGAGATCTCGTGTTTAACTTGCAAGATGCAACTGAATACTGATCCGAATGCTATATAGACTTCAAACCTGGTCAACGTAATATTGATTGTCTAAGGTAAAGAAGTAATCCGCTTTACTATAAGGTCATCCTTTCGGTGAATTGGGTGGCCAATGTTTATTTCAAACGAGCTGTCTTCGTTTTTATTAGTGCTTATCGACAGCTGCGACGCAGAAGGTGTGTGACTGACGAACTACAACTGAATTCTAACACAGCTTACATTTCCAGCAAAAACTCAGCCTTCATCGGACTTTCAAGTACTAGTTAAAAACCAAAGCTGAGCTCACCTTCCATGCAGGCGTTTATTTCCAAATTGGGGCATAATTAAAGATAAACCTCTGGCTTGAAGAAATTTGGATAAAGACAGCAACTGAAAGACATTTCAACGCGAAAGCATTTCCTTTTCGCCAAGTGCAATTCATGCAATCTTGGAATATAATGGCTTGCACTGTCTAATCCTTCGATATCTTTTAAAGCTTCTTGCATCCTAATGATCCTATACCAAGCATCACACTTTTTCAATCCTTTCTTGCACTTCAATTGAAGAGAATTTTTGAAGAATTCCAAATGTTACAACGCAAAAATGATCATGCAATGTATCAGTATTCCACTATTCTATATTCTTGCTTTGGTCTTGAAATGATGTGCCCAGTTTTAAAGCAATGATATATTCATGATTCAGTGCTATTCTTTGTGGAAAGAAGCTGAGCTTTAGAGCAAATTTTTACAGGTGATAAACACTTCAGAGACGTCTTATTTGCACAAGATTAATTTAAAAAACAGATAACCCAATCCAAGTCATTCTTACACCATAATCTCGCATGGTGCGTGGATTAGTGAAAAGATAAAATAGAAAAGTAAAATTCAAATAATGCCGAAAATATTTGCGATATGTGACTCGACGGAAGGCTGGAAACATTCCTCAGAAAAAAGGTTTTCATCATAAAAGTAAAAAACTCGCTGATGGTGCTTAATCATTCCAAAGAGTCAAGGTTCCACCACAAGTTGTGAAAGAGTTTTCGTCACTGGAGTATCTGGATTACCCTCCTACCAGGAGTGTTGACAGGAATATCTTGGAAAGGTTCCAACCAAACCTTTTCATCCTGGGATTTATGGCTCAATGATAAGCTAGCTTTTAAAAGATTTAACTGGATTTTTCATCAGTCAGCTGAATATGACTTGAATCAACGCGGACCTTAGAGGCTGTTTACATGCACGATCTCGGTTAAACGAAGTGTGATATGATTTTGAGGTAGTAAAGTAAGTCTTTATGACACTAAAAAGCACTTGCTATTGTCTGGATGACTACACCACTGCCAGGGTAAGCGGGTTCATGTAAACAGCCCCTAAGAAGTTTAGCCTTGTGACACGAGTTACTAATTTCAAAACAAGTTTGGATGAAGAAAAAGGTGTATGTAGACAGGGGGCGCTTTCCCGTTTGACGACCAAAATGTGTAGTATACTGGTCCAATCTTGAAATCTGAAAGTTTAAATTCAAGAAATTACCAGAGCGAGTGATCTTGGTATGAGATTTGCCGTCATTAGGAAAATCTGTGGTTTATCACTGATACGAACCCTTCGTAAGCAGGAAGATTTAGGATGAACCCCAAATTTCCTGAAATTTTCCGCTCTTCACGCGAGTTTGATTTCCGGTAGCGGTCAACTCGCGTCACAGTTTCACACGTTTCATCTTTGGCTGGGCTGCTAGGGGAAATTATGCGGTGTCGGAGAATCGTTTTTCAGATTCTTTCCAAGAGTACAAATAGTTTAGATTCACATTCTATAACCTCCTGGGTGATACCTGCGTTCTTGCTTCGTAATATGACGTTTGCAAAAAGAACTGAATATATTTTTTGTTGAACCGACCTATATATATGGAATTCTGTGGAGAAACAACTCATATATTAAGCGTAAGACGGTTCATTTTGTCAACTTGTTCAGTTGCTATTTTAAAGGATTACATCGCACGCGCAAAGTTTACCGTGAAAATGGCCAAACTTCAAGACTCTCTCATTCATAACTCTTGATCCCAACTCTTAATCCTTGGTTTCACCAAAACAACTATATCTTTCACAATTTATTGCTGTAGTTTTATGAATAGTAAGAGATTATCCATCTATATGTACAGTTGTATGTTCTGTAAATGTATTTACACTCAACCTAACTTCTTCAGATTCCACCCAATTGCCAAGGGGCCAGTAATTGCAGAGTGCATAGTGAAATATACCGAAGTGCATATAGGTTCATGAAATGTTAGCATGAAAGCTGAATACAATAAAATGCAGACATGTAAAAGCAGAAACAATAACCAAATCCTACCTAAAATTGCTCTTTTCTCCAATCAATCAATTAATAAAGTTAATTGTCCCATCATCCTTGACGTTGTTTAATGGTTTATTAGAAATGACATAATAGTCCAACCTTGAAATCGTTCGCTAAAGCTTCCTAAATGCAAGTCTGTCGAGAAACATCTACGTTGACGAGATTTCTATGCGTGCATATGTTTATAATGGTAATTGTATTCCAGCAATCATAAGAACAGAACATGAAAATATACATTTACACGAGTCCCCAAACACTAATAACAATATATATACATATATATGCATTAAAGATGGATTTTACTGTGCGTAAACATTACTGGACGGTAAACTACAAACTAGTTATAGAATGTATATAAAATATCTTTCTTGATTATTAGAATATATTATTATTTTCATGGGCACAGGGCACCCAACGGTAGTTCATGACCAGCATTTTTCTTATCCTTTCTCAAAATATTCCGACTTCTTAAAAACTACCTCTCAAAAAAAAAAGCCGGCTGAACCACTACTGAATAGGATTTTTTATATTGGTGGGATTAAACGCTATCGTGGAGCAATGGTATAAAAACACACGACGTTCAAACTTTTGAGGTAAAGCAATGGCAACTAGCTGTGTTTTGAAAACTAGAATCATTTAAAAGCTGAAATGATTTTACATAATTTGCCACCGTTTTTGTCCGATAACGTCTAATTACTCCGCCAAATCCTCCTATAGACTACTAAATATAAGCCAGTTTGGTGTTTCAAGGTAGGTAAATGATTGACCAATCTTTCTTGCAACTTATCCTTCATAGAAGCAGTTTTGGTGAATTCAATGTCATTTTTGAAACTCCAAACAAACTTCACTAATAATATATACCTAAACCTCACTATTATCCATGATTTAATTTACGAATATAAAATATTAAATAAATAAACTGATAAATCTGCTTTGCTAAATCAGACATCCTCTCTAGACTATACCAAGAATAGAATATTTTCAATTGGTGCAGACTGTATAAAATGGAAAGTTTTGTTTAACGGTTCTTCCTCAAAGGGTTAGAAAGTATATTGACCTGTTTCGAAATTCAAAAACTGTTATCTCTAGATCCAGTGATGTACATGCACGGACCCTCAATGTACTTTATTAACCCTTCAACAAAAACCTTTAATATATTATTCTGACTTTGGACTTTCAAAAAGTTCAAATCCTAAACGAGTAAAAACGTTTGTCCACATCTAAGTTCTCGTACGAATCAGTTCATTATCGTTAAAACTAAAGGTAACATGCACTCAATTTTTCCCAAACTAACCAAGAACTTCAAGAATTGTTAAATAACGGATTATTTCATACTTTAAATTAAAAATATACTACGCATCTGAGCCTGCAGACGGCGCAAATCTACTGGCAACACGAACTTATGGATTCCTTAATTCATGTCAGCATAAGTATATTGCATCGAGTTTGAAGAACGGCCGTCACCTTGACACTTCCACGAGTGCAGACGCATTCCGAGGGATCTTTGCTCCGGTGAGGGCAGGACTTGAGCTGTAATCTGTTTCCATCTTTTTGCATTCATCCCGAGTAAACTCCAGCGTCCTTTTCGCTGGACTGTGCCGTGTTGTGGTGCCATTAGGAAGACGATTAGGTTTCCAGACGTCTTCAAATCCAAATTTTGCTTCAGTATCACCATTGACTCGGAGGGGACTAAAGGGAAAGATTCAGATTTGCTTAAAAGCTCAAAACAAACGCTGTTTCTTTCTACCATCACAGTCCTTCTCTCTGCAAACATTGACAAGCTGAAACGTCACGGCTAATTCTTCTTCGTCTCAAAGTTTAAAAGTTCTTTACCTGGTTGGTGCTACGTGAGAGTTTCTGACAGGTCGTAAATTCAAAATATCTTTATGCACTGCTTCAAATACGGACGGCGCAACGTAAGTGAATCCCTGAACACAAAAAACATCATAGCTTATAAAATATCTGCTTCAAACTGTCCCCTTTCACAATAAATATTTCATTTTACTAGAATTCAAAAAAAGATTTACAAAGAAACGTACGGAAAATATCTGGTTAACACTTTCACTTAGACAGGAGTCGTCAGGAGAATCAACAGGTGTTTGTTTAGTGAACTTTGTATCAAACTGACTTACATCATCTTCGCCGCTCTAAATCAACAGAGGTTTCGTTGAGAGTCAAAACAACAACAAGAACAAGAACAACAACAACAACAACAACACTCAAAAACTGTTTCTCCGTTCATACCACAGAGGGTTTGTAAGGTGGTTCTGTCTTTCTGGCAAACAAATTATCCCAGTTCACATGACGGAAGAACTTGTGCCTCTGAAATAAAAACAACAAAATAAGAAAAAGTAGATTCTTTCACGTCAAATACGAATGAAATCAATGTAGATGAAACCTTTATGGGGTCCGCATCATCGGCTCCTCCGCCAAAACGCAAATGAGTTCTTCTTTTTAGCAACTGGAAGAAATTTTTACTCGCCGGATTAAGATTTGAAATGCAGTTATACGTTTTTGCTAACATGATTTTCAGATGAATTCGTCAGGGAGAATAACTGATGATGAATATCACCTTTCTTAGAAGATCTTTAGCTTCAGGCGTGAGATACGGCGGTAACTGTAATCTTCCCTTTAAAATCTAATTAGAAAATAAATGCAGCGGTCTTAAAGCGAATGATTTCGGAAAAAAAAACTGTTAAACAATAATCAATGCACTCCATATATCCTGGGAAAAGTGTGTGTGTTATCTTTTCTTTACCTTATCAATAGTTTTCTTTCGATTTTCACCGCAGAACGGCGGCTAAAAATATAAAAATAGTTAAAGCAACGAAATTTAATTCAAAAGACGCTGGTTTTGTCCAAAAACAAGGATAAATCATCGAGTAATATCTACTCACAGCGCCAGTCAACATATCGTACATCAAAGCCCCTAAACTCCACCAATCAACAGCTTTTCCATGACCACTTCTTGTTAAAATTTCTGGCGCCCTGTGAGAAAAAAATCGTTTTCATCAAGTATTTCCCCCCCATCTTTTTTCTCCTGATATCTTTCAGGATTAACATTAAATATATTTAGATTTCGTTCTTTACATGTATTCAATGGTCCCACAAAACGTGTGTGTAACATTGTCTTCAAATATCGACTCTTTGCACAGTCCAAAATCTGTCAACTTGACATGACCTGGAACAGAATAAATTATTAAAAAACTGCTGTTATACTGGCCAATATTGTCTTGTTATTTTTGTTAACATTGCCATTGTTTAATAATTTTAAATTGCCTACCATCAGCTTGTAATAAAATATTCTCTGGTTTGAGATCACTACAGAAAACAAATTTGAAGCCTTAGGGAGAGTTCACTTTCTGAAGCACAGCCAGTCAGTAGCTTTCGCTTGGACAATATTTTTTTTTACCGATATATGATTCCTTGTTTATGTAGATGCTCTAAGGCCAGGGTTATTTCTGATAGATAAAACCTTAAAAAAAAATCAATTGGGTCTGACATCAAAGATAGCATGTCTTATTGCTTTTATAAACATCATAATTTGCCAGAATGAAATAGCTTGATGAGAAAATTAACTTCATACGTAGCCGTATCTTCCATAAAAATCCCTTCTCGTTCTAAATGCATAAAAAGTTCTCCACCTAAACATGTTAAAGACAAAAAGTAGTTGTACTTTAAGTTAGTTTGTTGTAACTTTGTTGATTTGAGGTTAGTTCATCCTGCAAAACAACATACCACTTAAATATTCCAAAATAAGATATAATTTCCCTCCAGTTTGGAATGCATATATTAAATCCACAATAAATGGATGCTAGAAATCAAAACAAAAATAATTTCTTCCTGGACTTGCACCTGTTGTGCATTTTGTTTATCTTTCAATAAAATCTTGCTAAACCTATTTCGCTCACCTTGACAGCTTCAAGAATATTTCTTTCAGCTTTTGTGTGAGCTGTGTCTTTTTGACTTCGGACTATTGTAGCCTGGAAAAAAAAGATGGTTGAAAACATTTCATTCTGTCTTCTTCAACACTTTGGTATTGACCGAGACACATACACAACCTTTTTTAAAACTTTCATAGCAAATATTTTCCCAGCATTGTGGCCTGCCACTTGCCTTACTTGAAACACCTGGAATGAAATTTTTTTTTAAAAGCTTGTGCCATTGTTTCTCAAAACTCAAATTAGTCAAAGATATTCTACTCTGGCCTTGGTCTAGTCTCTTAATTAAGGTCCAACTACCATTATTTCATAACATACTTTCCCATAGCCACCCTTTCCTAGTACTTTTAACAGTTCAAATGACTCTGGTCCAATTTTCTCGTTGCTTGGATTAACGGTTTCCTCCGAAATATCCACAGTTTCCATTGTTGAGTCACTAAATAATAGTTTTAAAAAACATGCACGTTGAATTAACCTGCTAACATACCCCCTTGAAAGATAAATCACCTGTCACTCATAACATACAGTAAAAAAATGAAGGCACTTTGAAGTGAACAGCTATCACAGGCATTTTAAAAGCATATCATTTTCTAGGTAATTGCAGATAATCAATATCTGAGTAACCTTGTAATTTGTTGTGAGAATATTTGTTTCATGTTTAATAAATATTTCTTTCTTCAAAGTTGTAAGATTGGCAGAAGTAATAAACTTTGATCAAAGAAACTTTTATAGTGTATTGAACTAACAATATTGAGGGGGGTAATTCATTCACTTATTTTTTCAATTCACTGAAACAGAAATATTTAGCCTTTCTTTTTTCATAAAGTTCAACAACTCAATTGTGAATTTTATATCAACTGTCCTGTCCTGTAAACCTACAGGCATTTTCTATAAATGAACTCACAGATTATTGAACTCGAATCGATATTTTATTAAAATAATTGTTATCTAACGACCAGCTGATATTTTGAGCTGCTGTGTACTAACTTGTAAACAATGTTGAAAAACTTAGTCTAAAAGTCAAATTACTCGACAGAAAAAACCTTTTGAAGTTTAAAAACTACATGCCACTCTAAAAAATAACAAATCTGTTCTCCCTTTCGGTGAATGGACATTTTGTTCCTTCGTATCATAAAAATATTTCGCAAATATTTTATCTCTTTATAAATCGACGCTATGAGAAATTCACTCACATCTGATCGACATCGAGGAAGTCTGTACAGCAGGAAATTTGCTGAAATAAAAGAAAAACTCCCGTGAGACATGAATAGCGTGAAAATATGTGTTTTTTAAGACCTAATACCACAGATACGCATTGAAATTTACAAATTTATCAATAGTCGTACCGCTTCAAATTCGTCCTCGCTGAGCTGGTCTGTATTCTCGCTAACACCTCCATTGATTTCGATTTGGAAGAGGTCATCCATTGTATAAAATTATGTTTAAAAATTCCAGTCGTTACGTTGAAAGCATAAAACGCGATCCTTTGTAAAAGCCAGTCAATATATTAGTAAAGTAACATAATGAGAAGTGAGTGTTTGGTGAAAAACGTGAATTAAAGCGATTCTAATTACCGGCGAATTTCGATTGCGCGAAATAACCGCGTAATTCTCGACAAATTTGCCGCCAGAAGGTCAGGAATCACCTGCAATGCGCCGATAATCCGACTAACAGTCGGCAGGAAGCGAGGTATTTCCCTGGCGTCATTTCCGGTTGTGCGTGATTTGCGGTTTTTCATCCGCCCTCAGTCTGAATATGACGTGTTGAGAACGCGAATTGTAAGCAATCGTAGGGCCTGCACTCGGAGAAGTGTAACTAAAAATAGGCACGAAATTTCAAATTGGTGTCGCAATCTCTTCCGCTGGTGAGGGTTAGGCTTTTTATCGGATCAAATGCGCGTGTTTGTATTAGAGAGACGTCCGTTCTATTAGAGAGAAGTTCTATTAGAGAGAGGTGTACGTATTAGATGTCCTTATATTAGAGAAGTGTTCGAAATAAAGAGGTCTTCGTATTAGAGAAAGGGACGCCCGAATTTTCAGAGGGAGGGGTCCGTGTTAAGGAGGTCTATGTATTAGAGAAGAGCTCTATTAGAGAGACGGGTTGACGTATTAGAGAAGTGTCCATATTACTTGGAAGAGGTGTCTGAGGAGAGGGGTGACGTCGTATTAGACGAGACTTTCAGAGAGATATTCTACTATTCCAACAAGGAATGCCTTCAAAATAATCCATTGATTGAACAAATACAAAATAATTTTATTAGAATCATAATAAATATTTACAGTTCTACTATTTAATTGTATCCGTGAAAATAGTTCGAGTTAGTTTCATCATGTGATTAGAAAGTTAGGTTTCTCATCCGAGAATACCAATCAATTATTCTTCTGTTATTCTTGAAAAAACGCCAACCTATACGACAGTAACAGAGTAAAAAGGGACTTTTTTAAGTGTAGTGAATTTCATGTGCGCATTACAGTGAAATGAGGTTTGTACTGATACCTTATCTTTGATCTGCTGGCATAACTGGAGTGCTATTGCTATCAACCTGAAGGCGTCCTCCAGCCAAGATACGACACATTCAACCTCAAAACGGTTGATTATTTCAAACCATTTTCCACCATGTTCACTGAAAAGACAAACAAGAAATGATCAAAACAAGTGTCTTCATTTCATGGTTCGACAGAGGCAACGTTTGAAATGATCGCGTGAACTCACAAAACGGAAGAAATCTTGTTGCTGTTCACGTGAGATTTCTGAAATGAATAAATGATAAAGTTTGAGTGGACAAGCTGAGAAATCAGGGAAATCTGTTATCTTTAAACCAACCTGTGAATGTGAAGGAGGTGGCGGTACTGATAACGTGTTTAGAACGTAAATAGTGAAAATAAGCTTGTGACAGTTCACGTGAAAATTCACCACCACTTCGCTGGGTAGAGATGGTTTGAAGGCATTCTAAAAATATAAATATTTCCAGCAAGACAAATCAACATGGAATATGGCAACTGGTTGACAACTAATTGAGCTAGCAGCATGCTTTACCAAAGATCCGTTTGACATGATTTCAGCAACTGTGTGTTTCTCTGGTACGCTCAGACTCGCCTTTCCTCTTGAAATGTCACTAATCAGTTCATCCATCATCTGCGAAATAAACGTGGAGAACGATCAGAGGATGAAATGGCAGAAATGCTATTCATTTTTGTTTATCTGAAAGATTCACTTTACCTCGTTAATCTGCATTCCTGTTGTGAATGTCTCAATGGCTAAACCTTCCTTGATCTTCTCTATTGCCAATTGAAGATTGTTCTTGGCATCTTGAACCTTGAGGATGATGAACGTATTCTCAGATGACGGATTAGTAAATCCAGGAAATCAAACTTTCTACACGTACTTGACTTAGTCTCCATGGATGCCCTTCCTTGATATACGTGTGAATATTACCATTCGCTATTTTGGGCACTTTCAACTTCAGCTCCTGGAAGATGGGAATTAGTATCCTAACTATCCTTATAACCTCATCACCAATAATCATCTTCTAAACCATTATCATCATGAAACAAATTCACTGGAATTTTTGCAGATATTCCAACTTACAGCATTCGTAATAGAGTCGCCATTTACTGTCACGTAGCCTTTCAGAACGTCAATACTGGAAGACAGAAACCTCGAATGATTTTAATCACGACAAAACGCGCGTCTTTTGAGAATAACTGCGCTGAGTAGCATCGCCTACCTAGGTGTTTTGAGCAAGAATTTATCTGGTTTTTCAGAGCCGTCCTCTGCGGTAAACAAGAAATAAATTATGGAATTAATGTTGATGTGGATGAACGATGTACTCAAGATGAATATTAAGCAAAATCGAGTGAAAACGTCAGTTTTGTTATTCTGAATATCAATCTCTGCGTCTTATAAATTCGTTGAAGTACCCGATTTCTTTTGAGGTTTTTCGTTGAATGTTTCATCACACGCCTAAAATACATATGAGTGCTCTATTAATACTCCAGCTTTTAAAGTTGATCAGATGCGAGCTTCAACTTCCGGTTTTGTCTACAACTTGAAGTCAGTCCAGTCACATCGACTCCGATGAAAGGTTGAACTTTTAACCAGATTTTACCACGAATATGCGTATATTTTGTATCACCTTTAAAACACTTTCAACTTTTCTCAAAATGGAGGGGACTTGTTTTTCCAAAAGCCATTGAAGCTCCAGTCTCTGAAGACAGAAAACACTTTTAACTGAAGATAGTTTGCCCAACTCTTAACCTTAGACATATCACGGTTTCGATCATTCAAAACTAATTTACATACAACACGCTGGAATAACAAAATAACCTGTAGTTGTACAATTAACATTTAAACTGAAAATGATTAACTTTTAAGAAGAGTAGACGGTTCTCCATCATGAATCAACAATTCTCACTCTTCAGCATCTTTATTAAGACTTATTCCGCAACAAAATGCAAAGCAAATAAGGCTGAGAATAATAAAAGAAGAAATTACACAAACCATAACTCTTAACTCTTCTTCCTCACTCGTTGTCGCCGCCATCTTGTTTCCTAAAATCTCCGAAAAGCCTCGATTTATCCCACATTTCTCCTCATTTTTATCCCATTATCACCCAAGTTACTCTTAAACATACACTGCAAAACAAAAATTTTTAAAACAACGTGGTTTGTAAAAATGGTCTTTAAACAAGTCTATTTGATTTTATCTTTGTCTCAAGGTAGTTTAGCTGAAAATATTAATCAAAACTACCAGGGTTGTGCACTACGGGTTGTAAAACGCTGTGTTTTTATCTGATTTTCAGGCTTCGCTATTTTTATGTTTTGTTTATGCAACGATTTTGAGGCAGATCACCAGTTCAAATTTGGGACTGTTGTTGATGGAAATAGCTCTGCAAAAGTATGTATTGTTGTCACCGAATGTGTTTAATTAAAATTATTTCTAGCGATTTCAAACACATCTGCGTCTTCGACAAATTCCGGTCTAAAATATTCGTCCAATTAACCGTTTATATTTCATTTTTGCTTTATAGGAAATTTTAACATTAGGTTAGTTATAAATATGACATTCACTAGCTAGTTAATTGATTCAATTAAACAATATACAAATGTTCAAGTGTACAATAACTCCGTGTGTTTAAATTGTGTAGATAAGGTTGTTTTCATCCTAAGAAGTCAACATGATTCCTATCATAAACATAAAGCAAATATTTTTACAAAGAAACTCAAAGAACAGATTACTGCAAGAAGTATTAAGGTACACAGGCCATCTAATATTTAACCACCACATTTGCTATGATCCATGTATGGTCACCTTACTCACCATAATTAGAATACCAAGAAAGGTGTTTACATGCATAATTGTATGATCACTATGCTCATTCTGGTTGTGATGGTTACCTAATCTTGCCATAGTCAATATAGTAACTATGTCTTTAATCTTTTTAGGGTCAACTCACATTAATAAGCCTTAATGAGGATTGGGCCCCTTATGGTGCGTGGACAATATTCCCCATAATTAACATGTAAGTTTGTCGATTTGAAGATCAGTTTTCCACCATAACTAATTACTTACTGCGACCTTTAAGCTAATTTAGAGTTGACTAGCAAGCTCAGTTGTAATATAATCTTGTTGTTTCATCTGCTTCAGCTTAGCTAAAGAACATGCAAACTCAAAATCCTGGTTCTTTTTCTGTGAAGATGAAACCATTCTTGATTTGAATGGAGTTTTAGAAGTACTGAGTAATTATGATCACAGCGAGGTACTTACGATGCATACATGGCTGAAAAACCTTGTTGAATATGAGTCATAATTGTTAACTCAAAGCGCATCAACTTTTAGGAGTTTTTCTTGGGTCATGCATTACAAGATCCACAGCCAGCCATAATACACCATTTTGCATTTCATGAAGATACCTCAAAATTTTCATTTCCTGATTTTTCTGCTGGATGGGCCATTAGTTCAGTTCTGATGAGGAGGTAAATGTTCTTTAGTGCAGTCCCCTTAACTTCCCTTTTGATGCCTTACTGCAGGAAGAGTGAAGCCAAGACTGCATGATTGAGGGCAATGATTTTTTTATGATTCTTCGATTTTTAGGTTGGCGAAACAGCTGAATGACAATCCAGCTAAAATGGACTTCAGTATCGATGTGCAACATGAGGTATGTCACTTGTTTTTAATCTTTTTAATTCAGTGTTTTTAACTTCTGTCTTTTAAGTATCTCTCATCTTCCGGCCCTTCTCCCCACCCTTTCTCTTTCCCCACCTCCCGCTTTCTTCTCCTCTACTTTGCTGTCTCTCCCCCTTGCTCTCTCTTCTCCCTCTCATTCTTTACAATTTCATTTTTCAGATTGCAATGTTTATTCATGACAAAGGAAAGGGTGCAGAGCTCACTGATGTCCGTGAGTTCTGTACCTCGTCACCTGGTGACAATGATGACTGTGTGACATCATTCTATGATTCCTCAGCTTCATGTGTAAGTAGTAAGTTGTCAGCTCAAGCAATGTGCTTCCTGGAGTTTCCTGAACTACTTTTTATCTGCAATCTTATCAGGGAGAAGTTGACTTGAATGACTTGTTCTTTGCTGTGAAAACAACAAAGAAGTTTCATAAAGACAGAGGTGGGTTAGAAAATGTTAACTCTAAATGATGTGTTGCGTGAGGGTAGCTGCATAGGTCTGACTTTGATATAGGGTCATCACCAAGTCATATCACTTTCTCTCTGTTTCATTTCCAGTTCCAATAATCAAGAACACGATTGGCCAGCACACATCACGTGTTGTGTACTACAGTGAAACTATCGACCCAAGTATTCCCACTGAGGACACAGGTGTACCAAACACAGAATCAGGTAAAGGGTGTCAATGTAGAAGGTTACCAGCTTACCATATTTTGGTATGTTTACCATGGTCAATTTACCGTGGTCAATAATACCATTTTCCGGTACATTTGACCATGGTCGAGTACACCATATTCCGGTATATTCGACCTTACCAAGATCAAATATACCATATTCTGTTACTATGGTTTATATATCATTGCATAAAGTGAATTAATTTGGTTTTTTAGGACATTGCTCCAAACTCTGGTCCATCATGCGTAAGAGCAAAGTAAACAAAAAAGGAAATGGGACAAAATGGCTGGTAGTTGTGGATGATGATACTATAATGAGGTATTTTTTCCAAGGAATCTGATAGACGAATATACTATATTATAAAGTTAGTTTAGTTTAGGTTGAAAAATCTTGAACCCCTGAATAATGTATCCCAACGTACATCTTGCAGCGTGCCCCGGCTTAGACGACTTCTGGCTTGCTATGATCCCAAAGAGAGGACATTATTGGGTGAGAGATATGGTTATGGTTGTAATATTGGCCATGGTTATGAATATATCACTGGTGGAGGAGGGTAAGATATATATTTTTATATATCTATCTGGCTGGTATGATATGGCAGGAAAGGACTGTGTTGGTTGTTAAATGAAACGTCATTTCTCGATCGGTTCGACTAGTTTCGTAAAGAATAGGAAAAGATATAAACGATTATGTATTGCAGGATGGTTTCTATTTCAACAGCCCTCCTAAGCGCCCTTGAAATATATTAAGCACCCTTGAAATATATTAAGCACGAGATTACCTGGACTGGATATTATTCTCTATGGCTGCCTTCACTTTCTCATATTCTAACTTGTGGTAGTATTGTTTTCAGCATGGTCTTGAGTAATGTTGCAGTTGATGCAATATTAAATTCAGATTGTGGTTGCTATGCTCACGATGCTCCAGACGACATGGTCTTGGGTCAGTGTTTTAGAATGCTGGGATTACATACCGTGCATACTCCAGAATTCCACCAGGTCAGTGTCTTCATCTATTATGGATATGCAGGTGACACTTTGTCTATGTTTGTTTGTTTTTCTATTTATTTATTATGAATCTGATCAAAAATGAAGTACTGATGTATGATGATGTATTGACCTTCACCAAGAGCTCTGAGAATAGAGTTCTTGTATTAAACTTTCTCTTGGAGGGAGACCTGCTCACACTGGACATCCCAGTGCTGTTCGAAGCTTGGTCATAGCCTCACCGAGGTCTGCATTTGCAGTCAAACCCGACTTAACTTACAAGAGATGTGTTTCCTCCTTATAGGCGCGTCCTGTCGAGTACTCTCCAAAGTTGCTTGTACATCAAATCCCTGTATCATTTCACAAGCATTTCGATATTGATCCAATGAAAGTGTACGAGGATTATCTCAGCTAACCCGAGCTAAAAAGTAAAGATTTTTTTGGTACATCAGGTATTTATGTGCACTGATAGAAAGTGCAGAAAATGACAATCATTCAAATGGCTGATGAAATCATCGCCTTTCAATGAGTAAATTAGTAATGACTTGAAGAACTAGATTTTTTGTCAGGAATATGGAACAATGCAAAGTCAAGTCAAAGGGTGGGGAGAGAAACAGATTTTTGAGTGGGGGACTGCAATTTCTTGTTCCCACCTCTGTTTCTCAAGTTACCATACCGGTTTCATCCGGCATAGCCGATAAGGCATCGTGATGCTTCTATGGGATGTTTCTATTATTTTTCTCTTTATTTTATGATATCTCATTGTAGACTTCAACTGAACTAACCAGTTGGTTGAATTAAACAGTCTTTCAAAATTAACAACTAGTTTTTGCTGTTTTAAATTTTAATTTTGTATTTGGCACTATTTGCGCATTTGCGTTATTGGTAATTTTATCTCGGTCGATTTCCGATACTCTCCGAACCCAGCTCGGTACGATTCCGATTCATACTTCTCGTGTATGGATTAATGTATTAATAAACATCAAAATCTTGTAAAAAAACAAAACAATCGAGCATTGATAGTTTATTTTATTTGTTTTATACGCGTTTGAATTCAAAATAATTGACTAAATTACATCAATTTTGAGAGAGGGACATTGTATACTGAATATTTTTGACTTTGGAAACCAGCGATCTACAAATATATCGGAAATTCAAGGTAAGGGCTATTTTTTTGTGGTGATATTATTATGCACATATATTTTGCAGTTGCAGTAGTGTTTATATACCAGGTATGCACATATATATTACACTGCAGTGTTTCATATTGTAGTTATAGAATGTATACTTTGATCTAGGATTGCCCATATTGAATGAGCAAGGTATATATTCCTAATGTCAGAACCAGGCGAGCCTCCAGTGGGCCAAAGGTTGTCTGAAAACGATCAGAGACAAGGAGATAGCTCACAAGAAAGCAAGGACAGTCGATATGCAAAAACATTTCAGGTATTCCAGCAAATGGGCTTGTTAGAGTATACCTTAGAGATGGCAAAGTTGTGCAAGGAAAATGAACAGCTTCAACATAAAATTGATAAACTAGAAAGAGAGGTAAATGAAAGTAGTCAAAAAGCGAAACAAAGCCTAAAGAAGAAAATGGAGGAGGTGTCGCAAACTACTGCAAACACGACAGATGATCCACCAATGACATAGGTAGACCAGCCTTTGTTTCATTCACACTTAGTGTACAAATTCTTATTCTATTAAATAATACAATTGATCCTTGATACTCAGAAGCTTGCAAAACACAAGCCCAAAGCTGTTTCTTGTTACCTGCAGTGTAATATATTGTAAAACCTGTTCAGTTATCAACATAATCAACTGAATTCCTCAGGTCACTGGTTAGGATATCTGCTATTGTATATAAAGTATTAGCATCTATTGGAAAACATTGCCAATAATTATGGACATATAGTGTACAATTAGTTTGACAAGAAACAAAACCAACTTTTATTTTATTTTATGCTAACTGAATGTATCAAATTTTAGTCATTAGGGATGAGTGTAACTAACAATTCACTACATCTAATAGAGGATTTGAAACATTTGTTAATGAACAAATTGTTACATCACAGTTTTCTAATTAACTGTTAGCATGTCTGACGTCATGATGCTAATTACCTGTAGACCGAAATTATGCGGAAAATGCTGTCAAACTGCGAGAAAACGTTCTTACGTTCGATGAAACGAAACTAGGACAAACTTTTTGCATCATAAAAGCTTCAAATTTCTCGAACATGTTAATTTTAAAGCTTTTGAAATCAAGATGATGCTCAGCTATCGAAAATTCTTTCCGAAGCGGCCGGTTTTGGATTTTAACTGGTACTTTTGCCGGCCATGCGATTCAGTTCGCAGACGACTCCCCATCGTTAGAAGTTGTCAAACTGTTGCAGAATTGAAGCAAGACAGCGAAAGTAGTATTAGTTTTAACGATACAAAGATTGCTTATCGAAGTAAAACAACACGGGAAATTGTACGTTCTTTGTTCGTGTTCAGACTCTGTTCAGTAAATTACTTGGTCGATAATAATTTAAAGGTATGTGTTGTTATGTGTTGTTGTTGTCTGCTGTTGTCACAATTAATAATTCTCGAACTTTTATAATTGCGTTAGTTTCAAATTATGTTTTAAAGTTCTTTTAAAGTTTTATTTTATTCGCTGCATTTCCAAATAACAGACTATATGCTTGTAAGGATGGGTTCATACCTGCAGAGATGTAAACTCAAGCGAAATATTTGCACATTCATGTTGTGTTTTTTTAGTATATTGTGACACCCAAGAATATTTTGTTCGAGTCCTGTTGTTCGACTTGACCAATTTAAAAGAAAATAGACAGGAGTATTATTCTTTTGCAAGTTGAAATACTGCCCTTGTTTTGATTCGTATGATAGAAAGTAATGTATACATATAAAGCCGGAGTTATAAGACCATTAATGACATCTGTTATCACTTTGATTGACCTTAATTGTGTCTGGAAATATACTTGGGTGAAACATATTATAGCCATTAAGTACTTTACTACCCTCTGGCAAATTTGTACAATATAAAATCTTTGATAACAACTTGATAAAACTGATAAGAGGGTAGTTTTGTGTTCCATGGAAGTTAGCACATCAAGATTCTTAGAAATTGTGATACCTTGAACTTAGGTCAAAACTTTGAAACTGAGCCAGTTTGACTTCTATTGCAACCAGCAGGTGGTTTATAGAAAATCTTGTAATCACCTTAACTGTTAATTATTTTGTTGTAGTTCTTGTCATTGTTGCATTTAAACATTTACAAAATAGATCATTTTATTAATTTCTCCCATTTTGTCCTCATTTGCTAAATTACCCACAAATTGCTACCAGATTTCTGTCCTTAAAACACTCTCCTTAAATTTATTTAGTTAATGAAATATGGGAAGAAATTTCTTGGAGAAAGAATGTTCAACTCTCTGATGAAGGCAACATTTTATGGACATTTTGTTGGCGGTGAAGATCAAGTTGCTCTGAAGCCAGTTGTGACAAGACTTCAGAAATTTGGTGTTGGGGCAATACTTGATTATTCTGTTGAAGAAGACATTGATGAAACTAGGTGAGCTTGCTTGGTTGCACACAAGTGGTTGGTTGCACCTGTTGGGCTAGGCATACGTATTGCATTTCCTCTTAATAGTAAGATGGTATGCTCTTGCATTTTAGCACTGGAAGCAGTTCTGAAAGTGAAGGCAAAACCACTCCTAAACAAGGTAATTGATATATGAATCTTTGTTAGTGTGCAGGGCTATGGGATGGGCAGGCAGGCTGGTATTTTCCCTTACTCATCTTTTAACTTGGAGCTATACCTGACCATTACACCCAAGTGACAACAGGACCCATTCTCCCCAATTAATTGAATTAGTTTATTGCTGTTTAGCTCCAAACAAGGAGATTGTGAAACAGTTCCAGTTGAACAAGGATTTTGCAGACCGAAGAAAAAAGGTGATCAGTGCGAGAACCTACTTCTACGAAGACGAGCATAAATGTGATTTGCATTTAGAAACATTCTTGAAATGCATTGATGCAGTGGGTAAATATGTGATTGTTATATTGCAATCAGTTCAAATATTAGAAATCAATATTTCAGAATGAGTTTGTATATGGAGATGACTTAATGCATTATTTTATCATCACATATGGTCTTAAATCACTTAGGTTATGCCAGTGACAATGGATTTGCAGCCATTAAGTTGACAGCGCTTGGACGGCCTCAGTTGCTGGTAATTGCATTTTCATTGTTTTTTAAAAATTCTTATCCATCTCCAATTAACAATCCATTGTGCTGCACCAATACTTCAACAAGAATTGAAAACCTGAGAAAAAAAAGAAACCTGAGCACATTACCAGCTATGTTTTTTAAATCACATCTTGAATGATTATCTTTGATACTCTCAGTTAAGATTATCTGAGATTCTCTACCAAACCAAGTATCATTTTGATCAAATGGCCAGCCAGTGTGCCGAAGGAAGGATCATGAACAGAAGAATTGCACGTGACGGATTCTTCAAAGGTCTTCTGAAACTTGGTGTAAGTTTTTTTTGTTGTATTATAAAGGGGTGCATGAGTACGGACCAGAAACAATTTTGGAATATAATTTGTGAATCTGTTCTTTGTCATCTTTACTTCATAGATGCAACTAGGTGAAGAAGAGGCGAATGCGATCTTTGACACGATTGATATCACGAAATCTGGGTAATTCATGTGAATACTTTCATACTCGTTGAGCTCTGCTCATATTAAGAGAAGAACCATGATGACTGAACACTCACCACATTGCGCATTGGTTGAGTCAGCCGAGGTTAGATCTGAAAATCTGGTTCAATGTTCTTCATTTCTATCGTTTTGTTTTGTTTTGTTTTTCAGTGATATTGACATCATTGAATGGAGTCATTTTCTAACACCGCAATTAGAACTTTCTAAGCTGTTTCAAGCGTCGCCCGTGAGTATTCTATTGTATCATAATCTCTTTCTTTGCCTTTGGATGAAATGTCACCAGCAGAAGTACACCAAGACTACTTCTCCGAATCTTTCGTCAACTACTTCTCCAAATCTTTCGTCATTTTTAAGGATGACGCGAGCGATCCAGTCATTTCAGCGTTAACTGATGCTGAACTGCAGCAGATGGAAAGCATGAGAGATCGTCTTCATCAGTTGGCCAAGGTAAGGACGTGTTCGTGTTCTTCCCACTCGGCCACTCCAGGCTAACCATAGAACACCTTCATCTTGAAACAGAGAGCGATGGAACAGAATGTTCGTCTCATGGTCGACGCTGAACAGACGTATTTTCAACCAGCTATCAGTAGACTCACTCTGGACATGCAAAGATTGTATAACAGAGAGAAACCGATTATACTGAATACCTATCAATGTTATTTGAAGGTTGGTAAAGCCTCGCCGGGGTTATCCTAATTGATAGAGCCGCAGCTAGGGGGCCAGGGACAGGAGACAGGGGACAGCTGAACCTACCATAGAAAGTTCACCATAAGGTCTTTACTATCCTGATCTGGGGAAGGGTTTGTAAGGTTACGATACACTTGAATATGTTGTGAATGGAACATAACTGTGGTTTGTAAACCCTACTTACGTTAATTCTTCTAATGCCACAGGACGCCTATAATTCGGTGGAAACAGATATGGAACTTGCCCGTCGCGAAGGCTTTAAATTCGGGGCAAAGATAGTCCGCGGAGCTTACATGGAACAAGAGAAGGCTCGCGCACAGGCGATGAACTATGAAGACCCAATACAGCCTGATTATCGGGCTACTTGTGATAATTATAACAAGATTGTTAGCACCATCTTGGAGGAAGTAAAGCGGTCTGGAGCGAATATCGTGGTCGCTAGTCATAACGAGGATTCTGTTGTTTTCACACTACAGAGGTAACTTTTGATTCTTGCATTCATTCAACTCTTATCCCCATGGTCCCTCACCCAATGACATGCGCCTCACCCAATGACATGCGCCTCACCCAATGACACCCAGGAACGCGCCATTTGACGCAACATTTCTTCATGAGGTTTCCGTGTAATTTCTTTAAATTTTCATTTCGCTTTTCCACCGATATAGGATGATTGAGCTCTCCATACCTCGCGATCAGGGCGGAGTATATTTTGCTCAACTGCTTGGCATGTGTGACCAGGTATCCTTTATCTTAGGTGAGTAGGAACACAGGTCGTAGGTCACCCACATCCCTGCTGACCCTCGCCTTAAGGTGGGTCACGGGAGGTTGATTATTGCTCACAAACAAGTCGAGAGTAGGCGTCATTTAGTGACGTCATTGTTGTCATTTCCAGGTCAGTCGGGATACAACGTCTTCAAATACGTTCCCTACGGATCTGTTTCCGATGTTCTGCCGTACCTTTCCCGACGAGCAGCGGAGAACCGCGGTTTGCTGGACGGTGTATTGAAAGAACGAAAACTGTTGTGGAAGGAATTGAAAAGACGACTGCGGGAGAAAGAACTGAATTACGACCCTCACAATGCTAATGTCCTTGGCTGAGAGCTGCGGAGCTCAGAGTTAACTGGATGGAGTAGACGGGATATTGGAAAGCCTTCACCTTGAGTGCCTTGAACCTTGTGACAATGTGAGTCTTTCAAATAAAGACACATTTGGTCAGGTCTGGCCTCGTTTATTCCGTCGAAAGGATGCAATTATTCTTCGATACCAAAGCCTAGTGTTCTCAAATGAATGCTGGAGTAACAATTGTCCTGAGAATGAATCGCTGGTTGTTTAATGTACCATTTGTCACGATATAGTCCTGATGGATCCTTATCAAATTTTGAGTTTGGCAGTTAAGAACGATTTGGCAACGGTGAAGACTTTTGCTTACTAGTGGTAATTTCTGATATACATGCATGAAATGGCTTCTTTATTTACAGTCGCAATGGCCCAGCCTTTGTGGAAGGCGCAGAGAATATATATATTGATTTAGAACGGTCTTCAGATCTAAATTTTGTCCGATCCAATACGCTTCTGACATATGGAATGTAGTCAGGGTTGCGAGATTACTGAATAAATTGGCCAAATATTGTTACCATAATCGTGATTCGTTGTTTTCTTTATTTCAATTTTCAAACAAAGAAATCAAAGGGCCGACTACAACAATGTTTTGGCTTCTTTTTTCAGTAATCTGGCGACCCTGAATGTAGTGTGTTACTGCTAAGGAAATACTGTGTCGACTTTAGTTGATTTGCTGCCCAAATACATTGCAAGTCAAGACTCAACACACTCTAAAACATCCATCAGAAGTGAATTTGATCCGACAAAATTTGATCGCCGGTGAACAGGCCTCAGGGGGTATATAATATTGAAAATATTTAAGTATAAAGTTATGAAATATCTTCATTTATCTTGGTTAAATATTAGGGTTATATTATATACAAAAAAGTAATGAATATATATAGTTTCTAGAAAACTGGTATATTTATTATTTAACGAATTAACGGGATTTATACTCAACGCCTGCGGGTGAAAAATATCGTGGAGTATCCGTGTCGTACGTGGATTGGACTTTGAAACGTCTAAAGCTAAACGTATCCAAACATTCTCCATGCTCTCCGCTTCATTTCGCTGAGTAAAATGGCGCTTTCTTTCGCTGTTCTCTTCAGCATAGATTTATTTTCTTGAGCTCGCCTCAAGAGATAGAGAATGGAACTCTCGACTGTACCGTAGGGGACGGACTTGTGAACTATGAAACCAGCATTTCCTATAAGAGAACGAACTTGAGAATCACACAGCAGAAGGAACATGATCTCCGCTCTAGATCTTACCATTGCGAATACCATCCACAGAATACCGTGAATTGCACGCAAGGTAAAGATGTAGTTTTCAAGCTTACCTAATCCGTAGCTGACATGGTCACACATGCCATAAAGCTGGCCAAAAGAGACGGAACCATCATCAGGTTTTACACCGAGTTCCTTTATTCGTTTGACGCCATATTCAACACAATCTTCATTATGTGTTGCAAACATCACCTCAGCTTTTCCTTTGGCAACTAATGGTAGCATCAGGTCCGTTGCCTTGAAAGAAATACCATAGCATTTACGCTGTGAATATATATTGATGATCACCTGTCAGTCTGTTTCTAATATGATCATTTCATATGCATTGGCTCTTACAAGTTTATAATTACGTTCTGTTTCTTCAATACTATCGCAGATGGGATCTTCATAGCCATATTTTGCTGCTCTCTCGCGCTCATGTTCCATGTAAGCACCTCGCACTAGTTTGCAAGCAATCTTGAAGTTGTGCTTTTCAGCGTATTCTACGTCATTCTGAATCCTTGCTGGTGTGTCCTGTTATAAAAGTATGCAAAATTCAAGGATCTGAATTAAGAGATCAACTATAGTGAGCTACGCTTACATTTCTTCTTTCTCTTTTGATGTCCAGTAAGGATCATCTCTTATTGATCCAGTATTACTACAGGAAGAAACCTAAACTAAACTAACTTTATCTTTACTGGATAGCTCTATCAGTTCTAAACTGTTCTTCCTAGAGGTCCAGTAAGGATCACCTCTTATATATCTAGTGTTACTACAGGAGGAAACCTAAACTAAACTAACTTTATTTATACTGGATAACTCTATCAGTTCTAAACTGTTCTTCCTAGAGGTCCAGTAAGGATAATCTCTTATTGATCCAGTGTTACTACAGGAGGAAACCTAAACTAAACTAACTTTATTTATACTGGATAGCTCTATCAGTTCTAAACTGTTCTTCCTAGAGATCCAGTAAGGATCATCTCTTATTGATCCAGAGTTACTACAGGAGGAAACCTAAACTAAACTAACTTTATTTATACTGGATAGCTCTATCAGTTCTAAACTGTTCTTTCTAGAGGTCCAGTAAGGATCATCTCTTATTGATCCAGTGTTACTACAGGAGGAAACCTAAACTAAACTAACTTTATTTATACTGGATAGCTCTATCAGTTCTAAACTGTTCTTTCTAGAGGTCCAGTAAGGATCATCTCTTATTGATCCAGTGCTACTACAGGAAGAAACCTAAACTAAACTAACTTTATTTATACTGGATAGCTCTATCAGTTCTAAACTGTTCTTCCTAGAGGTCCAGTAAGGATCATCTCTTATTGATCCAGTGTTACTACAGGAAGAAACCTAAACTAATTCAGCATTAAGCACAGTTCTACCTTTCTGTAACATTGATATGTGTTATAAACAATTGGATTTTGTTGATTATATTTCTGTTGCATAGCCAGAATGATTAAATCCATGCCTGCTTGAAGACTCAGATATTCAGCATCTAACATCAATTTTACTCCTCGTTCTTGAGCATGCTAAAAGAAAAACAACTTCATGGTCAAACAACTTGATTTCTGGCAACAAAAAATGTGGATCAGTTTTGGTATTTTATACATACATTAGCTAGATTATCCAATCTTGTTAAAGATTTCTTAACATGCTTGTTTGTTGCACTATTACAGTTGGGAAGGAATTTGGACTGCAATGAAGAAACAAGATTTATCCAGCTTGAAAAATGTCCTTCATGAACCTTATATGGATGGAATGGATAGAAAAGAATGGAGATGTACTACCTCATGATTTGAATCAAGTGCTTTTGACCAAGTTGTGACACTCAGCTCAGAGGGCCTCTTGTCGTGGTTTACTTTGTAGTCAGAAAGCAAATCTGTTACTTCTCTCTGAAATGGTAAATATCACACTTATGACTTATTAGATGATAGATAAGTGTGATTTCTCTTTAAACTGCTCTATGATTGACTGAGAGGACACTTTGCTCAAGTGTTACTGTCGTGTCTAAAAATAAACTGGACTTTTATGTAATTTGTAGCAGTGTGTTGGTCCTAGTTTGTGAATGAAGTTTTTCTTACCACGGCATCTGAACTGATGAATGGAGTTATTTTTGTTTGGGCAAAGCATCCAAGAGAAGCTTAAAGGTAGAATTGAGGCAAGGTAAGAATGTAGAAGAGTTTTATTATATTCATTGCTATTTTCATAGATATTGGCTTGTACACAAGTTCTAGACTGTAGTCTAATAGCCTATTTGTAAAATGATAGTTATTATCACCTGTGATATCAATACAGTCCAACATCAAATTGAGGTTTGTATCATATAGAAGCTCTCTACCATAATAAAACAAATTCAAAGTAAAACAATTTAACACCATGTACAGGTGATGTGTAGCTAGTGAGTTGTGATGTGAAAAAATATAATTTTGAAGGCCAAGCCATGACCTTGGAAACATGATTTTATTGTAAAAATGAAAGTCATTCAATATCAACTTACACATCATGTGCATTCAGTAATAAGTTATCAGCTGTTATGTCTTCAGATGGAATACAAAACATACAATTAATGTTGGATTTTTGCAAGTTTGATGCAATAAATTTGACATCTTGCTCAGTTTCACCAGCTACAAACTGCTTGTAAATAGTTCTCTTTATAATCTTCTCATAAAATTGATCACCAAATATTCCTTTGCACCATGCAAGCAGCTGTAAAAAAATGATTGAAATCCAGTCATTTATTAAAACTCCTTTTAACATCTGTCACTTTTACAAATAGACTCTAGGTAAATACTTAGGTTGTAGCTACACCACTTAAGTACTTAATACTTCAAAGCTTCGGTCCGTTAACCCGGGCTTTCATCAGTGCAATAAAAAGGCACATCTTGACACATTTTGATGAAGGCCCGGGTTAACAGACCGAAAGCTTTGCAGTATTAAATACTTACGTGGTGTACCTACAAGCTAAATTACTAACATACAAGAATATCAGACTCTAGCTAACCCATACGGTGTACTTACTTTGTCTTTGTTTCAAAACAATTGTGTTAAAAAAACGGATTCCTTTTTGACACGATGTATTGGGTTTCGGAAGCATGCTGAGTACAAAATAACATAAAAAATAAATACGAACCTTTTCGCTATTGTCAACTAAAGTATTAATGGTACACAATTTCAGTATAACAAACGCTTTTAGGATATCAGAAGACGATTTAGATTCAGTGGATAATCTACTATCATTGAAATGCAATTGATGTTTATCACTTTCTAGCTGTGGTAGTTCTCGATTGCTCGAACATCCAGCCTTAGCGGTATTTTCCACGAGGACACAACGAAACCTTGCAACATTTCGTAGATTTATTTTGACTTCGAGGAATTTTTTGACCGATTGCAGCATAACTGAGACTTCCTATAACTGTTTTTGCAGCGAGCCACCGGATCATTATCGACGAAAACAACGCACAATTCATTTACATGAAATTGAAAAAACATAGCGTATCCTGTAAAACAGGAATTTCTCGTTCGAAAACCAGTCATTTGTGAAGTTTTGATTCTTTCCAAAAAAAAAACAATTTTATTGACCCTGACCTTTTACCAGGCCTTTGACACTCCCAGAAAACGCCCCTAAACCACCCTACAGCTCACTGATCTGTATAGATAAACTGGACATGATGCTCGTTATAGCAATACTTCATCTACGACAGTTAATACGAGGATCATAAGTGATTCATAAACATTCAACAATTCCTTGGCAACTTGGGAGTTTGTAAAGATGTTTTTGATAATTTTTTCGTTGTTTTGTAATTGTGAAAAGGCAATCCTGAACGAGGCATTGGTTTAAGATTGTTTGTCGTCATATATTGTTGAAATGGCGTTGGAATTGGTGCTAAAATCGCTCCTCACTTCGACAAAGTTTACGAGTTCAAGTGAAGATGAAAAAGATTGGGTTTCCATTGCAAAATTGATCCCGGGAGCAACGCCGAAGCAGGTTTGTTAAAAAAATGCAGAAATGATGGACTGTTTCTTACAGAAGTGAATAATCAGTGCATAAACTATAAACAACATTGTTATATTAAATTGATTAATGAATTATTAGCCTGGGTAAATATAAGATTTTTAAGGTCTTTCATCTGTAATCAAACCTTCCCTCCTGCACTCCAGAGAAGTGCTCTTATTACTATGCATGCAAGCCATGGATTCCAGGCCAGCTATAATCAATGTCAGCTGGTACACTTGTAGGGTAGATCTGCCATTAACTTGTCTCATTTGTACTCTAATATCCAAATTTTCTTTCAACAGTGTGCAAAGAAATGGGATGAACTCTGCCACAACAGACTCTTTATCGCACCAGGCAGTGATCTCAATGATGATCTGGATAGTGTTGCTAATTATTTACTCCACAAGCAAGATAAAAGTCCGGATGAGTTGATCCATGCAGTTGAAGATGATGGTGTTTCTATTGATAAAGATGTTTCTTTAACAGAACAAACCTCAGAGAAAGGCGAGTTTATATTTGGTAGATTTAGAGAATGGTGTTCTCAGATAGCTAATTATTTTCATCTCTTTTGGGTCAAAATTATGCATTTATCCCCATATGATTCACAGTATCGCAGCAGTTGTAAACATGCTGTTTAGTCCCCAACCCTAAACTTATATAAACCTTTCCAATAGCAAGTAAATAATCTGGTATTAGGTAAAGAAAATAGAGCCATTTAGTTGATATATAGCACTTGTGGAGGTCCATATCTTTTAATATTTCAATCTTATTTTCTTTTATGTTGCGTCAATGTTTCCTTCTATTAAAAACAAAAGAAGTTTCAAGGTACGGGTAGAATTTTGTGGATACATTGTTTTTTATGAAATATGATATCATCCCGTAAAGGTAGTAACTACACCAAGAATATACAGTTAATAAGTTTCTTTCTCTCAATAGCAAAATAAAAACTGAAAATGTCACTGATCAGAAGAAGGATTCAATGATGGTGAATAAGAAATTTAAACCCAAGCAGCCATCAACTGATGGGTAAATTTCACAATTGATTTATGATCTGTATCATTACAGATGACTAAAATTTTGTGGTTGAATGCAGTGTAGATTACTCTCAACCAGGAAATAAACATTGGATTTATCTCATTCTTCTTTTAGACCTAAAATGGTGATTCATGTCTGTGATGAAAGTAAGAATTGTAAGTATGCATGAAACACAGTAAACTGTCATGTGAAATATTTTATTAGTTCATTGATTAGTCAGGTGCATATCAACTAATTATTAGCCGTGCGATTGATGAATAGACCTTTTTCATAATGACATCAAACGCGGAAAGTCTGATGTTACACAAAGTTTGAGTGGCTGGATAGTTATGTGGAGCCAATCAAATTTCGTGTAACATCAGACTTTCCGCGTTTGACGTCATTATAAGAAAGGTCTATTAGAACCATTATCTTTCTTGAGATTATTTCTTATCCAGTGAATGCCATAAATTTGCGAACTTAATCTAAACTTAATTTAACTTAAACTCGATTGTATAACTATATTGGACCTTTAGTGAAGCAAGACTTCTTGTGTCCTCGGGACTTGCTGGTGAACGAGATGAAATATTTTGCGGAGTACCTCTCTCTGGAACCCCAACGCTGGGAGGAAGTGGACATCTCTGTGCATTGTGATGTGCAGATATTTGATTGGTTAATGAGATATGTTAAACGTGATGCAACAAACAGTGATGATGATGTTGTACCAGGATTAGGTATTGCCCATATTCAGTGATATTTTAATAAAACAGTAGTCATGCATACAAGCTAGTTTACATCGTATTTCTTTTGCTGTCATTTCAGAACCAAATAATGTTATTTCAATTTTAATCTCATCAGATTTTTTAAGGATGGATTCTTTGGTTAGTTTTCTTTACCTTTACCAGTTTGCCTCAATCATAATTTTTTCAGGAGGTTTCCAATCACTCAAATGTCCCTAATTCTCCAAAGTTGGATTGACGATGTAAACATTTTTTCTTGATAGGTCACGAAATGTATTCATTACTGTCATGAAAATATGTCTGCTATTGTCTCAACACCCTGCAATATGAATTGCATCAATGATAAATTAGTAACCAGGTGAGAAACTCTCCCTCAAATTAAATCTTGAATTGATAATTAAATAAATGGATAACTGGAAGAGTTAACAAACAAGTACTGTATTGTGGATTTCAGAGCAATTATCAATACATTTTTTTACTTTAGGATAAGTAAATTATTTAATCATTCAGAATTAGATGCAGTCAAAGATAGAAAAGACAAATTTAAAAGGTATTTTTATTTACTATTTTGAATGATAATAATCAGCTGTAGGGACACACAGGGTCATTCAACCTGGTCTCAGGTACATTGTTCTCTAGATAAATAGATATGTCTGGATTTTTTTAGTAAGTTATTTTGTAAGAAAATTGAAGAGTTTGTTGAAGGTTCACCTGGAACAAATAGCTCCAGTCAAGAGGATGCAAGCACTTTATTCAGGTTATCTTAAAATTTAAAATGAGATGGCATTTGTGGTGATTGTAGTAATGACAGTGCACAGTACTACTGGTGATATATAAGTGATTATCTAGATCATACAGTTAATCAAATAAGATAAGTGTTGGAGGAACTTCCACTATATTTGATTTTTTTTATGTTGTTTTAGATGTGTTGCCTGCAAGAGATTGCTGACTGCAAAGAATCAGTGTAAGGTGCCTTGTGTTTTAAACAGGTAAATTTTGTGGTCAAAATCTTTTAGGGGAAGCTGATTTTGAGTGAATTATTGCCTGCTGTAATCTGTATGTCTTCAAGACTGAACCTTTGATAATTTCCTAGAATGCATGTTGACTCAAGAGGGGAGATTTCCTATTCACATTCTCGGTAAGTATGCAGTTGTTTTCATTTCTTTTCCGCTCAGAAGCTGACACTGAGCTCTCTTAGACACGCCGCGAAGGAGTGTTTTATCATGCGTTTTAGATATGACAAACAACCGCCCCAGCTGCATGTAGTTCTATTGTTGTACGTTTCTACAGTTTCTTTGCTCCTCTTCAGTGACGCATTATGGGATATTAACGATCATCTCGTGAGTTTAAAAGAGAAGTTGAAAACTTGGCGTGATGTTTATTGGAGGTAAAAAATGGTCGAACCTCTTTTGCAAATTCTATCAATCATTATATTAGAAAAGTCTACAGGTGAGTTACAGGTCAACAATCTTAAGTATCTTCTCAGGTTGTGGGGATCAACTAACATCCTGTATTGTCACCAATGTCGATGTTATTTTCCCTGCACCGAGCTTGGTCATTGTCAGTATCACACTTCATCGTCGGAGTATAAAGGTAAATCTGATGATTTGGCTGGCGTTTATCCGTGTTGTCAGCAGAAGGCTTTGCTTTACGATTCCATCGGCGTTTTCACGGTAAGAATTTTTGCAAAAACCTCTGAGCTAGTAATTACAATGAATGTGAAGAAATTCCGTTGAATAACAACAACATATTATTTCATTGTAATCTTGAGATGAAAGTTGTCAAGTTGGGATATTAGATATAATTCTTCCACAAATCTACTAAATTTACTGATTGGAAAAAGTGGTAGGTTTTACGAAACAAAATCTGGTTTTATTCTCACAGGGCTGTCGTGTCAAGGATCATCTTCTTCAACCCCCAGGGTCCCCTACCGTCCCCAGTGACCCTGATGATAACAATGAACAACAAGACAAGAGTTCATCTTTGGAAAGGATCCCGTCCACATCGTCCTCTCACGAAGCAACGAAACGTCAAAACAGTAAAAATATTGTGAATGATCCTACGATAATAAATGATCTGTTGGCTCACCGAGATATCATCTGTTTACCTTATCAAAGACTGGCCAGTGCTAGGTACTGTAGGAACCGTCTCTTCATTAACGACTAAAAAAGCTGCGCATTAAGAAGATTGGCAGAAAATTACCTTGTCAATGGATGGTTCTTCATCTCTTCCAATCAATCATCTCGTATTTCTCTTGTAGAACATCGGAACTGAATATTTTCAACGAAGACGAATCAATTCAAGACTGGAAGTCGTCACGGGTAAGAATTTTACTTTTGTACTGAAGAGATCTTGTTCATGCCTGACCTACACAGTTTCTTACTCGAAGCGTATTCTCTTGGCTTTTTATCAAAGCGCGGAATTATTTACTGCATCAAAAGATTCGATTTATTTCTTCCAGCATGTCTCCCACAAGTTTCCTGGTAATGTGATGGATAAAAGAGCCGTTGTGGATCGTTCATCTGTGAGTATAATTCATTGATAATGTGTTGCAGTTTCCTAGCTGTCCATCAGACACGACTCTCAAATATCTTCCAGTCATTACCACCAATCAAACGGACCAAGACGAACTTGTCTCAGCGAATGCCGAGCGCTCGGCGGAAGACGGCGATCTTGCAGAATAACGAGTATCTTGATTCTAATGACGATGAAGAGGAGGGGGAAGAAGAACTACGAAATATCAAAGGTACTCCCCCCCTGCTTTATCCATTTTAAGTGATAAACACAGTGCCTATTTTGCGGGCGGTGGGGTTGGTCTCTCTCACTCTCAGTCTCAGAGATCGTAAAACTTGATTGATGGCTGAGGAATCTTCAGGAAATCATTTAAGAAATACTTCCGTGCGTGCTTGACTGTACATGTTTTTTTCTTCTTCCAAGTTCATCATTTTCGTCGCATCAAGAAACGATTAACTGCTGAAGAAAGACAAAGGTGAGGAGTAAAAGAAAGCGTTGTTCAGAAAAAATACATTCAACTGGACTTGAGATTCGTAACATTCTGCTTTTGTAGTTCATCAGGGTTCAGGTGGGACCCGCAGCGGTCACCAAGATGGAACCAAGACGCCCAGAGAGAGGAAGGTTGGTATGATCACTGATAATGGAGTCAATATCAATTATCATAGAGAGGAAGGGTCGCAAGTCCTTGGTCTCTCGCCAGTGAAATCTCAGCTAATAGATTGGCAAGAGACACTTTCAGTCTTCAGATAGTTCTGTCAATAAGTGTGGAATATTTCAGCAAGTATTCACCCACAAGATGAATCACGTTTAACCGTGCATGAAGCAATCAAACACTAACAGTTTCATATGATCATTCACCATAGATTCCAAAAGAATGAACGAGGTAATAACCACAATGGCAAAACTCAGATCAGCGACGACACAAGAAAAGAAGTCAAAAAGTAAAGAGGTATGAAATCAACATTAACGTCGAAACTCTATGAATCCATCTCCTGCACAAACCTCTCCTTAAGATCGTGACGCGTCACCCTTTTATTTCTTTCAGTTTCCTGGTGGAATATTTCACAAACTCGACCATCAATTTCGTGTTTCAATCCAACCGCCCGTCGTCAAACACCAGAACTCAAACAATCAAATTTTGTCAAGGTAAAAGCTGGAAAAACTTGATCTCGTGAGGGTAGCTACCTTCTTGCGCTGTTGTACTGACATGCAAGCGTTTATTTTGTTTTTATCAGTTTATATTAATCAATAACATCAGATCAAAAACTTATTCCCTTATTTGATGAATTATTTTGTAGTTCTCGTGGAAAGAGGATCGGCAAGAGTTGACATTAAATTTGCCTTCTCGAAAATGAAATATCCTGGACTTGGAATTTTTTCGTTCGTGTCCTGAAAATGACTTTTCTTGCTCTCTAAATAGTAAGTTATCAGTGGGAGATCCTTACTCCAAAATTGCTTCTGCAATATCTGGATTAAAACACTTCAAAAAAGACAGCCAACAGTGGGCAGAGCTAGAGACTGTAATACAGTATCCTGGTCATGACAACATTGGTTGAAACAATTATTTATTGTGAACGCTACAATTGCTCTTAGCAGTATTCAGACGTGTTCAATAGATGTACATAAAATGATTTTTAGACTTGTCTATGAAAACAGCCTGTTTTAGTTGAATATCTTGTAAAGAGAGCAGTTTCATTGAGCAGTTTTGTAGTCATTGAATTCAATGGTTGACTTATCTCTGGTTTCATGTAACTGAATGATATATCCAAACTGGACTGACATCTGGCTCCTCCTCTTCCTGTTAGAGACACGCGCGCCAAGTCCAACATTTATTGTTTACAAAGGCTTTCAGATACTGTGCGATACTCTTTTAAATTTTAAACAAAACCTGCCATTTTAAACTTCATATGGAGACAGACTTCCTGCACTATGCTTCTGGTTCACTGCTGGCTGCAACAAGCTTTGAAAAAGGTTCAAAAAATTGTTGAATTCAAGTGCAACGTAACGTAAACGAAGCTCACAACTCTGTCATAGTTTTGCTTGTTTTACAACGGCCTGAAATCGGATCACTATTCATATGTGACCAGTTTATTTGATGAACTAATCCAGTAGGATAATGTTGTCGTCTACGGAAGGTTTGTGTCTAATCTTTGCTTTGAAGTTAGTATTTTTTTAAAAGGGTATTCTACACTATAAGAAACAATTTGCTTAGAAGGAATATCGTATTACAGTCGTTATTACAGTGAGATTCTATTAGAAATGGTAATCTCGAATGTCCCGTTTACGGATATGAAACCAAGCATACGGTAAATTCATACCACTATGCTACTTTTTTCTTACATCCAAAACTTTCTGTTTTTCCCAAAATATTGTAGTTAATTATCTAGATTTGTTACATCTGGTACAATTCAAAACACCTTGCTTCATAACTGCCCCAAATTTAAACACTTGTCAAAATGGCATTAGCTAATTGCTTACTTGACATGCAAAATGCAGTATTGGTCATTTCAAATAACTTGGTGTGTCAAAACCTGTAACATCTCGCAAACAATGTAATGTTCTATAAGGCATTCTAATTGCTCTTTGGGTGTATATCTGAAGTGATGAGCATTGTAGTGACTTATTTCTGCAGGTACCTGCCATGTACTAGCTGTGTGATTGCAATTTATATAACTGTAGATTGCTGTATACATTGATTTTTAGGATCGCACAGTCAAACCCAGCCTAGTGTCTAAATGAAAAATATTAGATGCATTAACTGGTGGTAACCCAAATGGTAGTTTCTAGCAATATAAGTAATAAAGTTTGAGCCATTACCAGTTAATAAGTTGATTGATTTTTTGTCTCTTGCATATTATTAGCGAGGTACCAAGGTTTTGACATTGATGCTATATCAGACATCACTGGGGTCAGCATCACCAAGATGGACTATATTGAGAAAGACAGTGAAAATTCAGGTAGTTTCTGCAGTGATAATACTGATGCTCTGCTGAATGCTTCACTGAAGGACTTTGAAGACAATGAATCTGTACTTGAAAGTATTTCTCAGGTGGGTAGGGATGTTGATTTCTACCACAGCCCAGAGAGAAAAATCCCTACACAAGTAGAAAAACAACAATGGCATGTCAAAAATGAAGTTCACTTTTCTATGCCTTTCACTTCATCTGGCCCAAACTATCCACCACAGGCCTTGTTGACCAGTAATGAAGGGTCTAAGTTATTCTATCCAAATGAAGGCAATACAGATGCTTATGAAGTACAAAGCAGAAATTCAATACAGCAGCCTTCAAACACTTTTGCCCTAGACAGAAAGCATGAGGAGGGTTTCTACTCAAAAGTTGGGAGTTTGAAGAATGATATCAGTCATATACAACAACAGTTTTCACCTGATTCTGATACGACTACAAGTGGAAGACAGTCTGTCATTAAACTTCACACAAGTTTACCAAGCTCCATGCCTGATTCTGCAGCGAACAGCAGCAATTTTGATCAGAACAGGAAAGTTTATATAAATAGCGAAGAGGGAAACCAGGAATCACTTGGGAATGTAAAAAAGGCAGAAATCCATCAAACCCAGCAAACAACTGTAAATGGACCCTTTGCATGGTGGCAGACAGGATCAATGCAGGATAGCAGTCAAAGGATGGAGGACATTAATGATCATCAAGATATGGGTACACAAAGGAATCTCAGGGATTCTCATGGTACACCAGGTGCTGGTGAAAGTAGGCATGACAATGAGGGACATTCAGGCACAAACCTAAGGGATTTTCATGGTATGATTGGTGCAATAAGGGGTAATAATGTGACAGAAAGTGCCCCTGAGGAAAGTCAGGATGAAGAAATGCTCCTGGGTCTCAGACATGATCGAGAAACTGATGGTAGGTGGCAGTTCAATGAACAAATGTCAGATGCTGTTGAGTTCCATTTTGCTTCATACATCCCTGCAAAAGCCACTGGACTTTCTAATATCCAATCCTGTTCAATCCTAGTTTTGTTTATACTGAATAGTGCAGTCAGTTGAAGAATCGTAATTTTCTTTTTTCAGAGATCTACGATGACAAAGTGCGTGAAGGTGCTGATCTTTTATCAAAGCTTCTTGGCAAAGACCACAACTCTTCATTCACTTCCTTCAGGTAAAGAAACAACTTTAGCGGTTGATACAGTAGATGCAGAAAGCCACTATAAGCAAGAGTTTGTTTAGCCTAATTTTCTTGTGTGTATTTCTTAGTTCAAGAAGCAGTGAGACGAGGCCCAGTTCATTGAGAGAGAAGACGAGCGTGAACAAGCAAAGATCACTGGATTCATCTCTACACAGTGAACCCAGATTACCAAGATCCTCCTCTCCAAATAAGTAAGTATGAGTTAGTAGAAACAGCGTGGTTAACGTTACTACTCGTCAACAAACTGGTTGTGCACTGTAGGTCTGATACCAGCACCTCCTGTCGTTGTGAGAGGCGGAGATGTTAGATCAGACAAGTTTTGAGTATTGACTGTTAATTTTGTTCTTCATTTTAAGAGCCATTGATCAACGCGGCCAGTTGAAATCAAGCCTCTCAGGTGACCACCTCCCATTACGTCATCACAGGTCCCTGGACTCTCTTAATACCGACACAAGATTTCATGAAAATTTCTCGACCAAGACCGCCGTCGACCCAGCATCACGCGGTCATCCCAAGTCTTATGTCGATGCTAAGAGATCTGCGTCTGATGATGGATGTGCGACACAGAATGTTCAGAGCGCTGGCTCAGATGTACCAGCAGATCATCGTTTAGAGAAATTGAACTCGTATTTCGAACAGAAAGCTGTCAAACCTAAAGGTACTAAATATACGGTAGTCTATAGTTGTCTGATTATATTGCACCCTAGTCATATTTCGAATGTAATTGTATTATTTTGAACGCATCTTTTTTCTTGCATTCATGGCATTTCTATCCCCGATTATGTAATTTCTAAACGTTGACCAATCTTTTATAGAATTGAACTCACACGAAAGAGGAAATCTTGTCTCACAGTCAGAAAGAACAAGGTACTATATTTATTTATATACATTGTTTTGTCAATTGTTTTCCTAAAAACTGCCCTCCATGTCTTCGTAAATTTAACAAAATTTGTTTAAATCCTGAAATGAAAGCACCCAAAATTTCAATTCTAATTTCTTCAATATGCAGATTTTTAAAAAAATATCGCATTTCGTGTAAGAATTAAGATATATTTACATCATATAATTAATCTAAATATTGGCTGAATATCATCCTGGTCCAGCCCAAATATAACAACCGCAGTTTGAACAAATTTCAATCTTTCTTTCCAGTCTTTTTGCTTCTCCATCTGTCTGCGTCAGTGCATTAGTCCCCAATCCTTGCTCCCTAGCGCTTTGCATTTCCCAACCTGCACGACGTGCGAATTGCCTGACTACCCTAGTTAAGTCGGGTGGATCGGAGGACGTGGTGGATATTAGTGAATGTTGAGGTATATCTGGTGTATTTTTGGGTGGTGCGACCCTATTTCTAAAAGCCAGTAAGGATGGCAAAAATCTCTCGGGAACGAGTCCTCTTATGAAATGAGGGTTACAAAATATTTCCAAGTCGGTTTCAGCAGAGACCATGTCGTTTAAATGTTCGCACGAGGGTTGAAAACCAGTTCCTTCACCAATATTGTATTCTGTTTTAAAATCCTCAGACGTTAGTCTTCTCTTCCTGCTAAAAGGCTGTTTCGTGGCTAAGATATTGTTGTTTCCGTCTGTTAATCGACGACTGAGCGGAGCTGGAAAATCTTGTCGATAACTCGCTGAATTCGAGTCTTCCATGAATGCCTCATCTTCCATTATCTTGCTTTTTACGACTGAGTTAGAAACAAACAGACGAGCTACCAAAGTGTGTCTTTCAGATAGAGTTGAGTAAAATCGTCCAGGGATTACATCGATTGCCATTCATTAATCATCAGAACTGCTTTTAATGCTACAGGTTCCGTCTTTGGGCAACGACGTCTCTTCCGTCCGTGCGTTGCCCCTCTTTCCGCGTTCACGATTCCGTCCACTTTAACGTATCGCTTTTCAAAATACTGCAAGCTATACAGACATCAAGTTATGTAAATTTTGTCAATGAATGAAAATATAGGACCGTCGACGAATTATATGTCGCTATTTAGAAATTTCAACGTATTCCCCAATGTATAAAATACTTACTTTATTCAAATGCTTTGTGTCCTTTAATGCTTGTATCACGCTAGATCAGGGTTTGTTGTCAGTTGTGATTTGAGTGGTATTAATGTCAATAACACAGCTTAAACGACATGCCAGAGCAGCCAGATATTCGCATTATAAAATATATAGGACGTGATCTCACAGTGTATTGACGTCCACAAATGGACTTATCTTTAAAGCCAGACAGTAATTCACTTGCCAATTATATTTAACCAGCGTATAATTGCCACAATTTCTTTTCACCAACGCGAAACTATTGTGTGTCACAATAATAATGACCATATGATCCAGCGGACTCTAGACACGCAGTATTCACTATCTCAGACTCGATCGGAAGAAAATTACCATACAAACAAACCCGACAATAGCTTGCAGGTCTTGTCAATAGATCGCTTTCTTTTATACTTACAATAGCCGTGGTTTCGAAATGTATTCAAATTTCAAATCGCTCTTACTGAATGTTTTTATGCGGACAATCTCTGCTCAGCATCAAAGGGATTATTGGAATGACAACAGAGTGTTGACAAGGCCAATGTTGCGCTGTTGTAGTGAAACCTTAGCCACATAAATATGGCAAAATTATTGCATTCAAGTAATTGGTTGTTCTTGATTTTGTGGCGATGACGAGGTTTTGTTTGTCACAAACGTACCTGCTTAAAGAGGAAATAACGTCACAACTCCCAAGTCAACCGTTTTAAATTTGAAGTTTCTGTTCCTTATTTGCTTGAAATGATCTTGCCAGACATTCACAGCTGGCTGTCGCTTGTTTTACGTCAATTTTAACTTTAGTTTTTTGATTTTCCCGTTTACAATCTCACAAATTTTCCGCGACGTGACTTCTGGTTCAAGCCTCCGTTCAACCCTAATATTGCATTTCCGTAAGGTAACTTTTTTATGCTATATTGTTTGTCTCCAGTCGCTTCACTCACTCTCCGCCTAACTTCTGATGCCATCTCGAACTAAACAAAGATATAATATGGACTTCCAGCTTTCATATATATATCAAGAAATTCAATTCTAATTAAATCTACTGAGAATGACGAGATTTAACCAAATTGACGTCGATAGGAAGAATTAATTTGTGAGAAAAAATTATCTGTGATTTTAAGCTTGCAATGAAATTTCACACCAGAAAGTTAAACTTAAAAACCTCGCTTGAAAAATCACGCCTATGTCATCTGCTGTTCTTAGCAGAAACACGAGAGTTTCACCTCGTCAATTTCCAAACGGTCGAATGGCGATTACTGCATATCGCTGAGAAGATTTAGGATATTAAAATAGTGTAATATATGCATAAATATTAGTGTTTGAAATTTATTATCTACGCTAATCACGCATGTTTGATCCTGCCGAAATCGGATTAAGTTTTATCCCGTTTCAAGATGGCGAACCTGTTTGCCCTAGTTGGGAAGTATGTGAGCTCAAGGTGGTTGATGTTTCACCCCAACAAGACCGTCAAGACGGAATTGATGGATTTTCTCGCGCTCAAATTGCCAGACTTAGACAAAATATTAATCTATCTAGTATTAATCCGTTACAGATTTATTGAATGAATGAGACCATCCCCATGCATCTATCATTCGATGCTAGACGTAATGGCGTAGTCATATCACTAACTGAATTGCAGTTTTAAGATCGAGATTTTGTTATTCTTGTGCTTGAGGTTGTCAATTTTATTTCATCTTGTTTAGGAATGATGGCTTCAACGATTGCTCTGCTTTGGACGATATCGATCTTAAAAGGCTTGAATTGGATGTGGAAGAAATTCTTTCAAGAAAGAAGGTTTGTTGTGTGTTGTTGTGTCTCTTTCTGTTCCTTGGTCCGAGTTCCTTCTCGTTTATTTGAAATCATTCTTAATCAACCCGCAGATGGCGACACACGAACTACAAATGCTGGATGAGTCTTTGCAGCGAAATAGAGCTGACATGAAGTCCTCTGAGAGTTTGGTCGAACAATACCGCTGGCAAGCTACACAGGCAAGGTCAGTGGGGAAGTGAACGAGATTTTGGGTGTGGTCGGTGGGGTAAACATGATTTTGGGTGTCTTAACACAGTGTTCTCTTACTTAAGACATGGGCAGAACGCAACCCCTCCCCCCTTCAACGTAAACATCCATCCATCAAATATATGCAGTGAACTTGACATGACGTTCAGGTGGACAATCGGTTAAATTATTCTGTTTATGTCATCATATTAGAATTATTCTCTATTTTGTAGAAGTGACTTAATGGATCTTGAGAAAAAGCGCAATGACTTGCTAGAGGAATGTTCGTCTTTGGAGGAAACGCTGAAGAGATCAAAACAGAAAGAAGTAATAGTTTTAACCCTGTTTAATCCATTTATTGTATTGTATATTTCCTTCCGTGGTTTTGAAAGGTCTGACTGAAGTACTTTCATTCATTTTCAAGGCATTCGACAGCGACAATGTCATTTTTGGCCGAAGTAAAGACGAGGTTTTCCGAGCGCTTCAAGAGCGGGAAAAGTTCAAACACGACCTCGACTCCATGCAAGAGACGTTAAAACGGGAACAGAAGAAAGCAAAGGTAGCCCAAGATGATCTTCGTGAGAAGATAGGAAGTTTAGAAGCAGAACTCTGTAAACAGAAGGACGAATCTGTGAAGAATTTAGAAGTTATGAAAGAGGTAGGTGTGAGATTAGAAAATTACTTTTGCCGGATTTCCTTTCAAATCTTTCATTTCGTAGAGCAAAGTAATTTGATAACATAATTTTTACTATAAACAGTAACAGGCTTCTAAGCATATAATAATCAATAAAACTCATTAGTAATTAAATATTGATCAATTCATCGCTGTTTTTTCTAGGCAAATTTGAATTTATTAAATGCTAATTATTAATCTGGGAATCAATTTATCGTTCTAATCATACTTTCTATTGCTAATTGTTAGTAATTACTGCAATTTGTCTTTAATCGATAACAATTAATCTGTTCTAATTACTACTAATGAATTACGTTCAACTACTAATTTCTAGCATGTTAATAAAGAACGACAAAGGGTTCGCATCGTACAACAAGATAAGTTAAACGCCGTGAATAAGATTTACGATGAAATAAGGGAACAGAATAGCAAAGAATCTGAAACATTAAAAACGCAGTTGCTTCGGGTCAGTGCGCAAAAAAAAACAAGTGAAAGTTTTCTTTCAAAGACTTGTAATGATAACTGAGGATTTATTTTTTCTTTAGGAACGAAAGTCGCATGTTGAAATTGTAGAAGAAAAATTGAAGAGAGAGATAAGCCAATGGAAGAGAGCTACCGAGGTTTCTATAACTCTTGTTTTCTGTAACTCTTTTTAGTAAACAAAGTCAGAGCTGCTGTATGAAAACAAATTATGACTGGGTTCCGTACACTAGGGGCTGTTTCATGTCACGTCCGCCACGTAGATTTGGTGCATCTTAATTCTAAAGCTCCCTAATATTTATTTAAGAGCTATATTTCTTTCAAGAGTTTTAATTCATATCGAGGATTTGTAATGATATGCGTTATAATTTTATGATATTTCTAACCAGAACGCCGAGATAAGGATCAAACAACTCGAAGAATCGTTATTTGAAAGAAACGAGGAACTTGACAGAGCGAGGAAGATTCTGCGGGAAGAAAAACAGAAGAATTTGGATCTTGAGAAAAAATGGCGTTCGCAACTTGAGAACGAACGACAAGATTATGTTATCAAATTTGATGAACAGGTGCAACTTTTATTCCTTTTCTTCTGCTGTTTCCAACTATATTTGCACCTGTGTTTCTTGTGAAACTTGACCAGCGATACCCTGTAAATGAAACGTTTATCGACAATGCTCTTATGACAATGCAGAGAGCATCTGTTATAAAATCCGTTTTCTTTTTAATTTTTTAGGAAAGATCTTGGAAAGGTCGGGAGGAGAAACACGCTTCCCAACTGAAGAATCTTGAAAATGTAATTACGAAACTGGGCTTAACTAAACCTAGTTAAACTGGAGTGAATTAAGCTGAGATGATCTTTACAAAACAATCTATCAGCAAAAATTTATATGTAGTTCGAGGGACATCTCGAAGTACTGAATTTCGTTTTAATCTTTTGTAGTTGGTTGAAGAGCGGACGACAGATTTCAGACGATCTGAGGAGAGATGCAAATCACAGACAGAGGAACTACAAAAGATTATTGAGGTATGTGATAGCAACTGTAGTTTCAATCAGTGTCTTATTGTCGCTCATTTATGGTTGTATGTTTTAGAACAAGAATGAAGATATGAAAATGATACGAGGTTTAGTGAGGCAACAAGAAGATGCTACACGCGTGCTTGGAGAACGTCTCAGAAATGAAGCCAGAGAACATGTAAGCTATAATCATTGCCAAATAGGTTGAAACAAACGTGCTTGCTTGCTAAAGCAATATTGTCTGGGGAAGAAGAGGGTGACACAAGTCAGCAAGCGCATTCCTTTCAGCCTTTAGTTGACCTTTAGTTGTCCTTTTGTTGTCCTTTAGTTGTCTTTAGTTGTCCTTTAGTTGTCCTTTTGTTGTCCTTTTAGTTGTCCTTTTAGTTGTTCTTTAGTTGTTCTTCATATAGTTGTCCTTTTAGTTGCTTTAGTTGTCTTTTAGTTGCATCTTCATCATATAGCATGAAAGTTATACCATGAAAGATGCTGCAAGAGATGATTTTGCTGTTTAGGTTCGCAATGCTGTGGAAAAAGAACGACGATCACTTAACCAAGAGAAAGAAAGGATTAAACGGATGATTGACGAAGAAAAACAAAATCATGACAACATCGTAAAACAGATGACAGAAGAGTTAGATATTGAGAAAGATCAACATTCACAAACTAAAGACACGTTAAACAAACTGAAGCAGGTGAATTAATAATCGCTTACAAGCCGCTATTCTCATTTTACTGTCCAAGTTTCGCAGTATACGGTTAGATATATAGCCAGTGTGTTATCCAAAGCTGGAAGCTTATGTTCATTCATATATTTGATGCCAAAGGAAGGTGACGAATTACGAAAACAGCTTGTGGAAGTCCATGGAGATAGAGTCAACCGCGTGCAAAGAGCGAGGCATGAAAACGGAGAAGAACTTGGGAAGATGAACGAAAAACTACTTCAGGTATTCTTGATTGTCATCCAACGCTAATTGCATGCTATTTCGCTTTTATTCATACAACAAATTCTCGTATATTTCATCATCTTTAGTTGAAAGTTCAAACAGAGAAACTTGAAAGAATTGATGAAGAGAACGCCAAGGAGATCCACGAGGAATGTCGTAAGATTGCGGAGATGATCGATACGCCCCTGGCCTATAAAACACCTCCAAGGTAACTGGACCTGTCTTATGTTTTGTATAAAATCCCAAAGTTACAATTTTCCTTCATGCATGATGTTCTCATTTCAGGTTCTCAAGCGAAGACAAGACACAAGAGAGCGTAACTAAAGAAGCATTGGTGAGTATATATGCATGGTGTATAGCCTGTTTTAAGCATATGGACAAACAGTAAATCGTAAAAATGCGGTGTTTCCAAAACTACTATTACCTATAAAGTACACGTACTAACTTGAAACTTCAGCAAGCCTGAAAGCAATCTCTACTTCAAAATATTCCTTTCTTTTTCATGACATGACTTTTATTCAGGCGCGACTTCGTCTGTGTAATGAAGAGTTACGTCAACATCTTTCCGAAATGAAGAAGCAGATTTCGGCAAAACAATCTTCAGATGTACGTCTTTTATGATTGCTGTGAATTTAGTCGTTGCTTATTGTCAATATTGACGTTTTTCAACCGTTCTATGTTCTGGTTGGTTTACATAGGAAACAAGTCGAACAAGCAGCGAGTTAGCAGAGCTGAAAAAACGTTTGTCAGGAAAGGTAATGCGATTTTGTCTTGGTTTTAATATCCATGAGGAAATTTTTAATTCTTAATTTTTCTCTTCTAAACCAGGAGGAAGAGATGAAACGACTGCAAAGGTAGAGATTTAACGCAAACGTTTGCTTCGGCCGCTGACGACTTTTCTCAGTTTGTTTGGTGTTTACTTTACGAAATAATCGACGGTCATTTTCACTTTTTATTTGCTAGAAAACACAGCGAAGAAATGAGCAAGTTGAGAGATGAAAAGAGGAAGGAACAATTGGTAAGAAATACTTGTGTGAAAAAAATTATTCAAGGATGATGGTTGGAAATCTGTCTCTGACTTTCTCTGACTTTCTCTGACTTTCTGACTGCCTTCCTTTCTGGTTTTAGTCGTACAAGAAAACAATCACAAAGCTAGAACAGGAGTTTCAAAAACTTGTCGCAGCCAAGGTAAGTTCATTTATAAATTTTCAGCTTATGTGCATTCTACACGAGATAATACATACAATATCGGACACAGACTGATGTTATGAAACGAACGAAATCTATCTTTGCACTATTTTTTTATTATTTGTTCTGTCCTTATGAAACCTTCCTTACCGTGTGTTTCTAGTCACCAGGAACTCCTTATAAAACGAAGCAGGATATCTCACGAAGCACGATTACGTCATCAAATGGCGTAGCTCATATCCATTCCCCCAGCGTGAACGAGGCGTTGTCTCGGTCGGTTGAGAAATCCAGCAGTGCTGACTTGCTAAAACACTTGCAAGATCGAGTGAAGAAATTGAGAGCGGAAAATGAAAACTTGAAGAAATCGTCCGACAAAGAAAGCTTCGCCAGAAACTCTCGAAATGTAAGAAGCTTTAAAAACTTGACTTCAGAATTAATTGGGAGAGTTATGGTGGCAAAACAGTCCAAGGAGGTGTTTCGTGTGTATTCATGTGATTATAAAAATCAAATTTAATCTACTTTGTAGCCTGAGAGCGCTCTTTTACAAAGCAAAGGTTTAACCATATCACAACTTCGCACTTCAAAGGTAAACGACTTTTTATCCAGCCAATTTCATGATACAACACTCCGTAAATTATATCACAATTAACTATTGACCCAAACACATGTTTAAGATGTCGCCTTTCCTGTAGGGTTCTGATTCAATAAGTGAAAATATCGAACAAGTTTCTCGCATCCAGAAACTACTAGTCAGCTCTGTTAAGGTAGGTTTTTCACTCTGAGTTTTACAGCAGGGGTTTAAGACTTGAGATGCTGGTAACTTACGTTACCCAACGTCAATATCTTATTTGTTCTTCATTGGACAACTGATCTTCTTACGACAATGAGATGAAAATAATCCCAAAAATACGAAAGATTCACGATTGCTCTGAGATTCAATTATTTTTGTCATAGGGAGATTTGTCTGTTGGCCTAAACAAGAAGGACTGATGGGAACTGTTTTCATTTTTTTTGTCACGGTTTTTTTTCAACTTGATATTCACAACCTTGACCCCAGGTCATTCTGCATCCTAAGATGCTAGCCCATGCTGCATGGCTTATACCTATTGCCATGGATAATAAAAACTATCCCTAACTACTCATATTATTTTTAGTGACATTAGTGGAACAAGTAAATATATATATATATACATACTATTTTATAATGCCCATGTATTTAGATCTATAAAAAACGACAAAATCTGATAAAAACTAGTTGAACATTTTATTTAGACTGCATGACCAGCTCCTTATTCGTTGCGCCTTCTGACGATTTGACTAATCAAACTTTATGTTTACCCAGAGTCTACTCCAGTTTTGGGGTAGTTGTATCTCTGCACTGATAAAAAATATTAATCTGCGACTACAGTATCTATTAAGTAAGGCCACTCGAAGCACAATCCTATGCTTCAACCCATTCCCATTTCAATGGAGCCAAACTCTGGGGCGAGAATCGGTTCTGCTGTAATCTCACAACATTTATAATTTATAACAACCTTCGGACCACAAGTGATGTTATTTTCTTCCTCACCAATCTTTATTCCTTCCTTCAGCCATGTTTTCAACTTTGATATGTCTTTCGGAAGAAATATCATTTGCGTAAGTACAGAGAACACGCTTGAACCGATGCTGGAATTTTGTGATCTTTGAATCTCCTTCAATAGAGCACTTTTGTTTGCAAACGTTTTCCATAAGGTTATGAAGGCAAAACCTAAAATATTATGTGCTGTGAGTTGTAAGAAGTATAGGCGTCGCAATTACCCCGTGGTAAAAAGATCAATAGATGAAACATCTCCTAAATTATCACCTTCATTGTGGATTTCTCCTGATCGTCTAAAATGATCTTTCTCATAAAGTCCTTCGTCCCCAAACAGGGCAACCATCATTTGTTTTGTCTGTTCTGTACTAGGAATGTCTTGAACGCTAGTTTTAACGATTGAATCATATCTAGGTAATATCTCGTCTTTCTTCTCTAAAGAGATCGCTGTTTTTGCACTGGGACAGGATTTTAGCGTGCGAAGAAACGCTTGGACCGGCTCTGAAGCGAACCTACTCATCCCTGCAGAAAGAATAACAATTATAAGTTGATTAGATTGCAAAGATGTTTCCTCCCCTTTGTGTTAAAACACTTACACATTTTATGATCTTCATTTGTATCCACTGCGATGGTTTTGAATGAAAGAACAAGAATTAAAACTGTTTGGATTGTTGTCATTCTCGTGATGAAAATCCGGTGCTCAAGTCCTGCTCCTTGGCCACCGAGTAAGAGTCAATGTTTATCCGAAATCCTCCGGCTTATTCATCTTTTTCACTTTAAGTACAGAGTAATAAGCCATTTGACAGGGCTTGCAACGTAGCGTGGCAACAGAAATGCATCAAGAAGTATTTCTTTTTTAATTCAAATTAAACGTTATTACCTTGAGTCTATGTTTGTCTTTGCACTTTTAAAACTTGAAATGTTTGGACCGTGATGGTTACGCTATAATCATGTCGATAAACACTAGTAAAACATGGTTTTGTTTTGCAAAAAGCAAATAAAGGAAGAACAAACAAGTACTGGGCAAAACAGAGAATACGAGTATTTAACAAATAATGGAAATAAAAACAAATGTCGTGATTTAACTTCAATTTTATTATCTCTATGCTAAATATGACAGCTGGCGCTTTGTAGTGGAAGAAGTGAGGGTCCTATTGGGTTATGAAATATCTGTGTTTTAACAGCATGCAGGTCAGAGTACAACTGGCGAGATTCCGAGGTGATGTGAAGAGTTGTACAATGAAGAAAGGTCGAGGGAAGCAAGGTTAGGATGATCTGGACACGTGGAAGAAGAGGTGAAGTGGAGGACCGTAAACTGGTGTATTACATGACGTTTAGCGAGAGCGAAAACATTGAACCAAAATCAAACATTGCACCATAACGTCTAAATTTTTCAAAAATTCACAAAAAAATTATATTTATTGCTTGTTTTCAACAATTTTAGGGTAAAAGATGTCTATTTTCACTCCTACAAACCAGGTTAAACTTACGAACGTTGCTGTGGTGCGACTTAAACGAAAGGGAAAGAGGTTTGAAATCGCCTGTTATAAAAACAAAGTTATGTCTTGGCGTAACAAAGTGTAAGTTTTTGAAATATATTTGAGCCTCAGAGGTTGTATATTCTTGTTCTTTACTAGTACAGGTTTCTTCTTTGTTGTACAGTACTGTGTTATAAATTGAGCGCTGCTGATGCATTGTTTCTTTCATAATTATCACTTGATTCCCATTCAAAATCTTCATTTGACATTGACAGAGAGAAAGATTTAGACGAAGTTTTACAAACAGATTCTGTGTTCATGAACGTCTCCAAGGGACAAGTTGCAAAAAGGGAAGATCTGATCAGAGCTTTTGGGACAGATGATCAGACAAAGATATGTATTGAAGTAAGAATTTGCATTAAAAACGTTTAATTGATGATCTCAATCTTGCAAATACCATTTGATTTTACTTGTCAGAAATAAGATATACCAGGATAGATGATTGTATCTTTATGTTTTAGATTTTAGCCAAAGGAGAACTGCAAGTATCTGAGAAAGAAAGAAACAATCAGTTGGAGTCGATGTTTCGAGACATAGCTACAATAGTGGCTGATAAATGTGTGAACCCAGAGACGAAGAGACCTTACACTGTGGGTATCATTGAGAGAGCAATGAAGGATGTCCACTATTCTGTTATCACAACACGAAGTACTAAGCAGCAGGTAGATAGTCTCATGGAATCTTCCTGTTTTAGGTACACCCTTTCAATGAAATTTCATTTCTAATTTCCAGGCGCTGGAAGTGATCCGGCAGATAAAAGACGCAGAGGTTATGCCTATAGACAGAGCACAGATGCGATTAAAACTAACATTGCCTCAGAAAGATGCTAAACAAGTCTTAGAAAAGTTACGATCAAATTTTACTAGTGTTGAAAGTGAAGAATGGGAAGGTGACTTGGAAATAGTAAGTTTGTTCAGTATTCTGTGGTCTCTCCTCAAACGTTTTCCTGATTTACACTGATCATATTTTCTACCAGGTTTGCTTGATTGACCCTGGCTGTTTCCGAATAATCAATGAAGTTATGGCCGCTCAAACAAGAGGGAAAGGCACTCTGGAAGTTCTAAACTTAAAAGAGATTGAAGAAGGAGATGACAGACTGGAGAATTAGGAATCTGGGGTGTCAAGAACAACAGTTGTTGTAGAGAACAATAGTTGGAGGCCAAGAATCGATTGGAGTTACAATGAATTTTTATCATATATATTTATGATACTAATTCCTGGTGTGAGTTTCCATATAAATGCAAGGTTTTACATCACATTGTATCCTACAGTTATTCCTCATCAGAATTGGAAAACTAAGGATGAACAGAATTGACACTGTCATTATACAAGACTTCACTGTATTACAATACAAATACTTTAATAATTTCTTACAAGTGTACAATTGCGACTTCATCTTTAAAACTTCATCTTTGGCCAGAACTGAATGTAGTATCTTTTATTCTTTTAAACAAGGGATCTGGGAAAGTTGCTAGTTCATGCAATTTAATGCTCATATTTCATCCGACCATGTTGGTCTTTGGCAAATGTTTCATGTATTCTAGTGAAATGGAAACAACAGGTTCCATACAATCTTGTTCATTTATGCTTAGTTCATTTCAATCAGCCAGTCAAATGTTTTGAAGCAAGATCTCCTTGTCTTCTCCTGTTTTCTGCGACAATTGACTCTGCTGATGGCAATTGTTGAAGCATTTTGGAGATCTTTTGCTTTTCGGCTAAAATATAAAGAATTATATGGTTAATTGTTTGCATCAGGAGGTGGTCCTTTCTCCAAGAAACAAACCTGATGTTTTGCTTTGGGCCAACATTTTCTGCAGTTGTTTTTTGTTGTGTTTGATCAAAAATCTTTGACATGAATTTATTGTTCCTATGAAAAAAGATGAGATTAGGGTAACTAAACATTAATATCTTTCAGTGGTATATGTATCCCAGCAAAAGATGTGGGAGAAATTACCTGACAAGTGAAGAGTATTTATTGAACACTGTCTTGCATTGATTTCTTTTACAAACGTAGCAGCATGCCAGAGCATTCTGAAGTAATCTCGACTGCACTTGACAAAGACCACCCCAGTAAATGGATTGACGTATTTAACTGTGTAGAAAAGCATTAATAAGGATAAACAAGCAGAATATCAACTGGTCGACAATGACCAGTGGTGGTTTATGAAATTGCTTAAAACAAGTATGCTGCCTTTCTGAACTTCCATCACACACATATCAATTAGTATTGACTTGATAAGAATGCTGGTTTCAAATTCGTAAACAGACCATGGTGGTTCTTTTTTGTACCTTTGAATGTCATCTTGACGCAGCTAAACCCATAATGGCCATACGTATTCTCAACTGATCGCATAATCTCATGGTATACATTGCCAGATGTTAGACTTTGGTCAACTAAACCATCTTCAAATTGTATTTCCATCAACAGGTATCTATATAGAATAATGAAACAGCTTCAAAAAAGCCCTAACAACAGTCAATCATACATTCAGTCTGAATCAAAATGAGGTCTACCTTGACTTCAAACGAACCATGCTACTTAAAGAAAGTTGGCATTGAAATTTGGCCTTTCTGAACTGCGCTTTTCCACAACCAGTTATTGTTTAAGATGGTTAGCTTAGCTGGTGACAGACTGGCTGGTGAGTGGTGAGTGCCAGAGTGGTGACCACCAGGCCGCAAGCGGAGGGTAGAATTCAATATGGCGGATCAGAGTTCACGTCTGGATTCAGCTGCTTGTGGAAAGTTGCGTATTTTCGTTTGCAAATTCTGCATCTTTGCATTGATTTTTGGGCAATCGGTCTCGGGTAGGTTTGATTTAATAGTATCTGAAGTATATTTCCTAATTTCTAAAGTGCGTTGACCGTGTGGGTATGTTTTTAGGAAGTGAAATTGACAACGAGCCATACTTGGGATCGGATGATTCCTGGTCTGTTTTCTTGACGAAATGGTGGCAGACTTTGACGGTCACGTTGATTTCAGCCATTATTGCTTGCTGTAGTGTTGTGTGGACCTTAAAAATAGCTGCATGCCCATCAGAAAACGAGGTGAATAAAATAAATAGTTATCATTGCCAGAAATGCTTTCTTAAAAACAGCTAGTGCCCAGAACTGAGGTAATAATTTGTTGTATTTATTTGAACATGCAGGAAGGTTTAAATGATATCAAGAATGCCCGTCCTGAGATAAGAATAAATTCTGTGAAAATTTTCTTTGCAACACAGACTGGAACATCTCAGGTTAGTGTGTGTTCTTTGATATTGATCCTAATGGTTGTGTAGGCCAGGATTTGCTGTGAAGTCTTCTATAGACAAACCTAATGTGACTAATCATAGCATTTTTTTCTTTAGTATTTCGCTAAAAGATTGCAATCAGCAATAAATCAACAGTTGCAAGTGACTTCAAAAGTTATCAACTTGAATGATTATGATCCAGATGATTCATTAACAACAGAGGTAGTTTCTGTAGTTAAAATTCAACCAGTCATTACACAGAGTGCTATCTGATGTTTGCAACCTTAACAAGAAAACAGTGCAAATAACAGAAACAAATATTTGTGTTTTAACCAACAGATCAACCCTGGAACTTTGTGTGTTTTCATTTTGGCCACATACACTGATGGGGAACCAACAAATGATGCAAGTTGGTTCTACAAATGGCTTAGGGAGACTGCATTTGATTTTCGAGTTCAAAAATCTATGTTACTTGGTTTAAATTATTGTGTGTTGGGTCTTGGCAATTCTCTTTATGAAGAACATTTTAATTCTGTAAGTATGATTGTTGTACTTAAAGTGGAACTATCCATACAAAATATGACTATATATGATTTTGAAATTAGGTTGGTATCAATGTTGATCAATGGTTACATGATCTGAGTGCCAACAGAGTCCTGCCAATGGGTATTTCTGATGAAAATGTTGCAGAAAGTAAAAATGGTGGTAAGGATAATAACAGTTGACTATGGTGCATGGTTTGACTAGCATTCATGGATCTTGTTTCTCTTCTTTGTCACTTAGGCAAAGAAGAAGATTTTAATGCTTGGATGAAGGTTTTAATGATGTATCTCAAAGCAAGGTCAACTGGTGAGAACAAGTCTTGTTGTGAAGATGAAAATGCTTGTGAATGCCAGAATGATATGCAAGTAAGTAAATAAAAAAACATCCATTCTTAATTTAAACTTTAGAGCCATCTTATTAAGTTTAACCCTTGTTCAGGTCAAAAGTGAACTTTACGAAAGCAGCAGTGAGGGGGAACATGTTGATGAGGATGACTATTCCAACAGTGGTGATGTCATGGATGTTGAGGATCTGGGAACAGTTGTTAGTAAAATGAATGTGGCAAAGAAGAACAAGATTATTCAAGAACCAAAAGAAATGATTACTCCACTACTAAGAAAAGCCTTAACTAAACAAGGTACAATCATATCAAATTAATGTACAAATATTGCTTTCTGTTAATCCATTTGAACCTGTGAAATAATTTCTATTCATTGTTTATTTTAGGATACAAGCTTGTGGGTTCCCACTCTGGAGTGAAGCTGTGTCGTTGGACAAAGGTACCACTTAAGTCTTTCCTTCAATGAAACTAAGGCCCTTTAAATCACCTCACTAATGATAGCCTGGTCAAATTGCTCAACAAAGCAGGAGTTATCATTGCAATTTGCAACCAAAAAGTTTGGGTTTGTTTTTAGAAAGATATTTGTATCACATCCCCTTTCCCTAAAACAATGATAGAAATACTTGAAAATCTGGTCATTTTGTGTTATTTCCTAGTCAATGTTGCGTGGCAGAGGCGGGTGTTATAAACATACATTTTATGGTATTGAAAGTCATCGTTGTATGGAGAGCACTCCAAGTTTAGCATGTGCTAATAAATGTGTCTTTTGTTGGAGGTTTGTTGCAACTTTCTCATTTATTTCTTATCCAGTATAAATAAAGTTTAGTTTAGGTTTCCTCCTGTAGTATAAACATTGTATCAATAAGAAGGCAAAGATGAAGTTTTAGAATTGATGGTCATCTTATGCATGAGTTTGCTAATATGGATGATTCTTGTCTACTGTTGTTCAGGCATCATACAAATCCAGTTGGTACGGAGTGGAGATGGAAGATGGATGAGCCAGATCATATTGTCAATGAGGCAATAAAAAACCATCGAAATATGATAAAACAGTTCAAAGGTTTGTGTAAAATCTTGCAATTGAAAACTTGTTGTACATTTGAACTAATGATGATACAACGATCACCATAGGTGTTCCTGGGGTCAAGCAAGAACGTCTTGAAGAAGGAATGGCTGTGAGACACTGCGCCTTGTCTTTAGTTGGTATGTTTACTTTTTGACCAATGAGATTATCCAAATCACTCAATAGACTTAGAATGTCTTGTTCTCTATCAAGGTGAGCCTATTATGTATCCGAAAATAAATGATCTCGTCAGGCTGCTTCATGATCGTGGTATCTCAACATTCCTTGTGACCAATGCACAGTTTCCAGATGCTATCAAGTACGTCAAAGAACAATTTTGGTCTTGAGTATAAAAACAAGTTTCAAATGAAAGCTTATCTCATTATATAGGAATCTCTTGCCAGTCACTCAGTTGTATGTCAGCGTGGATGCCAGTACTAAAGAAAGTTTAAAGAAAATTGATCGACCACTCTTCAGAGATTTCTGGCCAAGATTTTTACAAAGTCTTGAAGCCTTGGAGAACAAGGTAGTGTAGCAGCTACAGTAAAGATTAATATGAGCAAATCTTGAAAGTAATAGACGTCTGTATCTTTGACATTTCTAGGGTCAAAGAACAGTGTATCGTTTGACATTGGTGAAAGGTTGGAACGTAGAGGAGATAAAGGCTTATTCTAAGCTTGTGGATCTGGGGAAACCAGATTTTATTGAAGTGAAGGTATGCATGAAGCTGTCTGTAGTCAGTGTAGTGGTGATGTGTTTATCACCATACATTTCTTCAGATATCCCGTGAGTTTTTAAATGTTTTGTTGTTCTCTAGGGTGTTACCTACTGTGGAGATTCCAAAGCATCTTCGCTCACAATGAAGAATGTTCCATGGCACGAGGAGGCAAGGATATATTATCATTACCTTTGCCAACGAGTGTCACATTTGACTTCACATTTTCAATAAATTTCTCTCCAGGTTATAAGCTTTGTAGAACAACTCACAGATGCCCTTCCAGGTTATGAAATAGCATCCGAACATGAACATTCTAATTGCCTTCTAATTGCCAATACAAAGGTATAAATCCATTATTTTTCATGAAATGTAGTGTAGTGTAATGAAAATGGTTTTCTAACAATGTGAAAAACTATTTCTCATATTTTAGTTCAAAGTTAATGGCATCTGGCATACATGGATTGACTATCCTAAATTTCACTCTTTGGTAATTGTCTTTTGACTCACACCTATTCCAATAGTGGAAGACATTTTCCAGTACACAAAAGATTTCATGCATATCTTGATTGGAAACAACCAGTTAATGTGATGAATGATAGTCTATTATATTTCTTTTGTGCAGATGAAAAAGTATAACGAATCGAATGGTGAAGCCACATTCACGTCATTGGATTACATGGAAGAGACTCCTTCATGGGCAGTTTTTGGAAACACACATCGAGGTTTTGATCCAAATGAGACAAGATGGATGCGTAAAGGGAAGACTAAGGATCTTTCAGGATGCTAGCATAAGTTCTCTGCTGTGGGAACTAGCCATAGCTAGCTAGCTGTTGTTTAACATATGAAGAGAAAGGAGTCATGTTGAAAACAGTTCACATTCAAATACATTTCATTCCAACTCACAATATTTACATTCAACTGACAACCTCATGAACATGGCTAATAGCTTAATATCTATCAATATTCCATCAACAAAGTTTTAGATGGCCAGTGACTTGATCTACAACATCAGTTGGACCTATAATGAAAGAAGGATGGTTGGTTAAGGTAATACCCTAATATTAGGAAATAGTTCTGAATTACTATCCCAAATTAATTTTATCCAGTGTTTACCTGGGCCTATGCCAAGAACTGTTCTAGATCCTGGTGCAATTTGTGTCCTGCCGGCATCACTAATTAAACATGTCTCAATTCCATAACCTCTTGCCTTGCGTGCTAACTCTCTTCTGCAAGAGATATCATTAAAAGAGTATATTGTAATAAAACATTGCTTGGATTAGTTGGATAGAACACGTTTTCAGTTTAAGGCTTGAGATTCCAATGTTTCTTACAATGTTTCTTCATCTGGTGCTTTTACAACAACTTTAGGACAAGATGATCTTTCCCAATCTTTTATTACCTAGAATTGAAATTCATTATGACAAAAATTAGGTTATGAGTTGGACATTCAATATCAGAATAACAAAATATTGGTTGAATCAAAGCCCATTGCTAGTTCACCTTAGAATTTGAATGAATCAGTTGTCTGTAAAGACCAACCGCAGCATGGGAACACTAACAAAATAGATTGATTAAACATTAAGGTGGCTTTGTGATATTTTAATTTGCAAAGGTAACAAAAATATTAAGGTAGCATTATGCTGTTTCAAATTACATACAAAGTTAGAACAAAGTTAAGGTAGAATAATTCTCAGATGAAATAAATGAGGGGGATTCTGATGTATATACCTGTGCTGCAATCTTTCCTTTACCCATACCTAAGTCCTGTCGAACTACAAGGACCATTTTATAATCACCATGCCCACCTGGGGAATATGTTGGAATCTAGGTTCATAAAATACATGAGAAACAATATAAGACTAAACGTCCTTTATGGGAAATTGCGTTCATATAGACTTCTACCTAATACCTACTTTTTCAGCAAGATTTTTTAAACTGGGAACACCATGATAGCGACCGCGAAGAACCCATCCCAGACACAGACCACAACTTATACCAAAGAACAAACCAACACCAGCATCAGTTTCTATCATTGTTCAATTATAATAAAATATCTATCTTAGAATGTTGCAAATCTATATTTTACCATTGTAAGTATTTCACCATGGTGAATATATATTAGTACTATTTTTAGAAACAAACTGTCACATAGTGCACCCCCCTGTAAAGTAGCTTAAAACGAAATCATTTTGAACATAAACGGGGGGAGTAGAGTAGAATATTCCGTTCCTGGGTTGGCTGTGGCGAAGATAAAAGCGAGTGTACACTATTTGTTTTCAGTGGTTAAAAACCAGAATCTAGGCGCACAAACTACGGAGCATATTTTCAGACTGCACTCCGCTAGTAGCGGTAACTGTGAGCTCAGAAATCAGCCGCCATTTTCAAAACCCGAAGTTTAATACAACTAGTAAAATACGTAAATTGTTTTTGAAAAAACATTTATTTTGGTTTTTCATTGTGAAGTAAAGATGGCATTGTTAATTCTAGAGCAAGTCAAGAAGCTTTATGATGCTGGATTGTTGTCAAATATTAGAATGACGGTATGCTTTTTAAGTCATTTTATATTCCATATTTGCCTGCAAATACAGGCAGGCTATTGCTTTTATTACTGCACCCCCCCCCTCCTCTCTGTAAAATGTGTTTATTAGGATGGGTAACCAAAGATAAATGGGGGCAGTTCCAGATGTGGTTAAGGTAGAAATATCCCCTCCACAGGGGGGTGGGGTCTGGGAAGAAGAGGTCTTTGACAGGGAAGGTTAAGTCATGGTCTCGTATTTTAATACACTTTGAATATTTTTATAAATGATAGTATTACTCTTCAGGCTGGGATGACGTTGTCTGCTCTGTTTCAATGCACTGAATGCAGGAAAACCGACCCTCAATCCATGGCAATTCAATGTCAATTGCTGGTTTATTACGCGGACTCGTTATATGAAAATCAAGAATACAAACGAGCAGAGGTAGGGTCCGCTTGTGAAAACGATTTAGCTCTAAGAAAAAACTCAGTCCTTCCATATAAGAATATCCAATGCCTCACAGCTTTACTAATCTATTCAAGGCATATTCTACTAGTTGCTAATCAGTTTTATTTTGTGTTTCAGAAACAGTACCAAAGTGCTTTACAACTTAAGAAAAATCTTGTAAAGAAGAAATATAAACCACAATCATCCATAGTAAGTCAGACTATTTTATATCTTACATGTTAACCATGTGGTTCAAATGTTTCCATGATTTTACATTTCAGCCTGTTGTGTCTGAGGTTGATGTTCGATATAAAATCTATCTTTGCCAAATGAAGTTCAATGACTACAAAAGTGCTCAAAAAACAGTAAGTCTTTTAAGATTTATTCATATGCTTTTCATGTGCGAGTTTCAGACATTCACTATGATATATTTCCATCATCCAGCTTGATGATATTCCACCAAAACAGAGAACGCCACTGATAACAATGTGTCTTGCAAAACTTTATCATAAATTGGGTGTTGAAAGGTCTGTTTGATTATTTTTGTCCATTCAATTGTTTTCCCATCTCTCTGGTGATGTGATTAATTAAATAACGATTTAAATTTTTAGACCTGCCATTGCTTGCTATAAAGACGTTTTGCGGTGAGTCTTGAAATGTTCTCTGGCTGATGGATATCTTAATGTCATATTAATTGGGTATTAGACTCAGTAAATATCACAATCCAAACACATTTGGATGCATTGACAGCTTATAGATTGATCAATTTTTACATATACAAAATTTAGGTCATGTCCATTAGCATTGGAGGCAGCCATGGGTTTGATGGAACTTGGTCAATCTGCAACCGAAGTTACATCATTAATGTCTGTTTGTCTTCCTCAAATTAGTAATCTTGAATGGTAAGCAAATATTTCTTGAACATGCAATCTCCATTCTGCTGCAATATTCTTGCAGTTACAATGATAATGAGTGTGGAACTGTTTTATTTTTAATGTATGTAGGTTATTGACTTGGCTAAAGGCATATTCATTGAAAACAACCTCAAAATTCGCAAGTAAGGTTACTAGCTTCACTCTCTTGGAGACAATTAAACCAATATATTATGTATAACTAGTAGATTCACCAAATATGTCATTTTACTTTTACTTTAATTGCATTATTCCCACTTCAATTAATTCACTTCTATCAAATTTATATGTATTATTGAACAGAAGCCACACAACACTTCAAGACACTTGAAGCAGAGGTACCGTAATGTTAATATTTTCAAATTATTTTTTTGCGAGCTCATTTGGGAAGACTTGCCAGGCAGTATCTTTTGTAATAATCTATTACCACCAGTTAATAGTTGGCTTCATTTTATTAAATTATAGCATTTAAGAGACAATGTTGATATTGTATGTTCACTTGCTGAATGTCACTGGCAGTCTGGAGATTCCAACACTGCTAAAGCACTTTACAAGAGGGTAAGTACAATACAGTGGCCTTTACTTGAAGTTTTGCTTGTTAGTTATAATCTTGCCTAATTAATCTGCCTGGAAATGTTATTTCAAGTCCTGTTTATGACAACCAAATGTTTTTCATGTTCTTTCCAATATAAAAATAACATGATATATGAGTCAATGTTACAGTATTTTTCTTGGAATATTGAAAACGTACTATTCACACATTACATTAGGTTCGTTGTCTTGATGAAAACTGTCTTCAAGGGATGGATGTCTATGCTAGTTTATTGGCCCAAGATGGGGAAAAAGAAGATGTTGATAGGTACACAGATACTTTTAATAAATAATTCTAGAGATTTGAAAAGTTTTACTAAAGCAGACAGATTTTTTGTAGCCTTGCTGAAGATTTGATTGGAATCAGTGAGGAACGACCTGAACCTTGGATGGCGATGGCTCATTCCGCATCTGTTGCTAACAAAAAGACAAGAGCTATTTATTTTTCACAAAAGGTATATGATTTAGATATGTTCTGAATGAAACGATTGCTTGAAAAGATCTGAACTCCCGTTAAAACTTTTCCGATGATTACGTTTTTAGGCGCACAACATTGATAATCAAAATATTCAAGCTTTGTTGACCAAAGGTAAAGTCTTACGGTTGCGATATGTACAAATACAGTTGAGACACGTCGAATATAACCAAGGAGCAGCGTGGCAGCGTCTTCAAACAACTTAGCATCAAATGTGGTATAACAACTGCGTAAAACAGACAAAACACTTCTCAAAGGTTGTTGTTATACCACATTTAATTCATTTGATACAGTTGACACATATCAATAGTTAAAAATCTTCTCGTATTTATCTCACTTCAACTAATCATTTTACGTCGATTTCATTATTCAGGCTCCTTGCTTTCGTGTGTAAAACGCAAGAGTGAAGCCATTGATCATTATCGAGAGGTGATCAGATTGTCACCTTACAACTATGACGCAAACAAAGGTTAGTGTATTTTATACAATGAAAATCAGAGCCCTGATGAAAATCAAGTTTGATTATGGCAGGCCAGGAGTCCAGGACAACGTCGAGAGTCTCAACACGAAATGGCGCGCGCGTCCCCCAGGAAAATTCTTCACACCCCTCTGTCAGATGTGTTTGGGTCCGCCCTCGCTTGATGTGACCTTATGTCGTAGGCTTCCCCCGGCCTCTCCTTTACCTAACCATATTACTTTGTTCTTAACACCAGGGTTAATCGAATGTTACCTCAGTAGTAACAGACAAAAGGAGGCATTGATTGTTGCAAAGAATACCCACAAATGTCTCGGAACCAATGCACGAACCTTATTGGTAAGTTGACTCGCTCCAGTGTGAGTTCTTTAGCAGGAAGAATCTGATAGAGTATGGCGATAACATAGCAAAATAGGACGCGTGTTGGCAAGTTAGTTTTCCGCATCTTGTCTCCATAAGCTCTGCAAGGCAAGAAACGCTACATGAGAGCATAATTGTGGAGTGACCTAAATTTCTTGTTTATAACTAACTTGCATTTTCTCCAATTCACAGCTGCTTGCAATGGTTTTGTCCAAGGAAACTCACACCCTGGAAAAAGTAAGTATTTGATTCATTGAGATGATCCATGATTCTAGAGCTGAGCTGAGCTATGCTTCATCTCTCATGTAACTCTTTGTGATTCCAGGCAAAACAGATGTTAGAAAAAGCCGTCGTTCAAGATCCTACATTTGCAGATGCTGTCTATGACTTGGCTGAAATACTCACAAAAGAAAAGGATCATAAAGGAGCAGTTGAGCTGTTGAGAAAACATTTGTCTCATGTTAAAAATGCTAATCTCCATATTCTCCTCGGAGACAATCTTGCCGCGTTGAGTGAATATCAAGAAGCTCTTGATGAATACAGCATTGGTATAAGGTAAGAAAATCTTTGGTTTAACTAGAGTTGGCAAAGAAGTCGAAACGTTGTAGCTGATTTGGTATCTGTCGTGCTTAACCTAAACCTTTAGGGTCCGGCCATGCATGTGGCTCGAAACTTGTCAATGTTTAACGCAAAACGTCTCTTTTCTTCAGTATGTGTCCAGGAAATGGACGAGCAATTCAGGGTATTCATCGTGTGGAGAGTCTCACTGCTGGACCAGTTCGCGACAGTCCTGATGACCTTGCCGCTTTGGAAGAACGAAATATGATGGTCGAGAGTTCCGAGGTATACGATTCACATAGAAATAATTCTCCAGCAAAGCACAGCATCGCGCTGCATTTTCTTGAGAAAACAGAAAACTGATAGAGCTATCAATTAAAGTTAGTTTAGGCTTCCTTCTGTAGTTACTGTACCCTGGATCAAAGAGATGATCCTTACTGGACTTCTAGGGACTAGAAAGAACAGCTTTTTTATTAGATCCAATTATTTTCATCAGCCCAACTATTATCTGTCTCTTCTTTGTTTTCTAAAGGAGAATTCTGACGACGATGAATGGAATTTAATAAATCGACGAGAAATGGTAAGCGAGGAAACAGCCTAATTTATCCTGATCTTTGAAAGCAAATCAAGAATGCAGTTTGCCAACGATAGTTTGCCGGTAATACTTTTATATCTCATTGTCGCCTTTCTTTTGCATTTCAGTGGTTCTAAGGATGAGAAAGATGAAAGAATAATGGACTTTGAAAGGTACTTGTGATTAAACACTTTTTCAGTGGAATAGGAAAGGAATCTGTAAAGTTCACAAAATGCGAACATTTCGGTGAAAAACAAAAACGCGGTTGAAATTTGAAAAACACGTCTGTTCAACATGGCCGTTTGTAAGACAATCTATACATAATTGAAAGGATCATTATTTCAAACTTTCAACCGTAATTTTATATGCTGATAACACAAAGAAGGCCGCTGTCCAATATGTACTTTCCCCGACGGGAAACTGTGCGTTTGAAAGAACAAGCTTAGAGGAATAAAACCGCAAAAATATAAACATTACCCGTCGATGGTCGCTTGTAGCTTAGCAAAAATCCATATCAACATGAATAATAAATGAAGTTGTACACGCCATCGCTATGGAAACGTGCTGACGCGAGAATAATCTATTCAGTATATGCGATAGTTGGAAAAGCCGTACTACCCCAAGCTCTCAAAGATATTAAAATTATATAAAATACGTATCTGGCAGCCACCAGGTTGATACTGGGGGACAGTTTGAGATTGTTACTGGAGAACTGAAGATTCGAGTTGTTGACAAAGTTTAGCGCATTCAGCTGTTGTATTTGAGATATGGCGATTGAACAAGATTGGCTTATATCCCTGTCTGTTGTGTATGGTCTGGGTGCAATTGCTTCTCTTTGGGCCGCTCTACTTTCTCCAATGATTCTGGATTACTGGGATAAGCCGCGAGGTTTGAAGAAACGTGGGGAACGTGACTGGGCGACCGTCTTTCTTATCTTCTTACTGCTACAACCGTTCACCTTCGCGGGCTGTGCTGTGGGCATGTGGTGGATTGATGCGTTTGCTTATATTCCACCAGTTCATTTCGTCTGCACCTTTATATCGTTCCTAGCTATCGACTTTTTCAACGAAGACACTTCGAGTACTTACCGCGTTCTGTGAAAACACGGTCTGTGATAATTTAAATCGACATCAGACAGTTCTATTCTCAAGGAACAGCTGTTAAAATGTTATGTACTTTATTCATACTACGACTTCGAGCATTTTGGATTGTAAATATGCGCTTAACCTGAAAACACTCTTTCTGTTTGAACAAAATCGATTGTGTAAATTAAACTAAACTTTTAAAAAAGCAAGACTTTTATGAACATATATATTGTTTTGAGGTCATATTTGATATATATCATTAAGATATTTTCTTCGCGCTTTACCGCGGTTTTGCATCGCTAATTTCTGGCTGCGTCGATGGCACTTTGCTAATATAGAGTATATCCTTATGACTGCTTAAAAGCAGGATTTTCTAGCCAGCCTTTTCCAGACGAATCATCAAAGTTTTCATATTAACAAAATGCCAACGAATGCTGGACTTAGCTTATCCGGGAAAATACCTGCAGTTGAGGCTAGCAGACTTTGCAGTCAACATCATAGGAGCTTTAGGTGATATTGTTCGTTAATAATACTCAAAATTTACTCGTTTTTTTAATTACGGAATATTCAGTGATGTAAATTCACACCTGCTTTGCCTAACGACAGCAATTTCATGATGAAAATGGCTGAGAAACTTGTGTAATTATTTAAAGATGAAATTCACGCAAGTTTTATGTTAAATTATGTCAATAAACGTATGTAAATATGATTCATTTTGTGAAAGTTTCTTTTATTTTTCTTTCAGTACTTAAGTTTCTTTTTATGCCGAGGGAGAGGGTCGTTTGCGCGAACAAAAAGCAGCCTAGGTACAAGCTTTCGTTGACAATGAATACTTTGAAATATGACGTCGCGCACTGGTCGAGCACCTGCTCGTGCCCAGTGTTCTACGAGCAATACGCGCCATGACTGAACCAAAAGCTTTTATAATCTGCTTCAAAACTGTTTTGCTGCTAGGTATTTTCATTATTTGGCTTTGTTTTAGCTTAATTAGATTCATGTATTGGACAGTATTTAGGCGAAAAAATTGTTTACTCTGTCATTTACCCTGACGATGGATGCGATGTCCGAAAGCTTGGAAGTTTAAATTTTTTTTTTAACTTATTGTCATTTGCTGGTGTCTCGCATAGAGTTTCAACATTTTATAATCTGGTTTCTATAATCTTTCATGGTGAAAAAAGTCGACGTCAGTCTTGTGAACAACAACTGTTTGCACTGACTGAAAGTCAATAAGATAACATTGTATATGGTTTATTGAATTAACAAGATTTCATAACGTAGATTCACACACATTATGACCACAGCCCCTACTGAAGTCTGCTTATGCACCCGATATACATTACTTGATAAATCTTAATATTGTACAGAAAAGAGTGATAAGTTTCCACGAGCAATTTTGACTCATGTAGTGATGCGTTTCTTGTCAACACACTCGTTGTCTTCACAAATCATTCCAGGACAAGACGAGTTACAATCGTCATCGAAGGAGCAGCTTTTCTTGAAAACTTTAGGACACTGTAAGGTATACGTTGAGCTTGCTAAAGATTTGTCTTATACATGACTTAAGTCTTAATATTGTATGGATCCAGAGCTCCATGACCTGGACAGATATCGGCTCTCGCTTTGCCCTTACCCGCAGATCTTGATCTGACCTGGCAGCTAAGAAGAAAACTAGAGATCGCAGGGAATGGAAAGCGACTGTCCAGGCTCTTAGCTCCTTGAGGAAAGGATTAGAAAGAAGAGTATTGTATGGCTGGTTAACTTACACGTATTCTCATTAGGATGTCCATCATACTGATTCTGTTGCAAACATTCTTGTAGTTACAGATCAGTCTAACTGGATAGTTACACTGACAATCGTTGTTACCAGTGCATGGTTTGTCGAACACCGCGGGACAGTATTGCTTCTAAAGAAATGAATAAGAATCAGGAAGAATTGTGCAGCTCAGTGTTACAAAATCCGAAGTGAAGTCGTGTCAGTATTTCTGGCGTTCCTACCAATTCCTGAGGGGTGGGATATCGTCTTCGAGGAGAGGCCACGGTCATCATGATAACACTAAAGAACAGTAAACTGGACACCATTGATTTCAAAGCCATATTCACAACTTGTTATCTAAACGAATGGAGGGAAAATATGAGGATTGATGTGGTTTTCATTCCCAGCTGAAGAAATGTTGAATATAGAAGGGTTTCGGTCGAATATCATCCATCATCGTAACAGCACTCTCTACTGTGCATGGGAGATATACGATGATGTCCATATTCTTCTGTTTGATAGCTGCGTTGTTGATAGTTCTCAGTATTTCTGCAAAAGAGGCATTCAACGACCATCACCACACTGCTACTTACCTGCGATAAATCTTTGATTTTCCTTTGACATAAACGCAGCAAAGTTTTTTTGCTTTGACCTAAGAAGCTCAGCATAACATGCAGTCTCCGCATTAATTGATAATGAATCATTTCGTAGTTGTTAATTACAATATTTTTACAGAATCAGAATATTGCTGCCAATTAGAATTGACGCATTTAGAACGTGATTTCTTAAAATCAAACGCATCATAGGTCCATGGTGATAATTTTTACTTTATATGCACATGGATTATCACTTTAGAACATTGTCTTATTGTTCTTTTTACGAAGAAATGAATTTGTCGCCTTTAAACTGTTCAATTAGAATATTTTTTGACCCTTTTACCCGTAAAATAGCAGGGCGTGAATCCTTTTCATTTATTCAATACTTTTTCATTTGAATATTTTTATTAGATGGTCATAGTTTTGTAGATGTATAAACCTAACTCGCTCATAACTCCGCTAATTTTTCTATCATAATTTCTAAGGCTAAATATTAAAAATAATCCATTCTTTAATTGCCGAGGAAAGTTGTTTAATAATTAATTCATGCTCTGTTTTGATGCAAAAGCCATAACTTCATCAATATTTAAGACCAGATGAATCATGATGATTTTCAATTTTTAACCAGCTTGTAAAAGTGTTACGTTTATTGTTTTTGTCAAAAACTATAAAAGTAAACTAGCCGTGTTTTTCTTTCTATTGTTGAAGAGTTTTTTAAATGTTTTTAAAGACGCGTAACACAATATTATGAAAACACTTCTGCTGTTAGATACAGGTCCAAAAAGATTAATGCTGTCAAAATCCTTCGAAAGCCAATATTATGAAAAACATTCAATTCATATAATTATTAAAAATTCAATTATTGATGCGTTCGATTTCGCAACTAGAAAAAGGTTTAAATAAGTTTTGAGATGTCATGGAACAGCCTGAAATTATTTCTATAAGCTGGACAAAGCGGTAAAAAAGTTACCATGGTTCATGGTGTGATAGTTTAGACGCAACTTACGCAAGGAAGAAAGTTATGTACTCTGGATTGCAACGATATTTAGCTTTAGAATGTTGGCTATAAGACGTGCACGTCTGAGCACACGCCATGCAGGCATACAACGTCTTCGAGAACTCTTCTATACTGGACCTACACGTTTGAATAATGGCGATTGACGTTTCCAGATTGGGCGTAAACGTTTTTAATTAATAATTAGGTTAAAAACATGATGGATGGATTTGTACTGGGAAGCTGAAGAATTTTAGGTGATAAAATCCGCTTATCGTGAGTATCCCTTTTGTGATGAAGTTTGTGAAAATGAAGACAGTGGATGATATATTATGCGTTGCAAAGCGTTTTTTATGGAGTGTTTGTTTAGTTTGTGGAGATTTCAAGTGTTTTGTAGTGTTCCTCGCATTGATTGTGTCACATTTGACGTCCTTCGGCCGGAGTATCCGACACTCTAACCGCAAGTGTTGTTTAGATACAGCTTGCAGTATAAACGATTCAAAGATCAACGGGAAAAGAATGTCACGCACAATATTTATGTTAAAATCCAACTGAAATCATTTCCTACGGGAAACTATCGTCATAAGATACGCTATTTATTGGCGGAGATGAAATTCTGAATCAGCATCAATCACCACCAATTAAGAGTTTGTTTATTTTTTCGCCGTAATGAACAAAGGTTTATCATGTATTTCGGTTCAAAACGTGATCATATAAAACTTCATGCATTGAGGGACTCACTACAACGATTGTGCAATGATTCAAATGTTATGTACACTTGATATCACTCCCTACTGTTCTTCCTAGAGATACAAAAAGGTGAACTTTTATTCATCCAAGTTACACTTACCCATAACTTATCGTTTATTAGCTAGCTCTCCACGATATCAATTGAAAATTTATTTACCTACTATAGAGGAGCTAAATGAGTGAAACTTTGTTAAAGATACGCAAGATTCGGCTTAGCCTTAATCCCGTTCACGGATTTTTCCATTCAGGGAATCCCACTTGTTTGAAGGGAATTGAATACAATTATTAGTAAAATACAAGTTCAGGTAGAATCTCTAGTATGACTTACCGTTGAAGATTTTCTTCGAAGCTGTGATGATTCTTACTTCTCACCTTGACTTCCTTATCTCAGAAGTTGAGACGATCGCGCGATGAACTAAGATACTGAGACGGAAGTGAACTCCGGTATTTATGTGAAGTCGAGCATTGTGGCGTGAGGATAAACTGGATTCTGTGGTGTGGACTCGGGATTACGAACACCTGATGCAGATATATTGAGATGCATAATGGAGTTGGGGAGGGGGGAGGGCAGAGCCTTGGTTACCCTTAACCAAGTGAACTATAACACTGCCTTCACCTGAAGCTAAGTTGGTGTTATTCCAAGTGACTGTTTTTCTTGGGCTTCCACGTAAAGATCATTGATCATCATTGATTTGTTTTAGAAGAAAATCTTTATTTATACTGGATATCAGTTTTAAACTTTTCTTCTTAGAGGTCCAGTAAGGATCATTTCTTATTGATCCGGTGTTAGTGCAAATACTGAAAATTCCTAAACTGTATTCGGTCCACGAATCCACAAGGAGTGGTCGACAATATTCCAGGTTTAGTTACGTGTTCTTTAACTCACAATCATAATGAATTGTTTAAATGCATTCATCAAGATCGTCGCCACTCATTTTGCTAATCAGTGTCCATTGTCATTTGTCATTAATTTCCGCATCTCGTATTTAAAAAGGTGCGGTGATGATTTTCGCCAGTGACAAAGTTCAGCCCCAATTCCCCAATTTGGCAATCTACGAATGAAAAAACTAACCTAACACTCCAATATTAAAAATATTGGTTGAAATATTGGTTGCCCTGCCTTTGTTAAACCGTGCAAGAGAAAATGCTACAACAGCTGACGCTAAAGTCTAATTAACACATCCATGTTTGGATATCAATATAAGCACTTAAGAAATGAAAATTTAATGTTTTATTTGAAAGTTTATTAACACAGGTTCTTAATTATTCTGTCTGAGCCTTGGGTCCAACCAAGTACAACCTGGTGCATCCATGATTGTCCAAGTCAGCTGTGAAAAGCATGCCAAAAACTTTTATTTGAGCCCCAGTTATGGTTTTAGGGACAATCCTAACTGGACCTCCAGGAAGAACAGTTGAACTGATAGCACTATCCGGTATAAATAAAGTTAGTTTAGTTTAGTTTAGGTTTCTTCCTGTAGTAAAATTAGATCAATAAGAGATGATCCTTACTGGACCTCTAGGAAGAACAGTTTACTACTCAAATACACAATACACAGATATGAATGGCAAGATTTTATTTGTAGATTAATCTTGTACAAATCTAGAATATCATTTCATGAGGATATTGTCCTTTTCTCAAACTGAACAAAGTCTTGAGGTAGTTCTTCAAATGAGCTTCATTTGATATTAAAGGAGCAAGCTGTTCATCAACTGTTTTCTGGTCTTCCTTCCTTTTGTCGCTAACAGTGATCTCCTGCGAACACAGAAATGATTATTTAATGTCCAATCGCCAAACATATTGCCATGAAATAAATACGGATCAAAACTCTCACCTCTTTTTCCTCTTCAAACATTTCTTCAGTTCTTTTTCTCTGCCGTTTCTCTCGTTTGAAGTAATCATCATCGAGATGTTCTGGCAGATCAACACCACTGATGTCAATCTTAGTTTGGGTGGCAATGACATAGGACTGTGGAACACGACGTAGGGGAACACCATTGATTTTGTAAGGGCCAGTCACAAGAAGCAAACTACCAGGTAATTGTTTCAAGAAAACAACTCTCTATAGAACACAAGGTTGAAGAGCTTAGTAAATCCTAAGGATATGAAATTTTAAAGTGAAACTTATTTACTTTGCCCTGGTGTCTTCCAGCCAACAGGATGACCACAGTTCCTGGCGTCAAAGAGCTTCGTAGCTTGGTAGGTCTGTCCCTCTTACGATTAGGTAGCTTCTTAGGACAATCCTCTGTGGGATAATAACGAGGCTAAAATGGAAATATATTTAGTGACTCTGTTGAAATATATTAGTTGGGACCAGGCTTTGCTATCGTTACCTCTCGTTGGACAGGGACTGTTCTGGTATTTCCATTTTTGTCACCACCAATTTCCTTCACTTTTGTCTTAATGATATCCTTCACTTCTTTCTTAACCCCAGTCTTCTTGCGTTTATACAAGGCACGCTTTTTGTACATCGCAGAGCGACTGTACTTGCCAATACCTTTGGTGAGGGGCTCATTTCTTGATTCTCGTACCTTTGCCATCTGAGATGAAACATTTAGAGACTTAGAGACTAATGATTTAGCAATGAACATATTACCCTTAAGGTGTCACAGGTTCTAATCTGTGTTGAACCACTTACAATGAATAGGCAAATCTATTTGCTGAGGAGAATGATTAAGGTGTTGATAGGCTAAAAAGTTGTGTTTCAATGCATTTTGGTATTTAAATCCTTGTCCGACTGAGATCTGACACAATGTGTGTCGTTTAGTTCAAACTTTTACCAGCCTGCGCAGACGGTATGTACCACAACTTTTGGAAGCAACTTTCAACTTAAAATAGCTTATTAAAGATCGACAAACACAGCGTTCACGGAACAATATGATAAAGGGATATAACTAGAACAATACATTTCTGCTTTACGCAAAAGATTTATGTTTTCATTGTGTGTTTTTGAAATGTATTGCGATCGAGGTGTATCGACCATAATAATATCTTACAAGTCAAAAATCTTTCTAGAGCACTAATTCTTATCCGCGATCAGGTTATGTAAATGACAGGACATGTTTTCAATATAATCAGCAGCAAAGAAAAAGTGTCAAAATCTTTTTCTTTCTAGCTAGATTACATTGGATTCGAAACACTTTCTACTAGCTCACCGTTCTATGTTTTGAACTGGCCAAAAAAGAGAAAGGTCAGGTTGCGCCAGCGTTCTTTTTTACAAGAAGGTCAGTTGTCTTCGAGTGGTCGTTACGTACTCGGGTAATGCCGTCATTGTCGTATCTTATCGAACACGTTCTGGTTGATGATAAATTAGTTATTGTATAAATTTTCCACTTGTAAATGGAATATTTCTGTAGATTGTCGAGAAATTTACATTCTTTGCATGTTTGCAAACATTTGCAAAATTATTCTGTCGCTCTGCAAAAATGTTTGGTAGTAAAGTGGAGACACAGTTGACTATTTAAAAAATTTCATTTAAAGTCCTCGAAGAATTCACGTGTGCCGTGCAAATAGTCAGGTTTTGACTCTTGAAATATCTCAGAATGGCTTCTTTTGTAAGAGAACACTTGTTGAGAGTTGGTAAATTTCTAGCCGTTGCATCGGCCACAACTGGATCGTTTTATTATGCACGTTTTTCCACTGTTTTTGCAAGTGAAAAGCAGTCGAACAATTTGTATATGGCAGAGCCAGTCACTGCACGTGAAAAGTTAGAAACAGGCGATATGAAGACGAGAATGGAGCTGATGATTATGAAATTGCAACGAGAGTTCTGCGATGAACTAGTTCGACTGGATGGATCTGCTTTCACAGTGGATAAGTGGGAGAGACCGAGTGGTGGTGGGGGGATAACATGTGTCATACAGGATGGTATGTAGTTGTTCCCTCATTATTCATTTATTAATATATCTGTTAATCTGACTTCCCCTACTTGTACTTCTCCCCCCCTACCTGTACCACCTACCCATCCCTACTACCCCCTTTTTCCACCCCTCTTCCCTTTTCTTTTATCTTCCTTTTTTCTTCTTCCCATACCTCTCTCCCCTGTTGCCCCCTCTATCCTCTCCCTGCCCCTGCATGAAATACCTCTCTGTGTTCCCCTCTATCCTTTCCTCTCCCATCTTTCCTCCCCACTAACTGATTCATTAAATAATCCAGGCAAAGTATTTGAAAAAGCTGGTGTGAATATTTCTGTGGTTCATGGTGACCTTCCTAAAGCAGCCATTCAACAAATGAAACAAAGAAACCAGTTAAAAGGTCTTAAAGACAGCGATTCGCTGCCATTTTTTGCAACTGGTATAAGCTCTGTCATTCACCCTCGGAATCCAATGGTGCCAACCATCCATTTTAACTACCGATACTTTGAAGTACAAGACCAGGATGGCCAGAAATCGTGGTGGTTTGGAGGTGGAACTGATCTTACACCTTACTATCTGGATGAACAGGTGAGACTAATTTAAACATTCTGAGTTGAAGCATTAGGACTGAGTTTATGCTCTGCAAGTTACGTGACTTGTCATACAATAGAACCATGCTGTTGTCACAATTACAATTACAAACAATTATTTTCAGGATGTGAAACACTTTCATCGAACATTGAAAGTTGCTTGTGACCAACATGATAAAACATATTATCAGAAATTCAAGAAATGGTGTGATGATTATTTCTTTGTTAAATTTCGAGGTAGGTTGTAACTGTGACAGGAAATAACGAATACACACACCTTTGTCAAAGATTAATTATATTTGGTGAACCTGGATTGACACGTCTCAAGTCTTTAACGTCCCCAAAGAAAGATATTTAGCTAGAAAGAGCTATTGAAATGTTAAAAAGATTTTCTTTTCTCCAGGTGAAAGACGCGGTGTTGGTGGGATATTCTTCGACGATGTCGACCAACCATCTCAAGAAGAGGCGTTTCAATTTGTGCAAACTTGTGCTAACGCCGTCATTCCTTCGTACATTCCCATTGTAAAAAAACACATGAACGATTCCTTCACCTCGGAGCAGAGACGATGGCAGCAACTCAGAAGAGGAAGGTAGGTGTTTTAACTCTATTACGTAGCGGTGGTCAATGAAACAACCAAACTGAGTTGAAAGACAGACATGCTGCATCTTACGAGCAAGATAGAAGCTTTCGGGTGCGTTTCAAATGCTTAAACATATTGAAGACAACATCGGCCATTGGCTACTCGTTTATAGAAATGACGGACTAAAACCTCATGCATATACCAGGGGCCGGTTGTATCAAGCCCGTTTAGCTTAAACGGTGGATAAGTCAAAATTAAATAACACTCTTAAATCTCTCTTGAATGAGTCAACTTGAATATTATGCACTGAATATGTAGTTGTAAACAGTATCTTTGTATTAAAGTTAAAAACATTTAGTTTGCTTGTTAAATAAAACGATAGACTTGCTTTCTATTTTGAACTTAACCACCGTTGAAGCTAAATGGGCTTGATACAACCGGCCCCAGAATTATAACATGGTTTCCTATACCGCATATATAATAGTGTTTTCATTCGTTCTAGATATGTTGAATTCAATCTTGTTTATGATCGAGGAACAAAGTTTGGATTGTACACACCCGGTGCACGAATCGAGAGTATTTTGATGTCACTTCCCCTGACATCTCGCTGGGAATATATGCACAAGCCAGCACCAGGCAGCGATGAAGCAAAGTTGATGAAAGTTCTTAAGAATCCGAAGGATTGGTTGGCTGATGAATAATGGACGAACGTTTCAAAAGATTCAGATAAGTTTGAAATTTAGATTGTAGCTTAGATAGAGTATGGTTGAGATCCTGCCGCCATCACGAGGCAGAAAGCAAAGTTGTTTGAAAGCGACACTTGCTTAACAATCCGAAGAACTGACTAAGTGGTGAATGATTGAGAAACGTTTCACAATAGTGAGATACGGATTATGAATTATAAACGGCGAAAATGCATCACAAAAACATGATTAATCATTCAAAATGGTTTTTTAAGGAGACTTCAATATTGAGCAGAGATTTGGTTATAAAATAAGCACTTCTTCAGCATGAAGAAAATACAGAGATGACGTCAGCAACCGCGTTACGTCACTTGCCTGCTTCACGCGTTTATACACTTTTTTTATATCCAAGCTGTGAATTGTGAAAATCAAACTTCGCCATAGAAATTTGACATTCAAATGTACGACAATTTCAAGAAAGACTCTGGAAGCTTTAAACAAACGTAAATGCATGTCATGCATATCTTTTATCATTGAAATAATCACTTTGCACCGTAGCTATATCAACTGTTTATCTCTCTGACTATTGTAGAGTCAAACAGACATAATTATAAATATTGTGTTTTCGTTCCTTGATAATGACAGTCATTGCAGCTCTCTATACCATAGAAACAAATTTTGAGGCTAATATTTTGTTATGACTTCGCCAATCAGGCACTTACGTTAAGCATTTGTCTACGGTTAAACCATTTAATTTATTCCACATTTGCAGAGCCTTACGTGGTGTCTTGTACGAGGATATTCACGTCTAGTGTCACAATGCATAAGTCTTTAAGTTCTGAGATTTGAATTTTACATCACAACAGTCGTATCTTGATTAAAATTATTCCTTGCCCAAAGCTCAATTAAACCCTATATTTATTTTTTTCCCAAACAACGGCAGGCATTCATGGCCATTGCATCTTAGCTTATATAAAATGCGCGATATATGTTGTGGGCTGATGATTTTGAGTGGCGAACAATTTTTTGGCACCATATAGCGCAAGTATGAACAGTTATATGAAAGTCAAATTATCTTTAGACCAAAAACCGGTGGATTGAATTTCATTAATCATTAATCAAGAATCTGGCGTTTTTTTGGCTTTGAAGTTGGACATTAAATATAAACGAATCCTGTCCGTCTTTGAACAAAACTCAACAAGAGAAAAACGACATCTCTACGGATTAAGGTCAGCATCATTACTTTCATTTTACTAATCGTGTAGTTTTATCACGAAAATGTTAAATATATAAACGTAGCATATTTGCGCTTGTTTAATAATACAGGTTATAGGCAGCATTGTGGATAATCCTTATGGACTATTATTTACTTTGCAAACTTGGACAGTGGGACAAATGAGGTTTTCACGACATGCGTTTTAACTACCTTACTAATTTGCCATTTGCAACGGTATTTTTAGGACAGTTCTTGATTTGAACGTATATTTATAAGAACAGATTATCCATAATGACGTTCTGATGTTATTTTTTCAAACATTTAGTTCAGTTTTCAACGTATTTCCGCAGGTGGTTCTTCATTGTGTAAGCTATTGCTCATCAATTCACACGCAGTTTATCGTTATTAAACCATTCTCGGGATTCTAAACTTACCTATTTGCAAATTAATGCTGTGTTATATAACATAAAGCATTTAAATCAATCACATAAGTTCTACAGCCAGTCAAATGGCTAAAAAGCTCTAGCGAAATGCAGTTAAAACGTCTCGTGTTGACCCATGAGATAAAACCTAAAGATAACAAAAATTAATTCTAAATTCAAACCAAGCTTGCATGTCGTTGATGTGAATGGTTTTTGTTATCTGAAAGTATATAGTATATAGGATAGTTAAACACAACTGCCAAGCGATCAAAAGTATGTTTGCTTATAAGATATGCATCGGAAAACCTTGCAAAATGCCCAACGGCACGGAAAAAAGATTTAAGAATTAAAATTTTGATGCGATGATCGGATTTATGAAATCATTGGGGAAAAATTAAGTTGATTGCTTGAACGTGTCTTGATTTTGATCCACGAGTTGTAACATTTGCGCGCGTTTTGAACGAAAGCTCCTTTCTGTGTCATATACCAGAAAACCATAATTGTTTGGACCTGTTCCCACACTATAGCTGTAGGGATGCCTGCGTTCATTTGACCTTTGATGAAATATAAACATTTTTAGTTTCTTTTTACTCTTTATCAAACTATCAGCCGAAAGCTTCAGTGATCAAAAATGATGTATTATTACAAAAAATCCTCAGTTTTCATTTAAAGCCGAGCAAAATTGTCATAATTTTTTGCATGCAAAGTCTGTCCTTCTTTGCCTCCCTGCATGTTTAATCGATAATCTCACTGTTACAACGAAAGTATTGATTTGTGTATACTAACAAAAAACTCTCCTAACGGTCCTGATTTTATTATCACAACATTTCAATATATATATCGGCGTTTTGTATATGTTCCCTGTGGCTCTAGAAAAAAGGAGACGCGCTGTTTGCTTCAAAAACATTCATAAAAAAAGGTGTTGAAATATGCAACAGAATATTTTTTGTTGTCTTTTTAATCATGTACAAAAACGATATATTAGTGCAAGAATAAGGCTTCAAAATACAAACCCTTGCATTCTGAGAGCATCGACCGATTTGCACATTGAAAAAATATAAAATAAGTGATATAAAAAGCTTTCTTACCGCACATTTGTACTATCAATGTATATTTAATTGTCCGCGCATATATGATGACATATTTCATGCGTCGTCAAAAATACGTCTGAACTTTTTCTTTTTATCTGTTTTCAAACGATTACTTTTCAGTCAGAAACAGAAGCAGAACTTCTGAATGCTATATAGCAAGGTTTTCAAAGCGAACAAAACTATTTCTTTATTTCGAGTTCTTGAGCTGAAAACAAAACGCGGTGAAAACGTATTAATATTAAAACTGTTTATAACTACGGTGTATGATTAGTTTGGAGGCAAATGTTGTATTGTCGCGGTGTCTGAGGGAAACCGAAAATACTTTAATCTTTTTGCCAATGCAGATAACTTTATATTCATAGAAATATTACAAATTTATTTTCATTTTTAACTTAAGATGAAATTACAGTCTTTTGGCAGATATTTTGCAAGTACTTTCGGGGATAAACGAAACTCCTATACATGCAGGCTATACCCAATATAGTTTAAAATAATTTTATTAGCTGTGACAAATCTGATTTGCTCAGTTTGTTTTTAAGTACCAAAGTGAAACTAAAGGAATCGCAAATAGGAAACTCACTGATGTGGGTACGTTTGGTGTGCCAAATTCTTCGCAATTTTGTTCACAATAATTTCATAGCCTCCGGCTTCCTGCATGGGTCTTGCCAACGTCTTCGGTAATTTTAAAAAAGACCACGGCACCGCAGAGAATGTTCTCAATCCTCAATGTGACGCATTATACAGTTTGACGTTTTAACCCATAAACTTGCAATACATAAATAAAATCGTCGGGCATTATAAGCTGACAGAAGCCGCTTCATGCTTCAATAGAGAACATCTGATAGGACAAACTCTGAACGTTCTATTAGTTCATAACTAAAGACACTTCTGGATAACGTTGATAACCCATTATTAACCCCCAAAAGAGGTTCATATAATTTTACGTTGAACTCTATTAAAGTAGAAACGTTTTAAACTAATTATCTTCAAATACTTTCAAAAGGTCGGCGCATTCTAAAATGACAGAAAAAAGTGGCAGCCTCGATGTGAAGAATTACGTTTCCTGTGCAACTTCCTTGACAGATTACTCCATAATCAGAATCAATGTCTCTGGTAAGAAGTACCAGACTTACGAGTCAACTCTCCAACGCTATCCCGACACGCTTCTCGGCTCCCCCCACACGCGGGAACCTTACTACGACATCACGAAAGGAGAGTATTTTTTTGACCGTCATCGCAGTTGCTTCACATCCATCCTGTACTATTATCAGTCAGAGGGAACACTTATTCGACCAGTGAATTTATCCCCTGACGTGTTCATGCAGGAGTGTTGCTTCTTTGGCATCGGTGAAGAAGCTCAGAAACTTCTTGGCTTTGATGAAATGGAGGTGAGATTTAAGAAACTTTATTTAACCAGTATTTGCTGACATTGCTTTCACTTTTTAAAACACAAAGCATGATAGTTTAAATATGATTCGAAGTATCTTCGGTGTCTTCTAATTTATTAAATCATTTCTTAGGCCGATGAACTTGAGGATGAACTACCACAAAACAAATACCAACGAATGCTTTGGGAAGCATTTGAGATGCCCACTTCATCTTGGGTTGCCAGAATACTGGCTATCATCTCACTCGCCGTAATATTAATATCAATTGTGGTCTTCTGTATCGAGAGCTTGCCAACTTTGAAGGGAATGCAAGTTTGGTTTGTGATCAGCGCCGTCTGTAATACTTGGTTTACGCTCGAATATTTACTCAGATTTGCCGCTGCTAAAAATAAACTAAATTTTGTGAAAGGAACTCTCAATATCGTCGATGTTCTGTCCATTTTGCCGTTCTATATTGATCTCATCACGAGGAGCCTGAATGCAAAAGGTGGAGCGGTGGAGGTTCTTCGTGTTCTGAGGGTTGTTCGTGTTGTACGAATATTTAAACTCACACGGCATTCCAGAGGGTAAGACTTTGTATTTCTACACATTGTTCATAGTGTTGGGTTGGGGAGAAAATAACCCATTTTCCACAATCTTTTATAGATTATATATTCTTGGTCATACTCTGAAGTCGAGTCGAAGCGAATTATTTATGTTGCTGTTGTTTATGATAATGGGAGTGATTCTGTTTGCAAGTGGCGTGTATTATTTTGAAAATGAAAAAAATTACGAGCAATTCCCCAGCATTCCACATTCCTTCTGGTGGGCCATTGTTACTATGACAACCGTAGGATATGGTGACCTAAGCCCGATGACTCCCGGTGGTAAGCCTCTTAGCTCACTTCTTGAAAAGAGACATGACACCTTTGGACCTCCTTGCAATTGAAGTAAAATAAACAGATTGTGAACAAGATTGTTATTACACCGCCACTGTTATACTCCGGAGAGGTTTAAGCTGTTTTATTGTTTCTAGGTAAGTTTATCGGAGCGATGTGCGGAGTGTCCGGTGTTCTTGCTATTGCTCTTCCCGTCCCTGTCATCGTCAGCAACTTCGAGTACTACTACAAGGAGGAGCTGGCCCGACAGATTGCCGAGCAAGCCCGGCAGAACAGGAAGGCCCGCGAGGAAGCCTCGAATCATCTCCCGGTTCAAATGCCTCTGACGCTGTCGAGCTCAAACAGTAACATTGATCAAGAGATACTGGAGTTGAAAGGAGTGAAACCTGCGCATAGCAGACAGGAAGTTCATGGGAATCATTATTCGAAATTGTCGCCGAAAACTACGCCAAGTACACCTAGAAAGAGCGTTGAGACGACCATCTAGTTGGTGGCAAGAAAAACGTTTCGAGCATCGGGTCAATGGAGGTTGAAAGTTGTACAACACGCTGACAAGGTTTGTGTCAATAGCAAGGTTCAGATCGCGCTCGTGATTGGTTGATCTGATAGAGATATCGCATTTGATTGGTTGATGTGTCCTTAAAGGTTGGGGTAGTGCAAGTCTGAACCTCGCTGCTATTTTTAAAAAAAAGCTGAAACGGTGAAAATCTTTAACCATCTTAACTGTCAACAACTGTCGCAATTGCAATTCAAAAGCTTGGATTGACCATTAGATTGGCAGCAACTCTATAACGTGACGATATATTGAAACAACGAAAAATTCTTTTCCAAACAGATCTTTTTTACAGATACACATCCAGTCTTCAGACGCAACCCAGGTCAGCGTGTTGTGACAACTGCATGTCATAGAACACTCGCTTGCATTCAAAAATACCCATTTTCAGTAACCAATATATAGTTCTTAATAAATTGTTCTTAATATTAATAATATTTGTAAGTTTTTATTGCACGGTGATATGAAAATTTCGAAAATGGGTAAATTTAATGGGCTTTAATATATTGAAAATGGTTTAGCAACTAATGGAACATTTTATATATTTCTTTGCAATACCCCAGTAATTTATTATAGGATATAATCATGCATTTGACTACCACGTGACTAGTCTTTGCGTGTGATTTATTAAAGACTTTGCTTCAAAATATCGTACCGCATGAACCATATTTAATATTTAGTATTGCTTTGAGGCGATTGTATTTGTATATCAGAATAAATAAAGTTTGTAGTTTGCTTGAAGTGCCAGTTAATATCTCACAGTTAGGTTGTAATCTGCAGTAATTCTTCGTGACGATATTTGATCATAATTTATTGAACTGTTTTGTGAAGGTTTTACAAACAACTCCATCACAAATGCTTCTTACAAATGTCATCCGTCTCTGGGCCTACTCCAATATCGTTCAAACTTTTCAAACACACCAGTGAAATCAAAGCCAAGCTATGTGGTATAATATATAATGTGAATATCTCTATTATTGACACCCGGTAATAAAATCAGTTTTATGTTAATACGTCCTTCTCATCGTTCCCAATTTTTAATTTACAAGCCTGAAGGTGCGGGGATTAGAGATCGGAGTTTCTTCCTGAGGCGAAGATAGGCTTCCTTCTTCGATTTAAGGGCTGAAATGAAGATGAAAAAGACGTTAATAGAAATCTTTCACTGTTGTTTCCATAGTTGAGTCTTCTTCTTATGGGAAACTGCGAACAGTGTCGTAGACAATTCTAGTGTTAGAGGTTTTATGAGTGGAATTGAGATGTTTATACTTACTGGGAAGCTTCTCTGGCAGATTTTCCACAACCTCGTCTGGTTTCTATTGTAAGAAAATATATAAAATAATTTAATCACGGTTCCATGATGGGTTGTGGCCTGTGGATGAACTCCTTCCTCATGATGTCTAAAACAGAAGTTTAGTTTAATACTCACTTGCAAAGTAAGTTTCTCCATCTGTTTTGTGAAGATCTCCTGGACCTTGCTCATGTAACCTTGTGCCACTTTGATGTTGTTAGTCGCAAGCTCCTTCGCTCTTTCATACATCGCTTGTGATCCATTAGAAACACGAGCCAACACTTCTCTCAAATCAGCCTCAGCTTGTCTCTGCATCTCAACTGCTCGTTCCAACGCTTTTTCATACTGTTTCATGAAGTCTTCATATCTTTTCTTCAATTCTTCCACTTGTTCAATGGCGATTTCTTTCAGTTCCTTGGCTTTTTCGATCAATTTTTCCACCTTGTCGTTGGCCTTGCTTGTGATGTTCTCCACGTGATCAGCGACGGTCTCCCGCATGTCTTCCACGTGATCTTTCAGTTTGTTCACATGTCCTATGATCGTCGTCTTCATTTCCTTCGCTTTGTCCTTGTATTCTTCCACTTTATCTTCGATGGTATCCTTGTATACTGTGGCTTGGTTCTGAAATGAAAAGATAAAGTAGTGTAAACTAACGACACCAATGACTCTCACCCCACCAGGATCTTACTCCTAGAGAAGGGGATTTCACAGGCTTATCTACCTAACAACACGCAGCTTGAATCATCCATTTAGACTCCAGCACACTATTCTTCAGTTTACCTTCAGTGTTTCCACATGACCCAGAATCGTCTCTTTCATGTCGCTCACGGTATCGTTCAGGTCGTTGGCATAACCTTCAACACGTCCTTCGACAATTTTTTGGAGTTCTCTGGCTTTCTCTCTCAACTTCTCAATGTGAACTCTCATTTTCTCCTTTGCCTCTTCAAACTTCACCTTCGCTTTCTCAATATTGTCTTCCACATCTTTCTTCACGAGTTCGTATTGATCTTTTGCCTTAAGACAGTAAAGAGACAATGTCACGCGTGATAGAAATAATAATGATGTTGAGAATATCTATTGATAACAATCTTTGATCTTCAGTATCCATACATATCCATACATACCTTGCCGTACAATTCTTCAGCCTGTTCCTTCACGTCATCCACATGCTCTTTGGCTTTTTCGCGAAGTTCTTCAGCCTTCAATTTTATTTCTCCCAAATTCTCCTCGATTTTCTGTCTCAAGATCTTCATAAAAAGAAAAATACAGTCTTATAAATAAGTCAAAAAAAGGTTGAAAAGGAAAAGAGAGAAGTCTCCTCGATATTTATCTCATTAAACAAACCTTGGTTTGTTCCTTTGCGACTCTCAATTGTTCTCTGACCATTTCCAGTTGTTCTTCGATATTCTTGAGAACTTGCTCCTGACCAGCTTCGTACGCCTCGTTGGCTTTCGTTTGCAAAACTTCCATCTTTGTTTGAAGAATCTCAACGCGTTTTCTCAATTTCTCGTACAAATTTTTCAGGGTGAGCAAAGTGTCGGGGAATTTTTCTTTCAATTCCTCGGCTTTTTCCTGAATTTTTCTGAGAAATTCTTCAATCTGCTCACGGATGTCTTCAGCGATTTCTTTGCCATCATCTAATTTCTCTTTGAAAAGGTTGAAATATTTCTCCAATTCCAAATTTTCCAAAATCGTTGTTGTGGTCTCATTGACAACTCTGAAATACAACAGAAATAGTTTTTAACTTAGTTACCTGAAGTAAATTCTATCCGAGAAAAAGCTCAATTTGTGAATCAACAAAGGTCTTTGCACTTTACATAAAAAGCGTGAAAGAATCTTACTCTTTTGCTTTCTCTACTAATTCTTTTCCTTTCTTCTCAATTTCCAATTCTTCCAAGAAATCCTTTCCTTTAGATACGAACTTCTCAACTTCAGGCTTGATTTCTTTGTTAAAGAAACTGAGCAGTTGATCAAAGAAACCCAAATTCTCTTCGTTGGATTCTCCACCCTGAACAGGAACCCTCACAATCTGGCCTGAAATATTAGTTGGGAATTTCTCATGTCAAGATTTCTCATGTCAAGATTTGTTTATATCCAGTTAATGTATACTGGAGTCAGCATGAACTGTAAAACCGACAGCCATGCAGCAGAAGAAGTTATTTAAATCCTTGATAACATAACTAAGGAAATGGTGTCAAGGAAATTAAGAAAGTATTCACACGCACTATCATGTTGTAAGATCAACATTCATTTAACATTTGCTCATAAACACTTTTGCAAAATATTTACTTGTTTTTTTTCACGCGGTAGGTCGTCCATTCATGCGGTGTACAGCTGAAACTGTTCGCGCTAGACAAAATTCCTATTATGGACCAAAACTATTTGTATAAACAAGACCCCACTGAGCAATGGGCAAAGTACAACACGTCTTCGCAAAAATCAACGTTTCGGGCGAGCCCACGCAGTCGTTGAAGAAATGTGTAAAATTTGAATTGATTTTAATAATTCTGACGAGAACTAAACCCAAACTCGATGATTCGTGTCTTCGTTAACATTTCTGAAGCAATGCGTCTCTATATGACTGAACAAGAAATACTGAAGGAATGCGTCTCTAAAGACTTCATATTTAAGCGCTAAATAGCGCATCTCCACATTTTCGAACGCAAATACCCCGAAATTTTTCAAAAAGGAACTTACACTTAACTCCGGATCGTTGAGAGAAAAGACGAAAATAACTTCGTAATGTTTTCAAAAGGAAATTGCGACAGTGAAGCAAATGTCAATAAAGGGCTACAAAAACATGTTTCGTTTTGTCTAAAATAATGGAATTTTTCTTGGCGATTTCAACTGAGATTTCGCCATTTGGGGAAGAAGAGTTTTAGCTGCATTTCTTCTAAACATGCCAAGAGGGTATAAATAATTTTCATGAATGTGAATGGTGAAAAAAATAGTCACCGGGGTAATAGTTCCAAAGTCCAAAAAAACGCTTTGAAATTTTGTTCCCCTTTCTTTTCATGTTGGTTTAAACATGGTTTAATTGGAAGCGCATTTGAATGAGAACGCAAAGTTTTTGCTAATCAAACGTGAATGAGTTAGTGACTTGATGTGCGTCTTTTGGTTCGTAGACTAAACAAGATGATGATTTGTTCAATATGAGCATTTGAGTAGATAAGTTTATAAAACATCGAATCAGGATCAATGTGTGCAATCTGGGACACAGGATGATCAACTAAACCATGATAATGCTAATCTAATAATTTAACAAAATCTTACAGCGCTCAAATGATTTAGCGCCCTCAAAAAACCACGTATAACAAACAAAATTATCAAACTAGGACTTAACCTTCTTGCGTAACGAAGATTTAAACACTTTGGAAAGTCCAACACTGTAAACGTTTTGCACAAAACTGACTCGAGGCAGAAGAAATGATTAATTTGTTAAATTTGGTTCCACTCAAGGCCATAAATCAAGCAGAGCACTAAATTACAACGCAAGGTTCAAAGGGCGTCCACGAATTGAAAGGTGCCTGATACGTGAAAATAATGTTCATTTGAATCACTACAACTAACATTGGGACGTTTGTAATGGTATTCGTGAATGATGCGCGAATCATTATCGATCAGTGCATTTTTTTTCTAAGGAATGCGCGAACATTGATAGTTATATTATGCATTAAATACTGGCTAATTTCCGTGTTATTACATGGAGGTGAGGATGATATCTGTTACTTACCTGAAACGGCTAAAACGCAGAGTAAAAGAACACAGATCGACTTCATTTTTCCTCAGAGTATTGACTTGACCAATGTTCACTTCTCAGGCTGTCTAATTTAAAACTTCTTCGCGACCAAACAACGCGTAATGAATGGTTCAAAACAGGGATCCAATGTCTTATAGAGACAAACCTCGTGACCGTAGCTTCAAACGAGAGCTAATACGCATGCGTAATTAGCGGTTATTAAGCTGTTGATAGGTAGGTAGCCTATCACGTGCGTGGTTGCGCTATCAAAGACGCTTCTTATGCAAAAGCCGGATGCGACCAAATGTCGGAATTACTGGTCGGAAATTGTAATATTTTGCGCTTAGAACACTGTACAGCACGCATTTAAAAAAATTTCACAACCCAGCCGTTCAAAACTGTATTTATTCACGATTTTGTTTAGTATTCTCAATTTCTTATCATGGCAGCCTTTTTAGTTCATCATATGAACGTTTGAGTACTCAGAGGACAAAGTTCGCTTTGAAATAAACACCAGCATGACCTTGAATGTCATACGTTTTAAAAATATCACACTCCATGGGGGTGGGAGGTGCTGTTGCAACTGTATTGCACACAACGCTGCAGAGATGAACGTCTAAGTTCTGATAGAAATGATCTTATAATTAACTGACTATAGTGCAAGTATTTGTTGTTATTGTGTTTAAAACTGGGTGAGTACAGGGTTTGTTTGGAGGTGTGATGTGGTCATTCCCTGATTGAATGTAATCTAATTATCAAAGACACTTCGTACGCCACGTTGACATTTCCTTTCGTAAATTCAATTTGTCATCGCGATGAAGGTGTCTCAGGTGTTTCAACAATTCAAGATTACTCCGGGGCCCTCACAAGCATTTTTATGTTGTTTTTTCAATTCATTTATGGTTGTTGTGACAGAGTGAATGAAGTTTTTTTATTCCCTTGCAATGACGTACCAAAAGCGCTTTCCTCATCAGAAGTGCTCATTGCAAAATGATTGCCGATTAATCGGGCGATTATGCAGAAAACACTGAGCCACAACCGTAGGAGGTCTTGGAAATGCCCCAGAAAAAATATTGCATTGGCCATGGTTTTAAGAGGATTTTTGATCGAAATTGTGAAGCTTATCGTCCAGACATTGCTTTACCCTGGTGAGCAAGAAAAATGTAAAAATTTTTTCTATAAACTAGGAGTTTTTATCCCCCCGTTCGGTGCTTGGTGCAGCCTTAATTGGTTGTTCACCTTTTCGATGAGACGCGGCTTCAATCTCTGTCTTAGTTAATAATGTTTTTCTTATCCAAGTTACCATGAGACATTGTGTTGCATTCTGATTCTGCTAGGAATCGATTATTGAAAGACTGAAATAAATTATTTTAATGTCAAATAACAAGAGTTTGTTTTTCCACGGTGAAATAAAGTTGACGCAATCGGGACTTTGCTCTTCAGCTCATCCGTGGAATGTGAATGTTTACGGAATAGTTATTGCGACACGCTGACGAGAAAGAAGGAAAGAAATATGTTGTCTGGCATGTGATGTCACTATTTATCATTCCACGAAATCATTTAATCCCGATTATAAAAACATCAAGGCTGTTCTGTAGCGGAGTTATGATTGGGATTTAGGAATCAGAATTGGTTTGAAAATGTGAGAAAAATTTTCAAACTTTCACTTATAATCAATTACTTAACTAACCACAGCTGTCACTGATCTTCGTAGAGGGGAAAATAGTCATGACCGGAACTTAAGTCTAGAAAATCTGCATTCAGTAAATTTAAAGTGTAAATACAAAATGAAAATGCGTTAGAGATTGGATTAAAAATTGATGGATCATGTGTCTGGGCTCTTAACTAGATCTGATAACCTCGTTATATCAACTACGTTAGTATTTAGAATGGTATATATGTCAGAAACGTCACAAGCATTCTGCCTGTATCAAGGTTTAACTCAGAGATTTTGTCGTTAATCTTGTCTGTAAATTGAGATAATCTGCTGATTTCGATAAGGGCTTTAAAACGTTTGCTTGAATTATCACCCACGGTGGCTTTATCGACTTTATCGCAAACGTGGTGGTCCAGTGCTTACATCAAATTTGTACAATAAATTGTCGTGTTTGCGTCAGAATATGGTCTGAAGGGAACTCTTTTTTATATATCTTAGTCTGTTCTCTAATCTCTAGTGTAGGTAATAATCTACACTAGAGATACTCTAGCGGTCGTGGTTTGTGTCGAATTGCGGGCAAAAGCGTTTACATTTCAAACTTGCAGTGCAGTTAGTTTGATCTTCCCCAAAATGACTATATGTCTATATCCGAAGTGTCGCATGCGCACTTCACCGAAGAAGAGACTAAGAAGCAAGCGTACCTATTTTTATAACAAATACACTTCAGATATCTTACACCAAGTAATCCAGAAAAATTTACAGATTGGCTTAATGCTTTTAAAATCATTCTTTTTTCCAATGGCTGGAAAAGTTGGGAAAATAAATCCTAAATATTCTTATTTTCCAGCTAAATAAACATCTTGTTTCACCACGAAAGTCGATCAGTTTAGCTCGTAGTTTGATAGCCATCCTTTCTTTACCCATATGGAGCGAGAAACAGGTTCACATTCGACTGCTGAGGCAACGCATTATTTAGCTTATACCGTGAAAGATTTAAAAACTGAACTAAAAAGACGAAATCTCCCAGTAAAAGGACTAAAAGCTGAACTGGTAAGTGAGATTTGATCGTACACTATGTTTAACAGTGCTTTCGTATTGTTTAAAACAATTTAGTTAAATATTTATATGTTTTTGTTAATATATATAATATATTGCACAATTCTATAATAATTAAACACTAATTCTCTTCTAAGTCTAATGATGGAGGAAGCATGCTGGGGTATCCAAAAAGTACTTCTATTCAACTGTAATTAGGTTCAGAGGTTACAGGAAGCAGATAGTGTTGATGAAGTGACTACCCAAAGTTCTGCTGTACCTAATGGTGGCTTGCCATTTCATCACTTAAATGAAAGAATTCGAGAGCAGCATAGAATGGAAAGAAAGAATCGTCAGGGAATTGTGTTGTGGAGAAAGCCACTACTTACAATGCAGTATTTCATATTTGAGCTAGTTATCACAATCCAGGAATATTGGAAAAGGTAAGACTTGACACAAGATTTCATTTCACAGTTCCTCCATAGTTTCAGCCACATGTCTTTCCTGTTATTTTTCCTTCTTATTTCAGAGTTTTAAAGCATCGTAAATCTTGTACACTTTTTGTCACTTCAATAACCGTTCTTTCTCTACTGTATTTTATTCCTGGACAACATCAGAAGGTAGACTGAAATGAATATTTGACTGTCGTCCTTATCATATATCATAACCTGGTACCACTAGTTGAACAGATCTTGTATATTGGGAACGCTTCAACTAAATAAAGATTTTCTCAAGGTCTGTTCACAAACAGACCACAAGAAGGGAGTTTCAGGCCTTCATTCATTCAAAAGATGGAAGATTTAAATGAAGTTTGTTCACGTTTATCTTCAGCATGTTCAAGAAGTTGAGGACTTCATAATGTCGTGTTGTTACTGGATTGGTCTTGGTATTTTGTCCTCTGTTGGTCTGGGAACTGGCTTACATACATTTCTTTTATACCTGGTAAGTCTAACCTTCTGATAAGATGTTTTCTAAAATAAGTTATGGCTGAAATCCCGCATCCTCACAATGCATCACCTTAATCAATTGTTATATCATTAGGGTCCTCATATAGCACAGGTGACCCTTGCTGCCTGGGAGTGCCAGTCACTGGATTTCCCGCAACCTCCATATCCAAATGAGTAAGTTTTATCTTTCAATTTAAAACATAAACTGGATGAAGCCACCTTAGTCAAGTATCTTAATGCGTTGACAGGATATTTTGTCCAGAAGATGGCCACACCTCGACAGTCAGTCTGTGGACAATAATGAGTAAAGTTCGACTTGAGGCATTTATGTGGGTAAGTACGGTGGTCATTTTACACCATATCATTTAGACTACAGATTGATTTATGGTGAGGTAACCATATTTTAGGGGGCTGGTACTGCAATTGGTGAACTACCACCATATTTCATGGCAAAAGCAGGTACGTCAATGTATGTTGAAGGTGATGTTCTGATTTAGATGTTAGATGATGTTAGATGTTGGAAACATGTTCTAATATTTGGACAAATGTGAGTTTAAGATGCATCGAAGTTGTTAATACCCTGACGGCACATCACATTTCTTTCAAGCTCGACTGTCCGGTGTCGAACTGGACGATGAAGATCTTGAGGAAGTGGAAAAACTGGAGGAACTTGAGTCAGTCAAAGAACTGGATCTTTGGACCAGAGTAAAGAAAGGGATATTTGATCTTGTCCAGAGGATGGGCTTCTTTGGTATTCTCGTTTGTGCATCGGTAATTCCGCGGTTTCCTCACTTTCATTTTTAACCATGAATTCCTTAAAAGTATAACCCTAGAATATGCGTGTCTATTTCAATCTAATGAAAAACAATTTCAACTCACTAATAATACATCACGCGATCTATTTTGGTCGTAGTATTCTGATAACTATTGTTGCAAATTTCTGACAAAATGTTGCAGATTAGATTAAGTTGAATAATTTGTGATAATTTCAGATACCAAATCCTCTGTTCGACTTGGCGGGAATCACTTGCGGTCATTGCTTGATTCCGTTTTGGACATTCTTCGGGGCAACTTTGATTGGCAAGGCGATCATTAAAATGCATTTACAGGTATCAATATATTGAAACACGTCACGAAGTTAAAACTTAATTATGACATATACCGTATCTATCTTGTGTTACAACACTGATTGCATCTTATCAGGTAATCATCGGTTATTAATCGCAAGTAAATTCTAGATTTTTCACATGCAGTTGCCCCATGAAAACACAAAGTATATGTGGTGATTGATTGGAATTTTTCTTTTTTTCTAGAAAACTTTTGTTATCTTATCGTTCAGCAAAACCTACGTCGAAACTGTTTTAGAATTAGCTGGGTAAGATGTGATATGAAATATCAGAAAATGTTTTGTTTGGAAATATGATTTTTTGTTGTACTTATTTAAACAAAAAGGAGTGTACTTATGATGAAGTTTTATTTCGAGAGAGATATAGACGATCCATTTCAATTATATAAAAGCATTTTTCTTTATTTCTTAGTGATATTCCTCTCATTGGCCCGTATATCCAATCACCATTCAATAAAGCTTTAGAGGCACAACGAAGCGCTCTACGTCGTAAACCCGGGGAAACGACAATAAAGGTAGTTTATTCAATTTAAGATAACTTTTTTTTATATCAAAATTGCTGCATCCTTCATGCATTAAAATAACTTACTTCATTTCAAATGATTTTACAGTTTTACCGCTGCAGGAAAACAGCGGAGTCTAGTTTTTCACAACTATACAGAAAGGTCTTGAAGTTTTCATAAACAGAAAAGCACATTTCCGTATTTTTCTTATTACTAGAAAACCAGTTCATTGGCTTGGATATTTGAGAAGGTCGTTCTTCTCATGGTGGCGTATTTTCTATTATCAATAATCAATTCAATGGCTCAATCTTACGACAAGAGACTACAGGAAGAGAAAAGACTTGCTCCTCCACGGTCAGTCGTCAAAACAAACTAATGGTATACATGTATTAGCATCAAATGTGGTTCAAAAACTGCCTAAAATAGATAAAAACACTTCTCGACGTTTCGACCTGAGAGCTTTCATCAGGAGAGTTAGTATGATATATTAAATGCTGCATCATGATATATCATACTAACTCTCCTGACGAGGGCCCTCAGGTCGAAACGTCGAGAAGTGTTTTTGTCTATTTTAGGCAGTTGTTGGTTTATCAAGGCTGGATTTCATCAATCTTTTTTGTGTTTTCTTCCCTCTGTCACCTGCGCTGCAAACACGATGATTTAGCAGTCTTACAGTCCTACTGTTTTACAAAAACTTGTTAAAAACTTGTTATCAAGTCGCGAGTGCATGACAATCTTTTCAAAACGTTATAATCCGAAAGATTTTGAAGCAAATTTCTCTAAGTCTATGTAAAACACCTTAATTGAAAATATTGTTAGTTTTACGTTTCGTTAATTTTAACTAACTAGAAGCAATTACACGTATATCCACTTCTAAACTTTAGTTTTTTTTCATTCGTATATATAGAATGTCGTTGAAAAAATTATAATTGCAATTCGATTTTATGATAATGCAGGTTTTGTCAATGGGCTTGTAAACAACGTTATTTTGACCATCCAAACAATACAAACTTAAATACACAAGCGATTACGTCGAAGATAAGATTGAAAATGATGCAATAGTTCAGCCAAGTCATTTTCAGCTGCCCGCCCTCAAAACTGCCCACCCGCAGTAATCCGCCTGATCGCGGGTCGGACAATGTAACCTGAAACTATTATGTTGCGAAATTAAATGGTCTCTTCCAAGATTTCTAACAACAAGGGCGGTAGTATTTGCAGCAAATTATCTATGTATATTGTTATTTGACAACGCTGGTTTCTGTTCCTGGAATATTAGGCTTCCGTTATAGTAATTGTAACATCCTGTCAGCGACAATCCTCTAATGCAAGAGCCGGAGTGACAAATTGTAGCTTTTGAACTGTGACGGGCTCTGACGTGAAACGTATGATGTCCTATGATGAATTTACAAATGTTTAGAGAAAAAAGTTCAATGATCACACACACGTATTGCTTGCGTGGAAAATACCCAATCGGGGAAAACACATACAACAATAGCTATGACTCGGCATAAACATGAGATAAACCAAAATAGTCTTGAATCATTTGAGTGAAATGATATTCTAAGTTGCAAGTGATATTACCATGCTGTTGCATACGATGGTTTGTGCTTGTTACTGTTAGTGCACAACTATTCATATTCAAAAACGTCTCAGTACAAACAGTTTTAGTAAACTCTATCGAACGAGTTTCAGTCGTGATCGACCTGCTTGCTTGGATGACTTGGGTGAATGTTAACGCCTGCGTTTTAACTGCATACATTACGTTTCTCAAATAACAATGATCATAGATAAATGTGCAAATATGCTTGAAATAGGATGACTTTTCGGTGTTTTAAGAAAGAAAGTCGTAACTCAGCAAAACGTTTTGTGTAAACAAAACTATTTTTGCGCTACCAGAGTGCAAATGTTTTTCCAAATTTCCCTTTTTTTTGCTCATTTTCACCACATTTGAAGCTCGCAGTCGCTGGTTACTCAGGGTTGTATTGTGATTAACTGGTTAACTAGTTGTAATAACTTCAGGAATGAAAGATGATTAAGAAAATACTTTCATAAACTGATAAAACACAGCACAGGAACTCTTCTGCTTACTGCGGAAGAAGAACGAACCGGTAATTTATTCAAAGTGCATAGGAAATTATGCAAAACTGACACAATTGTGGCGGTCGTGTCTTCCAGCTTCCTCAATTTAAATAATTTAAAATTAATTCGTATAACCTTGAAACTCTTTGTGTCAGTCCTGCTTTGTATAGTTCAACAATTCGTTACAAAAGCAGTTTTTTTTCTTCTTAAAACAATGTCAAGTCAAACAAATTGCGTTCATTCAAAACACTTTGGATGTTACGTCGCTTAAGGCCTTTCGTATGTGGGCGAGCAGCATACGATTATTTAGCGAGGCGTTTTCGGGACTGGTAGGCAGCGAAATGTTAATATATATATATGTACATTATTACGAGAGGTACTTCGGTATTGCTTCTACGAGCGCTACACGTGGCAACGGCTGTAGACACACACCGAATTACGATAATTTCGGGGCGGACAACAGGCAAAGCCAACTGCCATTTTGAGCTCGTGATCGCTTCGGAAAATCCCGGCGCCGAAGACAGCCTAAATCGGAATCTTGTCGGCAAGGTAAGGAAAAGCCCTGAGAAGTTATATTGATATTAAAATAACTCTTTTCCGTGCCCAAACTGAAATATTTTAATCCCTAACCGCCTCAGCCAAATTTTTGGCGCTTTTCAATAATGCTAGCGACTAGAAACTCCCGTTGAAGATTGTATTTTACTAGATAATTTGATTTTTATTGAATTTTGAAAGATTCGAGTTTATTCACAGAGCAAACATGAATGTGTACCCAAACCAAATTACATATAGGCATGTGGTTACCCTAGAAATAGTCGCCCAGTCAAAATTTATATCTTGCATTGTACAGTTTGTATGTAATTGGAATATTTTCCGTTTCGTTCGTTCGGAGTAACTTCGTTCATTCTCCGAAGTCGACGTTGCTACGGGAAGCATACGAATGTTGCCGAATCGAAAGTGCAAAGTTTGAAATTTCTTTGAAAATCTTAAATTTTAAAAAGTTATTTTAAAGTTTTTAAAATGTTGTTGTATGTAAATTGGTCGTTTCAATTGAAGTTTTGATGGCATTAAAGGTATAGTTAACATTTAATTTTCATTTGCTAGCTTCCTGTATCGTTTTGTAGTATGTTTCGTTCATAGAATTAGGGTTCATTTGATGCAAACACAAGACCAAAAGGTGACAGACTATAAACTTTTCTTTTGCGAATTAAGTTTCAAGGTTTAGTGCAAATTTAATAATGGATGCTATCGTTCTTTTTTTTAACTCAAGCTGGCTGCTTTTAGCCTCAAAATTAGTGTGAATCAAGACAGAAAACGATGCTTTTAATTTTCAAACTTGTGCTAAGTTCACTTAAAAAATTCGTCTTTGATTACAATTATTTCGTTTCGCGTTCGCAAAAGATGCCATACCTTTGCCCCTCTGCGTTTTACGAGGCGTGCTATCAGGTTTGCGGCGAATTTAATAACACAGAGTGGGTGATACCGAAAATTACAGTTATATTGTAATTTAAAACACTCCTCGTTTTTCTGATTTTAAATTTATATTCATTGGTCCTACACCGGACATATTCAATCTTTCAGAAAAGGAAACGCATTTTATAAGCGAGGATAAGCTATTTTTGTCACAGCAATCTATTTTTATGATCCTATTCTGATAGGGTTAACCTTAACATACTGGAAAACGTCAATAAGCGTTGAATATATAATAAGGCTTACTCCCCCACAAAGTATGGGGGAGTATCAGACTGTATTCAGCTTGGACTGGCAAAATATCTCAAAAAAAAATCCTTTCTCAATTGAAACTGCTTGTGAGATGGATTCTAAGACATACATGTATGTGCCAATTCTCAATAAGATTACACAAGTTTTGAAAAGTAAACAATTTTATACTGCCTGATGAAATTACATGCTGGCTGTAATATTATCATTATTTGCATGTAATTATGTTTATGTCGATTCGTTCTAAGTTAGTCGCCTCCGGATCGTCCAAAATTAAAACACTATACCTAGTTTTTATGTTTTGCTGATTAAAATAACAACAAATTGAATAGTTTAGCTTACAACTATTAGGAACTAGCATACCTCATTCATTGTATTAAATGTTTTACAATTCTCCTTGTGAGGAATGAAAAATTTAGTTTTTATGCACTTAAATATTCTGAGGATGTATTTCCCTCAAAATTTTCTCTTAATAATTTTGCAGTTTTTATTTTAGTATTAAACATAGTAATCAAGCAAGGAGATTTTGGGCATGAAAATATATTATTAAGTAAAGTTAGGGGGATGATTTGCTATAGTTACATGTGTTAACTTTATCATTTAAGTCCATTGTTAATGTTATATGACATAGTATAATAGGCATGGCAGACAATATCAAGCGATATCTGGTTGAATACAGTTATATTTTAGATCAACTTAGTGTTTAGTTTGTAATGAGTGGGTTTCTGTCTGCCGCAGTCCATATGGGAACAGCTGTTTGCTTTACTCATTTGTCTGTTGAACATGCTAGTTTCTCTAAGTGTAGGATAAATTAATACCACTGATAACATAGTTAGAGGAGTCCAATTATCTGGGGGCAGAAAACTCCTTTCCCAGAAAATATTCTAGTGGTGTATATTAGAATATAAAATATGTATGAATGCTGCACCCATGTGGGTGTGGGGGAGATTGCCCTCCAGCATTAGAACATTACCCCCTCTCTCTCCCCACCCTCTCTTTCTCTCCTAAAAAAACAGTTACTGCCACTAGAGTGTATATCATATTTCATTATATGATGGTGATCTGGGGATGATCTTATACACTCTTCGGTGTCCACCCACTCCTATTACCCCCTGGGTCAATGTAACCCCCCTGAAAATCTACACCCCCCTGAAAATCTACACCCCCCATCTTATCAGAGCATCGGGCTTTATCATTTCCCTCCCACGTTATGTGATAGTCGAATTTACACACTATAAGAAATTAATCTATAATATTGACCATGTGCCTTAATTTCTCTGTTGCAGTAATTCAGAATTTTACATGTTTGATGATAACTTTTCAACCTTTACAACTTGGGATTTTTTATTTCATATGAGAATATGTTATGAACTAAACTTTAAATTTATCTTTCTTACAATACCAAATTCTATATTTGTCATTTAAGAGTCAAAATCTTCCTATGATTAAGAGGATAATGGAGAGAGTATTCACATGTTAATATCACAGTCCATCAGGAACCTGTCATAAACTGAGTATTTCATTCGATCCTGTCACATGTACCACCCCCGGATTGGTTTACAAATGAAAAGGATTCTTAAACAATTTGACATCTCTTCTCTCTTTTCTTACCAGATGTTTCTATCCTTACGGTCAACAATATACAACCTGCCTAGAAAGGTTTTAGTGCGGTCACCTGATAATTTTTTGGGTTTTTTTTGACGATTTTTGTTGTTTTTTTGACGATTTTCAGTAAAAGTATAGACTTGACTAAATACTTCGGACGGCATTTCTGTCTGGCAGGAATGCTGGCTGGGACGTCACAAAAATATCGTGTCTCCTAGACCTGGGTGCTCTTTTTGCCCTTGATTTTAGCTTTTTCAAAGAATTACGGACATAAAAAGCAAAGTCTCTTACTTGGGGCTGTGTAAATGACCAGATATTACATGTGGTGTTTTTTTTCTGACAATTGACCCAAGTTTTACAAATCATGCACGTTTTTCAGTACTTTTGAGGATTATCATAGTTGATTTGAAATTGAACATTTTCTTTTTTCAACTTTCCTGGTATAGTTCATAACTCATTCGTTTATTTTTATTCAGACCAGAGGATCATCAAGCAATTCAAAGACCCAATCCACTGTTTGCAGTACCCATATGCGATACAGTGTGAAGTTACTCATTGGCTTAGCTATGCCTGGAGTGGCGCTAGCTGCTCTCTGGCTTTGGAAAGTTCGTCGTGCACATCAACAGAATGATAGCAGTGATTCTGATATGAGCCGTACATTACAGGACGTCGCTGAAGAGTTTAAAACTATTCGTCAAAAAAGGCGCGACGCGAACAACGTTTCTACGAAAACTTTGGACCGAAACGGTTCTGTTGAGTCTGGTGGGGGAACCATGGGGTATCTTGTGGTACCAGGGGATTGCTCAGGTGTAAATACCAGAGGAAATGGTAAAATTGGGAACAATGAGAACACAAATGAAATAATTAAAACAAATTGTACAAAGCTAGACAGTCAGCCTGCGAAATATGACGATAAAACTAAGGAAGAAAGCCTGAATTTCTCAGGTCAGTTAGACATTTCTGATGAGAAGAACATTGACGTTGTGTCTGATGCTTTCAAAGGGGAACCATCCAGCAAACTGGAAGACAACGATACTGACAGTAGTCATCAACAATGTGTCACCTCCCAGGAGACATCAGAAATCGTATCTACTCGCGAAGAAAAGGAAAGTGGTCGTAAAGAAGTATGCGCAGGAGCCTCTATTTCGCGGGCTCAGTCTCTTGACGATTCTTCGGATGTGAGCAGCACGGACTCGCCGCTGGATCAAAAACTTACTTCGATTACCTCGGGCTCAGATTGTGAACACGCTGACGACGAGACAGCGGAAGAGGTGACGTGGGAATTAGAGTTTCCTCAGGCACTCTGCGGTCGACTTATTGGAAAGAAGGGGAAAAATGTGCAAAAAATCTCACAGATTACAGGCACAAAAATACGACTTATTCCGCAAAACGAAAATACGGAATCCTCTCAGAGGCTCGTCGCTCTCACCGGCTCCCCTAAACAGCTGAGGTTGGCTCTCAGAGCGCTGCGAGAGAAATTTCCTAGTGTGCCATTTACCCGGTTAAACGGCAGTCAACCGTTTGTAGAAGAAAGTCATAATCTCCCTCCGAATATGATATATGTTGCACTTCCTGAAAACGACTTTTGTCAGGTTTTTGTGACGAATATCGTCGATGCAAGTCATTTTTCTGTCCAACTCTACGACCACGCCATTCAAAGCCACCTCAGACAACTCGACCAGCAGATGTACCAATGTTACGCGGGCGTCGCTGCTGCTGGCGTGCCACAGGCGATCAATACCGGCATGCTTTGCGCGGTGCCGAGTCCCAGCGGTTGGTGGAGGCGGGCTCAGGTTGTTGGATTGTTAATGAAGCCAGATGAAGTTGAGATCACTTGGTTAGATTATGGTGGACGAACCAATGTCTCAACGACAATGCTTAGACGACTGAGGTATAGTTTTTTATGGTAATTTAAGACAGATATTATTCAATAAGTTTACTTGATTATCTCACAGTATTCTGCCATCTGCGAGGAAGGGGTTGTAGTGTGATTCTGTTTTAATTTTTACATTTAAAGGTCAGATTTTTTGCAATTACCGTTTCAAGCCGTTGAATGTTATCTCAGTAATCTTGTTCCAAACCACGGTAATGTAATTTTGTTTGAAAAATGAGAGAATTCTTTATTATGTAACTGCATGCATGGTACACTATACCATGATACTTTAAGTTTATATAGTTTATGTTTAAAACTATACTTAGCCCTTGTATATCCTCCTATGCTATTCTCGGAGCGAGGAAGAAGAAGCGTGTGCATGCGTAGTGTTCTAGGCTTATTCTCTCATTTGTTTCTTTTTCAGGTGAGACAACGTTTTCAATGGCCGCTTGCGCGTTATTTGAACAACTGACGCAGAATGTGGTGCTTACAGCACGAGTCGCAGGTTATACCAAAGATTGTCCGAGCTTAGAGCTTTACACTCCTGAACAATGGACTGGACAGGTGATTATGTCTTCTATAAGTTTCCTGTAGCGGGACGTTAGGTTCCTGTAGTAACACTAGATCAATAAGAGATCATCCTTACTGGAACTCTAGGAAGAACAGTTTAGAACTGATAGAGCTATCCAGTATAAATAAAGTTAGTTTAGTTTAGGTTTCCTCCTGTAGTAACACTGGATCAATAAGAGACGATCCTTACTGAACCTCTAGGAAGAACAGTTTTAGATCTTTCATTTTCTGAATTTTATTTATTTTCTTCGCAGCCATTGTTTGTCAATCGTGAATTCGTTCGTCGGGGTTTTGCGAGATGGTCGGAGACATGAGGGATATTATAAGGACATTTGATGGATTTCAATGGATTTGCAGAGAGACTATTATTGAGATAAGTCCGTATTATTTTGCAAAGGCTGACAGATAATTTGATCCGTGTCTTTAAAGACTGCTGACGATATGCATGCAAATAAGTTATAAATATTCTAGTTGGATTTTCAAATTTAATATGTTGTATTCGCAAATAATTGCTGTACGTGTATGAATTTTTCATGACTGTAGAAAACACCCTTCGAATGATTACCTAACAACTGAATAGGAAAATAGTTCCAGTGAAATTCATTTGAAATCTTATCTTTCTGGACAATGAAAAACTAAGAACTAGGTTGTGGAATGATCGAGCGGAGAAATATAATGTAAAACGTAAAAAAGAATTGCCCGCATAAGAAAAATTAATAAGTAGATATGCTTCGCAAACACTGAAATGTGTTTAGAAAATTGTCTAATTATTCACTTAGCAGAACGTCTTCCAGTTATCCCTTTATACCTTTCAAAGGCGAGTTTTCTCTACAGCGGAGTCCGTAAAAAGCAATGTTCTGTCATAAGAGGGCTTTTTTCACGGATGTGTGTCAAGGATGTGTTTCAGGTTCGAAAATAAATTGAAAAATTTAAAATACATCATGGTTGCTAGGCTACGAGCAGGTGTACGACCGTTAATCTTCCAATGAGAATATAGATAATGTTGAATATTTGCTCACAAATGTTGTTTATCTTGTTCGTAAATCTGTCACGAATAATACAATGTCTTGGTTATAAACGTTAAACGTTTGCTCAAACATTTATCAGAAATGCGTGTGTTTGTCTCGTTCGAGGGATCCGTTCATAAATTAGAAGTCGATGTTCAAGAAACTGTTGGCGGAATAAAAGAAACTTTACGGGAGCGATTTGGATTAACGTTGAAGAATCATCGAGATGAGACAGTCAGTTTTGTATCGTTGCTTTACCAAGGATCAAAGCTTCATGATAACTGGATATATTCTGATCTTGCTATTTCACCAGGCACAATCCTAGTTTGCCGTGTTGAGAAGCAAGTGGAGCCTTCTCTAACGGTGCATTGTATAAATTATGATGAAAGAATCGTTTACAAGAACAGCTTTAATGTCTGGCAGACATCTGTGGGAACACTACGAACTATGATTCAAGACTCAACTGGCGTCCCAGTTAGTGCGTTCAGGTTGTATTCAAAGACTGGCGTGGAGCTCTACGACTGTCATCTGTTAAAAGTTTATGGGATAGACGCAGGAGATGTTGTTACCATGGAGATATGGCGCGATGTTGCTGACGTGATCCAAGCAGCGCGGGAGAATGAGATAACGGACACACTAGGCTGTCTCACGTCTTTTCATGATGGTCCGCAATTAATGCGTTATCAGTTACAGGTTGGCCTGTTCACAGCTGCGCATTATGGTTATCACCAGTTGGCCATCCAGTTAATGAAATGCGGGGCGAGACCAAACGAACCGGTTGGACAACATCCGTCACGTGATTGGTGTCGTGAATCGGCGCATGTTGATCACGTGAAGACGCCTGCTCATGAGGCCGCACAACATGGAAGATTAAAGTGTCTGCGATATTTTCTCATGTTTAATTATGCAATCCTGATCTGTAAGGATGCTCACGGGCTGACACCTTCAAATATTGCGCGAAGATACAAACAGACGGAATGTTTTAAACTTTTGGTCGCTGAACAGTTTCGCATTCCCATCGTTCACCCCCAGATTAACATACACGTGTACTCGCGCGTGCGCAAATGGTGCGATCGAGCCAGAATGCGGGCTCGTTTGAACAAGGATAAGACAGCGATGCTCCTGCTCACGAACGCTGAGATTGCCCAGAAACGCGCTGTTGTGGGTCAAAGAGTTGAAGTGGATGGTTATAGCGATCTGGAGGGAAGAAACAGAAAAGCTAAGAGTGCGTCTTCTTACTCTAATACAAGTAACGAACGTGGGCATTCAGCCTACCGGAAGAAAGCGATGTCAGAGATAAACTCTCAGAGGGCAAAATCCGATGCAATGGTCCGAATGAGCTCGAAAACCAAGATAAATAAGTCAGTCGACCCAAATCCAGAGGAGAAATCTAACAGGCACAGTGCAAACTTAGCATCAATCAGTCGGAATTTACACAGAAAACAAGAGTCGCTTGATGTCGGCGATTCAATAACTGCTCTAAATGACGAGGCTACTCGACGCAATATGCGCAAATCTATCAATTCCACGCATGAGCAGAACTCTTCCGCTGCTGCTCCACGCGTATCTCGTGCAAGTCACGAGGCGTGCCGTAGTTCATTGCGTGGGGAACGCGCATCGATCTGCTCTGGTAGACCACATCAAGAACAAAAATTAGGAGAATCTTTTCATAGGCAAAATGCGCGATATATTTGGAAATCGTTGGATGACGAGGCGAAAGATGTGGTCCCAATGGATGAGATAGGATCGAGAAGGACATCTGCTATTATTGATCAACATGATTCTACTGTAACCTCTACTAACCAAGATGTCATGCCGGTATTAGTTCGGTCCAAGGTCGAGGAAAGCCGACACGGAGTCGCCTCTAGTCGTGATTCCGATGACGCTCATAGGAAGGTAACTGCATCAAAATCAGGCTCGAATCCCTCGAAGGGCTCACATCACGCTGACAGTCCAGTAAAACGAAGATCAACTCAGTCTAGGAAGTTAGTATGTCATGGCTCCGTCGAGTCAAGTGCGGACAGATGTCTGCGAGTTGCCTGTGAGACTTTCCGCAAGAAAAGTTGGTTAAGTCAATTGCAAATGGCTGTAGTGATGAATACTAATATGCATAAACACCGTGCCTCGCGTGAGGGGATTGGAGATTAGGATAATATGAACGAATTTCCTGGGCGATTAGCCTCATAGGAAACAATAAATAGATAAAAATAGAGAGGGTAGGCCAGTTTCGAACTATAGATAAAATAGCTGTGAGTTTGCTCGCAGAGAGGAACTAAATCTCATAGGTGATGGATGACACTTGACACCCGGAGAACACCCCCACACGACTCTAAATATACGTCCTCAGTTGCCTAACCTCTACTCTATTGTTCTCTTAAATCAATACGTGATCGCCGACAAACAAGTGAAACAACTCCCCTTATGTCCATCATCCAGATCCTTCAGGTCACGTACAGACTTTTGCAGGTCTCTAATGAAGAAATTCTTGCCAAAATTTTTTTAGATTATAGTGACCTCTAAAAAGACCTCTTCATAGTTCAATGATTCCAACAAATTTACTGTAATCACGCTAAACTTATGTCAACGCGAGAGATATTCTCTTGTAAAACGAGATGTAAAATGTCGGAAAAAATTACATATTCTCATCATGCCAGACAAATTGTCAAAACAATTGTCTTTTTTTATTGAAAACGTCAATATTTGCAGCGAACATTTGCATTTTGCAGCTTACTTTGCTCGGCCAATCAGACGCAGTGAATCGTTCCGTTTTGAACATAATGCATATAGAGTTCCTTCAAGTTTAGCAAATAGTTTTTACACGGAAGAAATGCACTGTCACCGACACTTATTTCTTACACTGCCTCTTGACGTCCTCAACTTTAATTTCTGTCGTGTAAAATCCGTCTACTTTCAAATTACATGTAGCAATTTGCATTGTAAAATTCTAAAATTATCATGTAGCTACATCTACTAATGTCCATTACTCACAAAGTAAATATCAGAATTTTAAATTGCCTATTCTCTGCCAATCTCCATTTCCAGAAAGCAAGTTGTTCACAAACAAAATTTTGAAGGCTTAAAATCCAAAATTATAGCCTTTCTGGCCTATTTCTCATCTAACCCAACCGGTATTTTATTTCAATTGTTTACAACTCTTCTCTTCAACGTCCTATCACATGAATTCAATTTTGAGCGGAAGTGATATTACAATAATTTCAAATTAAAAATTCTCGTCTCCTCCAAGCTGTAAACAATTTACTATTTAGCGTTGTCAACTCGTTGCCGTGGCAGAAGCTCCAAATAGTTTGACTTATATAACTTCCGAAAGATGTCCAAAGTTTTCCAAATTTTAGGCGACGAATTTATCAATAAAGAAGGCCAAAGTATAAGCCTTGGAAGAGTTCAAGGCAAGGGAAAAGTTATAGCTCTATACTTTTCAGCCCATTGGTGTCCGCCTTGCAGAAACTTCACGCCAAAACTAGCAAGTTTTTACGAAAGTTTAAAACAAGGGCAAAATGGAAGTAGATTTGAGCTGTTGTTTCTTAGCTCGGACAAGAACGAAGAAGAATTTTCCAAGTATCTCGACCAAATGCCTTGGTATGCCTTGCCTTACAGCAAGAGGAACGAAAAGGTTTGTATATTATTCAATCTAAACTAGTGTAGTTTGACAAAGTTCATTCAAGCTCATTATATAAACGTAATATATTTTGTGCAAATACAGGGATATGTATATATATAAACAGTCTCCACCGTATTTGAATTTCATCTTGCAAATGGGAGCGTCTTGAAACATAATAGTGCCGAATTTAATATAATGGATAAAGACACCTGCGCTTTGTGAAATGACCGACGCGTTCAAACGTCTGTGAAACTTTCAAATAGAGTGCTCTTTTTGCTAAAAGTTGTTAAAAATGGTGGAAGTAGTTCTATTCTCTTTGTAAGTGACCTTGTTGAATGAGAACTATTGCTCTGTATAGTGCGGATGATTTCATTTAGATTAATTTCCGATAAAAATGCGGTCCATCTTTTGATGTATTGCTTGAAAACGAGTGATCTTGAGAGAATCATACAGAAAAGATTCTCGGATCCTAGTGGATAAAATTGGATTAGGGAGATGATACTGGTAGATAAAAACAGGATTAGAGTATGTTTGGTAAAATCCTTGCCCTGGGGATTTAATACAAGCTTATATAACAAGTAGTTTCTGACTTTTGTCTTCCTCATTTAATTTTACACTTCCCCTTTATTGCCAATAAAATACAGTTGTCAGTGTTACAAATTAAAACATTAAAAAATCATTAGAGCTTTGAAATGAGTGAAATTGACTGATTTCTAAAAAGTAATTTCTGGTACATACAAGATTGGCTGTAATCATTTTTCATTTTTTGCTTGGTAGGCAAAGCTCTCCAAATACTTCAGAGTGAGTGGAATTCCAACATTGATCTTCCTTGATGGAGAAACAGGCAATGTTATCAACAAAAATGGCCGGTCTGCAGTTGATAATGATCCTGAGGGACAGAAGTTTCCATGGAAAGGAAAGACATTGCAAGATATTTTAAATGCTGGAGAATATATTACAAACAAAGATGAGAAAAAGTCTTACGAGAATGACATAAAAGGAAAGGTGCTTGGGATATATTTTTCTGCTCACTGGGTAAGTAACTAAAGGCCAAAAATTATCTATGGCTTTTTTGAGGTCTTGGGTCTGGGATATACTACTTTCATGCTTTGTGATTGATTGATTTTAACAATAGGCAACTGTTGGGTCATTAAATAGTGTGGAGTTGCAAGGTTATAAATTGCTTTTGGCGAACAAGCATGCCAAGTTGTTGTACTAGTTAACATTCAAGCTTCAAACTTCAAACAAATTTGACCTGATTGGAAAAATTTCTCATCTCGAAAATTTTGTCTTGAAAGATACCTCTTTTTCAACTTTAGTGTCCACCGTGCAAAGCTTTCACACCACAACTTATTGAGTTGTATAATAAGATGAAGGATCAGAAGAAAGCTTTTGAAGTTATATTTGTCAGCTCAGACCAGAGTGCAGATGCATTTAAAGAATACTTTTCTGGAATGCCATTCCTTGCATTGCCATATGATTCCGAAGTCAAGGAGGAGCTTAGTGACTATTTTGAGATTGAAGGTCAGCTATGACTAATTATTTCATTATTGGAGAGCTTAATGTCTACACAGTTGCCAATATTAAATGTCTTGAAAAATGGCACATTTTTAGGGATACCAACATTAATTATAATTGATAAAACTGGCAGAGTTATAACGTCAAGTGGACGTGCTGTAGTGAGTGGAGATAAGGATGGAAAGGTAAGTTTACTTCAATTATTTTTGGAAACATGCACAGTTTTATCATGAAACATTTCTACTTCTCAGAAATTCCCATGGTATCCAGAACCTGTTGAAGAGCTTAATGAGATATCTGGACCAAAAATTAATGATGAAGTTTGCCTTATTTATAATCCTGCTAAAGGTATGTGAAATGTGTAATTCTGTGTGTTACATTGGCAATACGTACTCCAGAATGTCAAGATGATCTAAATACAAAACCTTAAACCAATCTGAAGAAAGATCCTTAACAAAACTGAGTTATCATTACATATAACTTTAATAGTTGAAATTCGTAACTGGTTTGAATGCTGCAGACGTCCATTTATTATCGCAGTCTCTTCTCAAATCAGTTAATAATTTTCATTATCTTCATTCTCAGATGAAGAAGCTGCAAAACAAATGAAAGAAATCTTAGCACCGCTTGGCAGGGAATGTCAGGAGGAAGCTAAAAGAGAAGACAAACAACAAGATTTGTTCTTCTTTGTTGCTCCGACTGAACCAAATGACATCGTTGAATCATTGTGTGAGTTCCTGAACGTCAACCCTGAGGAAAAATCTTTGTTCATTGTTGATGTGCCTTCAGCAAAAATTTTCAAGTTTGAACTATCTGTGGATGATGTCGAAGCTGAAGGCGAAGCTGAGAGCGAATTAGTTGAAGGCGAAGCTGAAGGCAAAGTTGAAGGCGAAGCTGAAGGCGAAGTTGAAGGAAAAACGAAAGCCGTGGCTTATCGCAATCCTTCAATGGAAGAGGTGATCAAGTTTGTTAGAGATTACCAAAATGATCTCTTGGTTGCCAAAAATATTCGTGATTAATAAAGTAATTAATAGGCATGTAGCTTTTAGAGTGTGAATATGAAACTGGAATTTCTTTTGCTTTCGTAGAAAAATAGTTCTGACGCTAAATTTAAATAAAATCTGTTATGGCGCTAAATATAAATAAATGTATTGCTTGTGACCTTATTGTCATGTAGTATTTTGAACTTAGTCTGCTGTGGATCCAATCATTTGTAGAATGATTTTTCCTCTTTCTACAAAAGGATAAGCAGTAAACAGGTACGTACTTTCAGTCTTTCAGTTTTTCAGAGAAATGTGAAGAACTCTCCAACTCTCAGGCTGTGTTGAGGGGGGGTAGCTTTCCATAGGGGCTTCCCCCCTTTGCGAGGGGTTGTGATATACCGCAACTTTGGATAAATACACTTAAGCTTACATGACGTTTTCGGTTCCACACTATATGGCGACTGCCATTGATGCAGAAAGGTATATTTTGTTTAATTTTTCTGCATTTTTTGAACCATTTGCTCTCCTTTTTAGATTTTTTACTAATGTCTTTGCATTTTTTGTGTCTTTTAGCGATGGAGTTTCCGAAGAAATCGAGTTATTGCAGGCAATCTATGTACATGAAATTGAATTATCTGGCTTAGATGAAAGGTGATTTTTTTATATTTGGTGCATTACAAAGTCTTGTATGCTTATAAATATAAATGTATAAATAAACCAGTGTTGTTAGTACAGTACATAATGCAGTTCTTTACAGGTTCGTCTTCGAAAAGTTAATTATCAGGGTGGAGGGGGCCGAATTTATTCAATTTAAGCACTTCCATTAAGATATTTTTTATTTCAGGCCAATAGTGGTCAACTTGTTTCTTCATCCAAGCACAGGCGATGATGACCACAACTCAAAATATGTCTGCCTTAATCTCTGTCTGTCAATTTGTGGTGAATATCCATTCCAATCTCCGGGTATCTCGATTAAAAACCCGCGAGGAATATCCGATGCCCATCTCAGCAGCATTCATGAAAACCTAATTGCTTTGGCGAAAGAGAAAATTGGATCCCCAATGCTGTATGACTTAATTGAGGTTTGTGGTATTCATATAAAGTTTGAGTAATTGTAAGTTTGTGACTCTGTGATTACCATTTTGCAGCATAATAGTACAGTTGCATTGTCTATAGTTTCCCTCTAACCAAATTGGATCAACTTTCAGATCCACATGAATTACTGTCCCTCCTCAACGTCAACAAATCAGTCCTACTGTTTTCTCAATTGGTTAGGGTGATCAAAAAGTCAATTATTTTTGGTTATTTCAACTGAAATTAATTGACAAGTTCATAATGATCCTAAATGTTTAAATAATCCTACTTTAAATTATCTTATAATCTTAATATATGAAGTGTCCAAATTGACATCTCATCAAATCTGACATAGTAGTAACTTGATGCTGCCATGTTAATTGCTCCTTGGTTTTATAATCCTAAGACCTATTTACCAGAGCTACCAAACACAATAATAGTCGTTGAAAACTTCTCAAATTAAAATGCTGAAAAGTGTTTAAAATTCTGTAATTCAGCAAAAATCTTTTGCAAGGCTTATGAAAGACATATGACTCTGTCGCCCTGTTTCTCATTTACTAGTACACAAAAGAATGTTTGTCTGACAACAATGTACCCAGTTGTCCTTGTGTTATTTGTCTGGAACATTTTGGGGTGAGTTTTGAAATTATGGAATCATAACTTCTCACTCTTGAAACCTCAGGTTTGACAGTTGAACATTTTGAATAAACTGTGAATTTTAGAAAGAAGAAAATTTTGTGAAAACGGAATGTTATCATTATTTTCATTCTGTGTGTCTTGCAAATTATGTCAAGCATTTTTTGAGCAAGAATCACGATAAAAAGGTAAGAAAACTGCTTGAATTTATTTGACTTCTGAATATAAATAGTTTATATGCAAATTCTTCTTTCTTTCTAGATTGTGTGTCCAATGTGTAGACTTGATATTGTATATGACAGGAGTGAAAATGGAAATAAAGACAACAGCAGTTGTATGGAAGATGTGTTTGTTTATAAGCCAGATGAGAAACAGTTGAAAGCACAGGCAGAACGACAAAAGATATTCGAATATCAAAAACAGAAGGGGGGCATTATTAATATTGAAGAAGAGAGAAATAAATATCTTATTGGAATAAAAAATGAAAAGGTGAAATTCACATGATGATTTTGAAATAATTTGTAATTAAGTTTTGTGTCAAACTCCAGACTTTTTTTTTAGGTCAAGGAAAGTGATAACAGTGACTTTCAGTCTGACGGAATACCAGCTCCAGTTACACCAGGAATGTTGGGTAAAACTAAAATATTACCATGTGGTGTTTCTAGTCAATCTATGGATCAAACCTGTAAGGAAAAAATAACTGATGAAGGCAAGAGAAATAAGAAGAATACAAGACCTTCCAAAGAGAATGATTATAGTCAGAGCTCTGACCTAGCCTCTGGTAGGGGAAAGAGTGAGAAGAGGAGGGATAGAAATGGTCAGAGAAGGATGCAAGTAGGTGATTCTGGGAATAATGGTAGTAATCTGGCTCGTGAAACTAAAGAACCTGGTGTCGAGAGATCGGGTTTTCACAAAGACAGTAGAAGAAATGATGTCAAGATAAGACAGAATAAGGAAAGTCAGAAAGAAGAACTACGGCGAAGGACAGGTTGTGAGACGAACAGGGGTTTGGATAGACCTGAGACTCAAAGTAAATCCAAGAACTTTCATTCAGAAAGCGATATGAGGGATAGAAATCTTGAGAGCACAAGAGAAGGTGGAGACCAGCATGAGGAGCTCAAAAAACAGCCTGCAAAAGATGAGATGCCTTTGAATTGGAGAAGGAAAGATGGCGAGAGCCAGGAGAGAGAGCAAGGAGCATCGAAAGAACAAACAAGTGATGTTTGCCCCGAGGAGCGAGGATTGAAGAAGAAAGATGAGAACGACGTGAAGTCAAATAAGACTACGTCAAAGCCAAAAACTAGAAATTTGAAGGTGACCAGGAAACACACAGAAAATGAAGGCAGTGAGGCGAAAAATATCGACAATAATTCCACTTCGAGGGAAACAGTGATCAAGCAGACTGATAAGAAACAAAAATACCGAAGAACACCAACTCCAAGGAAGTCACATGAAGGTGATAAAGATCCTCCTGTGCAGAGAAGAAATCAAACGTCATTCAGCTCAGTCGCTTCGGGAATAAGGAACCCACGAGAAGATGCTACGAAAATCGAGCGCATTTCCAATAGTAATGATTCTCTTTCATTTGCACAAAAGAAAAAAGCTCCAAAGAACAGCGACGCAAGTATTTCAAGAGTTGAGAAGACCTCTTCAAATGATGGTGGCCATGTTGGTAATACCATGGATGGTGAAAATAGACCAGGGCGTGATCATCAAACACTTCCAGGGTTCGAAAATAAGAAGTCAGATAAAATTGTTGGTAAACATTTGAAAGCTGAACATCTCAGTGGTGTAACAGGTCACGGTAGGAAACCTCCCAGACCTCCTCCTGGATTTGAAAATGTAAAACCTAACAGCAAGAGTCTGTAACGAGTTAATGCATTATTAAAAAAGTTCAAGTAAAGAAGTTTTATATTCAGTGAATTTTTGGCAAAAATATTGCCTGCCTCATACTAAACGTATTATCTAAAAATTAATTCGTTTTTCTCACACGCCAGTGAAAAATCTAAGCAACGGAATCTTTAACTGTAGGTTAATTCTCAATGCTTTTTCCACTTTTAACAGTAGAAGAAATCTCATTGTTATTAATATTGCTAGTTGCTTTCAATCCAGGAAATAACAAAAAAATGGAAATGGTGGAGTGAGGCAATCTAGTTAGGTTGATAATTCGATAATTATGAATTCTAGTTTTGACATTGTGAAACTAAATATTAACCATTTATATGACGATATATTTGTGCGTTTGTAAAAGTTTTAAAACAGAAGTTACCTATTAATCCAGTCCTGTTTCATGTTTACTTATATGTGCAGTTCTCAAGGTGACAAAATGCAGTTACTTCTATTTCTACCAGACTGAATAACATTTTTCTTAGAACAAGAGTAAGGCCAAGCACAAGATCACAGGGAAAATGAAATGATTCTCATGAATTCCACCAGCATGACACCACACGTCTGTTGAGTGCATGCTTGAATAGGTCTGAATTTATCACTCGGAAGTAATTTTATTAACTAGGAAAGTTCTAGATTGCAATTACAGCAAGGGTATTCTTTAACGTTTTGAACTAATTTTTTAATTGTGTCTATTAATAGCTGGAAAGCGCCACGGGAGTTTCTCATTTCATTATTTCTACCAGCACGCAGTGAATATTCGGGATTTTTGAGCCGCTTATCTGTGCTTCCTACCAGAACAAATAACCAGGTGGACAATTGTTTATGAAGTAGTGAACAAATAATTATAGTGTAGGCTCATGATGCACATCAGCTTATTCCGGTATAGATATTTCTCATCATTCAGTAATGTCACGGAAATGCTAGCGGTGCCGGGGATAAATGATAGCGGTGCCGGGGATATTTAGTAAAACTAAAAGCAGTATTTCTAGGCACTCGGCAAATGAAACTCGCAAGGAAAACTTGCAAATGAGGGCTAGAGGAAGAGGGGTAAAAAAACGATGTCATGAGACAGAAAGTCTGAAAGCCTGAGGTAATAAATGAGGGATACAGTAGATCAAAGAAGGATACGATTGCCTGAGGAGGTGATTGTGGGATCAACGGTGGTAATTTTGAAGACGGAACATCTCAGTAATTGACAGCATTTTTAAAATATAAAACCAGCAGTCCGACAGAGATTGTAGCGAGTTGTATTGTAAAGAACTTCCCGATTGTTTTTGTGCATTATTACCTAAATAACTAAAATAAAGTAAATAAACTAGTTATCTAAGTTATCAATTGAGGTTGGTTCATGCATCTTCTCATACTGTTAAGTTGAATCAGCCACAAGCACAATTATAGTACGCCAGTGGTAAAATGGAAACTTGTGCATTTATTCATAAATTTCTAAACTTCAAGGATAAGCTGTTTATTGTGATAATTTTATCTGAAAGTTCCTGTGCAGTGTTTAAAAGTAATCATGCTACAAGGGGTATATATGCAGTCATGTCCAAATTGGAATCATATTTATAAGAACAAGCATAAAACTAAGCACAAACTCGCAAGAAATACAAACATATTTTCATTCATTCCACCAGCAGCACCAGCTGTTGTGGTAGGCATTGTGGGATTTGATTTTGCAGTAAACGTTGTGGGATTTGTTGTGGTGGCAGTTTTACCAAAGTTGGATAGTACCATGCGTCCATTGAGCGCTTGAATAGGTCTGTAGTTGTTAACCAATGGTTTTGTCATGTTCATTGGGTCAACAAATTTCATGTTTCGTAGTTCTTCCAACTGGAAAAAAATACACATGCATTTCATGAGCTAAGTCAGCCTTTGCTAACAGCAACTTGTGTGATGTGGTTTTTGTGAGAAAAACCTGAAACATGGTCTCAGAACAAACGACTTGTGCAGACAGTATGACTAACGGGCAAAACGTTTTCACTGAACGGCTTATGTCAGGAGAGTTTGTGTGTAGATGATGTTACCTGTTCATGAGCTATCTCAACAGGATGGGAGAAGACGGTCCATGTGACAACTTCTTGACAGTGGGGTGTGGTTAAGGATCCATTGTAGCGATAGAACGATTTATCAACGGGAAGTAAACCCATTAATGAAGTAAGATTGAATTTGGCTTCAGAATCTGAAGTAAAAAGAGCATACCGATATAAAATATTTTGCTCGTTTGTGTATGCTTTTGTTTTTTCCTGTCTATTTCTGTTTCATTAACGACGGTTTCTCATGTTTATTATGTTTGTACTTGTTGGAGTTTTCTTTATTTCTCGCTCATCGCCCGTCTCTACCGCTTAAACGAATTATTCCACTTACTTGGCTCTGTCACGTTGTTCTTTTCGTGATAAAGAAAGTCAAAATTGCTGTTTCTCTTTCCTTGCTGCGGTGAAAACGAGTATATTAATATGTTGATATGTCACGATATTAACAAAAAAACTTCAGCACCTTGAGTAACACTCCAAGGACCGCCAAACCATCAGATTTCGTGACACCAACAGAAACGCTGGAATATTTGGAATTGAAATGAACCAAATGAAGCTAAAATTATAAAAGAATATTATAGCAGATCATATCTCATGCAAATTTCATCAAGAAACATGCGTCATTATATTTCTCACCTCTGAAGGGTAGGATTTTCCATTCACATAATGTTCTGATCCCAAGGTATGATTCGAGCCCCAATGAAAATGAAACGCAGCCAGTTTGAACTCACCAGGCAAACCTCCGGCGCTTATTTTTGGGGTTTTTGAGGCAGTGAAACCAGTGAAGGAGACACTGTACGAATGACCGGTATTTTTTGCAGTGACATTCACATTGGATGGGATTGTGCCATAATTTTGGAAGGCGATATTTCCTAGGTCTTTGTTGTAGGTTGGATCCTTGATGTCAATTGGGGATTGGCTTCTGCCGTTGCAGTGAGGAAAATGCTTGGCCCATGTGTAGACTCCTGAAGAGTTTAAAAAGAAACGTTTTAGCGCGTCAGACGTGAAGAGCCACTGGCTCACGGAGCACGAGAAAACAATTTCCCTCCCGCTTGCTTGTCTCGCGGTGTTGATACAGCGTTATCGTAATAACAAAAAGGTCATTCATGCAAGTCGACTGCTATAGGTCGCTACAGCAACCTACCATATTTGTCTGAGGTATGATCCCATTTTGTATCCCCAGCTGCAGCTAAAACATACAATATATGTTTCTTGAGAAATGCTTAAATGCTTGTTAATATAAATTAAATATGCGACTCAATATAAAGACAAGCGCTTACTGAAAATCATTACACAATTAAACACTCATTAATCCATAATGATGAAGAGGATTGATTTTTTTTGGACAATTCATAAGTTAATGTTGTGGAACTGTTTTTTATGTAGAAACTTGTGTTCCATTGTGAACACAGGGAACGGTGACTATTAATATCTTCAAAGTTCCAGCGAAGGTTCCTTGTTGCATTTCGTGCCTGTACGTGTAAATAGATATTTGAGATTTTAAACACTCACCGGTATACCCGACCAGAACAAAGAACAAAAAACCTGACAGTTGCTGGAACATTCTTGGTTGATCTTAATCGTAAAGCAAACAAAGTATATTATGTATAAATATTTGAGGTATTAAACCACCCTATTCCCGGACAGAACAAAAAAAACCTGACACTAGACTTTTAGCTTTCAAGTGCGCAATGCGTGATTATTGTTGATTATCAATTTGAGTTGTTATTTCGCCATCTTCAGGAGCTATTTAGTTTAAGAAAGACGCAGGAAGAATCGGCAAGGTTTTCTTGGAAACAAAATCGCTTCGAAGCAGAGCGATATCTCAACTCTGAGTTGCTTGATAGGCAACTACCGTCACGCATTGCGCGCTTGAAAGCTAAAAGGGGAAAGGTCGTTTGCCTGTAAAACATTCTTGACTGACCTTAATCGTGAACCAAACAAAGTATATATATATATATATATATATATATATATATTGTGTATAATTCTTAGTTAGTTAGTTTATGAAAGTATCAATAGACGTTTATGAACGGAGAAACAGTATGGCGTTTTAATGTGTAGCATTTCATGCTATAACTACTATGTGATCAGTATAGATTGCAAAACATGAAACAGACCGTAATTGCAGTAAAATCCAAAAATCTTGTCTAATCCAAGCCATTATTATACCGTTTACGTGAACAGCGCTTGAAAGTTACTATTGTAGCCTCAATATCGCAATGTTAGTTCTGTCTGTTATATAACACTTCACAATATCAACATTGGAGGTTTAGTGGACTAGACTGTTCTTACAGCTTCTGTAGGCAATAAAATCAAGCAGATCTATAAAATTCGCTGGCATATTTCCTTCCGAGCTGCATAAATGACGCGCTTATGACAAGTATGCGATCAGTCAAACCACTACTAAATAATAAAAATACATGGAGCTGACTTTCAATCTCGCCTGCATGCTTATTCTGTCCCATTGACTTAGTTGAATGACTTCCCTGTGTGAAATTCTAATAAATATGATTAGTTTATAGACGGCAAGTTTTCAAAGCCGGCTTGGAGTGAAGGATTTCCGCCCACGCTAACATAAGGCTAAAATTTCAGCCCTAGAACTAAAGTAGGTACCTGGCGTAAGACGCTCACGATGTTAACGTTATGTTCACAATCGATACGTGTTTTTCGTCATTGTGTCCTTTTTTCGTGTTACATCTGAAGCTCATAGGCAGTAATTTCGTAGCCCGCCGTAATGAAACGATGCGTGTAATCGTAACAAAAAATGCAGTCGCTTCAAGATCAGAGCTGAATTATCTCGGAATTCCGAGAAAAGACCTCTAAGTCTTATAAAGTTTTGAGATACCGCTTTTTGTTACACACAGCAATCGATTCCGACTTTTAGTGATCCTATATTCATAAATCAGTATACTGATGTTAATTACACTAACAATGGTAACAACATATCTTGAGTGTGGAAGCGGACACAGTTGAAATTTCTCTCTCTCTCTCTCTCTCTCTCTCTCTCTCTCTCTTAATCCAACTGCGATTCCAAGAGTGAACACGACATACAATTGTCGGAATGCAAACTCATGAATGGATTACTGGTGTTAAATATGTTTTCACACCTGTTAGTTGAATTTAGTTCCTAAGTGCGTCATTAAACAAGCTAAAAATAATGAAATATATCTCAAGAAATACAACAATAAGTAATATCATCGACATACCTAAATCCAACTAGATTCAACAGTCCAAATTTGTCAAAAACTCTGAGTTTCTCTTGATGTGTCCTGCACTCTCACCAACCACGACTGCCAAGACCGGTTTTGTGGTTGAAGCTCTTTATAATGAAAATTTGCATTCCATATATTCAGGAACGTCACAAAAGTGTTCATATTCGACGAGGGGGGGGTACTGACATTTGGACAAAGTTTTGAGGGATATCTCGGGCTTATTGTTCACTTACAAGTTTCAGTTTGTGATAGGCTATCTTTAAAACAGGGAACGGGGAATAGGGGAATGGAACGGGGAATGGAACGGGGAATGGAACGGGGAATGGAACGGGGAATGGAACGGGGAATGGAACGGGGAATGGAACGGGGAATGGAACGGGGAATGGAACGGGGAATGGAACGGGGAATGGCTTCGGGGAATGAGCCGGGGAATGAAATGGCTTCGGGGAATGTGCAGCTTGTGCGTCAGTGATTAAAACCTGTAAACGCTTCCATGTCACGAATCATGAGACAGCTACTCACAGTTTGAATTCCTTGAGGTAAAAGACAAAGCGATTACAAGCTCATAGTATAAATGCGATGTTTGCATTGTCATTGTGATGTACATTGATGTACATTAATATATAGATAGAATTTGCATGGGTAGGTGGTTCAATGTAAATCCTCCAAAATCTGAAGGCAATTAGTATAATACTGTAATAGTATTTTTTGCAGAAATCTTTTTAGTTCTTACTATGCCTTATAAAGCTCAATGTGTGTGATTAAAAGGTGAATAAAGATACTGACACAGTGTCACTTGTTTGTTTTTTATTTCAGGCTATGTGAACAAGACCTCTGGACAGTTTTGTTTAAGCAGGAATAATGGTTGTGGTGGAAATGTGGTGAATGCATTCTTGACAAGTTAATGGGTTTGCTTCCAAGAATACACTGAAACTTGGAGCAACAATGACTTTGAATATAATTATGTAATTAATATATTATTTATTAATCTTAATTTATATGACTTTTTACCTCACATAATTCAAATAATGTTCAGATAAAGAGGTAAATATTTCACTGTTAATGGTGTAATAAATATTTTATATGTTGATTATATTCATAATGAATTATTTGTCCTGCTCCATACTTTGGCAATTCTGTTTAAGAAATCCCACCATAGTAGATCTTTTTTGAAATAGTTACAGTCAAGTTGTTGTCTAGTTTTAGTACAAAATAATACAAGTGCTACAATTAAACAAGGGAAAATAATAAAAATTAATTACATAAGCAAGCACATTTTCTATTTTGAAAAGGTCTATGAATTGAGATGACATGTACTAACAATTTTGTGCATTAATTAAAGACAATTGTATTATTACTGTGGGTTCTTTAATATTGTCCAATACTCCCAGTGACATCCCACTGAATTCCTGCAGGTGTCTCAATCCATCAAACCAGTTTATCTTTTATTTCTATATTTAAGTCAGAATCAATGTATTCAATATCAATATGTAAAAATAATATCTAAGTTCTACAACATTATTTTGACAAGTCTGTTAAAGGAGAAAAGCAATTTTTTCTCTTCATCAGAATTGAGAACCATGTTCTTGAAGCCAACCCCCTTCCTTGGCAGGATGATTATGGTACAAAATGAGAAGGGGGGTGTTGAAAAATTTCTGGATTTCTTCTTGGGGGGTCTCCAAAAAGATAACATATTGATATTGAATACATTGATTCTGACTTAAATATAGAAATAAAAGATAAACTGGTTTGATGGATTGAGACACCTGCAGGAATTCAGTGGGATGTCACTGGGAGTATTGGACAATATTAAAGAACCCACAGTAATAATACAATTGTCTTTAATTAATGCACAAAATTGTTAGTACATGTCATCTCAATTCATAGACCTTTTCAAAATAGAAAATGTGCTTGCTTATGTAATTAATTTTTATTATTTTCCCTTGTTTAATTGTAGCACTTGTATTATTTTGTACTAAAACTAGACAACAACTTGACTGTAACTATTTCAAAAAAGATCTACTATGGTGGGATTTCTTAAACAGAATTGCCAAAGTATGGAGCAGGACAAATAATTCATTATGAATATAATCAACATATAAAATATTTATTACACCATTAACAGTGAAATATTTACCTCTTTATCTGAACATTATTTGAATTATGTGAGGTAAAAAGTCATATAAATTAAGATTAATAAATAATATATTAATTACATAATTATATTCAAAGTCATTGTTGCTCCAAGTTTCAGTGTATTCTTGGAAGCAAACCCATTAACTTGTCAAGAATGCATTCACCACATTTCCACCACAACCATTATTCCTGCTTAAACAAAACTGTCCAGAGGTCTTGTTCACATAGCCTGAAATAAAAAACAAACAAGTGACACTGTGTCAGTATCTTTATTCACCTTTTAATCACACACATTGAGCTTTATAAGGCATAGTAAGAACTAAAAAGATTTCTGCAAAAAATACTATTACAGTATTATACTAATTGCCTTCAGATTTTGGAGGATTTACATTGAACCACCTACCCATGCAAATTCTATCTATATATTAATGTACATCAATGTACATCACAATGACAATGCAAACATCGCATTTATACTATGAGCTTGTAATCGCTTTGTCTTTTACCTCAAGGAATTCAAACTGTGAGTAGCTGTCTCATGATTCGTGACATGGAAGCGTTTACAGGTTTTAATCACTGACGCACAAGCTGCACATTTCCCGAAGCCATTTCATTCCCCGTTCCATTCCCCGTTCCATTCCCCGTTCCATTCCCCGTTCCATTCCCCGTTCCATTCCCCGTTCCATTCCCCGTTCCATTCCCCGTTCCATTCCCCTATTCCCCGTTCCCTGTTTTAAAGATAGCCGTTTGTGATATGGAAGAATTAAATGGTTCGCCGCACAAGAGGTTTGTTAGTTGCAAAAGTGCTTCTTGAAGGCACAAGATTTTCATTTAAATTTCCTCCTAGAGGCTTGTGATATTACAACAGAACTTGGAGTCACCGTATTGCCTAAGGGTTGTTTTATGACGAGGGAGGGGAACTAGAGAGGTTTTTCTAGTTGTCCATGCACTTGCATGAGTCAGTCAATCACAAATTTCTCCAGTTGTTCCTCAGTTTTCTTTACTTACATGAACAAAATTTAGTCGTTAAATCAACTCGTTCATCACAGACAATATCAATTCCATTATTTGGTAATATACACAAGATTAAACTGCTTCAGACGATCATAATGCAAGACATTAGTTATCGTTTCGAGTGACTTCAATGATTCTAGTTCGGATTACCTCGATTACGACAAAATGAACATTTAACAAGTTAAGTTTATTGTTTACTGAATGATTGGTTTGGTATTTCGTTTCGTTTGTTTGGAAACAATTGAGCTCGACCCAAATAACTGGTTGATGAAGACTTTTGGGACTATGTAGAGAAACGTGGGCGTTAGACTGAACTTCACTCCCTGCTTGCAGTCCAGTGCAAACATGTTGACCAACGTAATCTTTTCGTCTTCTTCGTCTTCAACCAACGTTCCGTTCACCCCCCGGCGGAGATATCTCCTTGGTTACTTCAAAGACAGGTGCTCGTCAAAGGAAGGTCTTTTCAGTTTTGACGATTGATTTAACTTTGAAGTTCTTTGTTGCAAAAGAATTCCAATCATGTATAGATTTAATTGCATTTCTTATTGCAAATAATGGCTTTACGCTGTCTCTACTAACTTTCAACACAACACAACACACAAATACTGGAATGTGAAAATTTGGCATTAAAACATCGTTGAAAAGAGCCGCTTATCTGCGCTCCCGACAAGAACAAATAACAAGGAGGACAATTGCTTTTGAACAGGCATTATAATACGCGTGTTTTTGACACACTTTGTGTCCTTGTAAAAGACGAATGTGTCCTTGTAAATGGAAAAGTGTGTAGTTAAAAATCATGCCTCATGGACAAAAATGTCTAATATAATTTTAATTTGACTATTTAAAATGATTATTGTTTCTATTATAAAATTGACATTATTGAATATATTATATATTAAAAAAGGCTAGAGACTGACGGACCGTGCTTTGCATGGCTATGCTCTTTTTTATATGCTTGCGTTGTAATTTCACGTTGTAATTTCTAAGACTAAGTGATTATTGAACCTAAAGACAATGTGTGTCCTTGTAAAAATTCCGTATTATAATGCCTGCTTTTGAAGTAATTAACAAATAATTATAGTGTATGCTCATGACACACATCAGCTCATGCCGGTATAGATATTTCTCATCATTTAGTAATGTCACGGAAATGCTAGCGGTGCCGGGGATAAATGATAGCGTTGCCGGGGATATTTAGTAAAACTAAAAGCAGTATTTCCAGGCACTTGGCAAATGAAACTCGCAAGGAAAACTTGCAAATGAAGGCTAGAGGAATAGGGGTAAAAAACGATGTCAGGAGACAGAAAGTCTGAAAGCCAGAGGTTATAAACGAGGGATACAGTAGATCAAAGAAGGATATAATTGCCTGATGAGGTGATTGTGGGATCAACGGTGGTAATTTTGAAGACGGAACATGTCAGTAATTTGACAGCATTTTTTAAATATAAAACCAGCAGTCTGAAAGAGATTGTAGCGAGTTGTATTGTAAAGAACTTCCATTGTTTTTGTGCATTATTACCTAAATAACTAAAATAAAGTAAATAAACTAGTTATCTAAGTTATCAATTGAGGTTGGTTCATGCATCTTCTCATACTGTTAAGTTGAATCAGCCACAAGCACAATTATAGTACGCCAGTGGTAAAATGGAAACTTGTGCATTTATTCATAAATTTCTAAACTTCAAGGATAAGCTGTTTATTGTGATAATTTTATCTGAAAGTTCCTGTGCAGTGTTTAAAAGTAATCATGCTACAAGGGGTATATATGCAGTCATGTCCAAATTGGAATCATATTTATAAGAACAAGCATAAAGCTAAGCACAAACTCGCAAGAAATATAAACATATTTTCATTCATTCCACTAGCAGCACCAGCTGTTGTGGTAGACATTGTGGGATTTGTTTTGCTGGCAGTTTCATCAAAGTTGGATAGGACCATGCGTGCATTGAGAGCTTGAATAGGTCTGTGGTTGTTAACCAATGGTTTGGTCATGTTCATTGGGTCAACAAATTTCACGTTTCGTAGTTCTTCCAACTGGAAAAAATACACATGCATTTTATGAGCTAAGTCAGCCTCTGCTAACAGCAACTTGTGTGATGTGGTCTTTGTGAGAAAAACCTGAAACATGGTCTCAGAACAAACGACTTGTGCAGACAGTATATCTAACGGACAAAACGTTTTCACTGAACGGCTTATGTCAGGAGAGTTTGTATATGTAGATGATGTTACCTGTTCATGAGCTATCTCAACAGGATGGGAGAAGACGGTCCATGTGACAACTTCTTGACAGCCGGGTGTGGTCAAGGATCCATTGTAGCGATAGAATGATTTATCAACGGGAAGTAAACCCATTAATGAAGTAAGATTGAATTTGGCTTCAGAATCTGAAGTAAAAAAGCATACCGACGTAAAATATTTGGTTCGTTTGCGTCTGCTTTTGTTTTGTTCCTGTCTATTTCTGTTTCACTAACGACGGTTTCTGATATTTATTATGTTTGTGCTTGTTGGAGTTTTCTTTATTTTTCGCCCGTCTCTACCGCTTAAACGAATTATTCCACTTACTTGGCTCTGTCACGTTGTTCTTTTCGTGATGAAGAAAGTCAAAATTGCTGTTTCTCTTTCCTTGCTGCGGTGAAAACGAGTATATTAATATGTTGATATGTGACGATATTAACAAAAAAACCTTAAGCACCTTGAGTAACACTCCAAGGACGGCCAAACCATCAGATTTCGTGAGACCAACAGAAACGCTGGCATATTTGGAATTGAGATGAACCAAATGAAGCTAAAATTATAAAAGAATATTATAGCAGATCATGTCTTATAATTTCATCAAGAAACATGCGTCATTATATATTTCTCACCTCTGAAGGGTAGGACTTTCCATTGACAAAATGTTCTGACCCTAAGGTATGATTCGAGCCCCAATGAAAATGAAAAGCAGCCAGTTTGAACTCACCAGGCAAACCTCCGGCACTAATTTTTGGGGTGTTTGAGGCAGTGAAACCAGTGAAGGAGACACTGTACGAATGGCCGGTATTTTTGGCAATGACATTCACATTGGATGGGATTGCGCCATAATTTTGGAACGCGATATTTCCTAGGTCTTTGTTGTAGGTTGGATCCTTGATGTCAATTGGGGATTGGCGTGTGCCGTTGCATTGAGGAAAATGCTTGGCCCATGTGTAGACTCCTGAAGAGTTTAAAAACGAAACATTTTAGCGCGTCAGACGTGAAGAGCCACTGACTCACGGAGCACGAGAAAACAATTTCCCTCCCGCTTGCTTGTCTCGCGGTGTTGATGGTGTTTAGTTACCTCTGATGACTGGTAATGTACAGCGTTATCGTAATAACAAAAAGGTCATTCATGCGAGTCGACCGCTATAGGTCGCTACAGCTACCTACCATATTTGACTGAGGTATGATCCCATTTTGTATCCCCAGCTGCAGCTAAAACATACAATATATGTTTCTTGAGAAATGCTTGAATGCTCGTTAATATAAATTAAATATGCGACTCAATATAAAGACAAGCGCTTACTGAAAATCATTACACAATTAAACACTCATTAATCCATAATGATGAAGAGGATTGATTTTTTTCGGACAATTCATAAGTTAATGTTGTGGAACTGTTTTTATGTAGAAACTTGTGTTTCATTGTGAACACAGGAAACGGTGACTGTTAATATCTTCAAAGTTCCAGCGAAGGTTCCTTGTTCCATTTCGTGCCCGTACGTGTAAATAGATATTTGAGATTTTAAACACTTACCGGTATACCCGACCAGAACAAAGAACAAAAAACCTGACAGTTGCTGGAACATTCTTGGTTGCTCTTAATCATAAAGCAAACAAAGTATATTATTTATAATTATTTGAGGTATTAAACACTCACCCTATTCCCAGAGACCGGGACAGAACATAGCAAAAAAAACCCTGACAATAGACTTTTGCCTTTTAGCTTTCAAGCGCGCAATGCGTGGCGGTAGTTGATTATCGGAGTCCATTTGAGTTGTTATTTCGCCATGTGTTGGAGCGATTAAGTTCGACAACGATGCAAGAAGAATCAGCAAGGTTTTCTTACAAACAATATCGCTTCCAAGCAGAGAGATATCGCAACTCAAAGTTGCTTGATAGGCAACTACCGTCACGCAATGCGCGCTTCAAAGCTAACAGGGGGAAGGTCTATTGGTAAAACATTAATTCTTGGCTGATCTTAATCGTACACCAAACAAAGTATATTGTGTATAATTCTTAGCTAATGAAAGTATCAATGAACGTTTATGAATGGAAAAACAGTATGGCATTTTTAATGTGTAACATTTCATGCTATAACTACTATGTGATCAGTATAGATTACAAAACATGAAACAGACCGTAATTGCAGTAAAATCCAAAGGTCTTGTCTAACCCAAGCTATTATTATACCGTTTGAAAAGGATCAAACTCTCGAGTATTCTTGTAGTTTTGAACTTTGCGTGAACAGCGCTTGCAAGTTACTGTTGCAGCCTCAATATCGCGATGTTAGTTCTGTCTGTTATCTAACACTTCACAAATATCAACCTTTGGAGGCTTGGAGGTTTAGTGGACTAGACTGTTCTTACAGCTTTTGTAAGCAATAAAATCAAGCACTAAAAGCTGGCATATTTCATTCCAAGCTGCATAAATGACGCGCTTATGACAAGTATGCGATCAGTCAAACCACATACTTTGTTCTAATTCTGTGGAATTCTAATAAATATGATTAGTTTAATAGTTTATAGACAAGTTTTCAAAGCCGGCCCAAGAGTGAAGGATTTCCGCCCACGCGGAATAAGGTTAAAATTTCAGCCCTAGAACCCAGGTAGGTCCCTGGCGTAAGACGCTTGCGATGTTAACGTCTAGGTTAATGTTATGTTCACACTGGATACGTGTTTTTTGTCACTGTGTCCTTTTTTCATGTTACATCTGAACGGCTCATAGGCAGTAATTTCGTAGCCCGCAGTAATGAATCGATGCGTGTAATCGTAAAAATTCGATTCACCACAACTGAATTATCTCAGCAGTTAAAAGTTTGGAGCAAACAAACCTCTAAATCTATAGAGTTTTCAGATACTGTTTTTTGTTACACACAGCAATCGATTCCGACTTTTAGTGATCTTATTCATAAATCAATATACTGATGTTAATTACACTAACAATGGTAACAACATATCTTGAGTGTGGAAGCGGACACAGTTGAAATTTCTCTCTCTCTCTTAAGACTCCAAGAGGGAACACGACATACATTTGTCGGAATGCAACTCAGGAACGGATTACTGGTGTTAAATATGTTTTCACATCTGTTAGTTGAATTTAGTTCCTAAGTGCGTCATTAAACACGCTTAATAAAAAAATGAAGTATATCTCAAGAAATACAACAATAAGTAATATCATCGACATTCGACATACCTAAATCCAACTAGATTCAACAGTCCAAATTTGTCAAAAACTCTGAGTTTCTCTTGATGTGTCCTGCACTTTAACCAACCACGAATGCCAAGACCGGTTTTGTGGCTGAAGCTCTTTATAATGAAAATTTGCATTTCCCCATATATTGAGGAGCGTCACAAAGACGTTAATATTGGGCGAAGGGGGGTACTGACATTTGGACAAAATTTTGAGGGATATCTCGGGCTGATTCTTCGCTTACAAGTTTCTCTTTGTGATACGGAGGAATTAAATGCTTCGCCGCACAAGAGGTTTGTTAGTTGCAAAAGTGCTTCTTGAAGGCACAAGATTTCCGTTTAAAATTCCTCCTAGAGGCTTGTGATATTACAACAGAACTTGGAGTCACCGTATTTGGTAATGGCCCCTTGGTCAGCAACTCTCACCGCCTAAGGGTTGTTTTATGACGAGGGAGGAGAACTGGCGTGTGCACTTGAGAGGTTTTTCTAGTTGCCCACTTGCATGAGTCAGTCAATCACAAACTTCTCCAATTCTTCCTCAGTTTTCTTTACTTACATGAACAAAATTTAGTCGTTAAATCAACGCGTTCATCACAGACAATATCAATTCCATTATTTGGTAAAACACACAAAATTAAACTGCTTCAGACAATCATAATGCAAGACATTAATTATCGTTTAAAGTGAATTCAATGATTCTAGTTCGGATTACCTCGATTACGACACAATGAACATTGAACAAGTTAAGTTTATTGTTTACTGAATGATTGGTTTGGTATTTCGTTTCGTTTGTTTGGAAACAATCGAGCTCGACCCAAATAACTGGTTGATGAAGACTTTGGGACTATGTAGAGAAACGTGGACGTTAGACTGAACTTCACTCCCTGCTTGCAGTCCTGTGCAAACATTTTGACCAACGTAATCTTTCCGTCTTCTTCGTCTTCGACCAACGTTCCGTTCACCCCCCGGCGGAGATATCTCCTTGGTTACTTCAAAGACAGGTGCTCGTCAAAGGAAGGTCTTTTCAGTTTTGACGATTGATTTAACTTTTAAGTTCTTTGTTGCAAAAGAATTCCAATAATGCATAGATTTAATTACATTTCTTATTGCAAATAATGGCTTTACGCTGTCTCTACTAACATTCAACATACTGACACAACACACAAATACTGGAATGTGAAGGTTTGGCATTAAAACATCGTTGAAAAGACCCCACAAAAACGCCAACTAATTTGTGTGTTAGTACCCTAAAGGCTGTCAGTTTCCATGCACCTACGCGTTCTTCATACGCACGTACGTAAAAGTCTAAATCCTTATTCATGTTACCTTTGAAAAATCTAAGTGAATAAATCGAAGGAACTTAGTTTTCTGCATATTTTAGTAAGCATTAGTTGACCTAGATGTTAAATAATAAAAATTTAAAAGCATTTAAAATTCTCCGTACGTGTACGTGCGTATAAAAAACGCGGAAAGTGGAAAGCAGCCTTAAGGCTTACGTTAAACCACGTCGTATTTTGGTCGCATCGAATGAATTTCAAACAAGGGATAATTAGATAATATACGTCATTAAAGTTAAACGTCATTATCATTCATTATCTATTGTTTGAATGCATTCGAGGCGAAACTTTTGACGTACAGGGTGTCTCAAAAAAAGACGCAACACTTAAATATGCAGAACATTAATACAGGGTGTATCAAAAAAAACGCAACCACTTAATATCATGAATATCCTCTTTGTTCTACAACACAAAAGACGTTTGGCCCCTCGAATGCTTGTAATCATATCCTAGCGGCACAATCGTCGGTAAACAAAGTCGGGTGCGTAAACCAACGAGCTGAGTTGAAAGTATTTAACGAGTTAAATTTTATATACAATTTATTTTACAAGGTCGACAATTAGCATTCAAGTTATCATGCACGACAATAAAAACTCGTTGTTCGGTTGTTAGCTGTACCATTATTAGTTTAGCTGATTTGACTATTAGTAATGAACTGTACGATTAGAAGCCATTTTAAAATCCCAGGGGCATAAAATCTATTGAGCTTATGAACAATATGAATTTTAGAATATTAAGTGGTTGCGTTTTTTTTGAGACACCCTGTATAGCTCTAAAGCGCAACAGATACGCACCTCTGAGAATTGAAAATGCTTCATTTAAAATGCTAAAAGTCATTTTAGTTGAACTATGGTGCAAACCTGAACAATATTAATATTCTTGCATATTTAAGTGGTTGCGTTTTTTTGAGACACCCTGTAGATATGGTAGAGCCAGTAGGGACCTTAAGCATGTAGCGGATGGGAACACGACGACGGCAGCTATCAATACAATGCTTCATTGAAAAGAAACGGAATATTAAATACCTATGGGAGTTTCTGACGTGATATACGTTCGTTTATTGCGTCCTATGCAGAACGTCTGCATTTCAGGACCCACTGAGCGCTACCTCGAATTAGGCTCTATACAATTGTCCCTAAACGTAAACACAATGTTTTCAACGTCTTATATCTCGTTAGATTGGTACAGTTGATAATATACAACAACGCTTTATCTTAACATTTATTTAAAGTGCCTATATCACTTGTGGGATCTTTACGGATTTGAATAGAGCTTGAAAAATTAGTTTATAAGTTCTACAACCTTTTTTGATAAAGTTAAATAGTTTCGGAAATATTTACATCTAAACATGACGATTTGACTAAATTTCCGTCGTGCTCGGGGCCTGGGACTCAGGAACCGAGTTCTTTGTATTTTAATTCGATCTTCCAATAACGTAAAATATTTTGAGAAAAACTCGCCCAGTTGCTACAGCCATACACAACGCACCGTTCCCGCATTTATTTCTTGAAAAGCGCAAACTATATCGCCAGTGAAACTCTTCATGTTTACATTATAAAAGACGGCGTGTTTGCAAATCATTCCTGAGTCCCAGTCCCCCCAACCGACGTATTTTCGAAACTATTTAATTATGTCAAAAAAGATTGTAGAACTTATAAACAAATTTTTCAAGCCCTATTCAAATCCGCAAAGATCCCACAAGTGATATAGGCACTTTAAAGGATTTAAGGTCCCCAGTGGGTAGAGCTCCACAGTCCACACTCCACATTATATAGAGCTCACTGGCTGCACCAAGATGGCGGATTCAATCTCAATGCGCGTAGCTCTTTTTGGCATCAGAAAAACTTTTCCAAATGTTAAACAACTGCAAACGAAAGATCTGGATGAATTTATAGTTGGAAACAAGTATAAAAACCTTATTTTATTGGTTAGTAGCAGATAATAGCAAATAAACTCTGTTGTATTTTCATTATTTTGGATTTATATGAGGTGTTTGAGGAAATATTTATGAATATAGTTTTATATCCGCATTTGTTTCCAGGATGTTCGTGAGCAAGATGAATATGAAGTGAGTCATTTGCCAAATGCAATACGAGTTGAACCAGACGAGGCTGTTGACCAGGTTATGACGAAGATAAAAGAGAAGTTAGAAGGTAAGGAAGGGAATGAATTATATAACAGGATGGTTATCAAAATATGTCTTTCAGTCAAATCAGGTCGTGTCTCTATTACATCAATGTCAAGACAGCTTGTCAAATATAACTATTACAACATTGCCAGACAGTATTGTCCATCATTTGATTGTCTTTTGTATTGAACTATTCTGAATTTGCAATTATTTTGCATCCTTTTATGGAACATCTTCAGAAGACAATTGCTGACATTGCTGATTTCATTTTTTATTTCAGATATCTCAAACTATCATGTCAGGGTTGTTTGTTACTGTTCAGTCGGTTATCGCTCATCAGCGATGGCACAAAAACTCTACCGTCAATTTAGAAGATTGATAGAAACAGAACAAATTGACATTGTGTCCAAAATATATAATCTTGAGGGAGGGATATTTAAGTGGGCCAACGAAGGAATGGAACTGATTGATTGTAACAATCAGGAGACAAAATATTGTCATCCATACAACTTCCTGTGGGGCAAACTGCTTAATGCACAGCTTCGAATAAGTGAACCCACAAAGCAGCTGGCTCAAAATTGTTAAAGCATTGTTTTGCATATAAGTTTAGCATGAATAATGGTACATGTAATTAACATTATTCTACAATTAAAATTGATAAGGCAGCCCTGAAGCATAGAGAAACATTTAATAGTTGTATCTTACCAATTTTCTTCTTGTAATCAAGTCTAAAAACCTCATAAAACATAGTTTTTTGAAACATAGTTTATATTTATTTACAATATGTTTGGTTTATTTTCTTTCCATGATCATATTTAGAAAATATGCATGCCATCTTATGTCTTCTGTGAGTTCAGGATGGAATGCTAACGCAATGCAATTCTTCTCTTCAACCCCTACAATGACATCCGTACCCTCAATATGAAGTGTTGCAAGAGTTTTGACTGCCAGGCCATTTATAGCCACAATTCCTGGTGCTCTTATAAATACCCCATTGAAAATATCTTGTGGCTTATTCTTGGCAAATTTGGAGACTGCTTTTTCATTGATAGCTACTTGTCCTTCAAAGCTGTTCAGTTGTCTTCCAAAGAAATTTCGACTTGTCGTTACATTGATTCTTGCCAACTAGAAAGAGAAAATATCTTGCATTTAATTTTCACAGTATAGACCATGACATATGGAATGTAGTCTGTCATTGATAAAGTAGTACTGCATTGGCTCTAGATGATTAATAGTCAATTTGACGATAATTTTTTTAAGTTTTACCTTCGAAAAGCGACTCTGTTGGCCTTCCATAGAGTTCTCAATATTCTTTGACAGTGCAATCAAGCCAGCGCATGTCCCAAACACAACATGTTTATCATCATTTGCCCAAATGTTTAATTCATCCAAGATCGCATCATCCATAATCAGTGAACTAACCGAGCTTTCCCCACCAGGGATAATCAGGCCATCTAAACCTTTAACATCTTCAGCTTGGGTAACCCTAGAAATTTCAAGATTCAGGTTATCCAAGACACCACCATTTTGTTTCAGGCATCTTAGCAAAGCATACTCATGCTCTGAAAAGCCACCTTGTATTGCAAGAACACCAACTTTCAGGTTCATTTTGTGGTAGAGCAAAGAGTAAGTAACCTCTCTATTGTGTTCTGTGATATTTATAAATACAACCCTTGTGTTTCCACTTTCTCTCGATATTACACGGTTCAATGGGCTATAACATCTTATAGAGTGACGTATTTAGTTCTCTGTGTGGTTTGTCTGAGGTCATAAAATGATGCTATTTCCTCAATTTATTATGTAATATACGTTATGTAACATACGTTATGTAATATACGTTATTACTGCTGTGAAAACGTCAGATATTTTGACGTATTTTTGTACAAGAATTATTTTTATATTTTTGTTGCAAAGTTAGTTTATTGATCTGTGGTTTGTGGGAGGGGCTTACAATTGATTAAAGAGCTTGACGTTTATAATTCTGTCTTTACAGTGCTCCAAATAGCTCCAATGATTTGTTAAACCGAAAGTATTTACGTCCAGAGAGAGGAAAAGCGTCCTATATCATACACATTTCCTGTGAAATTTTTCCTGTTGTTACATCAATATTACCCAGTCTGATGTAATATCAGGTGAAATAAGAGCTCGTGATCATCGAAAAATAATCCAATTCTCCAATCTCCTGTTCTGGGAAGACCCTTAAAAAGTAAAGACTCCCAAAAAGGCTTTCACTATTAAAAACAGAACCATGCAAAATCGTAAGTATACTAACATTTATCACGATTTATGAAGTGAGGATATGTTTCAATGCAAGATATTGATTATAAATAATTAACTACACGTGGACGTTTAGGATATGAATATATTGTAGCAAAGATATCTGTTTAAAACAAGCTTTAGATTGTTTTGTGAATTTTTCCACGAAGCATAGTGCAATAGAAATAGAAATGTTGGTTTGCTGCTAGAGATTACCTTTTAAACAATTTTTTCCTTCTATCACTTATATTCTATTCAGTCTGCAGTCATGCATACCATTTGTCCCATATTTGACTATCTTGCCAGCCATTTGTACCATTCACACATCCATTGTTACTTTACTTTTTCTTTAAGATATTGCTGTTGATAATGTTGTAAATCTTTCAAAGAAAAGCATCATGAATGGACAAGTAGCAAACCATGTTAAAACTGATGTGAATCATCAAACAGGTAAACTATAATCAAGGTTATTTTATAGTGTATTAACTATCAATCACTGTATAACCTGTATAACTATGAATATCCATGTAGGAACATTTAAGGTGAAGTCAGGCTTAGCTCAAATGGCAAAAGGTGGCATTGTCATGGATGTCGTAAATGCAGAGCAAGCAAAGATTGCTGAAGCAGCTGGGGTATGACATCTCATTGAAATGATTTCTGTTTGTTTAAGCAATTAAAAAACTTACATTGATACAACCTTGTTTATTTAGGCATGTGCTGTGATGGCTCTAGAACGAGTGCCTGCAGATATTCGTAAACAGGGTGGAGTGGCAAGAATGTCAGATCCAAAGGTAGCCAAAAAGTTATTGTTTCAACTGTGTGTTTATCATTTCCCAATATATTCAGTTTTTGTTATAGATGATTAAGGAAATCATTGCTGCAGTGACAATCCCAGTTATGGCTAAAGCTCGCATTGGACATTTTGCTGAGGCTCAGATCTTGCAGGAAATTGGAGTGGACATGATTGATGAGAGTGAAGGTATTTGATATGCGATAACTTATCCCCTTATAAAACCATGCCACTAGAGGTGATGGAAATCACCATCAATGATCCTGGCAATGTGTGTTTTTCTCGGAGGCTTATTAAATCAACTTTGTTCCAGTTTTGACTCCAGCGGATTACACCCACCATATCCACAAACATCCATTCAAAATCCCCTTTGTATGTGGGGCTCGAAACTTGGGTGAAGCATTGAGAAGGATTGATGAAGGAGCCGCTATGATCAGGACAAAGGGCGAAGCAGGAACTGGTAGGCAAACATTATATATTCCATGCTTTGTGCTCTACCATATAGCTTGGTCCTTCAGTCTGTGCATATAGATTGCATAAGTATAAACCCACAATTATGTTTTTAGGTGATGTTGCAGAAGCAGTTCGTCATGCAAGACAGATCAACAGTGAAATAAAGCGAGCACAATCCATGGAAAGTTCTGAGCTTTATGCGTATGCTAAGGAGCTTCAAGTGTCGTACGAACTGCTGAAGAAGACGGCTGAGTTGGGAAGATTGCCGGTTGTCAACTTTGCTGCAGGGGGCCTGGGTAAGTTCCGTTGAGTTGTGTGTCATATGAAATTGGACTTTAAAATGTGTCAGAAGTTAGTTCGTTGTGGTTTAGGTCATCAAAATGATGATTTCAGAAAAGTCTAAGACCTTGATATATATACTCTCAGGCTGATAATTTTTTCAAAAAATTCTAATGTTGACTACAACAAGAGAATTTAACAGCATGCCTGAAATGAAATTAATTTGTCTTTTTTGAAATTTTGAAATCTTCAAACATAGATCTCAAAATATCAAAGTGTGCACAAATATTCACATCCAATCTAATTGTTTCTTAGCAACACCAGCTGACGTGTCATTGCTCATGCAGTTAGGCATGGATGGTGTGTTTGTCGGCTCGGGCATCTTCAAAAGTGGGAATCCGACCAAGCGTGCGCATGCTATGGCACAGGCTGTCACTTACTATGATAAACCAGCAAAAATAGCTGAGCTCAGTGAGGATCTTGGGCAAGCTATGTCAGGACAGCCGGTCACGGATGAAACTAGAATCTTTAGTTATAAGTAGAACAATTTAGTGACGAACTATAAAAAACAGGATTTTCTAGGAAATGTCTGTTGACATTGTCGCAATACTTTAATGCTAACCATAAATTCTGGTACATTCAGGAAATTACGTCTTGAGATATTTATCTATTGGAATAAAATAGAGCTTATGTAGTTCTTTCTATCCCACGCTGCATTGATATTATCATGTCCAGTTATGTTTATGAGATCCGATCTGGATGACCTAAATACACTCGATGTCTTAACATGAACATCTGGACTGGCATTTGCTTCGTACCGTTCACGTGATCATCATGACTTGACATGTCGGCAACGATTGCATTAACACGTGTTAACATTTCCATGACGTCTTCATCTTTCATTCGTTCCTCAAAGACTCGGGTTAGCGCGCTGATCAACCATGTTCCCATTTTCGGGGAACTTTTCACCCCTAGGGTGAATCTTCGGTGGGAGATATGATCCGGGGTAGTGGAGTAGCATACTAAAAAATCTGCTTGTGTTGGAAGTCTGGGTACGACTTTCTCATCGAAACCTGCATCATGGGTTATAGGACCTTGCTTTATAGGAACTCCGCGGTCGGTCTTCGTTCCCCGGCAAGCTGAGATGAAGAACATCTTTGGTTTTCCACGCAGAGCTTCACATTGCTTCCCGTTCACCCGTGATGTCATTTCGTCGACTTCGACAATCTTCTTATCCGTTGTTAAAATACCTTTTCTTCTGCCATGACTTGATATAAACACAAGAAGGCCATCATGGGCAGCTGAAGTGAAAATAAGCGAGAAAAAGAAAGCGAAAAATGAAAAGAGAAAGTTTATTTTCATTTGCTATGAATGATTTCCCTCATCGAGTTCATCTCTTCGTCTCTACACGCCAGACCTAGTCACAATAAGGTGATCATGATCATAGTGCCTCAAAATCTTTCAACGTTTAGAAAATCTGATCGTCCTTCATCAGTTCATCTTATCCACACGCTCTTCAAGAATTTACGTCCACAGTTTAATAATTCCTGAAAAAATATAACGATTGAACGTACCTATTTCAGGCGAGTTTGAGATACGATCCATGATTTCCAGGGTGTCTTTGCGTACAACGTCATTATGAACATGAACGGTGTTAAATCCAGCATTACTGAGTAACCTCTCGATATTTTCCCGATCCGCTTCGCCGCCATTTCGAGGACCCATCTTGCCATCAAAGTTTATGTTGATTATGAGAACGCAGTAGGGATTCTATAGAAATGAAAACTTTATTTCAGTGTGTTTGAGTTGTCCAGGATACAGCTAGATTATTATATTCTCTCTCAGAGTAATTTGAGCGACGTCAGTTGCATTGCCAAGCGTAATCGCATTTCCAACTCACATGTATCTAACTTACCTTCATTCGAACAATTTTTTCTTCATCATTTCTTCTCAATGAAACTATTAATGAAAGGAAATGATCCATTTATAAAAAGTGTTACATCGCAGTTGTTTCATCTCAGACAGAAAGTATAAATGATTTTCATTTTATGGGTGAGCATGTATATGTTCATGTTGGATATGTTCAGAATGTCACTGTATTGAAAACTGAATTTCGAAGCTTCAACTGACCTTCAAGTATTCGGGTCGCTCGGCCTAAGCCTCCGTCAGAGTTAACATGATCAACTTCGTCATAGACTCCTGTCCTAGAATCATACGGCACTCTGCATACATCGTCATCGTCACTGTCACTGTAGTCGCTGTCATGGTCGTATTTCGTTATTATTAACCTTGGTAAAGGCACATTCTTTCTTATCCAAAGCCATAAACCCAACAGCCATCTGAGAAAAAACCGCATTATCAGATCTCTCAGAACACTTTTCAAAACTCCTGAGAGAATATACTACTCCAGGGGTGCTTCTTGCTGCCCTGGTCTTAATCTTTGCTGTTCTTGGGTGGAAACAATAAATAATTCTTTTTAACACATGCAGAACGTTATAAAGACTTACAAGCGAAAATGAAAATTGGAGAAAAGTGAAACTAAATTCGATTTAATAAAAGACAAGGTCATAGGAACATGCGTGGGCTAATTTGTTTTAGCTTTGAAAGAATATATAAGAAAGTAAGGTGGAGAAAGTATTCTTTCACTTCAGTCATGCAGTTGGTTCCAATCAAGTTCAGGATTATTTCAGCCTAATATCCAAAGAACCTTTATCCACTTCTGGCGATGATAGTTTATCGAAGTATAGCTAGCTTTAATATTAAGTTCTAGACTGTTCTTCCTAGAGGTCCAACAACCACAAGGATCGTCTCGTTCAATTAATCCAGTAGAGGTTCAGTTTGCACTGGTGCAACAGAAGAGCTTCGAACTATTTAAGCTTAGTTTATGCATACTGGATGGATAGATCAACGATTTCAAAAGTAATAAAATGAAATCAAAATTTCATTTTCAGGATTATGTACGTTCACTTCCTTGCAAAGGTTATTCTAGGCGTCTCGCTAGGAACGAGGTTTATTCTTTGATCTCTTTTTCTTTGTTTACACAACCATCTTGTGGAGTTGTGTCGTAAGTACACAATGACATTTGAATATAATTATTATTTAAATTAGCTAAACAACGTGTAGAACATCTTGATAATGTTTTTTATTTACAAAAGGCTTAACAGCCACTTCACTATCATAGCGCAAAATATCGACAAAAACCTTGCAAAGCAGAAACGTGTAATTTTCAAACATTTAACAGCCATTTAACAAATATAACATGCACTGTTTATTTAACGAATTCTATTAATATATTCTCCCCGTGGGTAGATTATTGAATACTAATGAAAGTGGGCCATATGAGTTGGCAAAATATTCATCTCTTTGTTTCGTTTCGCTTGATATGAAAACGGAAGACTTTACCGAATGAAAACAAAGGCTTAGTATAGTCACGGCACATGCCTTGTATAAATTAACCAGACTTTCAACGTACTTTATCAAGTATCATATATCTTGTGTCTCGTTGGGTGGCAGATATTTGACACTTGCTGTTGAAAGCCTATCCTAAATCGGCCAGTTCTTACTGATTGTAAAGATTTTTGTCTTTAAAAAACATCGTGACCAAAGTCCTGCGATTATTCTACGTCTATCGTCAGGTCAATACCGAATAGACAATATACGAAGCTCCCATGAATAATTACTGAATTTCAGAGTTAGGGAAGTACGGTACGTGTATTAATACAGCATTAATTCAGGTGTCTGGCTAACAGAATGAGCGAAATATGGCGAGACGAAGTCCACGAGAAAGATCGAAAGGAAAAACTCGCCACTTATCTCTTCGCAATGAAAGAAGATCTGTCAGAATGGATTGCTGGACTTATGAATATATCTGTAAGCGCAGATACATTCATGAGTGTTTTGGATAACGGGATACATTTATGTCGCCTCGCGAACATGATTCAAAAAGCAGCTGAAAAATACTTGGCAGAAAACGCCGAATCTTCGCTGAAGTTGCCAGAATTTGTACCAACGTACAATGAACGTAGAGCTAGCCATGGTTCATTCGTTAGTCGAGACAACGTCGCGAATTTCATTCGTTGGTGTCGAGCGTTGGGAATTACCGATGTTATTATATTTGAGTCTGAAGATTTGGTTTTACATAAATTTCAAAAGCCTGTTATATTAACTTTACTAGAGGTGGCAAGAAGGGCTTCTAAGTTTGATATAGAGCCACCAGATTTGGTTATAATGGAGGAACAGATAGATGAAGAGATTGCTCTAGAAGCACAGGCTATTGCTCTGGAACAAACGGGGGAAGATGTTACTCCAGTATCACAAGTTCGACTACAAAACAATTGCGATGCTACAAAGCCTGTTGTTGTGAAATCCAAGAAGAAACACGCCAAACAAAAGGTCAAGAATTTCATCCCAAAAAATCTCGACACTTTGGTAAGTTGATTACGTACGTTTTTGGGCCACATGCATGCATGTATGCAGTAAAAAAACTAGATGATTATTCGCACTTTTTGAAATAAAATAAATTCCCATTATATCTGCCGTTGGTAGCTAGAAAGATTGCAATTTTCATAAAGTAAATTTCTTTCATCCAAATCCTAAATATATGCGATAAAGCTTATGTCCACTGAAATATCGTGTCATCGTCTTACACTTGAACTTGTGTAGATACGGAATTTTTACGGAATGCCATCTTGAAATGTCATGTTTAATATTACCAAGTATTTTATACAAGTGCTATATTTCGTAAACTATGTCTTGTATAAAATATAAGCTAAAAAATCGTAGTGAAGCTGGATGATTAAATCGTTAAAACGTCCAATTTCTCACGGAAATATGATTGTTAATTTTCTATCCGGAAAAATGAAAATATCGAACACATTGTCTTCATTATATCACTTTCCCTTCCTAAGCGATTTTAGTCCAAAATATTTGCCCATTAAAACCCGACTAAATATATTTAGGAAGACATTTTGAACATACACGAATGCTCAAATTGAGTGGAGTTAATGAATGGGATATTTATCGGTCGACCAATAAATGAAAATTTACTCCATGTGACGAGAAATGAGTCTGCTGCTGTAATTTACGATTCCTTAAAACATGTCATTAATACGGAAACATCCTTTCATCTAATAATTTTGCTGAGAAAGGCTGCCCTTTGAAGAATTTGATTTGTTTTTGGAACTTTATTGGAAATTTGTATTGCGTTTCCTCGTGTCTTAATCGATGCATTTGTTGAAAAATTCAAAAGTATGGCGCAGGGAGATAGCATGCAGCAGCAGATGTTTAAAATGAGCGATATTGTCTCTGCTTTATTGTTCGCTGTTCTCTGTTTTTCTGTAGTTATTTCTATTCAAAATGTTGCCCAGAATTGACACTTTGAGTTAAAAAAAAAAACTTAGAGACGTTGCTTGACGCCAACTAAAACATTCAGATATATTTTCTCTGTGGTTTCTTACGCATTTCTTTATAAATAAGTCATTGAATGTCATATTTGATTGTTCGTCCACTCCTGCATATAAGTTTAGATACTTGAGTATGCGCAAGTTACAACTCGATATATCGACATAGAGCGAATATTACTTTTTTTTAGCCTATTGTATGCCGTTGAAACAAACCATTGTTCATCGGCATTCACCGAATGCGTCCAGTTTATGAGTTAAGAATCCCCAACTGAGATAAGAGAAGAGAGACTATGGTTTTTGATTAGTTATTGCAAGGCTGGATATAATAATTTTTGCAGGTGGCAATCCTCATTAACATGTCTGCGTTCAAAACAAATAGTTTGTATGTGGTTGTCTGATGAAGATCTAAATTTAAACTGAAGAATTTGAGGCCCACTGTAAGAAATTCTTTTTGAGCCACTGAAAGATGACAGCTATAATACTAGTACTGTTGTTGAACAAGCCGGGAAAATTCTGATCATGATAATGGGATATCGGCGCGCATGCAAGCACAATATTCTGTTGTCATATTATATTGATACTTTGATATCACATCTTTCAACTGTGACACCGAGCTTCGTTTCCTGTACTTTGTGTAATTTTCTGATTATAATTTCATCAACGTTGCATGTCAGGAAAATAGATTATGTCGCTCAACTTTTTCAAATAGATTTCTCTTATATATTAGCCTTGTGTTAATGTAATGTCTCTTATTTGACGAGGCAAAATTGTCAGCTCGACTGTACCTAACCTCGAAACGCAAATTATGAAAATACATGATCTCAAGAAGATTCTGAAATCCTCTAAAAATGTGATAAGTCGAGAAGGAAGTGAGCAAATTTCTAGTTTAATCATGGACGAGTTTACGCTACACGTCTGGGCAAATCGTTTTTTATCTGCTTAACTAAGGCGCTAAATTCCATAGTTAAATGAAAATCACCTTCAAAATACTAAAACATCAGTCACGACAATGAGCTATGTATCTAACCAGCAGCTCTTTAAAACATTACAAATGTTTTGCGGTCACCTTTCGTGAAAACTGAAAGACACTTCATATCAATTTTGTCAGTTAAAAAACTATTCGTTTGAAGTGAGAAGTTGCAAAGAACTAAACTATGAAAGTGGAGCCGACATAACATAAAGAAATCAAGCGGAATGAGCTTTCTCAAGAGACGGGAAAACCATTGTCTTCTTCACAGCTCAATATTTCCTTCAAAAACTATCGCATTATTCTTCGCTTCCTTCATTAAAATAAGATCATTCTCTCTTGTTTCGTCGTTAATTATTTCCCATATTTTTAATCAAGGTGAAAGAAGTGGTTCAACAATGCACATGTGAGGATTCGTTTCCTGTTGAAAAAATTGCCGACGGAAAATATAAGATTGGTGAGAACAGAGTTCTTATCTTTGTTCGAGTGATGAGGAACCACGTGATGGTCCGCGTGGGAGGAGGATGGGACACACTTGAGAATTACATTCAAAAACATGACCCGTGTCGAGCTGGAGGTGAGTGCATGGTGTATTTCTTACGTGACATGTTTGCATATCGTGCGTGCATAGCTCATGACACAGAACACGTATGAGGAATAGTTGCTTAAGGATGGTCCAAAGTTCTAGATTTTCATTTAAGAATTGTTTTTGCTGTTCCAGGACGTTCAAGTATTACGACTGGTGGTGGAAGGCAACGTTCAAAATGCCAGACACCAAACCATCAGCAGCATCATCACCATCATGACCACGAGAACACCATTCTTCATTCAGCCAGTAACACAAGTGTTGCTAGTAATGACAGTACTTCCTCCAGCTCTTCCTCGGTATCACGGCTGTCCCCAGTCAATAACAACAACAGCGTTTTACAGGTATGTATGTGTTGTCACGAATTTGTACATAAGTTATAGCTTTGTGAACATGATATCTATGTAACTCCCTGAGTCCCTCATTACAACTTCATACTTTCTTGTGTAAACAAAGGCTGAAAGTCTGTTGTATTGTTTAGGGTATGGTGTGCGTGTTTGGAGAGTCTGGTTCCCATCCGGAGATTGTTTCCTTAGAGAAAACATCTCCATCAAATGAGCAAACCAAGTTACTAAACCCTCCTGCTAAAAGTTCGGCTAAGAGAAAAAATAGTGCACCTTCAAAACAATCAGGGGGAGGCAAGGACCTGGGATCAAGAAATAACAGTTTGAATGATGTTAGAGATAGTGGGATTGTGGTTGGAAGAACGAAACACTCAAGTAATAAAACACCTGTTAAAAACACTCAGGCATCGCGGGCTAGCCTTCAACAAGCTGACCTGACTTTCAGCAGGTCTAAAACAAGTGATGCCATTCTAAGTCGCTGTAAACGACGCGAAACTGACAGCCCAAGTTCTGTCATGAAACGACGCGGTAATGGAAATCTTTCGCGCGAACCTTCCTCGGAGAATATGAGGAGACCCAAATCTACAGGACGTCGGAAAAGCGTCGGTAAGCGATCGCCGGAGATTCGTCGAAGGTCGGCAGTGTCGCCGGCTCCAGCGCGAAGGAAACTGGAGGATGAATATGAGGCGAGTGCTGTGAAGAAGAATGATATGAAAGCTGAGAGAAAGAGCGCTTTAAGAAAAGATTTGAATGAAAATAATTTGATGTTCTCACGATCATTTTCTGCTGACACAATCATGCGAGGTAAAATTTATCGTTGCTTTATTGCTTGAAATAGTGCGTCAATGGTGCATGCGCTTAATTTGACACCTCTGTTTGTCAATTGAATTCAGTTCTCTGCCCCGATTATTGAAAAGATACGTGTTATTATTTTAGGTCGTGGGGCAAGAAGGCAAGCTGATACACCGCAAAATTCTCCACGAAACTCCATGATAAGAGAGTATGGAACACCCTCAAGGATTCCAGGGCCTGTCACTACATATGGGAAACCAAGGGCATTCAATAGGACTTACAGGTTGAATGATGGGTCTTCGAGTGCCTCGAATGGGGTGAACGATGGATCATTAGCAAATGGGGATGAGGGTTCAATAGAGATATCAAGGGGTAACAATAGGTTGGATCAAGGGATAAATAAGTGCATCCATTGTGCTAGTCGAAGCTGTACATGTGATGAAGGTTTTATAGACGATGAGGTCACACGCACGCCGTTACGGCCAACCAGTTTGTTCCATAATCATCACAATGACTTGGATTATAAAAATAAAGACGCTAATTGCAGTTCTAATGGTAATTGGAATGGTAATAATCATCTCAACTACGAGAATTCTATGTACTTAGACATTCCTCAGCAACATAATGGTGATGGATTTTCAGGGAATTCAGACTCACTAGAATGGAAGGATGTTGTGACGGATATTTTGAACTATGAAGAAAACAGAATCACAGATAAAAATTTATGACTTTACTCATGTTAAATTAAGATTGGGTTAAAAGAAAGGGGGGATAAAATTCCTATGTTATTTATTAGTTTTGATGGAGAAAGATAATGTATATTTAAAACGGGGAATTGGAAGGATGGAACACTTCAGAACAGCCTTTTTTTTGCGTAATTCACTCTCTGAAATCATGTAAGAGCCTTTAATTACATAAATATCCAAGTTGTGTTATTTTTCTTTTGTAGTAAACGAACATCAATAAAGTATTTATAACAAAGAATGTGCCCAAGATGTTGTATGCGAGCTGACCAATACAACAAAATTTATATAAAGATATTAACTAGAACTCCATATACAAAAATATACACGAATAAGTGATATTGTTTGCATCTACATCATGACGGTATAGTCTTCATCTCATATGATTGTTTTGCACAAGCAGTAAATTAAGATATACATGTAGCTACTGTTTATATCAAAAATAATTCGGTAATCTAGCTATGAATAAATCTAATATGTTAAATATTAGTTCCTTCCTGCATTTGCTGTTTCATTTTCGCCAACATCTCTTGCATTCGTCGCAGCTGAAAAAGAAACGAAGATCAGTTAGGGCAAAACTCGTTCACGATAAGAACCTATGCAGGCAATGGTGATCTTGACGGATGAATCTTGAGAGACTTACCTCGGCCTCTTTTTCTAGCAACATTTTGTCTTTTTCACTCAGTTTGTCTGTGTCGGCAGCACTAGCTTCGCGCCCTCTGCAAAAATATTTCAACCGTTTTACAGCCTGTTATTAATGCTCAGGTTTACTGGATTGTACCAGAAGTCTTCATAGTTCTGGGACAATTGATTAAATATTGGAAGAAATCCAGAACGATACCTTTTAACATTTCGTTGAACAGTGTTGTTACCATCGCCTACTGAGAGACAGTTTGCCCGATAGTTTTCATAATGTACGTCCTGGGTCACCTCTTTCAAGTCCTGCATGTGAGTACTAAGTACAAAGAGATCGTGGACTAATGTAATTTCAGTTTTTACTTAAGAACGTGAATCATGTTACATTGCTATAACCTCACGTTTCAGTTTATTAGTATTTTACGTACATCAACATTGTTCTGAGTTTAACAAAATCCGAGTGTTTTGGGTTCTCAACTGAAAAAGAGGAAATAGTTATTAGGAAGCGTGACCAGGGAAAAGATCCTTGAAAGATACGAGATTATCAACCTTGAAGGGCACCCACCTTCCACCACTCCCCAGGGGTAGCGTCTTCCTCGAACCTTTTTGCCTTGGACCTCAACTGTTGCATTGCTTCCCACAACTGCAAACGGCATAGTTGCCTGAAACATTTTACAAATTATCACTGTTTCATCAAAAGCGCCGCACAAATATGTGATAATCAAACTTTTGTTTGGTACACTCTTGTAACTAACAACTCGTATTTTTAAATCCTAAACGTCTCTTACTCTCAAATCTTCCGTTTGTTTCTTGTAATCATCGTCTTCATCATCATCACAATATGGAAGCTGATAAATCTGAATTTCATACTTCTGAATCTCATGGATTATCTGAGAAATATTTCATTATTTTATTTAACGATTGATTGACTGATACAGAGGAACACAGACAGACAAAGCACCTTTTTCTTCAATTCCCGAAGCTCTTTCTGTGTCAGAGTATCTGCTTTTCCAATAACTGGAACTATGTTCACACGACTATGCAACTGTTTCATGCAATCTATGTCGATAGGCTGCAGTCTTAACAAAGAGAATAAATAAAGCATGATTACAATTGTACAGAAACCATCCAGGCTTTGATATAAAGTTTATCCATATAGCAACTCTAGTTGTAGTCCAAACTGGGGGTATTTGGACCACTCAACATGACTCCATCAGTGATGCTTACCCAGTAGGAGAAATGAAATAAAAACAACAATGAATTCTATTATCAACAATATTTCTTCGGTTGAGTCCAGACTCGTCCTTGAGGTAAGTGTTGAACTGATTGTTGACGTAATCCAGAATTGGTTTATAACTAGAAAATAACTTCACAATATCAGAGCTGGTAAAAAATTATATTTTGAATATTATCAATGAAATCAGTTACACATGTACGTGTATCATATATGCTGGTGAGGTGTTGTGGTCTGATTTCAATTAGAAGAATTGATGATCGATTTCATGGACCGCTAGGAATGCAGGGAGGGGAGTTTTTGATAACTAATCCAACTTTTCAACTTATACCATTCAGAGTTATCAAGGCTGTCACCAAATCCAGGGGTATCAACAACTGTCAGTTTCAACTTCACGCCTCTTTCTTCTATTTCAACAGTTGATGATTCAATGTCCACAGTCTTTTTAAGCCTCTCTGAAAAGAAACAAACACACCCAGAGCAATAAATTATTTTGCAATAATACTTTCTTAATACTTAAATATGAAGCATGTCACTGTTTTTCATAATTGTTGAGTTGATATGCATAAAACAAACCTGATACTGGTGGGATTTCTCTGTCTGAGTAAAGATTGGTCAGAAAAAGGCTGTTTATTAGAGTGGATTTACCCAGGCCAGATTCACCTAAGAAGTATTAATGGTTACACTTTTGATTACACCATTGAACTGGCTTTATAACAGAATATAAATACGATAAATTGGTTATGGATCTCTAGTACCATGTACGTACCAACTACCATCAAAGTAAATTCAAAACCTCGTTTCACAGACTTTCTGTGAACTTGATTAGGAAGGTTTGCAAAGCCAATATAATCTGCTGCCATTTCTACAAAATCAATCCAATATATTTTATAAAAATTTTCACTTTTGATCTAAAATGATGAAGATATAAGAGGGCTTTGCATAAAGCATGCTTTAATTATATAAGGTCAGAATTAGGAAGTATCACAAATTCTTAGTTTTTCTTTTAACCTGCCACACAATATTTCATTCACAGGTAATATGTAATATACACCTGCAGACTGCAGTTCATAATCATGCAATTCAATTGTGAACTGTTATAATATAATACACCTAGTGTGACATACATGCACTGAGGTTCTCCACATACAGGGCTTGTAACCATTGGCATACTACCATATTATAGGGTTTTTTTAAAAGCGAATCAATCAAAGCAATTTATCACATTGTCTTGAAAACAATGCAGCGATAAGATTAAAGTATTTATGGTCCAACGTCGATGCTATATTCCACCATAACGGAAGTGAAAATATAAAAATATGTTTTTTATTTAAAGAACCTTTCTTCTCTAATGACTAGGAAAAATCCGTACCGATCTTCGTGAGAACTGCTTAGAAACAAGAAACAGTCTTTCATATTCTCGCTAATAGTTCTCCTACGATTTTCAAGATTAAATTGTACATACTTTTGTTCAAAGTACACAACTGTTGCAGACAAGGTTGAAAGATCGGCTGATTTTGAGCGCAAATATTGATTTTTTTTTTCATCATCTTCGGCTTTTACAACTATCACACTATTGACAGAACACCATCGATGAAAAATGGAAACAATTTGTGAAAATAAAGAAATCTGAACAACATTTTTGCTGCAAACAATATTTTACAATACATGGTACTTAAAATGCAACAGTCGCATTGGCATCCTCGCAGAATACAATTGTCTGAGTCGAAATTTCAGGAGAAATTTTCACGCGATCGCTGTAAATTTTTAACATGCTATGCATTTATATAAAAGCTATAAACCTGTAAGATTTGGTGGGAAAAAATTGATAGATAAAACAAAAAATAGAAATAATTCAACTTACTACTCTGGATTCTTTGCGACTTTGACAGTGCGTTGGAATTTTAATTATGTTATCCTTGGTTTGAGAGCCTTCGCTTCCAGGCAATGCGGTTTCTACGTTACAATGTTTCCCACCCTAGTCCCCTAGTGGCTATAAATTGTAAACTTTATAAAGATCATTTTTAATACGAAGTTGAGTAATTTCCGCTTTTTTGATTCATTTTATTTGCTTTCGAGGAAAGGATGCTCGCTCTAAGACATCAGATACATAAGAGGTTAGTTTTTGAGAGACTCGATTTGGTTTTCGAAGAATCAGTGAAAACAATTTATATATAGTTTTAATGATAATTTTATACTGTCTCTACTCTGCACAGGTGAGATGTGTGTCCATTGTGAAATTCCTTCAGACGTTAAAGAAGCGTTTTACAATGGTATGTTTATTGCTTCTTATATCTTAGTTTCAGTACATTTGTATGTTCACCAGTAATCAGCCTATAGGGGGATTCGGGTGCCTAGATGAAAGATAAAACCTAATACCTCCCCCCCTGCTTTGATATAACCAGGGCCGTAGCGAGTAGCTTAATTAGGGGAGGGTGTATATTCATAAATCCGTCTTATGTCCGACTGATTTCTTTTGTACGCTATTGTTCCTGCGGTAGATAAACATGAGCATATGAATATACACCCCCCCTGATTAAGCGGTCTAGCTGCGGCCCTAGATATAGCCTTGGATATGAAAACAGTTTGAATGGATATTTTTGTAGTTATAAGAAAGAACTAATTTAGATATAACTTTTTCATGACATTTAGGAAATCCAGCATTGAAGAAATCAAAGGAAAATGATGATATTTTATATCTTCAGGTAAACATCGTTGGTGACCAAGGATGTGGCAAGACCTCCCTTATTGATGCATTTAATGCTGATAAATTTCCATCAATTACCTCAGTGTCTCGTTACTCTCGTTACAAGCTAATGGCTGTGAATAATATTCCTGTTGAGTTGGTAATTTATGATACAATTGGGATAGAAGATTATGATGATGTTAAGACAAGATCTTTAATGTTAATGTTCTCAGAAGTAAACATTTTATGTTATTCAATTGAGTCAAGAGAAAGTTTTGAAAGTATTTCCAGTCTATGGTGGCCAGAGATAAAAGCTGCTCGCATAAGAAAACCATTTTTATTAGTTGGACTGAAAAAGGACCTTCGTCCTGGCAAACAAACACATGAGTGGGTGAAAGCTAATGAAGGCAAAGCACTTGCAAAATATATTGGTGCTGTAGGTTTTTCAGAGTGCTCATCAGTTACTAATGAAGGAATCAACGAGATTTTTGAAATGGCAGTAAACAAGTGCGATAAAGTAGTAAAAAAGAAAGGGGAGCTCAAAAATCAAGCTTGGAAGTATCTCTGTTGTTACAAGAAAGACTAATAATTATAAAGCAATTGAAATAAAAATAATTTTATATTTCAATTTTGCCCTGATTACCGGATGATGTTTGGAATGACACTGGGAAAGGATACAATTTTGTAGTTTGGCATAGTGATAAAAACAATATATTTTTTTTCTTAAAACACCTCGTAGTCTACCTGCTATATCCATTGATATTTGTTTTAAATACATACATAGTTTGACTGATATTTTTGGCTGCATATAAAGTTGTAAACTGATTTAACGCAATCTCATATAACTTGTGAAATGGGTGCAATTTTCCACGGGTGGAAAGGGTCGGCTGGCGGCTATTTTTTATCTACAAAACGCTGAAAATTTTATAATTGAAAGGACGAAGCATATGAGAAAATAAAGACCCTCAAATAACCCAAAAACCAATCAGGTATTTCAGTGGTTCGAATTCGGAGTTTGCAAATATCAAAAGATAAAAAAATGGTAACAGAAAATTGCTACCAAGTACCGAGAAAAAAAGTTATTATAGTTTTAGTTTGAAACATCGATTAACGCGAAAAGCGAAGGCTTTTTTTATCAAACTAAGGGTCTGTTTGCATGGAGCAAGTTATCTCTGCTAGGCGAGGTAAAAAGCGCATCACATCAAAGGTTTAACCTGATTAGTCTTTCATTATATGCAGTTTTCACCTCGCCTAGCCGGGATAACTCGCTCCATATAAACAGGCCCTAATGGCCCTAAGACTCGCAACGGACAATAGAAATATGCAAAACATATTTATTTGGCTAATTTATATTCATTCCGGGCAAATCTGGCATTAGTGGATTATCTATTGTTTTAATGCGTTCATTGTTCGTTGTCGTTGGAATTTTCTTTGTCTTTGAAGTAATAAAAGGCGGTTGAATCTAGACGAAACTCAGTCTTTGCAGTCTCGAAATGGAAGCATCAGTCGAAGAAGTTCAGGAAAAGTTGGAAGAGTCTTGCTCAGGTACATGGTGATGGTTGGTTTGAAGTTTGAACAGCTGTTGGTTTGATCATTGATTTCGTAAACAAATTGACTGATCGCTGTGTTGATTTGAATAGCGTGGGAAGACGTGAGCGAGTGAAGTTATATTCTTGCCGATTTGTACTGCTTTATCTTGTATATTTCGATTGAAAATGTCAAATGCAAGTGAGCTGTTACTTTAATTTAGTTTTTCCTTGCTTATTTGATTTCAGAACGAACTACGGCGCCGAAAGATGGGGAAGGAGAAACGTAATGGCTTGCTCGCAGCGAATAATAGGTATTGTTCTATTAATATTTGTGTATTTTGCATTTGTGACTTGAAAAACACGTTTGTACTTTGTTTAGGGACAGTCAGGGTGGACGAAACTAGAATAGTTTTGATATAAAGAAATGAATTAGAACTTTATGACTGAAACTAACTTTCCAGGCTGGCCCTATTCGTTTTTCGGACAGGGTTGTCCAAAGGGAATGCTCGTCGGATTGAAACTCCTATATAATGCAGCCTATATGATTATTTGTATTGCTATATGAATGTACTTTATGCTAGACTTCTCTGTCCTTTTGTTTTACCAAAGTTTTGTTTTTTTAGAACGAAAGAATCGTAAAGAGATGTCGGACATGCCTTATGACAACTATGCACGCAAATACAAAACTCGATTTCGACAATATGCATGAGTAAAAATTGCATGGAATTTGGCTTTTTTGACTGAGATATAAACTGAACACTCTTCTGTTTATCTCCTTCATTTTCAGGTTTTCCGCCTGTGCATGATTTTTGCATGAGGTCTGGTCGTATCAAGCGCATGCGGAGTGAATACAAGTGATTCTGGGGCCCCAATCACTTGTGTTTTCTCTATCTTGACGACTATATAGTCCGGACAAAAATATCGCTCAGAGAGCGCCTAAAACATAAAAACATGAAATATGTATTTCTAGAAGGAGATGATAGTCCAGTGTTCTTGTTTTTTGTACCAAAACGTGCATGACATTTTGTATTCGCGTGCGCAATGCGAAGGCCTTACGAGTGACAGACGTTGGAGTGTTGGAGGTTCGGTATAATATATCCTGAGTGCTTTATACATAAGTGACATTTCTCTCTTGGAGATTATTCATATCACACATTTGTTGTCAGATGATGAACGATCGTGGCAGGATCAGATGTTGAAGAATCGTCGTATGATCAGATGGTATGGTATGGTGTGGTGTGGTATTGTATGTATGATATTGCTACTAAGTGGTATTTGTGACTTGAAAATTAATGTCGTATCTTTTTGATAACGTATCGTTGCAGGATCAGATGATGAAGGATCGTCGCAGGATCAGATGTTGAAGGATCGTCTCAGGATCGGATGGGATGGTATGGTATGGTGTGGTATGGTATGGTATCCATGGTATGGTGAGATATTGGTACTTAAGTGATATTTGTTACTTGGAAATTAATATCATATCTTTGTTCTAAAGTATCGTTGCAGGATCTGATGTTAAAGGATCGTCGCAGGATCAGTGATGAATTAGATGTTGAAGGAGCGTCGCAGGATCAGTGATGAATTAGATGTTGAAGGAGCGTCGCAGGATCAGTGATGAGTTAGATGTTGAAGGATCGTCGCAGGATCAGTGATGAACTATAGATGTTGAAGGAGCGTCGCAGGATCAGTGATGAACTAGATGTTGAAGGATCGTCGCAGGATCAGTGATGAACTAGATGTTGAAGGAGCGTCGCAGGATCAGTGATGAATTAGATGTTGAAGGAGCGTCGCAGGATCAGATGGATCGTCGCAGGATCAGATGGATCGTCGCAGGATCAGATGGATCGTCGCAGGATCAGATGTTGAAGGATCGTCGCTGGATCAGATAGTATGGTATAGTATGGTATGATATTGGTACCTAAGTGATATTTGTGACTTGGAAATTAATGTCAGTCATATCTTTGTGATACAGGATCGTCGCAGGATCAGATGTTGAAGAATAATCAGATGTTGAAGGATCGTCGCAGGATCAGATGTTGAAGGATCGTCGCAGGATCAGATGTTGATGAATCAGATGTTGGACGATGAGACAGATGTACAAGTAGAAGCTGGTTGAGGTATTATTACAATTATTTACATACCATAGGTAGAGTAATGCATGATTAATGTAGTGCATGGTTTATTCCTGCTGGTGGTCTAACCTAGTATATTCACACATCAAGTGACATTTTAACCCTTTCGATAATGCATGATGACAGGAAATTTCTCACAGCTCTTATGAGGGCGTTTTTGAGGTTTCTCGAGGAAAAGTTTTTGTCACTTGGTGTGAACGACTTAAGGTGGTCTTATTATATTCTTATACAAAGAAAGTTTTTCCTTTTCATTTCGAAAAATATGAAAACGTTATTGAAAAATGTTTATATTTTTTCCTTATAAGACCACCTTAATGCGGCTGCGAGAGCGTGATGCATGAGGGGCTTTAAAGCGTTGAAATGGAAATAAAATGCAATTTGCATTTATGATATTATCGAATTCGTATTGGCCTAATTTTAGATTAATACGAATGTAATCGCGAGTACTTATATGATTATATTATAACTCTGTTCAGCTTATTATAATGAGCATTCAATGGCAACAAAAGCTTTTGCATGCAATTTTGAAGTTTGAAATGAAGAAGAAAAAATCACTATTTGATGTTCAGACACTACACTCTTCTGTTTCCCTTGTTGTTTTTGATTTTTCGGATTGCATGCAGTTCCTTATACCTTTGAGTAACTTGATGAAGTTTGTATGAGAAGGAAAATATACCCTGCTATATTACATGATATTAAATTGCATGATAACTGGACTTGTTTAATGAAGGGTATCTGGGGGTATGTTGAACTGTGGGTTACATTGTATAGTACCCTCTTAGCTAACGAAGATCCTTTGCATTTTGACACACTTACAACGTTTTTTAAATTTTTACACGCCTCACCGTCGCGATGTTGTTGAAGATGAAGAACGCAACTGTTTTGAACGAAGCAGAGAAGAATGTAAAATACTGTCCAGCAAAGGTAATTATACGGTTCGAGGTAAAGGATATTATTGATTGTTGTAGTATAATGGTGATATTGAGTAACTTGCATGACCAGGGTGAATGAAAAGGGTGCATGAGGTCCATGTCTTAACAGAAGAGTGTTGTCGTCTACATCGGTTTTAAGATGAAAAAGCATGCAAGTCGTGAATATGAAGTATTTTCTTTCCAAAATGCCGGATAATTTGAATAATTGAAATTTTTGTTGCCATTGTCAGACGAAGCGCAGCTTAATTTCTAAAAGCCGAGTGTTTTTGTGCGCTAGACCACCAGCAGGGTCGAGAATTGCATGGAAATTTCTAGAACTCTGTTCGGAAGTCGGATGAGCGAAACTGAAACGGTGAACAATAGATGAAAACTAAACTGTCATTGCGGACGATTTCTAAAATCAAAATACCAAATTCGGACCGCCGGTCAGGTAACCTGAAATTCAGGTTACCTTTGGAGGGTTTTTCACCGGGCACTCCGGTTTCCCTCCTTTTCGTTTGGCTTTTAAAAACAGTGTCCATGTCTGGGGCCAAACCAAAACGTGTTCGTTGATAATGATAAAAACGCGTATGTGGCTTCTGGGTTTGATTCCCAGAACACTGTCGTAAAATAGTTTTAAAAACATGGTTGTTGGAATCATTACGTAATTCAGTTTTTTTATTTGGAAATTTCCAGTAATGAGAATTAGCATGGGTTAATTATTCATCTCATTAAATCACTGGTTAAATGAGAGCTGTATATTCAATACTGTATTACATGACGTTTCTGCATTCGTATTTGACCACGAGTCGGCCGGATTTGGTTCCTCCCCCCGTTTTCTTCCCCATCTATCCATCTATTACCCCCCCCCCGGCGAAATTTTGCAGACTTTGCATTTATGTTTTCATATTGTGATGCACGTATATACGAGAGCAAAAATGTCGTTCAAAACAAGACTGAAAATATAGATCTATGGGAACTATAGGCTACGGTGAGACCATATCATGGTTCCTTATTGAAGAGGAGACCTTGTTCTCCGACCATGGTTTGAAATTTGTAGCGAATTTGGCCGAAATACCAGAAGATGTGAAGGCATTGGAGAGCTCGTTCAGCCAAAGAGATGGCGTAGATTCAGATTTAAATCCCAGCGAATTTTGTGCAAATGCCACTGCGAAGGAACTGCAAGACTTGTTTATCACGCAGACAAGTCAGTATGCAAGATATTTTCGCTATCGACAAGATGCTTTAGAGATGTTATGGCAGAGAAGAGAGGAGTTGCGAAGTTCGCCAAAATCTTGCTGTGAAATCAATGCAAAAGATGAACAGTCACCAACGGTCACAAAACGCCGAATCGATTTCTCTTCCCGTGTCAGCCTACTTTTACTTATTCCCTTGATCAAATCTCACAGTAAAAACGATCCCTCTCTAGCCGATCATTCGACGAAAATCCTATTTCAATGTTTAAAAGGTTGTTTGCCAAATTCATTGAGTGACGAGCCGTTGAGCTGTGTAACCGGTTTGGCAGATTTGCTGACGGGATGGTTGGCCGATGACTTGACAAACTATGAAAATTTGGAGGACATCGAACTAGAAAATTCCTGTGGAATGGACAAAAAGCCTTGTAGAACTGTAGTCCAAAATGAAACGATCATTGGCTGTCTTCTCTCTTTGGCGTGTGCAAGGTAAAGAGTCTTTAGTCAATAGGTTAAGTGTTTACGGTGAAAATATTTGTCAAACATCTGCAAACATTACTACACGTCTTCGCAATAAACAAGTTTCATTCATAACTAATAACTTCACTTCAGGAATTTCACTTTTTGCCAAAAAGGTAAAATTTCTGTGAGTGTTGATAGGTAAAGGTATCATGTCCTTGAAGATTGGTTAACATGGGTGATTTTAGGTGTGATAAAATGTGTATATTCAACCTTGCATGTTATTATAATGAAAGAAATTAGTGAAGGTCTTAATATGGTATTTAAACTGCCATGGTGAAATTGAAGGTTATATAGATATGCTAATACATTCCAATATACATTCCAATAGAGCTACTAACTCTCCTGATGAAGGCCCTCAGGTTGAAACGTCGAGAAGTGTTTTTGTCTATTTTAGGCAGTTATTATACCACATTTGATGCTATGCTGATACATAGTATATATTAGACTGTGATAATAGAAATATGAAATTGATATCAGTAAAGTAATGCATTGTACGTAATATATCTTGTCTAGGTTATCATTGAAGTTATTTGTGAAGGCTTTGGTAATGCTACAGCAGAATAAGAACAGATTAGACATGCTTCCCTTGGATTGCGTGTTGAAAAATACAATAGAGTATGAGAGGTGTGGTTCGCAAAACAGTCCTGGTGTTCTACTGGCATCAAAGTTAAGAAGTTGTTGGAAGTACGTTGTAAACCATCCAGGTAATGTTACTAATTGCTATACAAGTCAGTCTTGCAAGACAATTTTGCAAGTGAAAATCATCAAAGTATATGTGCAAAGAGGTTGAAGCTCAAGGGAAAGGGGCTTGAGGGGGCAAGGAGTGGAGGAGAGGGGATTAGGGAGTATTCCTGCATATGGTCCAGATGCTGGCATAGGTTATATGGACAGATTTCTTTTGCTGCACATTCGCACACCATTTCACTACTGTATGCTTCAACATTAATTGATAACCCTTTTTTCATTTAGTCTCAACCAAAGGAAATGTAGTCACATGTGATGGAAAATATTTGTACATTCTGCATGGGTCATATATGGTTAAACTGGGTTGTGGTAAACATGGCACCCTCAGGTAATATGGTACCATAACTTTACCCAAAAAGTACATGATGTGTACATGCATACTTACAACCATCTTAGTTTTGCCTTCTGGCATGCCTATAAATGACCTGGGCTACTAAATTTTCTTGCCAGATCTATTATTTCATAATTTTATAATGCAATATTTGTTAATGCTTTCCACAGAGGTCACGTTTATGCTATCAACAAAAATTTCCCAGACGGGTTCTTATGTTTTGTCGGAGGAAAGTTGTTATTTCGTCCAAATGTTCCAGAGAAGACGGACACAAATATCTTCGCTGAGGTTGTTGACACAGAAACATTGAAGGTGGGTTGTGCGAAGAGAACGCTAGTTAAAGATAAACGGAAGATGAATAATTTGGCTTTCATGTAAATGGTTTTTTTACCGTTGTGTAGATTTGCGCTCCAGTCGAGTATAATCGTAACTCTGACAGCCACAATGGTCAAGTTTTAACAGGCAGAAAAACTGTTAACATCGTCACGGACGGTGTCCTAATTTATTGGTTATATTACCATGATGTACCTTCTCAGACAGCGAGCCTAAGTAGACCTGCAACGGGTTCTGGTGCGACCAGTGTCTCAGGCAGTACGTTTAATGTCGTCGAAGTGTATTTGGAAGTCTTGGAAATCAAGGTATAACTGGTTGAAAGATTGTATCATAAAATTAACTCAGATTCGTGCATAGTGCTTTGCAGTTAAATTGAATCAAGCTTTACAATGTGGTTGATAGATGAATGATCAAAATATTAGCTCTTCCACGTTGACTGTACGCTGCGATTCCAAAGCAGTTTATCCACCAGTATTCTAAAAGTTGACGTTAAAAGTTTAATTTATACATGCACACGCATCGGAAGAGAGGTAATTCTGTTGTTGACCATTATTAGCATTGTGAAGACAAGTGCGTGGTTACGCGTGTTCAAAAGCCTGTTGTGTTGAAGTTTCGAGAGGAACAGACAGCGAACAACGAGTTTCCTATGCCTCTTGCGATGAGGCCAGTCACTGCGTCCCAGTCATCACGAGATGAGAATAGTAAGTGTACGAAACTTGAAATGAAGCCTTGAGCTCTAGTCTATCCTTATTCTGCCGTAGCGAACTAATATAAGGCTAAAGAATGTATAAGGCTGAGGAAATTTAAGCAGAAATATATTAGAAATATGTTATGGAATGGGCGAATGTTAGGGTGAAATAAACCTCTTTAACAACTAGTCCTTTGGGACACAAAACTATTCACAATATAAACATACTGTAGCATCAGTTGATCAAACAAAATCAGCGTTAAAAATCGTACTGCTAGTTTTAATGCAGAGTACATTGCACGTCTCCCAGGTAAAACCAGTTGTGGTATAACGATGAATATTCTTCAACGCACTCCTCTCTTTACTGATGGAACATACCTTATGATGGTGATTGGTCATCCCAACTATCAGGGTTACCCACTGTGCAAAGGTACGGTCATTGAAACCATAATAGGATTTACCAGTTAAAATTGAACTGAAAAAACCCTGAGTTGTTTTATGTTTTCATGTTTCCAGCTCCTTTCAACCGCTGTTATTCGATCGTGGAGGGAAAGTTTGTCAAGGATGTGAATTTGATTGACGTCCCAAAGGCCGACAACCCGAAGTGGCAGAGCGTGTCCTTGGCAAACACTGGTAGGAATGCTCTACTCTGAAGTGAATTCATATATACAGTATACAGTAACGAGCTCAAATAGGCCTATCATGTAAATTGTCTACATATCTGTAGGAGAAGCATTTCCCATCCTCTTCATTTTACCCATGTGTCTCTAAACAGGAAACATTTATTTTCTTACGTAAATGATTTCAAAACTGCACGCCTTTTTGCGAATCACTCCCATTTTCGCCACAGGAATATGCTACGATCATGTCAATAACCTCATCTGGACGAGCAGCGAAGATTGTGTTGAGGAATGGCAGAATACTGGCCCATTATCCTACCATTATGTCGTCAACAAGTTTCCACCAATAGCAACAGGTCTGTTCATTTTTAAACATACCCTTAATGAATGAAGCTGTCTGATACTAGACATAACTACAGAGTGCTTCCAAGTAAAGCTTTTTGGTAGTATCGTTGATAAGAGACGAATAATCGTCTAACATCAGTCGTTGAAGTGCAATACTGTAACAAGTGAATATATTTTGTAGAAATGTTTGCAGACAATGATGTCATCAGCTTGTCAGACTGTATGACCGCGAGCGCCTTGCAAATAGGCTTCCTGTGTTCCGCCACATTCTGTGACGTCACCAAGCCACCGAGCTATGAATTAACACTGGATGATGAATACCAACAGCAGGTTCTAGCAGTACTGGAAAGCGCCGTGGAGCAACAAAACCAATATGTCTTGTATAGCGTGTTGGTTCTCATTCAGGTGATGGGCAAGTTTAGATGTGATTTTCTACTTTTGATAGATGTGAACGAGTGAAAAGGTTACAGAAACTCAAATAAACTCACATTAAATTATGTAGGACTATTCCTTATTTCCTTTCTGACTATCTTCTGGAATAAAGTGATTTTTCAATGCTGAATTTTGTCCTTATTTACTGTAGACATTGTTCTCAAAAGCTTGTTTGACCAGTTCAAAGTTAAACGAAGATATCGTGGCTTCAATCAGGTAGTCTGGTGTTTTGTCGACGTTGTTAAATGTCAAATAAAACGGATTTTGAACAACTGATGTGTTGTTATTGCAGGCTGTTGGTTTGGAAAGTAATTTACTGTGATATCGTGGCATTCAGTGAGAAGGTTCGCCAGGAGGCGTGTCACACGTTGAGGTGGGATGACTCCGCGAAAAAGAATGAAGGGAGGGGGGGGGGGAAGAGAGGACGGAGATGAGGGGGGGGAGGAAAGGAGATAGGGATGGCGGGAGATGAAAGGAGATAGGGATGGCGGGAGATGAAAGATGGATAGATGGGAAGAGAGGCCAGAGATGAGGGTGGGAGGGAGGAAGTGGGGGGCGAAATGAAGGGAAAAGGAAAGAGGGACGGTAGAAGATTGGAGGATAGAGAAGAAGGGAATGAGAGGGAGGGGAAACGGAAGAGGGAAGGAACCGTTCATGTGATGTTTTTGACCGGTTCTGACTTTGTTATTTAGGTCATGTTTGGGTATTTTTTATCCATCTCACACAGAACAAAGTGCAGTGATGATGATACTGTTTAATGAACGTACGTGCAATAATTAGTAAAGTAAAGAAATAAGCAAAGATCCTCACTTTTGTCAAACAACACACCACCGTTCCACAGTCAACCTTTCGACCTTTTCTCATCAAGAACAATCCTCAATAAGAACGAAGAATCTTTGCTCAAAATCTCGTAGTTCATATTAACTGAAATATCTGGCGTGTATACAACACTTCTTTGAGAGTCTGCCCGCACTGGTATCCTGTCTGTGGTTCAGTGTTTCTTTGAAATATCTTACTTCGAATTGTGTTTTTCTCAACAGCGGAAGAGAACGGAATTGTGTATTTGAAAGATGTTCTACTCAGATATTTTACCGACGCACTATCGAGTGACGGAACAAGCAACGATGGTTGCTGTATGGGATGGTAAATACCTGTGACTGGCTTTATCGCGGCAACTTAGGGCATACAGTGCAGGAACTAGGGAGCAAAAAAGGCTCATCTAGTAAAGTGTTCCCTTCTTCCCGATGGATGAAAATTTTAGTATGAATTGAAATCTTGTCAAAATGTTTAGGAGGCTGAGAAATTTCCCACACGTCGCTGAACTCTTCCAGGGGGTATATCCACATTTTACACCCGCCTCACCAACTGCTTGTGGCAGGAGTGAGTTTGAAATATTGGATAAAAATATAAATTTTTCTCACCCAGGTTCGCTGAAGATGTCGTCCACACGATCATCAATCGCTGTACTGTAGAATCCTGCCACTTTATTTCGCTCGCTAAAGAAGGAAAAACGAAAGATTACGACTTTCCTGTAAGTCTATCTATACACTGATGGAACGGCTTGTATTATCCAACACAAAACAGATTACATGCAACAAAACAATCTTTGCTTTCGTTTAGTCTGTGTCTTCTCTGTTGGGTTACCTCAAAGCGATGACGACGAAAACATTAGAAGAACTGTACATTGGTCGTGAGCCAACCTTTCATGTAAATATCACCACTTCGTTGATCCTAGTTTATGGATACATCGTTGTAGTTAGTGTTTCAACAAGATATATTCGTAGTTCAACAAGATTCTTTGATATTCAAGGGAGATGTCGAAGATTTCTTTGAAAGGCTTGTTGCTAGTTTTAAAGAGGTACCATTGCTTCGATTCTCCGTGAAAGACGAGACAGGCATAATACTCAAAGGTCTTGATAAATCTTGTAGGTATCCAAAGCGGTGTTTGATATGTTTACAAGTGTCGACACAAGAAGTACGAGTGGTCTGGAAGAGAAGCTAACTCTTCTTCACAATGCTACGAAGTCCTCCGTGTTTGAACAAGTTATGCCGATATTCTTGACCGCTTTGTGTAGCGAGAGGATTTGTAATCTGTCCATTTGCAAATCATTGGCTTCTTCCATCATGGAACTGAGCGTTACTCTGACAAAGGTAAACCAAATGAGTCTATTTGGCGTAAGCAAAGGGGTTAGAGTTGGACGCGACGTTGAAAACCAATAGGTGGTTGTACAAAGTTAATTTTCAGCTGGCATTGAATGCTTTGGATGTCCTAAACCAACACTTTCCTTATCCTTTCCTAGATCGCATCTCTTCACAGGAAATTGTGTCCGCTTCATCACGTAAGTCCCAAGGGCCTTTCGACTGTACGTTCGTTCCTGCAGTCCACGGACAAAGATACTAAAAGGCCCTTTGATAAAGTTTCCATTCCCAAACCATGGTTGACAGCACAGACCGTGGCGAGCATGCATCCAGTGTGTGACGAGTACAAGACACAGAGGACCGTGTCCTTGTTTGGCGCCAAATCGTTGTATTTGAAATTCGACGAAAGATGTGCCACGCAATATGATTATGATAAGGTGGGGATGCGAAACTTCATGTTACCCTTTGTTATAGCGGTCTCTTTCTTTGTGCATGGTTGTTCTGTCGTCAACCAAACCAAACAAGCTTGTTTTTTGTGTACTTCAGCTCGTGGTCTATGCTGGGGCCAACAGCAGTTGTACAAAAGCAGGCGAATATGGTGGGAACTCGCTTGGGTATGGGGGCCGTAGCGTAGTTAAAACTGGATGGCCCAAAGATATTGTAAAGGTATGTACTCTTTCTAAAATAAAATTATCGCGAACCAATTTATTGCTATCTGTCTCCCCCTTTCAAGCTAGGACATCCATCCAGTCCAGTTGCTTTTTAGGTCAACGGCGATACTGTGACGTTATGTCTGGAGGTGAAAAGCACTCGAGAGCGGGCGACACCCGACAAGGCCGTCTGGGGCTACAGCGTGGTCATAGCTGCCAATCAGGATTACTTCAAAGACAAGAACAAGACGCCCCGCGGAGAATTAGATTTCTTTACGGACATTGCGTTGGCTGGTTCGTATTTTACCTATTATCTGCTAAACATGATGTACTGTGGTCCTTTACCCACAGATGTTGAACGTCGCTGCTCACATCTCTTGAAGTCAAAGCTTTTGCAAAGGTACGGTTTAAAACAGATGAATACAGAGTTCTCAATAAAGTTTAGGTTTCCTCCTGTAGTAAGACTGGGTCAATAGAATAGATACACCGATAGAATGTTGATACTTTTGACACCATTTCAGATGTATTTGGAAGGACAGTTTAACAATGATCCAAGAGACGCCAAAGTCTCTAAAAGGCTCTGACACTTCCAGCAAACTCTCTGGCAAAGTCCTCGATAAACTACGAACCTTTTGCAGCAGCCAACGACCGACTCTGCGCCCGAGCATACTAGGCATCGTGAAACCGCAGGACATCGAAAACGTCATTTTGAGTGCGGCTGTGAAACACTACGGGCTCGCGTCATGCGTGAACAAGTTTGAGCTCGCCACGGGAAATCTTTCGAAAAAGAAAGAATTCAGTTGTTTGCTCCATGTCTGTGAAGAGACGTTCTTCAAAGTGGACGCACTCGTGCGACAACTGCAAGCCATGGCCGAACTTGAGAAGAAATGGTGGCAGGATTTGATGGACATTTGCAAAGAAAATGCTCAGCCCAGTGCAGCGTTCTTCAATGATTATCATCTCCAGGAGGTGAATTATCAAAACATTCGTCTATATTTTCAGCGGCAGTTTTCGGATTTGAGTTTTAGCTTAGATATCAAGCTCTTTGCTAGAGGCATGGAGAGGATGTGTTATTTCAAGTCTCAAATGTCGATTAGAATTGCTTCGCGTGAGAAAAAACATCATTGAAAACTGATTGATTTTTTAGGATAAAGCAAAAGAACTCGAGTTGCTTTGCAACCTGAAAGCAGTTCTGTTTCACCCTTTAGATCATGAGAAATCTGTAGGACGGCTGATGTAAGTACGATCACATCTGGTCTTCTTAATCTGGAGCCTTTCTCATCTGATATCCTCACCTGACATCCTCATCTGACCCTATTTATACACCATTCTCGCTAACCGTCGATTATTCGTTGCAGCCAAATTCTCGAAAGCGAGTCTCGCGCTTTCTCGTCGGATGACGACGACGATGACGAGAATGACGTCACAGCGATATTTCCTAAAACTAGTGCTTACGTCAGCTGCGTGACGGAGCGAGGGGAACTGTTGTTGAGTGTCACCATTGTCGGTGATAGTCCCAGCCCTGCTGTGGGACGAAGCGTTTCAAACATCGATAAAACACACACAGGAAAAGGTGATGAAGTTGTTGTCAAATATGGTACGATATGAACAATTTTAATACAACATTCTTTCTGTAGGCAGTTTATCAGTTGAGCCAGAGGGCATGGTAACGAGGTCCGTATCCGCGCCACATTTACAGCAACCTGGGCGCGAGCATTCCGTACGAGGTCTTGAAGATTTGCAACGGTTCAGAAGATGGGATCAAACATTACGTAATCTATACAGAACATCACGTGGTAGTGAGCACAGGGAGTGGCACGTCTCAGTTGTTGAACAAATCTTCACTTTTGTCGCCGGAGACCCTGACGAAGCTGTAAGAACATCCCTGATATATCCATCCTATATACATGTACTTCAATAATCCCTTTGGTACTCTATTATCCCATTAAGTACCCTATTATCAACTTAGGTACTCTTTTTTTTCTCTTCATACTCTATCATCCCATTAGATGCCCAAATATCTACATAGGTACCCTATTATCCCCTTTGGTACCCACTTTGATATTTAGATTGACACGGTTCTAACTGGCAGGTTTCATGTTCGTCTTTCCTTCTCGCCGCCCGCACGCGCTGGAGACGAGGAAAATATCGTCAGTTGGCAATCCTTCACATGAACAAACTCGCCACAATATCGGCCAGTCTTGGCGTGACTGGAACACATCTGCTAGGAGTCGTTGTCTCCATAATGTGTCAGGGAACAAGGTGAGAAACTCTCTTACAATAAAGAGTAATCGCAGACGGTATTTCTTTTTATTCAGCCTTTAGGGAAGACAGTTTATTATAACCCTTGGTCAGCTGCAATATTCCCTGATTATTCCCTGATACCCTCCTTAGATCAGCGAAAACTTTTAGCTCTTAACAAGCCCTTCTTACATGAAGTTCTCATCCTCCCAGACTGGACGACCTGGAGTGCAGTGGATTGGCGAATGACGTCCGTGACGAATACGGGATGTTATTACGTCATATTGTGGACCAGTCCGTTGGGATGCTCGCGCGGTACTGCGAGAAGCTGATCATCTTAGCTACCACTCCCTTTACGCTGTGCGAGCGACAGGATGTCCTAAGAAGCAGCCTCATTTTGATGATCAACAAACTGTGCAGCTCTAGCAACCTGGACACCGGCCTGTTGGACCTGACTCAGCGGAATTATGCGTGGAGAAGCTTTCAAGTTCTGATTGATCGTCTCGTCAGCTGGGAAAGCGATAAAGGTTAGCGACAGGGAGCCTTTTACCTTTATTCCCATCTTATCATCCCTGGACTTAGTTATTTGTTTATGATTAAAATTTCCACCCTTTTCCCATTCGAAATAACTGCAGATTGGCTTTAACCACTGAGTATACTGCTTTGTAAAACTCGTCCATCGTCAACATCTTTGTTTTCATTGAAGCTCATGATCCTGAGGAGATCGAATGGTCGGGTGTCGCTCGTCAAGTGGCAACAGTACTCACCAGCTATCTCAGATATCTTGAGAATAAAGTCAGTAAGCATGACGTCCTCACCCGCGTCAGTGATCCTTTACATGAAGTGTTGGAACTGCTTCAGCGCATTGCTGGGTTGGTGTGGCTGAATTCTTTTATCTCGGATAGCTCTGTCTGTTCTAAACTGTTCTTCCAAGAGATCCAGCCTCGTGATAACGTCTCTCTTCTGCGTTTTTCTGTAGGAGCCATTTGGGCGAATGTGTTCTATCCCAACCACACATGATCAAGATTCTTCTCTCCGTCATCACTGACCGTCAATCCTCTCCTAAGCACTTGCTTACAGCTCTAACCCTCCTATACTCCGCCCTGCCCTTGACTGACCCGGACACAAACGAGCCCCTTACCTCCCCCTCCATGGAAGCTTTGCAGGAGGGCTCGATACAGCAACGGAAACCATCGCATACAGTGATCAAGGTGTTGGTCAATAAGTTGGGTGAACTTCTGTTGCCATGCAACGTCACAGACGATGGCGCTTCAAGCTCGAAAAGCCAGCGTCGTTCCAACAGCTACGGCAGCTCTGTGCTGTCCGTTTATGTTCACAATCGAGGAGATATTGCTACCCATGAGATTGTCCAGAAGGTTTTGAGGTAATGTATGTCAACTTAACTAACTTTATTTATACTGGATAGCTCTATCAGTTCTAAACTGTTCTTCCTAGAGATCCAGTAAGAATCATCTCTTATTGATCCAGTGTTACTACAGGAGGAAACCTAAACTAAACTAACTTTATTTTTAACTATATTATCAGTTCTAAAATGTTCTTGTTTAATACTGTTCTCCATCTCTTAAAGATTTAAAGAGAGAACTTCTCTAAATTGATAATATTATTAACTCAGTTCTAGTGGGCAGCCATTTCTCTTTCAAGTTGGTCTTGGTTCCCAAATGGAGCGCGCTATCACACTGAATCGCGAATTAACAGAACATGGCTTCGCTGAAGTGCTGACAGATAAAATGAGCACGTGTCTAAAGCAAGCGACGCGATTGGCTCAATCTGGTATCTGTGTTAGTATATCATCTTCGCAGGATGTGAAAGGATTGTATGCGGAGACGACAGGTGAAAGTCACCCACCAGAAACTGTGTGTCAGGAGAGAAACAAGAACCTAGTTGGGTGAGGCTCTATCAATTCTAAACTGTTCTTCGTAGAGATCCAGTAAGGATCATCTCTTATTGATCCAGTGTTACTACAGGAGGAAACCTAAACTAAACTAACTTTATTTATACTGGATAACTCTATCAGTTCTAAACTGTTCTTCCTAGAGGTCCAGTAAGGATCATCTCTTATTGATCCAGTGTTACTACAGGAAGAAACCTAAACTAAACTAACTTTATTTATACTGGATAACTCTATCAGTTCTAAACTGTTCTTCCTAGAGGTCCAGTAAGGATCATCTCTTATTGATCCAGTGTTACTACAGGAGGAAACCTAAACTAAACTAACTTTATTTATACTGAACAGCTAGAACCTTTCATTATCTATTTTGTCAGGTTTGGTAACACGCGGCCGTACGTGAGCGGCAACGTTGCGCACAACATGGCGTCCGAGGTCGTCGCTCTTCTTCGCAACCTCATGCAGGTGAACTCCGCCTGGTCAGCGGCTGTTAGACACGCTTTGATCGACGGTCTGGAGGACTTGTCCACGCTGGTTCAGAGATTGAACGACACGTACGAGACGGATGAAACAGATTGGTGCACAATGGCGCAGCAAGTCCTGGCCACGTTGTGCACATTGGGAGGATTTAAAGAGACTGTGAGACCCGGTTGCATTGCAATGGTAAGGATTGAGGTTATTTTCTTGAAAGACCAGTTGAGTTATCATTTTGAGACGATTTATCAACCCTACCTGAAGATATTTTGCATTTGACTCCAGGGCCAGTTGTGTAAGCACATCCATCTCTATCTAGCTTTCGTGTAATCCTGTGCGTACCCTGGAGTTTGTTTTTAATCCTAGATTTGTGGCGAAGGTTTACGGCAGAGCAAATGTCGTGTATTGTCCGTCTCCTCGGAGCAGGATAACGCACAGATTGTTATCGAAGACGATGGAATCCTGGACGATGGAATTTATGTTCCTAAACATTCCTTCACCGTTCCTCTAAACGTTCTTAGTGTTCCTCGGGAGCAGGTGAGGCTTGAAGATGCTCTATTTGAGGAAGAATCGTGCTCGGAATTAATCTAGGCATAACGAGATGGATAATTAGATAAAGGAAGAGTAATTGAGTGTTTTGTTTTCATTATAAACCAGGTGCTTCCGTTCAACGACGAATTACTTCACGACAAGTTGATCACAGCTATTGGAAAGGTTTTGGAAAATAACACGACGCTGGAATCCCTCGGAACTTTGTTTGCAAACAATGATTCGGACCTGGAAATATTACGAATCCTAGCTGAAGTCAAAACCAGGTATCCGTATGACACGGCGAGACCCGATGTTTATACGAGTTTATCTCTCTGCAACATTTTTCACGTATCAATAATGTTTATACACTGGCCATAAAACCCAATAAATCAACTTGCGCGTAGCCAGCTTATCAAGTAAACTAACAAGAATGAGTAGTCTTTAGTTCAGATGATAGTTAAAACGTTTCATGCAAGATAGATTTTATTTCCTTGTGGAGATATCTCTCTGGACTCTGGAGCTCTTGGATCGTATCAAATCGTAACAGCTAGAATGATGAATTTAATAAATAACTCTCAATCATCTTAGTAGGAAGAATTTACTTCCCGCGAGCCACGTCGATGTATGATTAATCGATGGCCTTGATGTTTTCATCGTTTCAGAGTATTCGCTCTCCTGGATGCATATCTCGACGATCACAATGTCGCTCACACACTTTTGGAAACATCTCCTGACCTTCTGTCGAATTTGCTACCGTTGGCGCACAGCCTGGACCCTGGGGAGAGACAGGTTGTGATGGAAAACCACTGCGAGGAACTGCGGGCGCTGTTCAAGGAATACGTGAGACCGATACACCACGAGTATTCGACGGACAAGAGACGATCGAGCTTGCCGTGTCAGTTCGACATCACGCGTGAATTTCCGATCGTGTTCGGGTGCGTGTTTTCGCGTGAGCTCACCTCCGTGCACTACGTTTGCGACCCTCGTGATAACGTGTCAAGCAAGCAACCACGTGGGGCTCTTATCTTCTCTGATAAACCATTTCTTGAGCGAGTAAGTTTCCGAAGCTATAAACTTCTGAAGACGATTTTAGCACTCAATTCTGGGAATAGAATTTCTTTTAACGCTTTTCAAATTGTGAATATTTCCAAATTTGAACGGTTATAGTCTTTTAAATTTTAATACTACCCCGAAAGGAAGTATTTCTCTCTCTTCCTGAGGCTTATCAATACATACGGTTATCTAGGCTAAGTCATATTACTGGGAAGCAGATATTGTGTCATTGGGCGAAGGTGAAGTCACGGAGTCAGGTCCATTTCTATCGTTTGGTTTCATGCCCAACTGTTCCCCTACCGACACAGCATGGACGATTCCCCCCGGGAGCTGTCTTATACACAGTACTGGCCGTGCCGTACACTACGAGCCGGGTGGACCGCTCTCCTGGAGTTCTGTTGCACTCAATCTGAGCATGCGCGAGCATGACGTCATAGGCTGCGGTTGGGAGAGGCTTGAGCCTGCAGAGGACCAGGGCAGTTCACGTGCCTTGGGCAGAGTTTATTTCACTCGGAATGGTAAACGTTTGGCCGAAGTGTTGGATGGAATAAGTTCTGGTCTCTATCCTGTTGCCCACATTCAAAAGAAGGTTAGTCTAGTCTTTTTGAAGGAAAGTTAGTTTAGTTTAGGTTCATCCTCCTGTAGTAACACTGGATCAATAAGAATTTATTCTTCTTTAAAGAACATCCGTGTGTTGGTGAACTTTGGCTCTCGTTCATTCCGTTATCAAGAAGCGAACAGTCAGAGAGTGTCTCAGGAAAGTATTGAAAGCATTTCATTGGAAGAGGTTCGCGCGAATTTGGCAGAGTTGCCTTTTTGCGATTGTAGTGAGTCTGACGAACAGGAGGAGATTATTGATGATCCCCGAGGAGGAGTGAGAGGAAGTGAAGGTAGGTCACGGTGGTGTTAATCCTGGTTATGTGTGGATTATGATGGTGACGATTATGGTGGTAGTTATGAATATTTGTGGTGATAAAGATGATATTGGTGTTTTCCGACCTTTCGAGGATGGGGCTGGTAATAGTATTGATGATTATGATAATATTGATAATTATGATGACATCGTAATGATGATGATTATGATGGTGAGGCTGGTAATAGTATGGATGATTATAATAGTATTGATAATTATGATGATGGTCATATTCAGGTACAATAGACCAACCTGTTTCATCCAAGAGAATTGACGAATCTTTAAACAGCAGAATGGAAGAACAAGAATACGACTCAAATATTTCCCAACTTGAGTTTCTATCGAGTAGCTACGACCAGATGTTAGACAACGGTCCACCCAAATACATGACCCCAGATGACGAGGACACCAGCCATGGACAGAGGAAACCCAGGCAGGTATGCAAAGATCCCAGAAGCCTGCTTGTCAAGTCCTGGGAGTCCAAAGTTTTTCCAACCATACGTAGACGATTTCGCAGCGAGGCTGACAGACGCTCAGGCCTGGAGCAGATCAGAGGCGCTCTAATGGAAGGTGAGTTCTTTCTTATAGCTCTGTTAGTCCTTTTCTGTATTCTCACGTTGGTAAAATGCGATTTTGACCGGCATCCTCCCAAGGATTGATCGACATCGCAATATCAACTGTGGAGGATCTCTACGAGGACAGCGGTGGATTGCCAAACTCCCTGGTGTTTCCTCGCATCGAAGACATCGAGGCAGAACTTGATAAGACCACCGTGCAAGATCTTCGTCAAGCGATGACCGTTCAAATCATCTCACCTTCGGTCGAAGCATTCCCAGAGTACGCTGTGCCTGCGATGAAAAAGACGTTTGGATTGTGCGGAGTTGTCCACGAAATAGACAAGGTTCCGTATATCAATAATCGAGCTTTTTTCTTCCTTTAATCGTTCCATTGAAAGAACTTTCTCATAATCACCTTTCTAATTATACTAATAAGGAATAACACGACTTCTTTGTTAGTAGAAGTTGAGTACAATGAGTGTGAGTGAGCTTTTTAAATGCAGGCGTTAATTTCTTGATCTTCTCCACCAGCGCCAAGAGTTGGTTCTCGTTGATGTTTATATCCGTGACGAAGGTTCAGTCGTACGATATTGGTACCCAGTTCACGCTGTGAAGCCCCAGCCGCCGGCGTTCGGTCGGCTGTCGTCGTTAACCTTCGTAGATCAAGAGAAGGCAAGTTTCGAGATTTACACGGAGCTGTGGAATTGCGAGAGGACCCTGGCCAGAATGTACGTTCGCTCCGCTGCGATAAAATTACTCGAGAGTAAACAGAAATTACACATCGAGAAACAAGGTTGGTTAGAGTAGGACGGATACGTTTGAGACACAAACCACGACAGCTTATTGTAAAATACTAGTTGTAGAATATTACCTACATCAGGCAAATATTATTTTCTTACGACACACAGGTATTTGTAACCTGGAAACAAGTTTAGACCAGATAACTTTACTTACTGGACATCATCTACGCGACGCACAATCAGATGGCAAAATCACAGCCCGTTACATCGCAACGACCTCCACCTTAAGAGAAGGTCTTAAAGTTGCGACATGCTCCCCAATGGCTGTGTTCTTCAAAGATGAACACGTATTACGAACCGTGATCTCACGTCTTGTGTTGTCCTGCATGCGTGATGGCGAGAAGATGGAATATGTTGGCGAAAAGCTGTGCGCTGTTTTGAAAAACAAAGTCGTACTCCGTCAAGACCAATACGAGGTGTCGAATGTGAAATTTCGCAAAGATGTCCATTTGGAGAACGTCGCTGTAACGTCCGTGTCTTGTCTTGGAACAGCAGACTATTTCATGCCGAGGTTAGTTCCTGTGCTTCGAAACTGAGCAAGATTATCTCTTATTGATCCAGTGTTACTACAGGAGGAAACCTAAACTAAACTAACTTTATTTATACTTGATAGCTCTATCAGTTCTAAACTGCTCTTCCTAGAGGTCCAGTAAGGACCATCTCTTATTGATCCAGTGTTACTACAGGAGGAAACCTAAACTAAACTAACTTTATTTATATTGGATAGCTCTATCAGTTCTAAACTGCTCTTCCTAGAGGTCCAGTAAGGATCATCTCTTATTGATCCAGTGTTACTACAGGAAGAAACCTATATTTTTGTTGTTCTAGAATACGAGTACCTTGCGTGGAACTTTTTGGGTACTTTGGAAGACGACGTCTTACCAAAGATGGCAACGTGGATAAGTACAAGTTAACGCATTATCCTGATTTTGCTGGTCATCATGTCAACTACTTTGGCGACGGGAAGAATTGCCTGAACCCCGAACAACTTCTGCCGGCCAACCGCTTCCATCTTCGTCTCGGATCCAGCAACGTCAGAGGTCTTATATTGCGGCTCACTGGCATACCTCAGGAGTTGTTGATGTGTCTGAGTTTCATCGAAACATTTCTAGATGTTTTCTCGACGGGTGACGGCAAAACGGACGAGGGATGTAAACTAAACCAGGGCATCGAGTCTCTCCCGTGCTTCGGCGAGATGCTGGAGTTGTTGCAACGATTTCTAATCACATCGACATTGTCTCCGTTCATACGCGAGCTGGTCTTTCACATTCTTGCTCAAATCTTTCGTTTGCTTGCCAGAAATGCGCCTCCAGATCGCCTCCAGTTCTATTATGAAACATCCTTGAACTTTCTGAATTCTCTGAAGAGCGAACTTTTCAAACTGATGGAGAAAGAGGTTTCGATTTCCCGAGTGAACGCTTTGGAGTACGTGTTGAATTGTAATTTTGAGAAGGTCAAGTTCTCCTCGTATCTTCAGTCTCTTCTAGAACTTGTCCTCGCCGCTGTTGAGGTACGCAGGAGGATAGGAGGGACGGATTCTGGGGACTCACCGCGACAGAAAGGTACATTGTGGGATACACCTTGTGAGGACGTGAGTGATCAACAAACCACAGTTCAGGTAAACATTTGACCTCTAGAGATTTCAAATGTGTGCAAGATCTCCAGTAATTTAGCTTAGAGTTTATTTGTTTTAATTTTCAAACGTTAGGAGGATAGTGAGGTGGATGTTCCTGCATCAACATCAAGTAATCTGAGTATTCAGGTCTATTCTGGAGGAAGTGAGAACCCAGGCTCTTTCATTCCATTCTTTGCCTCCCTTCCTGTGATGAACGAGAATCAACGTTTTGCTGCTGCTGGAGAAAATGCTCAACGATCTGCAAGGTTTGTGTCACGACCCACTTTGAAACTCTCAGTTCACTATTGAGAGAGAGTCTGTCGAATAAAGTCTGGTGTAAGCTTCTTTTCGGACGATAATTCTCTCCAGCAAAATGGCAAATGTCGGCGAGTTTGCGCTAAAACAACATCGTAGTTATTGCTAAAGCTTTCTAAATACCATCTTATTTCTTCTTCTACGTCTGCAACAGGCTGCTCGATTTCTCGTATTGAAGAACAACCAGCGATTAAATTTTCATATTTCGCATTTCTTAGGGCCCAGTCCTTGCGACGTCAACGTTTTCGCGAACGCAAAAAACGAAGTTCAAAGAGAGCCTCGTCCCAGGAACCCGACGCCAAGGGTGGTGAAGAGAGATGCAATCAGAATCCGCCGTGGTTTGAGAAGCTCGTGACCACGTTAGCCGTGCTACGCCATTTGATACGAAACGAAAGCTGCGGAAGGGACGTGGCATTAGATGCCCTGGGTACTAGTCTCGTGTTCCCATCCATGGCCTGGGATCGAGTTATTGTTGTCACCAACATTCCGTCAAGCGTCAATATTGATCTGGTTGTTCAAGGTTTGTGAAAATATTCATGATCCGTTTTCATTCATATCTGGTAGTTTTAGTAGTTTAGACACAATAGAGGGTGTATTTTTAATATAGATTTATAATAAATGCAACAACTTCGTGTTTTTTTTTTCATCATCCAACTCTCCAGGTATCACAAAGGCATCTCGTTCAGCCGGGGGAGTTCTGCCCGATGACGGGATATTTTTGGAAGATGAACCAACCATAATCAGGCCGCGTGGAGACGTAGAGACCGGAAACCAGTCTTCATGTGACCAACCGGTGCCATCGTACAGATCAGCCGTCGTTCAGCTTCGCACGAGCCTGCAGATAGACCGCGTCCGGCAGCGGTTGCAACAGGAGAAAACCTTGACCACTGGCAGTTCATCGGAGACCCCTCTTCAGGTCCTCAAGGTGAACGCTATGCTTCTATTCGAAGGTGGATGGGCCGTTACGAAGGCGTGTCAAACATGGGAGAATTTTCTTCAAAACAAACTGCTCGACACTTCTGATTCCTTCACTTCCAAAGCCTCGAATTCTCTGAGAGAAATCTATTTGAGCTGCCACTTCACTTCGAGAATCACAGCTGAGGAGAAGGGAACTGAGGACAAAACGTCGCGCAAAGGTCATGGGGACGAAAATGACGTCGTCGTAGACGTCAGCACCATTCTCCTGTCCGCGTTAGACATTGCTGACGCAATTGCGGGAAACCTGATGTACGTGTTTCTGAAAGTTTTACGTGAGAGAACAAAGCTGGGGAAAGATGAAGTGATGGATATCATAAAACAATATGGATGCTATGAACCTGGCAGCGAGGATGTCTCAAGCCCAACGTTTCTTCATTTTGATGGATTCCTGCGTTGTGTCAAGGAAAACGTTAAAACTGACAAGCGAATTGTGTGGAAGGCGTTTCAAGCTTGTGGATATGACTTCAACCATCAAAGGTAGGATTCTTTTGAGGCTGTTCTGAGGGTAGACCGTTCAGGCGTTTGTTTCTTCCTTAGTTGTCAAATGTTTGCCCAGAGGTGATATATGGATGATCTCTGCCCCTGTGGGCTGTGTTTTTTAGCGAGGTCAAACTATAACCGTTCAATTTTTCCCATCGCAGATCCACTGAAATATTCCAAGGCGACGTGGAACGAGAACACAAGAGATGGAGTTTGGAAGACGATAAAATCTTGATCAAATTTATCGATAATATTTCTAAGAATCTTTCAGCTTCACCTCAACGTCTCAATCCCGAGGAAATCTTCCTGGAAAGCGATTTAACTAATCCTTGCTTTGCATCACTGAAGCGTAAGTCTCGTTGAATTGATGTTGTTTGTTCTGTTTTATAACCAGTTAAGTCTTCAGCATGTTTTCATATTTTTTTCAGAGTTTTCACGGCGAAGTATTGGTTCAAGATTTGTTCTTCACAAATACCTCAATCAGTTCGTTCAGCGGTTGGTTCTTCCGGTCGTAGACCTCCGAGTCTCGAGGACGCACCGTCTGAGCACGGGGAGCTTGCTCACCTCGGCGAAAGATCTTTTGTTTAGGAATACTAAGATAAGCGAGTTGAATCGCGTGCTTGATTTGTCTGCTCAGCGTACGGCTGACGACCCATCACCAGAGATATCACTTGACCCTCTCGAGAGTATTGAGGGTGGGTATTGTGTCGGGCCTTTTTGCAGGCTAGATATAGATAGTCTGATGTCTAAACTACTTGAGAAGGGTATTTCAAACATTGTGATCCAGTGTGGTATTCTACAATAAGCTGTCATGGTTTGTGTCTAAACTACCAGTGTATTTCTTTCCATTTCTAGCGTCCAAAGTCGCCGACACGGGCCCACAGTTCCACCAAGTTGCCAAACAGTTGTCCAAAGTTTCTTCCGCAAAACTTCGTGTTAAGGTGGCAACCGGAGGTGATCCTTCGTTTCCTCTGCGAGTCATTCTTCGAGGTGAACAAGTGTTGGGTCTGGGTGGGGCGTATCGTCATTTCATGTGGATCATGGCCCGTGAGGTGCAGAGCAGCCATCTTGGATTGTTGATCCCCTGCCCCAGTGCCGCGGCCAACAGAAACAAAGTATGTCGAATCTCGTGTCCTTAATCTCCTGGCGATTCTCCATCGTTGTTCACAAGATTGGGAGCTTGTTTTATGAGCTGTCTTCCATTGAATGAATTTATTTCTTCCTAGGGAAAGTACATCCTTCGTCCTGGTCCGATGACTTTATCTGAACGCCAGATTCTCGTGTTTTTTGGGCAGGTAGGTGTTCTATCCCTTTTGATCAAATCCTAGAAGTGTTAAAAGTGTTATGATAAAGTTTGGAGTCCAGTTTAGGTTCTTGGAAAGGTTCTGGGCAACATACGACTTTATGGCAATGGTTGTTTTGAGAGTGAATAAATTTATTTTCATTCCAGTTGTTGGGTATTGCACTGCGGTCAGACATACCGTTGGCATTGGACATTCTTCCGTCATTTTGGAAAAGTATTCTTGGCCTTCCTCTGTCCGAAGTTGATTTGCACGACGCTGATATCTTGACGTACAACTACATACGACGTTTGTCAGAGGTACTCGAACGACCTTATTCATCAACGTAGGCTTGTAGAATAGCATTTCATGGTGCAATACCTGAGTGTTAACATTTGTTTTAGATCTCGTTCAAAGAAGATTTTGAGAGGTTGTGTATGGAAGCAGATATTTCTGGCACTCGATTTGTTTTTACATCGCTGAATGGAGAAGAGGTTTCACTTTGTCCTAATGGAAACGATTTGTTAGTCACGTAAGAATATGCGGAAGTTTGCGGAGATGTTCAGTTCTTTGGAAAGAACTGAGAACTGATTAACTTTATCTCATTCTTCCCCTTGTTTAGTTGGGAGAACCGCTTAGAATACGCGAAAGCCGTTCTAGAATATCGTTTGAAAGAACTCTCGTGCGAGGCTCGAGTGTGCGCCATTAAGACAGGTCTCGCCACTGTTGTTCCAATTCATGTCTTAACCATTTTGAACCCGAGCGATCTGGAGATTCGCACTTGTGGTATACCCAATGTTGATATTGACTTCTTAAAGGTACATTTGAGCTTTTTGAAACCTAGAATATTGCGCAGTGATTTTTAAGGATGAATTCTAACTCCTTGCCATGATAACAGGTTCACACAACTTACGTAGCTGGTGTTAGAACAACAGACAGACACATCGAGTATTTTTGGAACGCGTTGGAAAGTTTCTCGAAGGTAAACAACATTCACTGGTCACGCGGTGGTGTGATGCAATGATGATTAATTTTTACTGCCTCCTTCTTCTCAGGACGAGCAACGGAAGTTTATAAAATTTGCTTGCAATCAAGAACGTTTGCCTGGAAGATGTTCGTGTCAAGACGGCTCAACAGACCTTCATGTTCCACCTTATCCCATGAAGATTGGACCGCCCGATGGCAGAGGTAGGATTTAAATATAAGTTGATATACGATAGACAAATAGGGATGAGAATTTGATGTGAGAGGATGGAAGTCGGCCAGTGTTGATATTAGGGAGTATATGGGGATAAATAGTGATAGGTGTTGATAGAGTTGGATCGAGGTGTGGGTAGGAGTTAATAAAAGTGGTTAGGAGTTGGTGAAGGTGGATAAGAGTTGATATATATAGTGGGAGAATAAGAGGACATCAGTGGTTGATTGAAAAGTGAACGAGACTATGTTTAAATGGCTGAAAATTTCAATTGACAGGTCCACCAGATTTGCGATATATCCGCGTGGAGACGTGTATGTTTATGGTGAAACTACCGCGATACACGACGCAGAATGTGATGAGAGAGAAATTACTGTACGCCATTAACTGTCGCGAGGATCCGCTGACCGACTTCAGATAACATGGTTTGCACATGCATTGCACGTTTTATATTTGAAATTTTAATAATCTGCGGTTTTAAACAGAATAAATTTTAATCTATTTAACTTATGAAAAGCGCAAAGAATGTAAATTATTTCGACAAATTTTAAGAATTAAATGTTTATTTTTATTTATTCAGTTAACAGGCGTTTTATAAGTCTCAAATTGTGGATGCGAAGAAAATAAAATTACTCTTAATCTTTATTCGATATAAAAAACTTAAACACACAGTAAAGATTTCCTCAATATAAAACAATTTTAATTCTCTTGCATAAAAATACTCTGTAGATATTTACAAATTAAAAAAACAGGTTCGCATGCTATAATATACAACTACAATAAATATTGTTGACAGCAACAAAACGGAACGAATATATAAATGAAGCATAATATTAATAATTGTACGAGAGGGTATTTCACTCAACGTAAAGTCAGAACTCAAACAATTCCACGAACAACATGAAAGTCAATTTTATACAAAATAATCCATGTGTTTCTACGAAGTGCAATTTATGAACATTCAGGTGAGAAAATAGAACAACAGAGGAACACCCTTTGTATTACGCAAGCACTAAACTAAACAATAATAGTTCTCCTTTAAATGAAAGGTCTTTTTTGAAACCAGTTGCCCTAACAAAGTAGATCGTGGAGCAACAACAACGAGAACAACAAGCTTCATATTCTTCAAAGAGCTCCAGTTTTCATTTCTCGATGCAAAATTCTTCCCAAAACATGTCCACACGCGGGATAAGATAAGGCGATCAGCTTGCATCGCTCGCTACCGCTTGTGCAGCGATGGCTTCTAACAAGGTATCGACCTTCTCCGTATCGTCATTTGGAGCTATGGTACTCTCTTCTGGATTCTAAAACAAGCAAAGTTTGTATGAATATTTTTGACATTTTAAGAGCAAATCGCACATCTGCTTTAGACGTAGGTGTGCCATCCTAGACGAGAGGTTCATCCCTTGGGATAATTTAATCTTTGCCATAAATAGACTCAAGTAGAAATCATTGAACTTGACTAAGTTTTAATATTCTTTTTCATACATTCAAATACACGACGACTACCTCGTTTAATGCTCGGATCAACTTCGCCGCCGTCCGCCGTAGGTTCGACAACGTCGTCTTGTACTCGGATTCACGTCTTTTCGACTCGGCTAACTCGCTTTCCTGTTCAGAAAGTTTCTTGGAGAGAACACTCTTCGTTTTCTCGTCCATAATCTAAAGAACAAGAATGGTAAGTTATATTTCTCAGCAGTTTGAAACACAAATACATAGCAGAAGTAGAGATTTCGCTTACCGTCCTCATACTGTCGCTGTGAACATCGAAAAGTTTATCCTGCAAATGTAAACAATGTCAATGAGTTGTTTTACAAAACCATACTCAGAACGGCTCATATTTCTAAAGGCCTGTTTACATGAGTCCGGTTTCCCTGAGATTCAAGTGTGATGATTTCGAGGTATTAAAATAGGCTTTCATGAAACCAAGCAAGCACATGAAATGATTAACCACTATTATCGAGGGTGAAGTTATGCTTAGTATTACCCACCAGTGGAAAGTTCAGTAATTCTTCTAAGGACATTGTCTCCAGTTGATAACCAGTGGTTGGAAACTCTGGCACTAATATATATGATATACAAGACCTGAAAATAATATGTTAAAAGGTGTGAATATGTCCATTTTAGCCTGGGTTAGATTTTGAAAGCAGGATGATTGAAACTTTATCGATTTTGAGAGGACTGTTTTGATTGTCCTTAGAACGAACCTCAGCATCTTATCTAGAGAAATGACTGTGTCTTCCAAGGAGGTGCCAGTTGAGGGAGATGATATGGAGCCTGGTTTACGAGGCGATGGTGAAGGCATATCAACTGTGGTTGTACTAGAAGGTGTGGTAGACGATGGTGAATTATCCATGGCGTCCTCTGTCATTGGGTAATCCTCCTAAACACACAAATGAGACGAACGTTAACAAAGAGCATTCCTGCTGAGCCTGGATCTCGTCCTGTTACAACGACCATGCAGTGAGTACATAACCACTTGTTATTGCCATGTTTCAACTCACATTCAGTAATTTCAGTTCGTCGTTTGTCTCATCATACCTACGAATAGAAAAAGAAATATCAGCTTTTGAGCAGATAATAAGCTCGATATTACGACAAACAGTCTACAACGTACAACGAAGCCTTACCATTTATCAAATTTATCTTTCTGGTAATTGTCAAATTTCACTTTCACTTTGGCGGGCGAGTTTTTAGAATGTTTCACGGCGACAACTTTTGCGAAATACCTGGAAGAGAAAATCACGCATTGCTAAGAACGTGAGGGTCTCGTGAGCGAATCATTTCAACTGTTTAAAGATCTTTAGGGTCCACAGTCTCGTTCCTTTTTATGTTGTTAAAAACCTTCAACGTACTCACCATCTTGGCTTGATGAACACCTCAACTTTACTTCCTTTCTTGTCTAAAATACAAATGTTTAAGGTGTTTATTTGAAACAAAAAGCACAATACAGGAATCAGGCAAAACAGAATTTAGTTTTGAATACGTGTTCATCAATTGTTGAAACTGTGCTTACATTTGGATAGTTTTGATTGAACGACTGCATCATCGTTTTGTGTGTTTTCGCTGTTATCAGAATGACATTCTTCTGGTTCTTGGATGTCCTGAGTACGGAAATGAAAGTGTGAATTTGAGCAGCAAAAGTCTAACAAATAAACTTGGCTAGTTTAGTCTCAATCTACACACTGCTAGAATTCACAAGATACCTGCGTTGAGGTGACTTCCTCTCTTTTCCGTTTTAGTGGTACCTCGAAGACCTACAGTGGAAAGTTATATCATCATGAATGCTGGCTGTTTAGAGGCAAACGAACACAGGCCTACGAGTAATGTGCTGTAATATTTTTTCAACAGGACGTTTGTTTCACAAACCACACCACATACTTCTTTCTCTGCCACGGGATGTTCTCGTTTGTTTGAGCTGGTCACGGATGATCTGTTTGTGTGGCTACTGTCAACTGACGTCCGTCTCGCTATGGGTGTCTAGTGAAAACAATTTCAGACCATAAGTTGTTGGTATTTAAGGAAACGAGGTTGGTGTTCAGAGCTTACCAGTTTAGCGGTTGGTTTCGTGGTACTTTTAACTGGAGCGGAAATCGTTCTCGTGAGCTGTTTTGGTGATGATAAAGAGACTTGCTTTGGAGCTGGAGTTCGTTTTGTTGCAGCAGGTGGAGGAGCTTGCTTCGGTGGCGCTCTTTGTGTTTGTTGAGAGATGAGTCTCAGAGATGCCTGTGCAGCTGATCTTGGCGGTGGCTGGGAGACAATCTGTTTAGGAGTGCTGGGTTTAGTCGCCGGTTTCTCAGTGCGAGCAGAGATCGTGGAGTTTCTTGGCGGTACCTGAGGGAGAAGAAACGATTGTAGTTTTTTCTCAGCCTGGAGACATTGGGTTGAAGCAACCAGCACTACCTCAAGCACCCGTTTGACCTGCACTGGATCTGTCGTGTCGTTCTGCCATTGTTTCGATCGTCCCTATAAGTTTAAGAGAGAGAGAGAGATATACAGTACATTAAATAGTCCAAAATAAAAACTCCAGCCATCATGCCTGGCTGTGCAGGGGTCATCATGCCTGGCTCTGCAGAGGCAAACTGCTCTAGATATCTGCTAAACTCAACTCACGTCTAGCTGATTGAGCTGTTCCTTCTTCTTCTTGATATCCGCCATCAACTCCCTCTGTTTCTCCTCTGTCGTCTTGGTCTGCTTCTGAAGAGAACCAACCGGGGTGATGGACTTCTGTTCTGGAGCAGAACACCTTCACGAGAAAACGAAACAACGCATGAGCGATTGAATACAGCGAAGTACGGCACAGGTACGCCAGGCATCTTACTTGTTTCGTTCATGATCATTGCTCATAGAGCACGTCCATTCGTCCTCGAAAGTTCTTCCAATATTTTTCGCGGAGAAAGGCAGAGTTCTCCATTTCAGGCAGTTTGCTGTGACCGAAATTTAAACAATTGTAATGAACTCATAAAACCCCATACATAAACCAGATCCAAGATCTAATCCTAACTTAATCTCAAGGATTAAATTCGTGTCGTCTAAACCAGTGGGAATAAATGAGAAAATTACCGCATTGCACTGTGCACGGAAGCTGCATGGCTCGCTTTCTTAAGTACTTGGCTTCGTCCGAAGGTTCCTCTGCAATATCGTTGGAGATGTACCCAAAATTGTCCCAGAACGAATCGACACTTTTCTCTGTATTGAAATGTTTTCATGAGTAAATTAGGTCAATCTTTTCTCAGCAAGTGCTGTATATTGCGAGAACGACCCGCAGAAAAATAGCGTATGGAATTAAGAAGTGTACAACAGAAGAACGTATTAAAGCACAGCTCTTTTTTTGTAGTCGAAAATAAAACAAACAGAGGTCCTTCATAGAATAAATATTGAAGACGAGCATAGTGTTTCAAAAGAGCGACTTCAGACAAGTGCCTTCTTGATGTTTTACTTAATCTTTGCTCCTATTCATCAAAGGATACCCTGACATATAACATATATTGAACTAACCGTTCAGACCACTGTCTTTCCAATACTGCCCGAGATGTTCCCCCATGGAGCGAAGAAGATGCTTGTATTCCTGAAGTGTAGAAGAAACTTGAATATGAGAATTTGAAAACGAGCGAATGAAAAAAGAATCCCTTCCTTTGAATTCGAAAACAGATTTCGGTAAAGCCGTCGTCGACTTTCATTTTTAAGAAGTATCTTTCCAACCTTTGCATCAGCGAAGTCTTGCTTATTGTGGGTTGGTTCCAAGACAAGATACGGCACATCGACAAAACCTATCGAGATTCAAACATCAGTTGCAAAGGCATTTTCTTGCAAAGTTTTTCTCAAAGAAAGCTCCGACGCGGAGGAAGAAATTGATCTTACCTACTATTCCTGCATATGCCCTAAATAAACAGAGAATATTATAAGTTTGGAACTGTCAAAGCTATTGCTGAGTTGAAACTTAGTTGTCCACAGATGAAAACCTGGCTTCTCATACGAACCTCAGAATCCTAAAAGGTGTAATTTAACTAAGCTCAGATCTCGGAAATGAGACAAACCTTTTGCCGTCAGATTGAAAACTTGATTTCTCGTACATTTTTATCAATCTGTAATATTGGGAAAGACGATTTTGGACTACTTATGTATTGACGAAAAAACGAAGAATCGAAAACAAAAGATCAAGATTGGCTGGCGATGTCTAACCTGTTGCAATTATAGACGAACATGCCGTAGGAATGTCTACGATTGATGTTGAAACCGAACGTAAAGGTCAGAGTTTTCGGTTCTTTTAGCGATCTAGAAAGAGTAAAAGGAGTTGGTTTGTGGCAAGCTAATCTAGAGTCGCGCATTGGAATATGGAAGATATGACGGCGGGTTAAAAGACTTGAAAAAATTAGTTTAGTGTTTGAGGAGTCGTGGATGAAGTGATGCCGTCACAGATTTACATGTTTAGAAGACTTGGAGTGTTGAAATGCCTGGCAATGAATGGCGATGCTTCTCAAAATCAAATCTCCGCGAAGTGAAAACACTACTCTCTTTCTTTCTTTCTGTTTTAAATGGTAAGGCGATGGTAAGTTTTCGAAGGAATGACAATATGATATTTCTTCTTACTTCTGTTTTGTACTCGCAATTTGATTCTTCATGTCAGCTTCAGTTCTTGCCTTAAGGGCGCTGTCCTGTGCTTGGCGTAGCCTTGCCTACGACAAACAAATATTTCTAATAAAACCTCCGCATTCTTGCAGGCCAGTAAAATCATCTTCACCATTTCTCACCCTAGATTCTTTGGAGATGCCCTGGTCATCCTGTTGCATTTCCCTGGGAAAAAACAAGGCACGAAACCCTTAATAACAGGCGTTGTGAAGGTGTCGCAGGCTTGCGAGAAAAGAACACAGATGAAGAGGTAAGCAAAAGAATGGTTATAGTAGAATTACTTTGCAATTGTCTCCAACTCTCTGGCCTTGTCAGCGGCTGAATAAGATCGCAAACAATTGAGGTTAGTAAATAGAACGAATTACTTCAGCTGTACTGCCATCTAGTGGTCCCAGAATCTCCCCACCCCACCCCCACAAGCATCAAGGTTGTTTCCTTAGATTATGGTCCTAGACCTGCTAAACCCTTGTGCTAAACCTCAAGTCTTATTGCGCACCTGATTTTGCCTCCACCAAAGCCTTATTCGCCTCGCGTTCCGAACGAGTTTTGAATCGTTTTGACGTGAACAAGTAGCTCCTTGGCTTGTACAAACCATCTCCCAGTCTTCGCGTGAGCACTTTCTTCCCCTGAAATAGTTTTCAAATCACCATCTTGTGGTCAAAATTCACCACCAAAGCTTCACTCTGCCGGCTTTATATTACCTGGATGTAAATCTTCATTCTTGGATCCAGATACAAGATAGCGCTGTAGGCACGGAAGGACTTTCGTTCAGGCATAATGCTGGTTGAAAAAAACACCCCAAAACCATTGAACTTTAGTTTACAAATGATCTAGGCGCCCCAGTAGGCTTTGAGACGAGTTAGAAGCATTCATTTCTCAAAAGCTCCTCGCTACCTTTTGTCATCAAGATTCTCTTCATACAACTCTCGCATTACGATATCATCTTCGGACGGCTAAAAATGAATTTTATCAGTGCAGGCTGAATTAAACTCTGTGAGCACTTTACAATAATACTCTATGCTATTAGTTTTTTTACAAAAATTGCGATATTAGCTGCTTTTCCAAACTCTATATCTTTCATTACCCCTCCAAAAGGAAACCGGAGTGTCCCGAAAAGCGTTAGAGAAGGCTTTAAATTCATTGTAGTTTCTACCTCAAGTTCTGTTTCCCCCGAGTCCAAAAGTTTCATGTTGTAAACCATAACTAAAGTCCCTGTTTTGTGAAAAGACAATAGACAGTAATCAGACGCGAAGTCAAATAGAAAGTTAACTCGTGTTTGTTTACAAAAAACATCCAATAGTTTACCTTTAGATTCGATTTTGTCGAAATACTTAAAGAGCTCTGACTCGGATTTAAAAGGAGAATATTTCAGAATCACTTGCAGCTCGGTTTGATGCTAGAAAAAATAGAACTCTTGATCGATATATTGCAGTATTTTAGTAAAATCTCTGAGTTTTTTAGCAACGGATCTGATTGCAGCAATATTATTTAGTTCAATTATATTTTTTCATCCAAGATACCTTCTCTAGTTCTCGTTTCGCCCGACTAAGAGGTTTCCTCGTTGCTACATCCCAAGATGGAATCGGCACGACTACCTACAGGAGAACACGATTGGATTGAAAGAGTTCAGGTCCTACTAGTGTATGCTCTTATTCTAATTTTCTTTCCTCGAGGGATCGACTTACTTCGTTAATCCCCTCCCGTTCATGAAAGGTTCTTGACAAGAACAGACAACTCATCGTGCCATGCCTGGGTGAAAGTTGCAGTGAGTGTTTGGTAAATTTAGTAGAAGATAAAATAACGAAGGAGAGAGCCGTTCGAGAAGGCGAATGGTTGCATTTGTACCGAGAAAGAAAGATTGGACGATCGATGAACAGAAGTTGTGATAAAAAATGAAAATTTTAAGAAAGGTTTAGCAAGAGAATCACAAAGAGAATGATTTGATGAGAAGAATGTATCGAATATCAATGAAATGTTTAAGAAATATTCAGGAATGAGAGAATGACAAAGGAGAATGATTTGACGTGTGAGAAGAGTGTGTAATATCTGAATAAAATGACAACTTTGTAAACCTCATCTTGGATCGAAACTTACTTCTTTGTAAACATAATCATGTCTTTCGCGATACGCATTGAGCCACTGTAACAAGAGAAAGTTGAGTTATATCTTCGTATTCTCATCTCTTCTTTATTTCTGAAGGTGCTGTACTTACGACTTCAAACCGTTTCCATATTGTCCGATCATTTTCGAGTCCATCACGCGTTTCGTTGACCGCCCGAACTGGATAACATTCGACACCTCGGCTGAAAAGGACACGCACAATTTTTTTACCATCCAGAAAACAATTACAAACGGAATCAACAATTGCATCATTTTTCAGCGAAAATACCAATAAAATATAACACTTCACATACTAGGATCCATTCCCTCGCCGTCATCGCAAAAACACAACAAGTATTTGCCGAGGACGTTATTATTGGGAACTGAAAGAAATAATTGTCGGATGTTAAACCATCAAACGGAAGAAACATTTCAATAAAGTGCTGAGGCACAAATCCTCGATCATATTGCCTTTAGATGGCAAACTCAAGCGGATTTAAAGAGATGCCACTTCTTAGCAACAAAGAAATCAGAATACTCCTATTTCTTCAACGTATGTAAAATATTTTCCACGATGAGAACGAGACGACGTTGACTTGGCAAAATCCACAGCCGCGAATTGAACTTTCACGAAAAATACTTGAATGAGAACTGCATTGATATAATGCTTTAGGAGAGTGGAAAAAAGTTGGCACAAATGCGTTGTCGTTATCTTTAATACGAAGGAAATTCGATCTTTTTTCTTTTTTGAACTGTTTTGTAGTCGCCAAGGAAACACGGAACTTTTAAATGTCTACAACCATCAACACTGCACTATATCTTTCTATATTTCCATTTTGCCATGATTCTCCGATGAGTTTTTTACACTCTGCCGTCTTTTGTTTTTTTTAATTACTTCCAAAAAATTGACCATTTTTACTGAAGAAGAAAGCTCGCTTCGAAATTGGTGACAGAAGATGCATTTCATATACGTCGATATATACGCCTGTTTTTAAATTGAATATAACTGTTATTTACTCTGGCATGAACGAGTCTCATGAGTCATGATCCTGTTATTGTCAGCGTTAAATAAAATGCTTATGTAAACTGCCCTATATTTGTTTTTGTAAAATGAAGATAGCTGGGGAAAGCAAATATAAAGTTTGAAGTTATAACTTAGGTAACAGGCTTTTTTGTAGGTGTTCCTTTGCCGCAACAATCGAGTCGATAAATGTTCACGTTTATGACTATATGAAGTATCCAAATGCTACAAAAAGAACTGATTTTTAATGGCGCTATTATATATGGACGGCAGGTACTGTTATAACTGTATTTTCTTTGTACAACGACTTGATGTATTCTTTTGCGTCGTGTTTCCCTGCCACAATAATTGCGTCTTGGAGTTGGTATTTTGCAATATTTTCTTCGTCATTTTTTTCTCTCATTTTCTCTCAAAACTTCGACGTTGACGTACCAACTTCGGTGAACGCTGCCAAAATATCACTGAATAATCTACTTTGAGAATTTTCTGACAGCTTATGACTTTTGTGTCTTCTGAAGGAACACAGTTCTTCAAAACCTTGGATTTGATGTGAATTTCTGGCTTATAAATCAGACAAAATACACAAGAAATCACTTCTGATCCTGAAGGAGAATTTCTCTCCTTTTTTTAGAAATGACTTGCAGTGTGAGTGAAAAATATCTGCCATTATAATTTATAGCTGCTCCACTTTTCAAGAATGGAAAATAAACAGGCCCATGGTAACCAAATTTCAGACCTTGTAATAATATGCCTTTTATTATTAACAGCAACCAAAACATTCTTGATGTAGCCTTCCCAAGCTCAACCTCTCTGAAGTGATTTTACCATGTAATAAATGAACAATGCTTTCTGAAGATCCATAACTGTGGAATCCTATCTGTTAACTGTCCTTCATCCAGTCTTACTGCATTAAAATGCTTCGGACCAATAATGGATAAGATAATGGTTAGAATTCTCAATCCTACACCATTAAATTTCATTCAATAAACTGCTGGAAGGCCAGAGAATTAAGAAAACCCCTGATGGTCTGCTGTCAATCACTGGTATCTTGAACTAACTTTGAAGCATATTGCCTCACACAGGCAAGAGAAATGGTGATTACTTCACAATTGCAACATTTCTGTCTTCATTTGCATACTTTAACTTGCTCTGGCTGTATCAAAGGCCTTTATCAAAACACTCCTATTCTCAAGTAACTTTCATTTTGAATTTCATAATAAATTTCATTTCCACCACCTTCTTGACTTTCAAAATACAAATTCAACTATTTCAACACATCCATTACTGTGAGTTCCTATTCAAATTTGATTTTAATCGAGAACTAATCTTTTGACAAGTACACTGGCACCCAGCTGACAGGGCTGTGTCTCGTGATTCGAGGAATGCAAGGAATGCATAATGAAGGTAATCGAACCTTCTCCAACCATAACATAAATACTGCCCCATCTTTCACAAGTGTATATCGCTAAAATCAATCAAAGAGAATTAAATATTTGGAACCAACACTAAGTTGGGCCTTACTAACCTGAAAATATATTCATCTTTGTAGCACCAGCATCTCTGTGGAAGATAAAAATTCACAACGATTAGAATGGTTTGTAAAGAAACGCAGGTAAATTTTATGATACATCCACGCAAATAATCCATCTTAAATTTATAAAATATGCGATTTCACAGGGAAATAAAATGACATTTTACAACAAACATCCGCTGTCTTCTAACAGCGGAAATGACCAAGTGTTTAATAACTCTTGTAAGTTCTGGAGCGGTGTGAATGGATACGTGATTAAGACACCTGCGCCAAGCGAGTCAAACTTGTTTGTATACAGTACCGTGCATTGTCAACCAATTCAGCCAAAGCGCCAAATAGGAACTCGTGAGTTGTACTAGAAAACGAAAAAGCAGTAAAGATCGATAGACGCGAGAGAACAACAGACCAAGTCAAGCAAAACGTCCCGTGGTTATTCCCCGCAGTTTAAGGAGCGGTTTGTCTCAAATTTTACAACTTTTGGAAGTGTTTCATTTAAAACTAAGCCTTTAAGACTGTTTAATGACTTTAGGACTTTGTTTTGAATGAATTACGTGGCAATGAGGCGACGTAATTGGGTTAAATGTGGATGAACGTCCTAATGGCGAGGAATATCGTGCATTCTTCGGTATTATGTCTGTTCCTGGTTGTGTGAAAGCATAGACTCGAATAGAAAACGAAAAACGCAAAGTGATGTGTTTCTACCATCGACAATTGCAAGAAACCGTTCTGTTACGGTGACAGAACAAACGGTAAAGTGGTTTTATCAATAATTGTGTTTATTCACACGGTCAAAAGGACATCATCAGTCATCATCGCACCACCACAAAATATGACGACATTCTCACAAAATATTTTCCGCCAAAACTCAGCCGTTTCCTTTTCGCAAATCAAAAAAGCTGCAAGTATTGTTGTCCAAGATACCCACGTTATAAAACAGCCTGGGAAGGCGCTCTTTTGTACCACAAATTGGAATATTACAACCTCTTACAGTCGCCGGTGGTCTTCGTCACAACAAACACACGCATGTAACGTGACCAATTTTATAACTCGCGAATTTAAGAAAAACAGCCAGTAAAAGTCCTTAAAAACGACCACAACTTACCTGTTTGTATGAAGATATTCGACAGTTAACTGCGCTCGGCTGAGACTTGAATAGGAGCTTGAAAGTTGCGCCATTTACTTTTGACAGTCTGCAAAACCGAAGATGCTGTATTTAAATGCCTCGTGCCTACTTACTATGACAGCCGCCATTTGCGGGTGCAAAATTCATGCCGAAACCTCATTATTTTTTACCGAAAACGACCCTAAAGCTTCTGTAAGACTCCCACTCACCTTATATATCGGTCAAAACGAAAATGCTGAAAGAAACTTGGTGTTTTATGGACAAAATGCTTCCCGCCAAAGCGACAACACTTCTTTGCAATGGCGCAATGATGCCAGAATATCATGCGGTTTGACCAAATATGGATGTGCGAGATCAATGCATTGCGGGCAGCCGCGTCTTCTCATTGGTCCGAAAAGAGGCCGTTTTAATTGGCGTTCGAGCGCACTTCCGATCAAATAGCGATCTGCATGCATGCATGCACGCGTTTGATGTTTTTTTTTGCGCAAAATTTGATAATCACGACCACATTAAGAATTTCAAGTAAAATATCCATCTCGGAAAATTGATTTGTGAAGAATGCCAAAGTTGTATAAAGTCAATTTCGAGTATACAAGTAATACAACGATTCAATTACATAACAATGGTTTGTTTTAACTTATTGCGATCTTGCGTGTGAGGTCAAATGCGCATTTCAAGTGGCGATTATAACACAAAAACACACAAAGACCAGATGGCCTCATGAACCTATGATACAGCTGTTGTTTCTTCTAGTTTTTTACTCTGTTGCATCGTTAGGCAACATACGAAGGAACTACAATTATTGTATTTGTAAAAACACCTGTTAAAGATTAGCGTAAAGTAATAAAAAAAATACAAAATTGCATGGAAATTTCAGGGGTTTTTTCACGTTAGTTACGTAATATCCTCGACTAGTTTCCAAGCAACTGGAATTGAAAAATGAGAAGCCTGTTCCTTTGCTCAGCGGAGTAGCAACAAAAACCAATATGGCGGAAGGCAAGTGCAAAATGATCAAATTGATAATTTTTTTAATTTTCCTGTGTTTAATTCTAACTTCTTGTCATTTGAAATGATTTTGTATCATAAGTAGATTCATTCCGACGTCTGCTTGTTGTTGTTTGTGATTTAAACCCGATTTGGTGGGGGAAAGAATCGACAAATGTGTCCGGAAATTCAGATCAAGTACTGTACAATGAGGTTCAGTTTATTGTGTATTTATAAACATAAATGTATTAAGGGTAATATTGGCTTCTAGGTACAACCGATCAATGCATTTCTTAACAACGTTCTGGTCTTCTGCAATGCATATCTCATGATGAAACACACCAATGAGGTGGCCATTCTTGGTGCAACTTCGTTTAAAAGGTAATCGACATTCAATGACAGTTTATTGTAGATAACCACCTGCACTGGACTCAGATATATTTTTCAGGTAGTCCAGCCCCAAACCACAAAACTCTTTTTTTTTGGAAGAACTAGTTTAAAATAATTGTGGATTTATTTCAGCCAATATATTTATCCAAGTTCAGAAGACAGTGAGCAAGTGGTTGAACAAAACCATGAAAAAAATGATGGGAAATATGAACATTTTGCTGCAATGAACAATGATGTAGTGAACAGAGTTAAAAAACTTATTGAAGAAGAAGGTTCCAATGGTATTACATTTGCATGTACATTTTCATTTGCATTTTGAGCTCTAAATCAATAAATTAATCTTTTTTTTAGATGTAAATGTATCTGAGAATTCTGCAACACTGTTGGCGGGTGCTCTTTCGATGGCTCTCTGCTGTATCCTTGCTGTAATAGCTACCTTCTCATGGCTTCATAGGAAGGATTTGCTTCCTCAAAATACTTCAACAATATGTTCTTTAGAAAGTCTTATTGTGACTGTTTTATTTAACTGAAATTTAAGATATCAAACAAGCTGAACGAAATTGTCCAGGTGCTTTAAGGAGACATACTATACATGAAATAATTTTTCATTATTTTTAAATTTTGAAATTTAATTCCATACAATCTGATTTCATTTAGTTGGTCAAAGTTTGAAGGCACGGTTATTGGTAAAACACCTTTATACATTTCATTCTATCTATTTCACTGCAATCCTTTTATCTGCATAAGGTTTAACTTTTCTTTCATACTATGTTTTAATCTATTAATGCTAGGTGCTCAAAGGATCACCAGATTTTTCAACGCAATATATGGCAACAATGAACTGCATTTTTGCGGCTCAGAAAAATGTATGAAAATCCCAAAATTCCTGTCACTTTTGAACAAATGTTTGTTCTTGAAATTCATCATATCTTAACATGAAAATAATTTTCTTCTTCCAAACAGAACATCACCATTGATTCATGTCTGCTAAAGTCAGACTCAGGATTTCTACAACAGGTGAGTATCGACATTTATTACTCCAGGTCATGTGTATAGATCCTGTAATTTTGCAGAAAATGATAGATTTTTAATTCTCAACCATCTCCCACACAGGCGTCTGACATAACAGGTGGCGTGTACTTCAAAGTGATGAAAATGGAATCACTTCTGCAGTATTTATTAGTAAGTTACTCGGAACTAATGTGAAGGCTTTGTTAAATTATATCCTTGTTTAACCACTTATGATGTTTATTTATTCCCTAGTGGATGTTCCTGCCTGATTCGAGCACGAGAGAGGGCTTAGTTATGCCTAAAGCAGTTCAAATAGATTACAGAGCTGCTTGCTTTTGTCATCGAACCCTGGTCAACATTGGTTTTGTTTGCTCTGTTTGTCTTTCAAGTAGGTTTAATGCTTTTCATTTCGTTGGTCTTAAACTAACTATGATTCACGCCAACATGTTTAGGAATCCATGTTGTTCAACAGGGGTACGTTTGCTTGAAATTATCTATGCTGTTTTAACAAACAGTGCTTCCTTATTTGTATTTCTTGTGTTTTAGTTTATTGTCAATTGCTTCCACGCTGTCACACTTGCCAGTAAGTGCTTGTAGTGAGATAATTTGTCAGAATAACTGCAATATATCTGAGGAGTTCTATTGTATCTGTTTTACAAATGCTGCTGTTTTTCTCAGAACAAGATTCAAGCTTCCTTCAGCTGCTATGGCAAGGCCAAAGAAGAAGAAAAAATAAAAAAACACAGAAAAGCCTAAATCAAAGAGTGTAAATAGTTTAAATCCTATTTTCTAATAAAAATATCCAACCTTATTGTAAAATTTTTACACCTTACGACAAAGTCTGTTCAATAACCTATTAACTAATAATATTGAGATGTTCTCTCGTTGATTATATTTATTAAGAACGAGCTTTCGGCTGCCAGTCTGCAGTCTTCAATGGGTTGACAGAAATGAATCCTATTAACTACCATTGATTGGTGTTGGCAAAGTACACCTAAATTAATGAAACCCATACTAGAATGGTTTTCATTAAACAGAGCAATATAGACTTTGAACCAGTCCATTTTGATGGTTCTTTTGGAGTATGGGTTGAAATGAATCGAAACTTCAAAGCGTGGTATTTGAAAGTAATCAAACCAGGAACTTCTAATTACTGTAATAATGAGTCATCGGGGAATCCCCGGAAAACAGTCTATTTTTAGAGATGCTTCAGCTATAAAACTTGTGGTGGTGGTCTGGGGTCAAGTCGAAAAAATGGCCGACTTTTTCCGGAAAAGAATTTAAATGGCACAGAGTGAGTTTAAAGGGAAAAACAATCGCATCGTTTAATATAATTATTGAGAGAATCCGCTAGAAACATGACCAAAACTTACACTATCAAGGATAAAAACTTTGAGGTCAAGTTTGTGGTTGATGAGCGCTATAAACTTCTCGAAAACATCGGATGTGGAGCGTACGGGATTGTTTGCTCAGCGCTTGACACTAGAACACAAAATAAGGTCGCAATTAAGAAGATTCCAAAAGCTTTAGAAGTTTTGACAATCGCTAAGAGAACGTATCGGGAACTTCGGATATTAAAGCATTTTAATCATGATAATATTATTGCAATTCGAGACATCTTGCGGCCTCCGGAGGATGTTTCTTGCTTTGAAGATGTCTATGTCGTTTTTGACATGATGGAGACAGATCTGCACAGAATAATACACTCAGATCAACCCCTCACGGACGAGCACATACGATATTTCTTGTTTCAAATTCTCAGGGGTTTGAAGTACATACACTCTGCAAACATCCTTCATCGAGATCTTAAACCTAGCAATCTCTTGGTGAATGAGGATTGCGAGCTGAAGATTGGTGATTTTGGTATGGCGAGGGGGCTGGACTCCTCCCCGGTGGGACTGAAGCGGGTTATGACTGAGTATGTTGCAACAAGGTGGTATAGGGCACCCGAGCTGATGTTATCTTTGAGCGAATACTCACAAGCAATGGACATATGGTCTGTTGGTTGCATTTTCGCGGAGATGTTAGGAAGAAAGCCGCTGTTTCCTGGAACAAATTACCTTAATCAATTGCAGGTAAGATTATCAGTTCTCCTTACTTGATGTGCCAGATTATCTATCTGAAAGACCCCAGGGCTGGTAGCCTAAGGCCTACCGAAAAAAAATTACCTAATCTCTCTAATCAACAAAGGCATTTTCAGTTAATTACTTGCAAGAGATTTCTGGGCCCCTGCTGACCTTGGGCAATGAATTATGTTATCATATTCCTCTTTGAATACTTTTTTCTTGTGTTTAATAAAGTTAATTCTCAGTGTCGTTGGTACACCATCTGAGAATTTCTATGAAAGAATGGGTGCAAAGCGAGTGAAGACTTACATTAGCAAATTGCCAAACAAGAAAGTGGTGGAACTTGACAAGATTTACACTGAAGCAAACCCGGTTGGCCTGGATCTTCTCGGTCAAATGTTGAAGCTGGATCCTCTTGAGAGAATATCTGCCGCTAAAGCACTAGAACATGAATACTTAGCAAAATACCATGACATTGATGATGAGCCTGTTTGTATTTCTCCATTTGATTTCTCGTTTGATGAACAGCATGTGACTAAAGAGTCGCTGAAGAAGAGTATTATTGAAGAGATTGGATGCTACACCAAACATGTTGATATTGAACGATTAGCTTCAGGGATGAGTGCTTCTGGTGGCATCACTGCTAGACAGGATGCTGGTAAGACTGCATGCATAGAATGAATCACTAACTGAGAGTACTACAATGAACCCAATTTCACTTAATTTATTTAATGCTGAATGGTTTTACTTGCCTGTGCAGGGGTAGGTTATATAAGACTTACAAATGAGACTATATAGGCTCCCGGTGCATGTGTTTATACATTTGAGTTTGAAGCAATATACAGCCCACCCTCTCTGGCTTCATAAATGCTCCAAGTATTAACTGCAACTAAAACTAAGCTATGTAATGAATTTATTATTTTTTAGCAAAATGTTCTCAAACATCATCTGCACAGGCAAATGACAACAGTGTCATCAAAAGGGCTGAACCTCACCCAAAACGAAAAATAGACAATGCAACCAAGGAGACACATCGCAGTAAAAAAAGACAACGAAAGCGAAGTGAATCTACGGCTGATAAAAAGGAAAAAACCAATGCCTCAGAACTCAGTGAAAGCGACAAACAGCTTCTCGATAGATGGAAAAACATGCAAACAAAAACAAAACCTTTCATACATCCAATTAGGAAATACATGAAGGAAATAAATTATTTGAAAGAACAAGAATTAGGAGCAAACGAATCCAAAACAGTTTTGAATAAAACAGATGAGGAAAACGCAACTTCAATAGCAGGAGTACAGTTGTATCAATTTACAAATTATACTTCAGAGAAAGGCAATGGTGAATCACTGAAAGCAGTTAAACAGCCACTGGTTGGCGATCAACCTGCCTCGTTGTTTTCACAAACTGTGCTAGGTAAGTTAAATATAATTCTGTTATCTAAAACGTCCATGAGCTGTTATGTTGAATTAGACCATGTTTTCATTTCTCTGCATAAGTATTTTATTGTGTGAGTACTTTTAAAACTATTTTCTTAAAAGACATTTGTATTTATTTAGGTATGGCTGGTAACATTCCCACAACGCAAGAGCTTTTAGCTATAGCAAATAAGAAAAGATCAGAGGATATTGCGCTGGAGAAGTTCCTTGCACCATCATGCACACAGTTACCTCAGACATCTACCACTAATTTGCTGGTGAATCAAACAGTTTCCTTGGAAAATCGACCAGTTTTAGCCACTACCAATCAAAATATTCCTATCATAACAATTTCTTCCAATGAGGTTGAGGGTTCGTCTGATAGGCCTGTGGTTAATGCCGCACTCATAGATGAGCCTATTGCTACCAACTTAGCATCTATATTAACCAACGTACAGAGCACAGCTGAGTCACAACAGCCACTTCAAGAAATGACTGGAAAAATAATATCAAATGCAGATAATATTCTACAGGCTTACGACAATGATAGCCTCGATGACCAGAACAATTCAAATTCACAAAACCTGTTGAGTCAACCACGAACAAACCCAGGGCCTACGATGAATCCAGGGCTTGTGGTGTGTGGCGATTCACTTACTACTTCCCACGTGAACCTTGATAACTATCACGTGCAAGATCCGGCGCAGGGTAGTGTAAATCACGTGCAGGAGGGCTGTAGTCAAACGCAAAGACAAAGTGATCCTTTGGGGAGCGAATTGGATCGCGTGCTCAGGAACAGAGATCACGTGCAAGTTGCATCTAAGAATCAGACGCGAAGCAACAGATATCTCGTGCAAGATGGTGGTAATCACGTGCGAAGTAGTAACATAGGTCATGTCCAAATAGAGGGCAATCACGTGCAAATAGGCGGGAAACACTTGCAAGTTGAAGGAAATCACGTGCGAAACGAAAGAACTCGAATGCCAGCTCACACGAGCGGTAAACATCTGAATATTGGTAACACTGCTGCACACATGTTGATCGGGAAGAATCGGTTTCCATCGGCAATTCTCGGAATCTCTAATCATCTTCAGGTCAATACTGGACACAGGCAATGCGCCACCACGGCGTTTTCAAGTCAGACACAGAATGAACCGTCCGAGAACATTGCCCCTCAAACAAACTCAAGAGCAAACTGCTCAACAGTGTCACAAGAAACAGCACATACAAACCCACGCAGTGATACATCCTCTGTAAACAACCTGGGAGATTCCGTTGCACAGCGACCGTTTAATCTACTTGACTATATTTCCAATACATCCTCGGAGAGAACCTGTAATATTTTGTCACCTGCTGGAAGGGACGAACCATGTAGATATGATCGCAGGCAAAACAGCCCAAGATGGTCAGGCAGCGCTGCTTGAAAATACCTTAGGTTTCTCGGAAAGTCATCCAGAATTATTGACGTTGCCTTTGACGCCAAAAGGATCGTGTGGTTCGGGGTATGGTTTGGGCCTGGATGTTGATGAGTTCTTGAACAGCGAAGATGGTCAAAGAATGTAAGTTGGCTTACTGATAGAGCTATCCAGTATAAATAAAGTTAGTTTAGTTTAGGTTTCCTCCTGTAGTAACACTGGATCAATAAGAGATGATCCTTACTGGACCTCTAGGAAGAACAGTTTAGAACTGATAGAGTTATCCAGTATAAATAAAGTTAGTTTAGTTTAGGTTTCCTCCTGTAGTAACACTGGATCAATAAGAGATGATCCTTACTGGACCTCTAGGAAGAACAGTTTAGAACTGATAGAGCTATCCAGTATAAATAAAGTTAGTTTAGTTTAGGTTTCCTCCTGTAGTAACACTGGATCAATAAGAGATGATCCTTACTGGACCTCTAGGAAGAACAGTTTAGAACTGATAGAGCTATCCAGTATAAATAAAGTTAGTTTAGTTTAGGTTTCCTCCTGTAGTAACACTGGATCAATAAGAGATGATCCTTACTGGACCTCTAGGAAGAACAGTTTAGAACTGATAGAGCTATCCAGTATAAATAAAATTAGTTTAGTTTAGGTTTCCTCCTGTAGTAACACTGGATCAATAAGCGATGATCCTTACTGGACCTCTAGGAAGAACAGTTTAGAACTGATAGAGCTATCCAGTATAAATAAAATTAGTTTAGTTTAGGTTTCTTCCTGTAGTAACACTGGATCAATAAGAGATGATCCTTTCTGGACCTCTAGGAAGAACAGTTTAGAACTGATAGAGCTATATAAATAAGGTATGTTCCTTTTTAATTCTCCTTATTTTTGCTGTGCTATTTTAGATTCCGCTGTCTTCCTGATTCGAACAATTTAGACACCAGTCCTCCGCTTTCAGCGTCGTTGTTAAATGCCTGGCTACCAGAGAATGCAATTGATCCTATTGATGTCACGGAGATACAAAATGAACTGGAGTCCGCCTCGTTCTTGGCCTTGTTTGAGCCAGAGAATAACACATAATTGAAATGACTTCGAGTGCATTTCGTGGAAAATGGGTTCGACAAACCATTCATTCAATATTTTGTATGATTTACTATATATCATAGGACACTGGTATAAATTTTTTAGTCGTTGAAAATTAGGCATAAGGTCACTTAGTTGTTGTAATATTTTCAAACGCTTGAGGGACTCCGGTAACTCCGTAACACAAAACACACCCATTTAACATATATGTGAAACATTTGCATAATTTACGTTCCTTGCTGCAAATAGGCATAATAAACGTCATAAACTGAGCTCTTTAACTGGATTTTAACTGGAACAAGGGGGTCGAAGTGTATCTCCCCCTCGGCAGCAATTTTCGGATAGCAATGTTTCTCGATTCGTTTTGAAGTCTTCGGTTCAGAATTAAGCCTTGGTCAGTGGTAACTACCATGGCAAAAGGGCAAAAAGAATATGTAGCGTCAATAAATCCGCCCTAGTCCATGCGCGGTCAAATTCAAAATGGCGGATCAGGATGCTGGAAATTTCAGGATTTAGTTCGTTGGTTGACTCTTTAAACGTTAAATTCTGATCTTGTTAATCAAATATCAGTGTCAATTTGTTGCTTATTCTTCTGTCTGGCATTGGAACTAAATAAATGGCTGGTAAATCTGAAAAGAAGTAAGTTAATATTGTATTTTATATTGCTATTAACAGTTGTTTTGTAAAGTGTGTTGTGCAAACTTGATCATTAGGAGCCTTCCCGTGTTAGTGTGTTAAATGAAGTCTCGTTTTTGTTTGGTACCAGGTATGGTCTTATCATAAAAAAGAAACCGACTTCAGTTCAAGTGAAGCCGTCGATATTTGGAGGTGATGATTCTGATGAGGATCAGGTATAACTCAGATTAGAAAGTGCAAATTGCACGCGTGATATTTAAATAAAGTAAAAGTTTAAGCCTACAAACGAGATCGTTGTTATTCTTTACACAGGAGAGTAAACAAGACCTCTTAAGCAATCATATGAGCAGGGTTTTTTTCATCATTCTTTTTAATAGAATTTTGAAATGATATTTTCAGAGTAGTGGAAGGAAAACAGTGAATATAAAAATAAGAAAAGAGGCTGAGAAGAAGAAACAAATGAGACAGGTATGAAATATTTGACTGTTCTAGAGCTGTTGTTGATTGTAAGGAGCTTTCTGCCATTCAAGTATGTGAAAGTTTTAGTTTATTTCTGCCTCATTTTCAATAAAAATAGTAACCATATTCAAACATAATTTAGACTGAGCTGGAGATCAATAAAGTTCTTGAGGATGATCCTACGGCATATGATTACGATGCTGTCTACGACAAAATGGCAGAACGCAAGGCAAATATTTTAGCAGCAAAAAGTGCGAAAGTTGACAGAAAGGTATTGTGGTCCTGATGTTCTCTCAAAATTATCCTGAATATTTCTCAGTGACCCTGATGTTCTCTCAAAATTACCTTGATATTCCTCAGTGACCCTGATGTTTCCTCAAAATTACCTTGATATTCCTCAGTAACCCTGATGTCCCCTAGAAATGACCCTGATATTCCCTATTGACCCTGATGTTCCCTAGGAATGACCCTAATACTTCTTAGTGACCCTGATGTTTCCTTGGAATGACCCTAATTCACTTGGTACTGATTGTAAAACTTGTTTGATTTTCTACCAGCCAAAATACATCAACAACCTTTTAAAATTTGCTGAAGTAAGAAAAAAAGAGGATGAACGAAGAATTGAGCGTCAAGTTCAGAAAGAACGGGAGGCCGAAGGGGATGAGTTTGCAGATAAAGATGCCTTTGTTACATCAGCGTATCTTTTTGTGCAAAAGAATAATCTTACATTCATTAACTGCAGATTTAAATCATTAAACAGGAATAGGCTCGAGTATAGAGCAAGCAATCCTTGTAGGATTTTCTGTATCCTGTTGTCACAATGATATTATCATTGATTTATCAAAGTAGCTTTTCTCTGCAAGAACAATGTCTGTCATAGTCCTTAACGATTCCAGTTATCGGCAACGGATGCAAGAATTGGCTGAAGAGGAGGAAAGACTACGAAAGCAGGAGGAAAGAGATGGTAAAGAAGATCTTTCGTTTTATTTACTTGAGGAAGATACCCTGGTTAGGTCATAATATAGTAACTGGTGTTTATCTGGGTGAATGCTTCTGTGTATTCTACTCTTTAAAGCTCAGTATTTCTTCATCCACTGGTAATGAGAAAGTTTCTGAAACAAACCGCAATCGATTTTAATTCTAGATTTGAAACTGCTCGCCTTCGCTCGTCTTATCAAAAGTATTTTTACTTATTTCTCTAGGTGATGTAACAAAACAAGCCGACCTCACTAAGTTTTATCGGAATTTGCTGGACAGAAATGTCTCGACTGGTGGTTCGTATGATACCGAGCAGCATGCGGAGTCTCACGATGATAACACGAAGAAATCACGACGTTCTCCGAGCCCTGAAGAGGAACGCGATAAGCGGAGTAAAAGGCCTGAAAGAGAACGAAATGAATCTCGCATTGAAAGGGACAGAGCACGCGAAAAAACAAGAGAATACGAAACACGCAGTGATCGACACGAAGAACGAAATCACGAAAAGCTTAAACACGAAGAACGAGAAAAGGAAGAACAGAAACACGAAGAACGAGAACGCGGAGCACAAGAACACGAAGCACAAGAACACGAAGCACGAGAACACGACGAGGAACAACAAGAGAATGCAGAACACGAAAGCGCAAAACGTTCGGGCGAAAAACACGAAACCAAAAAACGGTTGAAAGAGGACACCAATGCCGACGAAAATGTCGAAACTGAAACAAAAATGTCGGAATCAAATTTGGCGGCAGGTGATAAGGGAACCAAAGACGCGATAAATAAATTTGCAAAACATTCATCCAGTGAAACGGTGATGTCAGCCAGAGATAGATATTTAGCGCGTAAGAAAAACAGAGTTGTTGTCGTGAATACAGAATCTGATGATGAAAATTAATATAACCAGCGAAAATAATCTCTTTTTTTTTTAGTTAGCCATTGTAGTTTCAGTATGGGGTAGTTGTTTTCTCTTTTACGAAATATAAATATTTCATGGTTTGTTATTGCTTTGTTTTCATTATGTAATTCTTGAGGTGGAAACCGTGTTTTACATCAACACAAAAACATAGCAAACGCATAATTTTTTTACGAGCATGACTGATTTACGTGCAGCTACAACTCCCAAAAGGGATTAAGCCAATCGTAGATGACTGGTTCAACCAATCAGCGCAGTTTCGTTATTCCGAGCAGCCAATCAGAACGCCGTCTTCAAACCGGCCTAAACGCCACCAATTTAACATTCAAATTTGGGACCTCAAGTTACCTCGTGTACTTACCCAAGCGAACTCCTCAAATCAATTTACTGCAATAAACTCGGTAATAATTGGGCAAAATAGTTGGTTTGTAAGCTGAACTAATTCTGGAGTTACTCAGCGACGTCAAAGGTAACTATATACGCGAGTAATTTTGATTTTATGCCGCAATTGAGGGAACCATTTCAAGGGTTAAACACGTTACGACCCTAAGTTGACGTAGTGTAAATATCTCTGTGTTATTCTACTAGTATTAGGAAGTTTTTCTTAAATCATTACCACCTGGTGTAGCCACGGTTAAAACAGGCGAACACTGTGTCAGGGTATTTTCAACAGATCATTGACAAGACCTCTATTTTGTTTTCCAGGTATAATACCCAAAATGAATTTAATTATTCATGCGAGTTTGTAGTCATGAATCACAACACGTGTAACGTTTGTCAAATTATATGACAAAAGTTAAGTCGGTCGAACTTGGATGATGTTACATCAAAGTCATCAAGGTCATTGTAAGTAATCCTATAACTTACTATTTGAGTTATTACACTTTATGCAACTTGAAAGACCTTATTACAGTGACAAAAGTTATCAGACTGTTTTAAATCTTTTGAACGACACAAATCGATCGATCGAAATTAGGCTGGGAAAGTAAGCATGACTATTCTTGGTAAGTAACAATGAGGGTAGCCACTACTTTTTAAGATTTTGACGGGAGTTAGCTAACTTTTCTCAAAACAATCATTCAAAATGCTCGGAATTTGCGAAGACCAATCGCATTGAAAATAATATGAGATCTTATCAAAATGAACCGAATGTAACATATGCCTGTCTTGATGAGTCACGGATATGATAGTCACAAAAATAAATTTGCATAAGAAGCGCTGGAGCGCGCATGCGTTTCTAACGAGCTCTGCTGGCATTTTGTCATAAAATCGGATTATTCCTTAGCCGCATTTAGCGCGTAAGTCGCGCGCTGTTTGAGACCAAATATGACTGATTGAAGCACATCAAAACATCGCTACATATTTGACCACTTGATAATTAAACACTTGAGACCGCGTGGTCGGGCAGATCAAGTCTATAATTACCCACGCTTGAGATGACTCAGCATATTTGTTGTTTAATGTTTATGTTTTAACTCCTCCTAAATTCTCTCGAATCAGAGCAACAGCTCAAAGCTAGAACGTTTCTAAATGAAGCGGTAATACGTAGCCTTGATGGCTGAATTTTTAACCACTTTACAAGCGTTTGAAAGGCCATGAAAGTAGCTATCTGGGGTCGCGGGATCTCAGCAGTGATTGCGGGAAAGCGCTGCATGCTTTTGTCTTTACCATACGTAAAAAACACGGGTGCTCTTTCAACTTAAATGACCAATTGTCGGCAATTTAATAGCATTCATTGTCGAATCTGTTTCAAAGAACACTAGAAGCGAAACCAACAAGCTTCAAGAACAGGGCAATCGCCAGGCAGAGAGCTCCTTGAACGCCCTTATCAGTTATCATTTCACAAAGAGAAACGGTGTCTTTCATGCAAATCATCTTTTCTTGTCTCTCGTTTCTCCAGTTTCCGGAGTCCTTGAATCTTACCCTAAGACTATTAGGCTTCAGACTGGGTTATACCAATTTGGGCAGTCGACTGGCCAATTTCATAAAACTTTAAAAAACACAGCACTCGTCTTTCTTTTCGTCCTCACCCAATATGGGCAGATCTTATACTAAGCATTATCCCTCGCTTGTCATTGATCAAGCTGGGGTTATCAAGGCAAGATGATAATGAGGATTCTTTTCATCATACGTGATGGCCCATATCGTTTGAAATAACCACCGATGTTTTCTACCCATCTCATGATTTACTAAATAAAACGCGCACAAAAACCAATAACATGCTAATTGGATTACGTGCTAACAAATAACTCGGAATACTCCATGCTTGGATTGAACGTCCACTTTATCACATTTCAGTTCGGTGGCTATCAAAATTCTGCATTCCAATCTGCGTATACACACCCATGTTTGTCTTCCTCTTTGATTTCCCCAGCATTGCAACCTGACACCCCACGCCCCGAGTCATGGGGTTTTCTCTGCCCTTTATATCTCAACTACAGACCCCCCGTGTCGTAAGGTGGCCAGCTAAATGCACTCCAACTGCTTGTATAAAATTTCATTTGTGTAATAGCGACCTTATCCTCAACGTGTGTGCTTGTGCTTGCGACTAATCTGTGGACAAAATATACGCTCAAAATGAGGGTAAGTTCTGTGAGTTTCACAGCAGTGTGTTCGTATTGGGTTAGCTATAGAATAGACTTGTTTATGAAAGGGTTATTTATTTAACTTTTTTATATTATTCTGGTTTGATTGGGGGCTGTACTTGCCCGCGCACGAATATTTTCTCACAGACGAGTTAGCGGTCTGTTCGTTTGTTGGTCCCAAGAACGCGATCTTACGCTGTTAATAACACGGTTACTGGCGCGATGTAGGTTGTAGTGTCAGGCTGGTCACTCAGAGCAAGCGAGATGTTATATCTGACGTTGTAACGTTACGCAGATGGATTTGCTGTGTCGTTGAGAGTTTTATTTCCCTTTATTGTGCTCGTTATGAAAGCAATTATCTTCATTCAAGCGTTCAATTACACGATTATCGCACGAATCTTGGTAAATATCTCAATTTCTTTAAATGCTTCGAGTCTTATTGAGTCATTGCATTCTGCCTAACGGAAGAGGCGAAGAGCTGCAGTTTTATTTCTCTATGAATAGACTGAACCATCTTGTATATAACATGTACAGTTTAACATTAACAACATGCTCATTGATCATCGTGACTTGCTCCTTCATTACATGGTATTTTTTAAACTAAAGCTATTTTAAACAGCCAAGATTACAAGACTTTATATCATCCTATATACATCAACAATTTTATATCTTAGTGAATGCAGTTTAATTGATATATCGTGAGACAGACAGAAATCACAGCGTGTGAGGTCTGGCATAACGGAATGCTTTTCTTCAAAACTATGTCGTGGTTATTGTCTTTCGTTCAGTTGTCTCGGTTTTTTTGGGCAGTCAAGTAAACAAAACGAACCTGACGAGATTTGGGGAACGTGAATGCGTTGCTTTACCAAAGTGTTGCAGAGCAGCATATTCGATAGTTCATACTTCAAAGCAATGAATTAACACTAAATAACACTTTGTTTCAAGGCAGGAAGACTTGAGAAACGCTCCCATTTTTACTTTTCTTACCTTTCCTTTATATAATATATAATATCATGCATTATACACTAAATTAATATCATCAACCCACACAGTTAGCTGAATACCTTACGATGGACGTGATAGCTTTGTATAATGGAGCTAGCTAAGATGAATGCTACTCTGTAATCTGGTAAATTCTCACTTTTCGCGGAAGTTTGGTTGTCATATATGGCATAGCCTGTGCGTAAAATGCACGTCTCAAGTCTCAACCTCAGGAAGGTATGACGGAGTTAGTGTCGAATTTCGTAAAATGATTAAGTTCTAAGAACCTTCGATATTTTCTTTTCTGTTTATTTTCCCGTTTAGGAGAAATATTAGCACAGCGCAATGTCTGAGACGGAAAGTATATACTAGGAAGATTTAGGAAAGACGTCCTCCACGTCACAAGCCTCGTGAAATGGTGTGGCATGTTGGTAAAATTTCGTGCACGATATACCACGCCATTTTCAGGCATTTTTAACGTTGTACATATCAGTTAATCACCCTGGTAGCCTTGCCATTCAATACGCGAATTTTCAGCGATGTTGTGATAAGTTAACCCCAATTAAGACCTGCGATGTTAATCCTCTGATCTTTATCTTAAATTTAATATCAGCTGTGTCGTGATATTGTAGTTCATTGAATTTCAATCCATCTCCAAAACTTTGGAAGACATTTACCCATGTGACGTATTGCAACGCAAGAATGAACGGAACTGACCCGTTCGACCAAACAGCGTGGTAGTGCCTACCATTAACAACATGTTCTTTCTAAAAAACCCAGATATTTCAAGTAGAAGTAAATAGCTACGTTGCATTGTGCTGATTGACAATTAATTTGACACCATAGTTGGTTAAATAAATGTTTCGTTTAATTGCCCCATATCATGTTTTGCGAGCCCAAGTTTATTGTACAAGTTCATTATACGTTAGCCAATCTGTGGAAACACTCTAGCTCAACTCAACGAGATGGCTAGGTTAGTTGGCCACCAAACATACTCAAATTTTCGTCGCAATTTTCGTCCTGGAGAGGAGCGGTTAGATTTAACCAGTTGTGTTTCTGTAGAAAATTAACCTATGTATATAGGTTTTTACATTCACAAAATATAGATCTTTAGATCTTTTAATTAAGATCTTTTTGATCTTTTATTTAGATCTTTTAATGGTAATTCATCCCTCTGTCGGGCTCTAAATTGATCCATATTTTTCATTAAGAGCGGTACCTTCAAAGCCCTATGTTTATATTGAATTTGAATTTATCGTTCTGGCCAATCTAATCGTGTTTAATTGGAAAGCGCAATGCGATACTCAGCTTGTATAAATTGGTTTGATTCAGAACGCAGGAATGACAAGCGTGGCCACCACGTCTAGTTTTTTTTCACCAATGTAGTGGCGCTAACATTTCGCGTCAGATAGAATGGTTTGGCTTTCAGCTCTCCCTCGTTTTTTTCCTGCAAATATATTTCAACAAAACATATTCTGCACCATTTATGGTGTAGTTGTCAATGCTTTTAGCACATAATTTCATTTGTGGACATAAGATGTTAAATTCGATGCTTTTTAAACATTTCCCCGCTGTCAAAACAAAACTGTTTGTTTAGTCTTAATTTTTGTTGAAGAATTCGACAGTGTGTTGAGGTAAACTCAAAGTTCATTTACTTAACGTAAATTAATCTTCTGTGTTTTTTTCCAGGTCGCTTTGGTAACAGGAGTTGGCCGCTGTGTTTTTCTTGAACTTCAATCCAAAATAGAATGTGTACCACACAAGAAAGTTGTCAAGGTAACAAGGAAATTTTGTGTAGAATCTACACACCTAACATGTGTTGGTAAATGCAAATCACTTGTGCACTATAGTCGCGACAAAAGCTGTCGAATTTCAAGCGAAAAACGAGTTGTTAGAACGATAAAATACAATACAATGCAATGCAGAGGTCGGTTGTATTTTGATTTACAAAGGTTGGATAGCGCAAACCATCCGATAGTAATCTTTCAACCGTTGTAAAAATGCTTCAAATGCAATACAATTGTAAAAAAATTATCATGTAGGAGTGTGAGAAATTTTCAAATGCCTTTTAACAAAATATGCCGGCTTAGCAACTGCCTTAAATTTGAAAAAACGTTTCTCGACATTTCCACCGGAAGGTTTTCATGATGAGAAGTAGGTGAATGACGTAAGTCCGTAGGTTAAAACACGAAAAAGTCAGTTTCTTGTTTATTTCAATCAGTTGCTGAAGCAATGTCGTAGCACTCTATATAGTCATGATCATACGAAGTAAAGCAGGTATTTACAGCGACAACCACCAGCGAAGCTCTGCTACTTTCTAAACCTGAAACTTCATTGTGGTTTTAGAACTTGTGATCAGACCAAACTTCGTCAAACCGAACTCGTTCCAAAAAGCCACCGCGCGACTTACGATCATATCTGTCCTATCCCGGCAAGTCAACACGAAATCGCCTTTTCCGAGAAACGAACATTCTCCAATAGAAATTCCAGAAACCCGCAAGCAAGAGCCACCGAGAATCTCGGAAAATTCCGCGATGAGTTCTACGAATATTTTACTCGCGCGACGGGAAGGCCATTTGTCAAGTGTCACCGAGGGATCGAACGAGAGCATAGAGGATAAGGATGGCGAAAGTAAGGGGTGCAACGGGGTAAACGGTGGCGTGAAACAATGGGTGGATGGGGGTAAAAATGGTGGACAGAGTACCACCAGTGGTTCCACGAAAGACCCCGAAGTTTTTCATAAAACAGTTAATGGCAAGGGATGGAATAAGGATCCGTTTGAGTATATGAAAGAAAGAAAGTTATCAGAACCAGTTCTCAGCCCAAGGTAGTGTATTCATTGATATGGTGCATGATATCTCGATTGTAAGGCTAATATCTTGCTTCAAATGACGATGTTTTGTCTGACAAGATAGTATCGTTCGTCCCATATGCACGATTAACTTATTTTCATTTCTTCAAGGAAAAAAACATCGGTCGTGACCCCACGATTAACGAGGTGTCGTAGCAGCGCTGATTTGCGAGAAAATGGTATGTCATATCAATAAATAAAACATCCTTCAGAATTTCTCCGGCTTGACAGATTTAGGAGACTATTTTAAGAGGCTGGGTGTCAGTGTGTAAGGGTTGCGACACAGAAGCACCTACGTGTCTAGAGATGTTGGGAGATATGTAGGGTCTTCCTCCAAAAAATGCTTTTATATTTATCGAATGTTTACCACAAAAAATTTGTTTTATAAACGGACACCTTGAAATTATTTCAGCGGTAAAGGAGATGAAACAAGAACAATATTTTTCGCTGAAATTGACAAAGAATTTGATTGTATCTTCTCTTATTTCTTAGAGCAACCGACCATGATCCTTCGAGAGCTGGGTGGTTATAAATTCTTTGCAAAACCAAGCGAAGCCATCGCCAACACGTCGAATCGAAAAGCTTACAAAAGCAAAGCGAACGAAAACAAGGCGATGAGTGAAGTTTCAGCTTTGAAGAAGACAGTTACAGAACAGAAGGAGAACATTACAAACAGAGAAAGACATTTGCTGCATTTAGAGAAAAAAATTGGAGTCTTGGAACACGAAAACTCCAAAAATAAGAAACAAATTTTGTCCTTCCGTGAGAAATTAAAAGATTGCTCGGGCACCATCGATTATCTACGCCGGGAAAAAGAGGTGTTGGCGACGGAACGCGATCGTTTGAGCTTTACGTTGTTGACGTGCGAACACGAGTTGAAGGAACTGCGCGCGCAGAATATGAACCTCGTCACGGAGTACGAAAGCGCAGAGCATAGCAGGAAAATTGCCGTCAGCCATTTACACGAAGCAGAACGTGTGTGCCAGGAGTCCCATCATGAGAAACCAGAAATTTCCACCAAACGCACAGTCGAGGATTCTAGTAGTTCCGAGAAATTAATCACGCAGTTGACTTCTATGAAAGAGGCAGTTCAGAAGCTTCGTATCGACAGAAAAGCTTTGCAAATTGAGCAGAGAAAAGTGGCCTCGTTTTTCTTTGAGAATTTAAAACAACTGGTCAGCCAGGTTCGTGATGCGGAAAAACAGCAAAAGAGATCCTCGGAAGAAAGTCACCTAGAAGTGTCCCAGAATAGTCCAGACAAGGTAACCCCTTCGGTACTAGTGACCAATAGCGAAGACGTTTTCGAAGAGCCCGACGATCTGACGACTATTCCCGAAGACATAAGCGATCTTGGAGTTTTCAAGAAGAAGCTCAAATCCAACGAGAGAACTATAGATGATTTGGCAAATAAGATTCGACATCTGGAGAACAAGAAGAAAAGATTACTGGAAGCACGCTTCGCGATGATCCAAGAATTTCAAGCCAGCCGCGAGGTTGTCGGGGACCTGGAGACGGATATGTCGGGGAATGATTCTGAGGAGAAGATGGAATATGAGATAGAAGGTTTGTAGCAGGTTGGGAATATTTTGAACCAACAAACATGCCAATATTTCGTGAGATAAATGCTTTCTTTGCAATTTGAAATTCTCTCTAAGAAAAGTAGTTCTGATCACTTCTTTCCATACCGCAGGTGGCGATCAGAAACGGGCGCGCGTTACGAAGAAGATCCGTAAACTGGAGCGAACTCTGTCCATGGACCACGGCGTTGGCAAACTCGACTGCATCCAGAAGTTGTGCAAGAATCTGGAGGACTGTGAACAACGCATTCACGAGCTCGAGGCGACGAACTCCGAGCTTCGTGCCGAGCACGCGGACATGGAGGAAGAGGCGAAGTATCTAAAGTACGTCTTGTCCTATCGTGGCGACGTCATGAAGGCTCAGTTGAAGAGCGAATATGAAAATAAGATGGCAGCGTTAAGAGATGAGCTTGAGAATGTAAACTCTTCGCGTTCTGAGGTCCAGGCACTTACTAAACGAAATCGTGATCTTGAGGAGGAGGTATGAGGTTTATTAAAGGTTTAATTACACCGAAAGTATTGATGATTGAAGGTCTTCTTCTGCTGGGAACGTTTATCACAAGTTGTTCAAAAAACTTCAGTCCTCTTGTTAAAGAAAATGAGTTGTTTCCAAACTAATATCAGTTGCTAGTACGCTCCAACTAGGAAGGGTTTCACTGCTTCTTCAAGTAATTCTTATTGAATGTTTGAAAGCTACTTTGAATAAACACAATACTTCTTTTTTATACTTCAGGTTCAGCGACTTCATGAAGAACTCAGTACATTGCTTCGAAACCTGCCGGCGCTTCAAGCAATTCGGCGTTCATCTTCAAGAAACAGTGAACACGAAAACGACGTCTTCACAGCGGATGTTTCTATGAACTTAGCCGATGTTTCCTCGAATTTAGACAATACGATGAACAGCGAAGAAGTTCCTGGAAACACTGACAAAGTTTCGGAGAATGGCCCCCAAGCGAATCAGAGCAAGGTGCCTGAATCTGAGAGCAGTCTTGGGAATTCCAGTGTGATTTCTCAGAAAGATGCCGATAGTTCTTTGGGCAGTGAAGCCGCGCTCAGTCTTGAAGATCAAGTCTCGCAACTTACGGAGAAAAAGCGCGTTCTCTTGATGAGTATGTTAGCACTTAAAGGGGAAAACGGTTCTGAAAGCGATTCTTCATTTTCCCGAAATGTTGAAGTTTTGGAGAGGAGTTTTCGCGAGATCGAACAGGAGAATGCGTGCTTCTCGGAAACGTTGCAGCGCTTCCGTGACGTTCTCGGTGAGAAATGTGAACACGAAAACGAGAGTGGAGACGTAAGTGTAGTTACAAAGCTCAGGGATGAAATACAGCGTCTTGATGCGAGATTTGAAGCTTGTAGAACCCAGGGTACGTCGTTTGAAAAGGACAACACAAAGTTGGAAGCCATTTTGTCTTGTGCCCGACACGAAGAACGGATTTCTGAACTTGAGATGGAAATCTATCGTCTACATGAAGAAAAGAAATCTCTGCTCTCCAGTATTGTCCGGTTACAAACTGATCCCAACTTCACCCTTAGTGATGACGTCAATGATAGTGACCTCATCAACGATAATGACGTCATTAAGGACAATACCGTTCTCAATAATAACAATGCCAATGATAGCTTGGCCAAGAAGGATATCGGGGTGGTTGCAGGAGACACTGCTAGTACATCGCAGGGCAATGATGGCATCGCAGGTGTACATAATTCTCTCGTGAAGACCTACTCGAGGGATGAAGAAGTACAGGTGAATATGAACAGAGAGGATATTTATGGATTGCTAGGGTTCTTGCAACGGGATCTCGACAAGCTTAAAACGGCCTTTGATGATGAAGGAATCAAAGGTGAAAAGTCAGGAAAGGGGGACACGTCTGCCCATGGTGGGTGTAGTTTAGTTTGACATTAATTGCATAAGGAATTTCAAAGCTCTGCGATAGCGGGGATGGTTTTTGTTCCAATTAATGTATTTCTTGTGTATTTGTAGATCTCACCACTTGCCCTCGGCAAGATTCTGTGCAAGAGGTTGAACATCTGAGCAAGGAATTACAAGGTCTTGGCCAACAGAATCACGTTCTTGAGGAGAAGTTGCACGAGAGCGAGGCTATCCGTTGCGATCTTCATCGGACAATCGCCATAGCGACCGATATGGCGACAGAGGAGAGGCAAAAGTGCGAAGAACTGACGCGAACAAAAGCCGCACTTGAGAAGGAAATGCTGAAATTGGCGAAAGAAAATCGTGATCTGCGCGAAGGACTTGAGACTTTATCCCACGCGCGAAAGCGACGAACATCGCGCGCTCCTCGCGCGAGCCTCCCGAGCGATCTCCAAGAAGACGATGATTGTCAAGTGCTGTACCTACCCCGAGTCAAAGCTCAAAATTTCTCAGAAAGCGATATTTCGGACATGGATAGCCCCGCCATTGAGAGAAAGAGCTTTTCACGTATTGCATAATCACTATTAGCTTTCTGACAAAAGAATGAATTGACATAATGCTTGAAGATAACTCTTGTAACTTTCTATATTGTAGTTTGTTTTGAAGCTGATATACTCTACCTTTGCAAAGGTGTTTAAAAAGATATATCACCTTGTTGTATAATTTAGCGAGACTTATTTATTTGCATTCAAACGTATAATTAAACAACGGTTATAGTTCATTGTGACATTTGGACGTTGTTTATGATATTTTTTATACCAAACCAACTGTTTCAAAAAGATTTTATCTAGCAGGGAATGAAAAAAAAAACCGGTAAAAATAGGCACGCCTCAGAGAACGGGCTTAGCGTCATATGACGTCACGCGCATCAGCGGTCGTTTGTTTTGAAATCGCCGGCTCACAATGTTTTTAGCAATTACAAATACAAACTCCACGATATTACTCAATAATATCCAACAATGAAAGAATAATGCTTTTAGTTTTATTTTTTCAAACTCTTTTACCTTATTCATAACGATGTATGCATTCTACGCTCTGTATCTTGCTATTTTTGCCATTTTCGCTTCAATAGTCTACCTGATCTGTGGAAGGTAAGTTGCTCAATTTTCTCGGGCCTAAGTTGGTTGTACACCTTTCTATTGGTAATACTATATAAATAGTTGTACTATATAAGAAAAGCTGTTTTATTTGTCTTTCTTGACAAGAGGAGCTGCTTCGTCCGTTGTGTTCGCTTGTTTTTGTCATCGTTTGCCAAATCTTGGATATTTTTTCCAACCTTTGCAAACAGGAATTTGTTTTCTCTTGTCTGAAATGATTAAATATTTGCATTTGAATTATAATTTAACAATCGTTTTGCAGAATTATAGCAAGACTTCTCGAATGGCTTGTAAAGCGGTTGTTTAAGGTTGATATACAAGTGGGAAGAGCTCAATTCTTGGCACTTGGTAACATAAAGATCACAACGGCAGGTGTTAAAATTGTAAGTCAAGTTATATTGATCAGAAAACTGTGAAAGAGTAGTGATGTTGATGGTATTTTTGGACTTGTTTACCAGGACATTGAAAACATAGTACTGCAGACCAAATGGAGTTTCCTTGGATCAAGGTTAGATTGCAAATCACATTTGAATGTGCTTAATTTGGTCGACAACACTACATCTTTATAGTATATCAGAACACAAGTGCATTTTCTATATCCTTATTAATAATAATTTGGTGTTAATATATTTTTAAAGACGACTTTTAATGTTGTGTTTTGGACACATCACTGTATCGGCTGCCAAGAATGTAGTAAACGAGGATCGTTCTCTGGACACAAATCAACAAGGCCGACTCCAGTCAGGTGGAGGTAACAATAGTACTTGTATATAATTGTTTTATTATTTTTAATCTTTCTATGATGGGAAACTGAGGTATATACTTTGAGGAAATTCATCCCCTATATTTCTCACATGTGACTGAGGTGAAATTATAATCAGACAACTGCATATTACAGGAATCAAACCTCAGTCACAGAGATGAAAGACACATGCACTAACCACTGTGTTTGGTAGAGTCAAACTGGAGGCACTCTTCTCACATGTGACTGAGGTGAAATTATAACCAGACAACTGCATATTACAGGAATCAAACCTCAGTCACAGAGATGAAAGACACATGTACTAACCACTGTGTTTGGTAGAGACAAACTGGAAGCACTCTTCTCATATTACAAAAACCCCAGGATCTTATCAGAAATTACCAATTCACATTCCTTTTTATTCCATATTCTTTAGATTCCAAGAAAAGTCAAAGATTAGCTGGTATTGTGAAATTCATTTCAAAGGTAGTGTAAGGATTTAAATGCATGCATTCAATATGTATCAACCTCATACCAAATACTCTTATACCAAACTTCCAGCTAATATTGTATAAATTTCATTTATAATGTGTAGTATATGGGAGTTTATATTCACTCTCTTGATGTCATTGCCACTAATCAGCCAAGACCAACATTTAATATTGTTGTACAAGTGATAAATGGCATGAAAATCTTATGCCAGCCAAATGAGAGGTATATTTGTTGAGTTTAACCATTGTCCTTATCATATTCGGCAAGAAAGAACTAGAAATTGAGTTCAATTTTTCCTTAACCAATTTTCTAGTTTTCTAAGTTATTCTGTGAAGGCTACAAAATGTGTATCAAAGTTACATCAAACGAAAGAGGTTCGAATATTGATGTATTTAAAATACAAACAAAGAATAGAATAAAGATAATGATATATATTTGTTATGGTTTAGTTTGAAACAGATTATTTTCAAGATTTAACCCTTGCGGAGGTTTCCCTCAATATTTTCATCGAGGGCACGTTGAATTCAGTTGCAACGACTGGAGTCTTGGTATTTACATGCACCATTCTGTTTTTAAAATCCCTTCTTTTCTAACCTCATAACTGCACTAAAACGTTTCTACCACTTTCTTACTATTCCAGGAAGATTTAAGTATAAAAGTGAGCCCTATAAGAATCTCCATCGGAGACAGTAAGTGTCCTTAAGTGTTCGTTTTCTTTGACAAAACTCGACCATTACCCCGATGAAAACTGTCACGACATTTTCTTTACACACTGACATTTTCTTTTTCCAGATTTCATTAAAAATTTTCAGAAACTGCGGGGGACAAGTTTCAAGACTCGTTCTTCAACAGGTGAGGACAACGCTGAATAGTGAAAATTAAACAACGATGTCTTTACTAAAATTGAATTTTAACATTCATTCCTCAATTCCCCAAAGCGGCAGAGGGAGAAACCAAATCAACGAGTTCCTCGTTATCAAAATATCTGCCAAAGGTAAGAAATGGTATATCAGTAATGATAGGCTTCCCGTTGTCGTCTAGTGGGTGACATTAAGATGATAAATACTCATAATTCTTGGGAAGTAACTGCTGAGGTTGTTTGTCAATTGTCAGGTAAAATGTTCGCGAGCAAAGTTGAAGTTTCACCAGATACAATGCGTTTCATTTGCAGAACTTTGATGTGGCGATTGCTGAATCAGATGTGTTCATATGCGATGAAGACCAAAGGTGCATAGTCTTTGATCATAAACAGAAATGTTTTATTTGTTGTTCTGTAGAATTCGCGCTGTCAATACAGTACATATACCATGGAATTTCACCCATAATTCGTATGTCATTCCAGGGAGCTGTCAGTTCACATCGATAATCTAACGTACAGAGCCTCGCTTGCGGAAACACCGTCATCTCCGGATTCCAACTCCATGGTCAGACCAATGGATCTCTTAATAAACGGTATAATGATTATTATTATATGGTAAATGATGTAGCATGATGCGACCATGTACACTGCGTTGCTGCCAAACTTACTTCAGCTGAATTCTGAAAAAATATTTCTCGCTTGAAGGAACTTGTTAAAATTTATTCTCCAGGTTTAAAAGTCAAAGCAAGAGGTTCGAAAAATCTTGTGTCGTTTAGGAAATTCATGTTGGCTATCAAGGTAAAGTTGAGGCTATCTATCGCCATGAAAAGAAAGTAAAAACGATGCAAGAATAGAAAGAATTTTGACGAAACATGTTATATTTGAACAAGGAAAAGAGTTGATATAATCATTTTATCTTCCGTCCTTGTTTTTGGTGCATTTAGACTCAAGAATCCGAGTCGTCTTTGCCAAGTATTTGGTCCAAAGTGTATCTGGCTTCCTGTCAATGCAATTATATTCATGATGAGGTCTCCCACTGGGCGACATTTTTATTTCTTGAGGAACGAGACACTACAGTTGTTAAAAAGAGAAGGTAGCCTAATTTATGATCATTTTCAAGCTATTAATCTGACTGCACATTGAATCATTCTGAATTGTATGAACTAATAGTTATATTCCTTCATCTTCTGTAGTTTGCCAGAGACAGTAATCAATCTTACGAAGAAATATAGTTTTGAAAATAACTTTGAAATCGATGATATGACAATGTACCTTGATACAAATAAAAACTCAAAACTTGGGCAAGATAAACACGTCTGTAAAGCTGTCCTTGCATCGCTGGTTACCAACGTTGAAGTCCCTTCGCAAGGTGAAAACATCCGACTGTAAAAAGACAAGATTTCTGTACAGCAATTTGTTGTTTTGTTGCTGTCATAACGAGCCATTTCTCGCTTTTTGAAGTCGTATTTTTACTCACCATGCACGCTTTTTAAATTTTAGAAACGGAGAAAGAAACAAAGACAGTGAAGTAAGTGAAACACTGGAATTTATACAATAATAGTTGAACAGATTATAAGCTAAAAGACAGCAGATTTACTGTGCATGATAATGAATTATGATATGAAATATGGAGCAATGAAGAAGCAAGTTTATTTCTTGCTCTGATTTCAGTAATTTCGCTACTGTCGTTTGTATATGATGCATGCTTAAGTCTTTTGTTTTCTTCTTTCCAGTTGCTCGGCCAGACTGGAGAATGCTTATGTTTATTTCAATGTTACTGATGCTGAAAATACGAATGTTGGAATACTTCTTGAGGACAGTTCTTCTGTCTTGCCAAACAGTAGAAAACATTTGTGGGGACGAGTGTTGGAGCTTGGCAGTTCTAGCATTAAGGTTTGAAATTCCCTCGACTATAAACAAACTTTATTTTTACTGGACATGTTCTGAAATGTTAATCTTGAATCTCACTAGTGTGACGTCGAGTTAGAAAGCTCAACGCGACCACAAAACGCAGCCTTAAAATGTGATGCTTCATCGTTTGTTCTGGAGTACTCCCAACACACGAAGAATTGTCTCAAGGCTTTGCTAAAAACCGGAGAGTTTTACAAACGTTTTAAGAAAGAAAAAGCGGAAAGCTTAAAAGAAGAAAACTCTTACAATTCGTGTAAGTATTATATGCAGGATTGAGCTCATGATGATATACTGGATAAATATATTTCTAAAAATGGAGCGACTGTGTAAACTATTGTAGTCCATATAGCAGATATTAATAGGTCAGTGTTGGTAAATGTTTAGGTTTTTTTCTAGTCTTTCAGGAATGCGATGTCACAGTTCACGATATCAATATATTCTGTGTTGGAAAATGTGAAGGTGAGTTTAATTTTGTGCATTACAGAAGATATCGTTTGTGTACGATGTTGTTTACTGTATATATGCTTCCTTGTTTATTCTAGATGGTATTGACTCGGTTCTCGCCCGAGTGGACGTGGTATCTGTGAACAAAGAGAAAGATGATGTGCAAATCAGGACACATGGATGTAAAGTTGCTAGACTTGGCGAAGTAGGAAAGGTACGAATAGGAAGATTTGAAGATTTCCATTCATTTTTCTTCAGTTTTCTGGCCGAAAGAGGTAAAGGTGTCTTTCATCTCCGTAACTGAGGTTTGATTATAGTTTTCTTGATTGATTTTTATTTCAGGAAGCGTTGCTTTGTGCAAAATCAACTGAACTCAACCATACCATAATGTCGCTCACCTCAGCTGTAACAAGTCTTACGAGCAAGGTTTGTTTACCAGTGACACAGACGACACTTTGTACGGACTGCGACCGATCTACGACAAAATTAGCTGCAAAATAGAAAGAGTACTTTTCCTTAGGGAGCCACTGTGTCACTTCCTAAAATCCAAGTGGATTGGGATACGGCTTCACACATGGCCCTACACGATAGGATATCGGGGATTATTGAGGATAGCAAGGAATTGAAAGGTATGTTTTTTGTAACGATAAAATTAATGAAATGAATCGTTATCCTCAACTTAGATTCAAGTATTCCGTGTGTTCATTGGTTTTAACAATCTAAATTGTATTTTGGATAATAAAACGACTTTTGGCTAATGAATTTGTATTTTAGTCCTTCTAGCTGGTACGACAGACGATGCAGGTGTTAATGAAAAACGCGGGGAATTTTTGTCTAATGTTCAACTTGAAATCACAACGGAAGATGTTGCCATTGAAATGAAGACGTCCTCCGTGAACAGGTGACCGCTTTTTCATTCGTATTCTTGCTTCATATTTTCCCGAATGTTGACTATACTCTTCGAAATCTCGCTTTATATTCCTCCAAGTATAACTCATGACAAAATCTCTCAACTATAGTTTTGGTGTCCAGTTCTCCGGAGTTATAAAACTGGATGATGGATGGTTATCAGCTGAATCGCCAAACATCGATATTTTGTTTGATGCAAGAAGAATATTCCAGTTAAAGGTCAGTACCGCATCACATGAAGCTTATTTCTTAAGTTTAACTTGAACTCACTTTAAGGATATCTATCGCCATATTCGATCCATCATCTCCTTGAATATTTACAGGCATTTTCGCTAAAGAAAATGGCAAAGAATTCCGATGTTAGTCTCGTGAGAAACACGGTTGATGCCTTTGAATCAAGCACAAACAAATTATGGTACTTTTTTGTCGTAGTTCTTCATTTTTTCTTCTTTAACGTTTAACATCCTAGAGCTATATGACATTACATCTTATCCTAGGATTCTGGACGCTGATGAAATCTGTATTCTGTTTCCTTACCGTTTTAACTTTGGAAAATCTCTTGACAAACTTCTCATTGTGAATAAATTGCTGAAGCAACTTTACAGGAAGCCACGAACTGGTTTGAAGGATCCACTTTATGCTGACATGTGGATCAAGCTAAAGGTATTTACATTCTCTAGCACGGGGGGTGTGTTCGTACTTCGTAGTCTGCCTACATGCATGTTCAGAGGTTTCCAAACTGTCTTTACGTCATTTATTAAGGCGTCAAGTCTCAATGAGGGCAATTGCATTTAATATATCTTTTCAGAGTTTATCTTTTGAAATTGAGGATGATCCATTTGAAGTGAAACTGGGGAAGAACTACGAGGTAAAATCATTGAAAGTGGCTTCTGTTAAGACGCGTGTAGGAATTTTGTTTATTCCTTAGCTTCTCTGTGACGAAGCTTTACAATGGACTGAGAGGGAAAGACTTTTGGAGGAACGAATTAGCGAAAAGAGAAAGAATCCTGGAAACATGTTATCAGGTTTGAAAACTAATCACAACAAATTCATTGCTACACGGTGCATTTTGTGATATTCATTTATGAAATTTTATGGTTTATCAATTTAGACAAGAAAGTTGAAGGACTTTACTACAGTTTGAGTGAAAAGAAATCTAAAATCTACATCGAAAGATCCGTGGTAAGTCTTTTCGCTGTATACCCGCGGTTTCCTCAACAGATATTTTCAGGTTTTGTCGTTTTGGTTTAGAAATTATACGAAGTGGACAAGCGAACTCGCCTCTGCTGCTGGGAGTTCACGGATGTAAATTTAATGATTCTGGCGGACGAGTCGATGAATGGGGAAGAAAAGGTAGTCCCTCTGATGAAACAAATTGATAGCGAAAGGTAATATGTGTTTTGGATGTTTGTGCAGGATTCTGATTCAGGATAAACTGATTGAAGCCACTAATCTTTGCCAAGCAATGTCTTTATATTCATTCAAAATGATTTGGCTTTTTAATGACAACATTATAAACTGTCGGTTAATTTGTTATTCTTTCATATTTCCAGCCCCTTTCCCACTGAAGATGTTAAATTCTCAACTTTATGGTCTCGTTTTGTTAAAGGAACCGTTTCATCATCAACTGTAAGTGTCTTGAAACATTTTATTCATTCATACATTTACACCACTAAACCTTACAGCATTTATTTTGCCTCAATGTACTTTAACTTCGATATAATAATATAATAATTAACGCTTTGCTATATCGATTTATTGACGATATATTCTTGCAGTACATGCATAACTTTTCCATGAGAATAATTTCAAAGTTTATCAAAATCCTGGCGTTGTTTTTTGACCTCCAAGAGAGTCTTGTCCTGACAAGACGTCACAATATTGGCTATGACTACTTTTCGTTTCCCTTTTAGCTAAACAATTACAATAGATCGTGAAGTTTCTAAGTATATTTAGTAAATTTGAAAGTAATTTGAACGCATATCCTATGTTTTACAACAACACACAGATCTGTTGTTATGTTGCATGTCCTTTTGCTTTCTCGCTCTTCGGTGAGGAATGGCTTGTACTGAATGTAGTATTTCTTTCCATGTACCTTTTCCACATTATTCTTTTGACATTTCTTGTCAACAAGAAAGCCAGAGCGATGTAAAGTCCTTGGAAACCATTTCCAAGTACAAAAATGTACTCGAAGACCACTTCTCTCGGGAAAATCACAACGAAAATACCAAATAACCACGACAAACCCATCAGCGCTGACATCCTCAAATATATCCCAACATGGCGGGCGTTTGCTCCCTCGTTTTTCTTTTGCAATTGTCGACTGGCTTTGCTGGTTTTTTGGATATTTCTTAACGTGATTACAAGAAGGATTAGGTTCACGAAAACTTGTACCGCAGCAGGATAAAGAAATGCTATCCTGAAACTCTCCGGGTTTCCAAACCAACATCTGCTCGAGCTCTCGTTCCTTAGCGAGATCACTTGACATCCGTGTAAAACCCAGCACAGAGTCACCCATAAACCAGGAATACCCAAGCTGTAGCCACAATATCGCAGGAATTCTCGTCGGTTACTGGAAGTGTAGAGTTTTCCTTCAGATAGGCGACGAAATGTGAAGAAGGAATTCACAGCAATTGAGCCAGATGTGCAAAACGAGCTCAGAAAAGCAAAATGGTTTAGGATTGCAGTTATTGTACATAGGACAGGCGATGATACAACGATAGCTTCTACAATCCAAAGGGTTTGTGCGCTCGCTAGGGTTCCGCATAAAAGCATCAAGTTTTTGCCTGGAAGATTTCTCAAAGCACGATTCAACGAATACACAATTATTACAACTGTGAGACTGAGTACTGATGTTAACAGACTGATCAAAGTTACATACGAGAGTATGACGTAATGTATCTCATCTGAACGGTCGTTAATACCTTTCATTCTGAAGTCAAAATTGTCTTTTAAACATACCCAAGCCTTGTTATCAATGATCGTGTACTCACCATAGTCATAAACCGATTTTGTCACCCGGTTGTAAATTGAACGGTTACGAAACGGTGTGAAATCACTCGCGTTTAAAAGTACATTATAATGTGTACAATTCACGGGCCTGAACACTGTACAAATTGCCAAGAAACTTTCATTGTATTTGAAATATTCGCCTTTGTCATAGTACAAGTTCTGTGATGGGTCGAAAGACACCTGTAGTGTTCCGTTGGGGAATATTTTCGACTGGTTGGCCGCGATAAATGTTGTGTTTTGAACGCAAAACAACTCTCTTGAAACCTGACGTTTTAAGGAATATCGACAAACCCCATGTTTTCTGTCTTGATTGGCGCTTGCGTGAAAAACAAGTTCATTGATTTTTGAATAATCCCAAGGAAATCCTTCGCCATTATCGAAGTCAATTTCAGATCCCAACAGTTGAAACGCCACGACAAAGCTGTGGTTGTTCTGTTGATAAATATCCAGGTCTGAAAACTTCACGTTTGACTCAAGTAGACTGACTCTTAGTAACTTCTCAAACACGTCATCAAACCGTACACATTGGTTATCTTTTGAGCGTTTGCGACTTTTGTTGTTTACCGCTTCATACTTCAATACGATGGCGAATTTTCTCAAAAATTGGTTAGATTTTTTCATACTGTCGGCCGCCAAAACCTGGCCGCATTCTCCTGAGCGAGCGTTGTAAAGTTCACCTTCAGGACAGTGCAAGGACGACAAGGAACTGCTCTCTTCTGAACTCGTGAAAATTGCGCTGTAAGGTCTAGGCACTATTCTTCCACTCGCTTTTTCTGGTACGAACGGTGCGCACATTGGGATAATCCAGTATCTAGCGTTACATAAAAGACAAGCGAGGTTCCTGTAGTTTTTAAACTCACTTTGCGGCGTCTTGGCTGCGACCAAACCAGCCGGTTGCTGGGCACATTTTCTTTTCTCCTCCTCGCCTGCTTTGCTTTTGCAGGTTTTCACAACATCGTAACAATAGCGAACTCCACGACTAGCGAATGTACGTTTCAGATATCTATTTTGGCAAAAGTAATCGGTGAATTTCCAGAATTCAGACTCGGTGTATGTGCTCGTTGGCAGCACGTTGCATTTGACCGAAAATTTCCACGGTTTGTACACGGTTATTCCGTTGCAAATGGCGCAGTATCTGTTCAAAAATGTCACGTTATTACCATCGATCACCGGAATTTGTGTGGAGATATGATTCTTGTTTGGCTTCGTGCACTTCTCTGCAATCTCGTCGTTGTTCCAACCAGGATTGCATTTACCTATGGCCCAGATCTTTCTATCATCTACTTTACTGCAAGTCCACAGGTCGTCTATTTCATTTTTATCCAAGGCTTCTTTCATCCCACTTGCATTGCATTGTTCGTCGTAATCTTCACAGCAGTCGTTGAAGACTGAATCACACCAAGGATCACAAAAACACTGAGCTTTGTTTGTGTGTCGTTCTTGAAATTGACGGTTCGAACCGCAGCGTCCAGCACAACTCTTGGCGTCAGAACATTTCATTGAAATGAGTGGAATCCGCCAAACATTCACATCGGTAGTGTTCAAATCCGTTCCATTTTCTGCGCGCTTTCCTTCGAACTTTGAATAACGGTTGTCGACTTTCCTTGGTCTAATTTCTGTAGTATTTAAGGTCGGTTCCGAAGCAACGACTTTTAAATAAATTAGAAAAATGTGGACACACAACAGTCCGCAAATTCGGTGCATGGTTAGATAGGTGCTTCTGTTCACTCCACTTTGCAGGATTTATAACAAGCAATTTTACTTCGGTTTGCGTCATAGATGCTTCTGGTAGGCCAACGTCAAGACTGATTTTAATAACCTTTATATGATATGTAAATTACTAAATATTATAACATCGTTACTAATTTGCTTAATCGTCGTCATATTGCCACTGCAATTATTATTTTTATGATCCTTAGATGCTAGTAATTTTAGGCTTTAAACGTGGCAGAAATTCTTCCTGAATTCCCCGTTGTTTTCTCGTATCAAATCCTGTTTATATATTCTCAAGATAACTGTATGTCTGAAGAACATGTTTCATCAATGAACACTGATATATTTCTTCACGTTTGCTTGTATTTACAATCGTTCAACATTGGCGCCGCAGTTTAATAACATTACTTGTATGTACAAACATAACATCTTCATCAATTTGTCAAATCGTCGTCAAAAATACGCCGAAATTGATTGCGTTTGCTACAAAATGAATTGTAGTTCAAATTGATTACGTTGGAATTGTTTCAGCTTGCGTTCAAAGACCACCGTCGGTAAATATTAAAATCATCGCTCTTTTGTTCATCTGGAAAATTTAACCGAAGTATATTAGAAGGTGTTACAGCTTTGAAGAGTTATTAGTTTTAAACTTTCAAGCGGATATATAATCAACTTCTTGCAATCAAGTGCAGACGAACGTTTTGACTTCCCCTAAACAAAGTGTTGAAATCCCCTAATTATTCGCGTGATATGATGTTTTGAATCTATTATATTAATTTTACTTCTGTTATTCAATTTTGAAGAGTTAGTTGGATCACTTATTCCTTTAATTTTACAGTAGGATTTTGGCGCCCCTGGTAATTATGAGAAAAATAAAAAGTGGAATTGCAAACTGCTAATAAAATTTTTACTTTCTAAAGTAATATTTCGCTCAATTAAATGTTTTTGAACGCTGAGCAAATTAAGAGTTCTAACACGCCAATATAGCTACTTCAATGAATAAAAAGTTAGTTTAGTTTTGATGATCCTTACTGGACCTCTAGGAAGAACAGTTTAGAACTGATAGAGCTATCCAGTATAAATAAAGTTAGTTTAGTTTAGGTTCCTTCTGTAGTAACACTGGATCAATAAGAGTTTTTTACTTTTTTGTGTCGTTCTATTCCATAGTTCACACTACGTGATTACGAGCAGCCGTTGTTTTTGTGCGAGTCATTTGAAATCTCCGGTCATTTGATTGGCGCAGAGCAAGAAGCATGTGAACGAGGTACAACAAGTTTTGGAGCAAGAAATGTGGAAAACATCTTCCAAATGATTAATACTTTACTATTACCTAATTACCACTCCCCATTCTTATAATCACCTTTTGACCAGTGCATCCACCTTTGAATCCACTCTTATACACCATTATCCTTCATTATCTATCAGCCAAACGAACGTGTGTGATTGAAATACCTCATCCCTGGGGCGAGCAGAAGATCACCCGAGGAATGACGCCACTGAAATACTTCCACGATTTGAAGTTTGGTAGTTACACTAAATTCACACTGTTATGAACGTTTTTGGCATGAGTTTGCTGTGAAAATATCTTTCTTGACGGTTCACAAATACATTTTCAATTTAGACTTTGAGAAGCTTGAAATGAGTTGGGGTGTTGATATTGAACCAGCCTACACGATGGTCAACATTGCTTTTGGTAAACTTCGGTCATTTTTGACTTAATTGAGACGGGGTTGCAGGTATTGTAATGCTATGAAATTGATGGTGAATTGTTTTTCATCTTTTAGAATATATCAACAAAGCGAGTGTGGATCCAAGCATAGGTTTGCCTTTTTGGGACAAGGTAATGAAAAATAAAAATCGTTCATGCGTCTTTCATCTCTGTGACTGAGGTTTGATTCCTGTAATATGCAGTTGTCTGATTATAATTTCACCTCAGTCACATGTGAGAAGAGTGTGTATGTAACGAAAGTCAATCTCTCTTCAGATGAGGCTATTGCTTCACGGACGCCTTTTAATGAATATCAAAGAATGGCAGTTGAATTGGCGAGCAACGAGAAACCCTTACGATAAATCCGAGCAACTGGAAATTGAATGGAGGAATGTTCGGTTTGAATGGACAAATGGTACGTTTGTTGCTAGTCTCATGGAGCTATTGTGGCTCGTTATTTTTCTGTGCGGTTCAATTTGTTTTTATTTACAGCATGCTTTGAAATATTTGGGGATTTTGATCTGTTTACAAGAACGGCTTCGAAGTACGATGACTGTCGGGTCCTTCATCTTCCTGCCCTTAAATATCGGTATGTTGTGATTTATGTCTGCTCTGAATGGCTTTAGAAATCAAAGTATCTCAAACTGAAGACGTCGTACGTATAATGTCGTTTCCTTGTCCTTTCAGAGCTGATCTTGTTTGGCATTGTCGAGACGAAGCTGATGCCAATAATCATTACAACATCCGACCTTGTGCCCCAGACAAACTGCCAGAACTTCCTCCGGGAAAGGTGAAAACATTGCAATATGTAAATGCTTACCATTTATGACTTATGGGGCCATTCAAGCCGCTCGCTATTCACGTAAAGCATTTAAATGATTGGTTGTTTTAAATGTTTTTACTGTGTTTCTAGGTCCACGATTCTTATGCCGCCTTCAGATCTCAAAACCTCAGTCTAAACGTCTCGTTTGAAGTGGATGAACAAAGATTGAAGGTAAATTATCATGATCTAAAGATGCGATTACTTATCACAATTCTAGAAGCAAGATGTTTTCTCGTTTGCGTATTTTATTAACCATCTTAACCATCAAAAGTCTCCTATTCTTAATTTTTTCTTTTGTTTCATCCATTTCAGAAGGACGACATTCCAGAAATACTTCTCTTCGCCAGTACATTTAGATGGTTCCAAAATTTCCAGGTAAAGTTGTTGAAATTATTCCCGTCGCCATGAAAACAGTCCACATTCTTAACGAACACACTGTCATGTTTTACATAGGCTGTGGTTTGGCGTAATGTGAGTCGACCAATCAAGAAAGGCTCAATTTTCAACAGAATCCTACCGAAAAAAAGACCTTTGAGTCGACACTACAGGTGACTTGGAAAATTATGTTTTCACATTCTTCTAACAATCCAAAATCATAGTCTGGCGATTAAAATCATCATGTGGTGATTGAGATTGAAGTGAAAAGCAAACTCCGAATAAAAAAGGGCATCTTAAGAGTACAACATTTGATTCAAGACGCAGTTTGAAACTGTCAAGTTTTGACGTAATTCGAAATATGTTTTTTTGTACTCCCTGGATCAGATAGTTTTTTAGACTCCGGTCTCCGAAAAGTCTTTGAAAAAGCAGCCAGTTCTCGAGAAACTACGAGAACTCTTTTATCAATTCTGTTACAGAAACTTTGGTCTTAACCTAAAATTTCCCAAGCTTCATCTTCTGTATTGGGGCTCAGTCACGAGGCATTTGGGAGCAGAACTTAATCTTGGCACAGGAAGCCTAAATACAATATACCGAGTTGGTTTGTCGGAGTTTGAAGATGGCTTGATCCGAAGACCTGCTGCCACCTGGACGATTATTAAACTGGACAGTGAGATTGATGATGTCACGTGTTACGTCACAGGCGTCGCGGAGCGGCCTGAGAAAGAGACTGTGCAACAGTCGACGCCCATTCAGGTTTCTAGAAATTTGTAATATTCCTGCAATATGCAGTTTTCTGATTATAATTTCATCTCAATGAGAAGAGTGTCGTATTAATCATTGTCATCATAATCGTTTTAGGAAAGTTCTGATTCAAACGAGGACACGGCAGATCTACAAACGTTGGAAACATCAAAATTCTATCTTGGACACGTTGACAGGTAAAAACCATGATAGAGCATGACAGAATGCTGGGATAGACTAACAATTCCTTCCATGCAAACTTGTATATGTTTCTATGGTGTGATCACATTCAAAACTGTTGACATGTCAACTTAATACGGAATAAATCAACATTATTGCTGACGAAATAATAAAAAACTTCGCCGACTTTCACAAATCATTATTGATATTCGCTTTAATGTACAACAGGTTGGTTTATAAAAGAAAGGAATTCAACCAGGAAGAAACGGAAATGGATGGAGTTTCCTCGAATAATTTAGAGGTAAATGTATTAAAATAAGACTTCAGCTTCAAAAGACTTCTGAGTTCATGACCGTTATTTTGTGTGTTTTAACAGGACTACACTCATAACCTTGTCTGCCATAATTTCCGTGGAGTCTGGACGCTAACAAACAGGAAATTGACTTTTGGACTTGTGGAGACATACACAAGATCACAGGTGCAGTCCCTTGATCTGGATATAAACTGGATGATAGCGCAAAGTATTTTCCACTGGTGCTGAAATTCGAGCAAGTTATACAATTTACTCTGTGTACAACTTTGATATTTCTGTTTCCTTGTAGCAATTGAAGAAAGATTTATCAGCCGATGCTCTAAAGTCTGTTAAAGTTGACAACATGGTATGACCTGTTCTTGAGTACTATTTTATTAAAGCCCTGTCAAGTTTCTTTTGTTAAATTAACTATTCTTTGGCATAGAACAACTCAGCACTCTCCGAGTCCTCTCCTGACACGAGTACTCGGAAGGATTCGTCGGCCCGACGACTGTCGACGAGCCAAACGAAGCTGGACGATCTCTTCTCGAAGACTATGAGCGGAAAAGTTGAGGTAAGGCATGTAATGGATATTCCAGGACCGTTCCCGGGAAATTATGATATCCAGTTCTGTGTTGCCAATCGTCACCTCTCTTTTCCACGAATCTTCCCATTTTTATTCTCAATTCACAGGCAGCGGGTGACGATGTGGACAATTCAATTTCTGCGTCTAGACGTCGTTCAACGAGCACTGATGTTTTACTTGATAAACTAGTCTCGGATTTATCAGATCCTTCCAAGCTTTACGTTCTAACGGAAGAGGTTTGTACGGGAGGAAGGGGACCACCGTCCGTACTTCGTGTTCGTGTTTGTGTTTCAGGCTCATACTTTGTGTTATCCCTAGGGTAAAAGTGACGAGGCTCAATCCAGCGGTTATGCTCTCTGCAATTCTGAAGACATTCACGAACAACGGTGGCATTGTGAGTCAACTTCCAGCATTTATATATTCCTCAAAATAAACACATAAGCTCGTTTTTATTGATTCCTCCTTTTCAACATTCCTTTGTCAAAGATCCGGTGAAATTATCTCATCCAATCTTGCCTCTGACGCGACCTGAACAACGGCCAAAATAGTTTTCAGTTTCGTTATACTTCTTTATCATTTCTTCATTTCCAGTCGAGTTCATCAACTCTCAAGTGATGTTGAAAGGTATCGAGAACTCTGGTTGTGTCCTGGTCACAGCCGGCCACGCTGAGGTTCTCAATCGTCTTCATCAACCGACGCAAGTTGGGAGAAAACTATTAAACAAGAAAACCTGGGTCGGGCATTTGGAAAATATGCAGGTAATTATACCACGTGATCTCGTGCTCATATTTCAACCAATCAGCGCTCAGAAGAGTTGTCGAAATGAAAACCATTCTGCATATTTAATCCATTATATCTTTTGTTTCCCTTCATGACTGTAGTCGAAATTTTGTGTTTATGTTCAGTTGTAATAACTATAGTTCTGACATAAATTTGGAGCCGAAAAATTATGTTTCCATAATAGTTTTATCAATCTTTCAAGTATTTCTCTACGGTCAAAGCAACTGACGAAATCTCGAATGAAGAAATCTCACACAAGGACAGCATCTGGCTGGACTCAAATACGATTCAAGCTCGCCGTAAAAACACTGGCATTGATTTGACCGACCCATCCTCGGTGTTGGGGCCTGGCGATGACGTTGGGTCTTTTGTTGGAGGTTTGCTCATCAGAAACACAAAACTACAGCGAATAGTTTCAAGAGGTGGTTGCGAGTTTTACTACGTGAGTTTTGACGATGAACTTGAAGAGGGATTAGAAGATGTCCCTGCCTCGAACACCGTAAGAAAATATAGTTATGATTTTACAGATGTCGTCCTTTATTGAGCTGTTTTCACAATGTTTATTGTCATCTTTGTGTTTCTTAACTTTATAATCGTTTCTGCAGCCCGCGCCATCACCCTCTACGAGACTACGATACAATCAAGGCGCTGGGGATCCAGTGAATACATTCACCTTGAAACATCCCGTGCTGGAGATATGTATTAATTCTGTGAGTTAAAATGCTTCAGAACACATTGAACTAAGTATTATAAACTGTTCTTTCTAGAGGTCCAGTAAGGATTATCTCTTATTGATCCAGTGTTACTACAGGAGGAAACCTAAACTAAACTAACTTTATTTATACTGGATAGCTCTATCAGTTCTAAACTGTTCTTCCTAGAGGTCCAGTAAGGATTATCTCTTATTGATCCAGTGTTACTACAGGAGGAAACCTAAACTAAACTAACTTTATTTATACTGAATAGCTCTATCAGTTCTAAACTGCTCTTCCTAAAGGTCCAGTAAGGATCATCTCTTATTGATCTAGTGTTACTACAGGAAGAAACCTAAACTAAACTAACTTTATTTATACTGGTATGAATCATCTCTCTGTCTTTAGGCACAATATGCTCTAATTCTTGATATCGTTAGCAACGTGCTACTGTACACAGAACCGCAGAAAAAAGTACGTGGAAAAAATGCATTTGAGAATGTTTTTGTGGTAAGCTGCTCTAGGTATTTCCCCAAGCTATCTCTACAAACGTTTTCCTCATTACAGGAAGTATCTGAACTTGAACAACGTATGGGCTTCTATTTTCAACTGAGCACAGCAGAAGATTTGAAAGGAACTATTCTAAATGTACAGAATAATGTCAGGTACAGTGTGTGTAGCTCAATCAGTTCTAAGCTGTTCTTCCTAGAGTACCAGTGACGATCATCTCTTATTGATACCGCGTATCTTACCCTGTATTCATATATTGTCTTTCAGAACTTGTTTGACGGAATTAAACGAACTACGACGTGTTCTGTATAACTTGAATGAAATAATGAAAGAGAAGGAAAAGATGGAAGCACCAAATGAAAACTGTTTGAAGGAAATTGAAGAGTACGTTCTTTATCGATTGGTCAGCCGGCCGTCTTGACTGCCAATCAAATCTCATTTATTTCATTATCTCAAATTATTTTTTAGATTGAAGAGCGAAAGGGTGCAGTTAGAATCGTTGGCCGCTGATAGGAAAGCGTATGTAAATGAATTAGGCACGGAACTCCGAATTATGATAAGGTAAACATGTATTTATAGAGAATTTTTGAACTGCAAATGATGGGTTTTGTCGGAGTCTGCATTCAAAAGAAATTTGGGAAAACGTTTGGGATGTATTCCGTTGGTACTTCAGCCACAAATTACATTCCCTTGCTCAAATCCTCTTTAATAAAATGATATTTATTTTTGCCAGTGCGTACAAAGATTTCATGACAGACCGTGTAATGCTCTCACCAGAGAAAGGTAGGTTGAAGTGTCTTAATTCCTCATCATTATTGATGCCGCATACTTGGGACTATACGAGCAGCATTTTCTGTCATTTCAGGTCGAAACGGGGAGTTGATGAGGGTCGTTGAGGTATTTTTAAACCATGTTTCCTGGAGACTTACTCAGCCAGACGGTCAACTGAAGTTTGTCGAGGCGACTTTGATGAATTTGAGGTAAACAATTTTATGAATTGTTCTGTCCAGTGGCGGGATATTCTGGAGTGGAATATCTCTTCATCTGTGCTCCTAAACTGTGAACGTTGTTGAGCCGATCCAAAAGTCATTCATTGTTTTTCGTTTGACAGGTACACCAACATTACAATGACTGATTCTTCCGGAGTTCATACTGTTGAGGTTGGAAACTTCAATATGACGAATCTTATGCCTAATTCTCCCTACAAGGTAAGTGCTAAATAAACTCTTTGATTTTGTTCAACAACAGCCGCGGAAACTATATAGTTTTAGTCAGAATACTCGATAACATTAGATAACTCTATACCTGTTGTTTTAAATCAGTATTAAAATCTATGGTATATGAATCTACTACCACTTAACCTATTAAAACTAAGTGTGTATAGCTCCATTAGTTTTGAAGCTTTATCATAGGCAGCCCAGACATGTTTTCGTCTCGTGGCGCTCGCGCGTGTACACGAGTCTACTTGGTCTATTATTATGACATAATAGACCAAGTAGACTCGTGTACACGCGCGAGCGCCACGAGAACGAAAACATGTCTGGGCTGCCTATGGCTTTATATATCCTTCCTATTATTTCGAGAAGTCTAGTAAAGGGTCTGTGACTAGTTTCGCTTTACTAAGAGGTCGCAAAGGTCATACAGTCAGCCAATGATATTCCTTGAATGCCGCGAATTCCATAGGCATTGAGAAGGCTGTTTGCATCAGCGATCGCTTCCTCTTCCGAAATGCCATCATGGCTGAAGTCGTGAACGATGTTCTTGCTCGCTCGTTCGTGGATAATTTCTCGTGTAAGATATGTTTGGAAGTCCTGGATAACCCCGTTCAATGTCAGAACAACCAGCATTACTTCTGTCTGAAATGCATCACAAAGCATCTAAAAAACTCCAAAACATGTCCGCTTTGTGCTGACCAACTGACGCTTGAAACGCTGAGACCAGCTCCTCGAGTCGTGCACGAAATTCTTTCTCAGATCAACCAACCGCGTTGCAAACATGTTTCTCGAGGTTGCAAGGAGAATGTTGAAGTTGAAGAGCTGTTGTCGCACGAAGAATCCTGTGATTATGCTCCGGTCTCTTGTCTGAACGAAGGATGCGAACAGACGATGAACAGACGAGATAAAGAAAGACACGGGGCAGAAGAATGCAAGTTTAGAAAGATAACTTGTGCATCCTGTCATGAAGAGTTTGTGTATAACGATTATGAATTACACCAGTGTACCTTGAGAAAGGAGATCAACGATATGAAATTACAATTAAATGAAGTAACCCAGGCGTTGAAACAAGTAGTTCTTGCTCAAAGCGAAATGGTGCAGAGGCTACAAGCCCACGACCAAAGTCTAAGAAATATTCAAGATCCTTTACGTCACTTTAGTTCTACGGCAATTGAACGAGAGAAAACACTTGTGTTTGGACAGATATTCGTTTTCGGCGGCCGTGAAGGTGATAATAACGAAGGAACAGACAAGTCGATCGAGGTTTTCAACTGGTCAACAAGAACGTGGACTTTGGTTAAAAAATGTTTATTCATGAAACGGCGTTTCTCGCAAGCTTTTCTGTACGGGAAGAGAATCATGGTGTGCGGTGGCTGGTATTCGGATCGAATCGAGTTCTTCGATCCAAATGAGAACGGCTTTACTTCGTGTTTGTTTCCAGCAAGCTTGCCTTGGCAGGGTGTTGTCAACGGCGTTTTGTTTAGGAATAGATTCATCACGTTCCACGAGAAAGTCGAGGAAACGCTGCTTGACTCACCATGGGAAACCAGGACTCTTGTTGGGAAGAATTACACTGGTCTTACCCGGGCTGGTGTTGAATGTTTTGGCAACGATATTTATGTCGCTGGCGACTCAAAGTTCCTGCGTTATGATGCAGTTCGTAATGAATTAAGGCTTCTTCCCCCTTTGCCATATTCCGTGATAAACATGGCGACAGTCTGGTACAAAGATAGTGTCATTATCACCGGTGGTCAAGATGACAATTCCACCTCCTGGTTGCCGCTGAACGATGTGTTGATGTACAATGTCCGAACCTTGGAGTGCAAACGTTTGCCGTCGATGCTCGAGAAGAGAACTGGGCACGCAGCTGTCATCATGGGTGATGTGGTTGTCGTGATGGGAGGGTCCTCCAAGGATGCCGCAGGGGAAATCACGTATCTCAAAACAGTAGAATATCATGTTATTGGTGAAAGCACTTGGCAAAAACTACCCGATATGAATCAAGCTAGGCATGGCGTCACAGCGTGCGTATACGTGTAAACTAGGCCAGAACTGTCGATTTGAATGACTTTGAATAACTTTGATAAACATTTATCATTAGCAAGTGTCCACTCCTTGCACGTTTTAATACCTGTCACGTTTTAGAGACATTTCTTACTGTTCATCCTTGTTTTCCCTCGTGAATTGTACAAACAGACACAGTCGAAATATAATATAATGACAATGTATAGAAAACACCAACGATTTACGATTATTGTATGCTTTGGTAAAATAAATGTAAACAGAGTTTTCTCATGACTGTTTTAACCGAAGCTCTGGTCATTTCTGCCGATAACTCAGCTCGAATAATATTTAGGAGATTTAAAATTTAGGAAAATATGATATTGAAGAAAACTTAATGATTTATCTCCCATATCTCAGAACGTTATTGCGCCAAGCGGAGAAAGAAGAGTCGGTAAAGATATCGCCATTAGAGTGTATTGTCGAGTAAAATCACCAGGTAAGATACGATTCACTTCCTGTGTATTCTCTTTTGCGTAAATATACATTTAAACTGTGTGAATAATGGAATTAATAGTTGGTGGTATCGGAGTCAAAGATCATTTTGAAGTCAATCTTTGTCCCCTGAACGTCGCTCTCACTCACAGACTTTATAAATTGTTCATGGCGTATTTCTTTCCTGGCCGAGCTCACGAATACGTCAGAGAGGCGGTGGAGGAATACGATGGTGTCTCTGATGGAGGTGGGTGAAAGGTCTTGCATGAGGGGGACCCCGTAGAAAGAGGGGAAAATACTGGAATGCCCACAATGCTGGTTTCTTGTTATGTTAAAAATTATTTTTGTTGTTTATCGACAGCGGCGGCTGAGCAGCAACCCCCACATGGCGATAAAGATGATTTCAACGAGGTGCATAAAAACATTCTTCTACATAGTTCTTTAAATATTCAAACTCTATTCATATTGTGGTTATATCCGCAGTCAATTGTTGATAACGTTCAGGCATTTCTTTTCCCCTGATCAAAACAAGAGGATCAATATCATTCGTATTAGCCAAGCAATCACAGAATGTCTCATTCAATATTTTCCTCCCTCGTTTCTATCACAATACAGGAAGGAGCAGCTCAGAAGCCATCACGTCCAACTAGCCTCGCCATCTCTGATATCTCCCTCAGTACCAGAGCGTCTGTCTCCAGCCTCGAAAGCCTGTCACCATTGCAGTCTCCACAAGCACAAAGCTCTGACAAGGTTGGTGACTTTGTTTAGTAGTTGGAAAATCCAACCGTTCGTTTGTCATCCAGTCAAGGTCCAGTGTTCAGACTTCTTCAACATCTTATTGTCAAAACATCCTCTCTTCTGTGTAATACTCTAAAATTCTTTCCCCTTCATTGTAGAAATCTGGACGAAGCAGATTTTATGCTTCGTTGTCGGAAACAGCTTCGAAAGAGCTTGATAAAATGAAGGTATCTGCCGAGTATATAATTTTTTACTCCCCATCCAATGCGTTCAGGGATGCAACAAACAAATCATTTGGGATTTTTCATGCAGGAGCGAGCAGCCCAGACGAACAATTTTGTTTACGTGAAGATTCCAGAAATACCAATATGTTTCAGCTACAAGGTGAGGTTATGCTGGGGATATTTGTAAGTTTTTGTTGTTGGTGTGCATGCAAATAGTTTTTATTTCACTTTACAGGGAGAGAAAGAGAAGAATTTGGTTGACGTTCACAACTTTAGGTTGACCTTACCAACATTGCAATATCAAAATAGAACATGGACGTGGCTTGATCTCATGTTGGTGATGAAAAAAGATTATAAACAAGTTCTCGTTGGTCAGGTGAGTGTCTTTATTTCAGCGTTTAACTCCAGAGAGGTTTGTAGATCATCTTAGTTTCTTCCTTTTGTGAAGGTGATCAAAGAAAAACTGCATTGGAAGGGAGGCGAGAATAAGGAGACGAAGGAATCGTTTGCGTAAGTTTATAAAAGATCCTGATAGAAAACTCAACTTTACTAGTTATCCCAATTGTCTGTTTCTTTCCGATAAATCTGTGGTGTTTCTTATTTAGACCAGACAAGGCGAAAATATTATTTGGTGACAAGGTAAGTTTCCAAATATCAACACGATAACAGCTAAACAAGATTCGCGTTTATATTTTTCTGAAACATTTTTTTTTTCTTGCTAAAATGGCCGTAATACTTTTTAACATCATTTAGCAATATGACGGGCGGAAAAAGAAGAAGAAAAGTCTTTTGTCTAAGTTTGGTCTTAAACACAAAAGCGATAAAACAGGTTTGAAATTATCCTATATTTATGTAAGAGTTATACTCCATTAAGCCTGGGCAGGTACGATTTCACGACAAGAGCTATGAACCAATTTATGATTAATTTCATAGTTTGTCATATGATTTAAACAGATGCCGTGAGCTTCAGCGGTCTCTCTGTTGGGGAGCAAGCCGACTACGGTTTAGAAGAAGACAGTTTTGAACCGCTGCCCAGATCCGGTGACGAGGAAGATTTACCTGGTGCGGTACGGTAGTATACATTTAGGGATAACTCAGTTATTAGTGGGTGCGGAGGAACACGTAGTGGTAAACCTTTTTGGTCTACCAAATCATGCTTTCATGTTAAGAAACCCCATCACTAGCAATCAAAATACATTTTACAAGTTATTTATACCAAAAATCACCGTCATTGAAACGCGACAAATAGAGATTTATATATTTGAAGTTATTTAATACGACTTTTTATAATTACCCACTTGAAATGGCATTTGTACAACAAGTAAATATAGTTAGATATTAAATATTGTTTTCAAAAGCTGGTTAAACCAGGTTTTTGGCGAAACTTTGCGTATAGTGTATGTCATAAGGTCTGTCATAGCTTTCAATCCATCGAAGTTTGTTGCAAGGTGAGGATCGTATCCGTCTCGGAAACAGACGTTCGCTGTACGTCGTGACACGGAATTTTACGTATACCGAGCGCTACCTAACTGATGGAAGCGTCTCCCGGGCTGTTTGCATGCGTTTCCTTGCTCTTTGGAAGGCATCTAAAACAAAAACAACAGCATTTGAACATTCTACACTATATTCAAATCCTCATCGTGAATGCAGGCCTGAAATATTGACAGTTGTATCATTCTGTCTTTCACTGACAATTTCACAAATTCTGAGGAAAGATGACCACACCTAAAACTTGTGCCAGAGACTCCATCACACCAAATCCACTAAAAGGGAGAGAAGATAATTTGTTGAATAACTAACAGCTTGTTTCTCTCAAGATTCTGACTATATTCTGGCATTTTCTTTAACTTTTTCCTGGGTAAATTCTGAAAGAAACTATGCATGATGATCAGGCATATCCTCACCGTATTCCATGTAACATTGTGCGAACTTTCTTCTTAGTTTTCCGGTTATCCATAAACCCTCTGAAATGCAAGTAATTTACTATTAATTTTCAATTCCTTCTTTGCACATACTCCTGCTTGCTTGCTGTTTTTGTTATTTCTATCACAAAATGGTCGCTGTGACGAATATTTTTGTAAACTTACTGATATTGTTGTATAATGTTGAGCTTCACTTTAACACTTCCTGATGTCGCTGTTCTGAAGCCAAACTTGCTCAGAACTCTTTGCTAGATTAAAGAAATATCACAAGGCGTTTAATGGACAAGAATGCTTGGTAGCTATTTCTCCCGAAGATGGACAAACCAGGAAACATTGTTTCTCAGCCATGTTTGATGAAGGTAGACAAACCAGGAAACATTGTTTCCTAGCCATGTCTCCTGAAGGTGGACAAACCAGAAAACATTGTTTCCCAGCCATGTTTCCTGAAGGTGGACAAACCAGGAAACATTGTTTCCCAGCCATGTTTCCTGAAGGTGGACAAACCAGAAAACATTGTTTCCCAGCCATGTTTCCTGAAGGTGGACAAACCAGGAAACATTGTTTGCCAGCAAAATTTGAAAGGTTTTCCAACATGACCTAACTCATTCTTACATCGTCGCTTCCCGCTGGTTGTTTAACGTAAGTGACGTCTTCCAGTTCCGGGGATCCGCCAATGAAGAAACGTCGCATTTTTGGTACCAGGCCATTCCCGGTCGGCCGCCACGTGTTGACGGTGATGTCATGAGTGCCAGCTTTATTTGGTAACGTAATATACCCATAACCCTCCGTTCTGAATCTCTCCCATTGGTCAACAGAGAGCACTTCCAAAAATAATGTTGGCCAACGAATGAAATCCTCTGGGGTAAATTGGAGTTTGGAATATATCAATCAATCAATCCAATCTCAAGTATGGTCAGGTGGTCCAGTGGAGGGAGTACAGTATATTCTACTATTAGCTGTCTTGGTTTGTGTCGGAACTACCTGAGAAAGATATCTCAAACGTGGTGGTCCAGTGTAGGTTGTATTTTACAATAAGCTGTCGTGGTTTGTGTCTGAACTACCTGAGAAAGATATCTCAAACGTGGTGGTCCAGTGTAGGTTGTATTTTACAATAAGCTGTCGTGGTTTGTGTCTGAACTACCTGAAGAAGATATCTCAAACGTGTTGGTCCAGTGTAGGTAGTATTTTACAATAAGCTGCGTTTAACATAATAACGTCACATTACCATCATCATTTTCAGGAGGTTGATAGCTGACGTGGAACTCAAATGGATATGAAAAATGTGCGACATCGCTCTGGAAAAGAGAGAGAGAGAGTATCTTAAGAAATCTTCAAAGGTACAATTTCATGATTTTGCTATTCCTATGATAAGCACCTTCTCAGTTGACTTGACGAAACATGTTTGTGTGACGCCAGAAAGATGAGGGGAACCTTGCGATGACCAATCTAGGAAATATATCAAACCATTTCGTCATCCGCGCGTTTTTCAACTTAAGTTTTGCGATCATAAAAACGTCACAACTCACGCTGAGGAAGCTCGATGAAAAAGTGAACGTATAAACCATCGTATTCAAAATTTTCAGCTGAAACTAGAAGTGAAATGATTGTCAATAAATAATTTTATTTACTGTATAATTGTACAAAACTCGTATTGAGAATTTCCGTACCAATTTCACCAAATATCGACGTGTTAAGAACTCCTGCTTGTGGCTGTGAATGAGAGCGAAACCCAAATTACAGAGGAAAAATTCATGCTTTAAAACCTTACAGACCAATCTTGCTTACCAGAGGTTGAAATTCGGTTCCGACTTGACTCGCCAAATACATTGCATGTCTGTTGTAAAGCTGAAGAAAATTCGTTTTCAACTATTTATTTTACAAAGCTCAGGCCTTTAATACGAATGGTTTGTTAGAAAATGAGGATTGATAACTCCCGGAAAAAGATCATGAATTTAAATTAAACTTTTTTCGCTACACGCTAACCCACAAACCTCATCATAGCTTTTGATTTCTTGTTCTTTTTCATCCCTACAAAAATACCATTCGTTTTGTACAAGTAGGCATAAAAAATAGATAATCAACGTTATGGCATCATAGTTGATGCCATACAGCACTATAATACAAGAGAGAAAACCTAAATACCGCGTCATTTCTTGAGAAGCATGTTCTATCGTATATTCATAAACCTCTGCAAAATAAACGGACAAATCATTGAAATACTTCTGTATGGAAATTGTGATGCAAAAGGAGTTGATATATATGAAATAAACAGACAAATCATTGAAATACTTCTGTATGGAAATTGTGATGCAAAAGGAGTTGATATGTATGAAATAAACAGACAAATCATTGAAATACTTCTGTATGGAAATTGTGATGCAAAAGGAGTTGATATATGTAAGACTCCTGCATCGTTTATTCATGATGTATCATTGGAGTTTACCCCAATGTTCTACAACCTTTTAGATCGCCTGAAGTCTGTATCCTGTAGGGAGATTTACTTGTATTGAGGTCAGGTTTAATCGTGATTTGACCAGTGCCATCAGTCTGGAAAAACAGCAACAAGACATCTTATTCACGGAGATATTTAAATTGATGGAAATGGATCTCTTTGGTATGTTTATAGAATTTACCTTGATAGAGCAAAGGATATACTCGTCATCCAGAGTCCCAATTCTAAAAGAAAGAGCCAATTACTTATACATTTATCGCTAATAACTGGGGGGTAAATACATATTTTTTCGCTCAGAAACATAACCACAAGTTGAATACTATCTGTAGCAAGATATGTGCTTAGATAAACCAAATTCTATTCAGGTAATCCTTGCCTGCCATCCACGCTCAAATCTGCCATAATGTACATCATTTTGAAGGGTGTTGATATCACATGATTGTTTCTTTTCGCAAGTTCTCTTTGATCATCTGTAACAATATTAGTCCTTGGACCATGGTGACCCATTCTGCAATGTTTAAATAAAGCCTGAGTATATTATAAATGGGAAATATTTTTGGATATTCTACCAAAGCAAAGACTGTGTAATTCTAATAAGACTGTGGACTGTGGTCTTATTATTTGACAAGCAGTACCGATTCCTGGCTGATCTTCTGTCAATGTTCCGTCTTCGTACATGAGCCATGTTGTTTGTTAAATAATGTGGTAATTCATTGGGGTTTGTTGTCATAGTTTTACAAATCTAAAACAAGTATGATTGACAACTTCAGTTCTGATGCTGGCCTTTTCAATTTAGGGAGGTGAGATCTTTGGAACCCAAGGGAGAGACCTATATGGACATATCAAGATGGTGCGAGATTTGGACACCTTGAGTATTGATCGTTGGACCAATCATTGGGCTTATCGAGGAGGTAGGATTTTTACACCTGAAGATCCAACAGGTCCATCAAGGGGGGAGGTCTCCGGACATATCAAGGGGGGGTCTGGACACATCCTAAGTGAAGGTTGCTAGACCAATAAAAGGGGAGATCTTGAGAATCTAAATACATCCAGAGGGGAGATCTTTTTAACCACTAAAGGAGCAATAATCAAGTCCCAGCATGTTTAAATGCATGCAAAATAAATGCACAAAATCTATCTTCAAGACCTCTTCCGTGTTTGCATAATCATCATTATCAACATAGGTGAATATCTTGTGATTACGGTAACCATTTTTCTTCCTACAAAAGTCAGATATGAGATAAGACATATGCTCCATCACATTGATAAAACAGGTTGATCAAAATTCAATAATCCAGGATTACCTTAAATTTGTTACATTATTATGGTACTGTTCTTGTAGGACAGAATAACAATTTTGACGGTTGGCATAAAACTCTTCTTCCCGCTTATAAATTAGTAAAAATTGTTAGGATCTGCGATCAAGGTTGGTTATGGTCAGGGGGGGGGTATGATAAGGAACATATTGTCAAGGGGGGTGAAGAGAAAATGAGAAATTCTCTCTTATTAGGAAAATAGCGCTTTTATGCAAATAGCGCGATATTTTTATTTATTTTTACCTGACTAAAAAGTTTTTCTTGCCATTTTACGACAATTTCCTCCTGATCCGCAGAATTCGAGCCTGCAAATGATTTAATGAACACGTTTATATAAACATCTTCGTCTGTATATGATATATTTCGGCTATTTTGCTCGATAAAGGCACATACTCTGACCGGGTCTGCTCATACGACCCATTTCTATAGCTTCTTGTCCAACATCCTCGACACTTCTCAAGTTATCCGCCGTAGAACCGAGCCTTGAAACACTTGCAACAGGAATGGCACTTGCAGCTGTAACTTTCCGTAACTTTACCCTACAAAACAAGTCATAAAAATACTCCAACGCGACGGAAAAAAGAGCCAGCAACCTAGTTTAACTTTTGAATTAGTTGCTAAAAGTTTCTTTACCTCAGCGCAAGATTTTTTGGCAGGTCTAACGAGCGAAAATGACCAACGCTTATATTTTCCAAATCTTCCGCCATATTTGTTTACATTTTTGTTTTGACACAGCTGCCCCAAGCAATGATGATGAAATTCATCATTCTGTGAATCTCAGAACTTGAGGTGCTTGAGGTAAATTTAATAGAGATTTCTAGAAATAACTCATGTTTTTTATAAGATCACTAGTGCTAAAATAATATAGTGTGATAGTCAAGGTGTGTGCTAGATTTCCAAGCCTGTTTTCATAGAATTGGGGTGTTAAACTTAGTTAACAAGACAAGTTAGTCGCCTATGCAGCACAGTAAAATGCTTTTTACATAAAATTTTACATTTCGTAAGTAGTTTTCCCGGACGCTTATTCCGAGATTCTAGGGTCTCTCCTCCGGTAGAGTACCTTTAAACCTCGAAGCCAAACAAGGGCAAAGTTCACCTGCAATATTCAGACAAATTTTGAAATTATTTTTTAACTAAATGCGTTTCGGTTTTCCTTTGAATCTAGACGCATTTGTATATTCATTTTTGTCTTGTTTTGCATTGAATATGTCATGATATTCATAATTAACACCTCATTACGTGAAAATGGACTCATTCAAAAGAATTTTATTGTTTCACGTGCATTGCGCATGCCAAAAACGTGACATGCGATCAAATGCAATTTTGTTAATTTGTTTACAAAATCATTTGCACTGCATAGATCTTCCGAGAAGGTGCTGCAGAAAGTCTTGCCAGAAACTATTTATTTTCGTCTCAAAGACGAATCATTCTTTAGCTTTTTGTTTGTGTCATCTTGAATTCCTTTTGGTTAAACCGGGAGTTTTTGAATACATATATATATACACTAAAAATGCCGCCAAATACGAGGAAATATTTGGAGACGCTTTCGCAGGACGATCTGAAAGAAATTTGGAGGACAGCAGATTGTGTTTGCTTCGATGTAGACAGCACTGTTGTCAAAGAGGAAGGCATTGATGAATTAGCGGAGTTTTGTGGAGTTGGTGATGCTGTAAGGCAGTGGTAAGATTAAAAATGTCATTTCGTTTTGGATGAATTGATCCATTCATAAATTAATTTTCATCATATAAACAAATAAATCTAGCTCCATCTATATGCTTTACACCCGAAACTAAGATAGATAGGGTTTGCTCTGGTTATTTTAAAAGAGCTACTCCGTGTTTAGTCAAAAAACGAGGTGAAAGTGTAATGTATTTATTTGATGTTTATAAATGTCATGCTGATTATCTTAAAATAAGTATTTCCATTCATTGTTTTTTGCCCTGACCTGAACGAAACACGATGGGACAGAAACCATAACTTTGTTGCATTCTTATCCTCCCTAAAATTGAAAAATATTTAATGTTTTCTATATTTCACTGGGAGAATGAAACATTGGGATATCTATGACATATGTTTCTTTGTGTGTTGGGTCAGCAATATATATCATACAAACGCTCTTTGTATGAAAGTTAAATTTTTTAAATCGGATTTATAGTTGCTTGGTATCCATATTAGATTTTCATTATAATGCCATGACTTAAATAAAACATAAATTTAGGTTCCCTAGCCTAAACTCTACAGAGAAATGCTTTCTATACTTCCTCATAACATGATTTCATCAGCCTTCACAAAAATTTTATTTACATGTTTAAAAACACTTGTGTAATTTAAGGTATTTTTCTTTGAAATGAATAGGACCCAAGCAATGAATGTTCTTTTCTGAAATGTTTTTAATTCTATAATATAGGACACTTCAAGCGATGGGTGGAAATATACGATTTAGAACAGCGCTTGAAACAAGACTAAATATGTGTAATCCAACGTTAGAACAGGTGAATATATTTAATTTGCATAGATTATACTCGCCTGAGTTAAAGAGAGATATTTTGGTAGAGGGTTTTATCATTTAGAAAAGCTGTGTGCTAATTATGACTTGTGTATTATGTATATTGTATTCAAGAGAATCTCAAAAATCTTTAAAATCTTATATGCTTTTTGTAATGGAGACACCCCATTGATTTGATATGTGATAATAGGCCTTTATTAATCTCATAAATTTCTTGCATTTAGCTAGAACAATACAGAAAGGACAAGCCATTGACATTAACACCTGGAGTTAAGTAAGTGTTTATGAAAAATTTATTCTGCTGGTACGACCTAAAATTCTTCTTTAATTGTTGAATCATTTTATTCATTTCTTTGTCTTATTTATAGGGAATTAATTGCATATTTACATGCAGAGAAAGGATTCCAGTATTTTTGATCAGTGGTGGGTTCAAACAGCTGAATGTGCCGCTTGCTCATCGCTTGGGCATTCCTTCGGAGAATGTGTATTCTGTTGAACTTTTGTTTGACGCTGATGGTAAGTGGTGACAAGGACACAGCAATTTAATATCACTTGAGTATTTGGCAATGGCATTGAAGAGAATGAAGAGATTCATTTTTACCTTTGCAGGTCGATATCATGGATTCAATAAGAATAATCTAACTTCGGATTCTGGTGGAAAAACAAAAGTGGTGCAGCGTTTGAAGGATAAATATGGATTTAAAAGGTACAATACAGTGAGAATTTGATATTGTTTGTACTTTTTACACAATCTTTAATTATTTTTCCACTTGTCTACAAATTCATTGACTGCCTATTCATGTGACTTTTAGGCTGGTTATGATTGGTGATGGTGCAACAGACATGGAAACCTGTCCACCAGCTGTAAGACCTTTTCAATTTAGCTCTATTTAAGTTTCTATGGTTGATTACTGTTGCGATTACTGATAGCTGCATATTTATTTCCATTCAATATCTATATATTCAAAAGAATTATAGCCCCTGAAAGTGTGGGCAACTGCAAAATTGAGGGAATACACTAGATTTAAGGATTTCAGTTCCTGGGAAGTGAAGTCTTCAACCTCCTTTCACATTTTTTGCTTCAAGAAGGCTATTGTGTTGACCACTACTGACATTGTTTTCCTTCTTTTTCAAGGATGCATTCATTGGTTTTGGAGGAAATGTTATTCGAGAAAAAGTGAGGGAGAACTCACCATGGTTTGTCACAAGCTTCCAAGAGCTCCTAGATGAACTAAAAGTTACCAATTGAACATTTTTTACAGTCAAGCTTCATTCAAAATGTTGGTAGTTTTTTTAACTTGTTTGTGAAGTGGTAAGGGTTAATTTAATACCAGAGAATGTTGATCTCACAAAAGAATCATCTGGTGTTCAGATATTTTATAAATTATTCTTGTATGTAGGAAATTAGGTCATATCATATGAGTTATTTATTTAAAAGAGCTTTCATACAGTATTTCATATAATCATATTTGAAATTCGTTTAAGATGAATAAGTATATTATACACTAGTTTAGAAGTAATATTCTTGAACTGCAAATTAATGATTTATATTAGTTTGAAAGTAGTTTGACGTGAATGTATGATCCTGTACATTCGAAGGTTAACTGTGTAGTGGATAAGAGGTGATAACTTGTGCATAGAAATAAAAAACACTCAGTCATACAGCCATACCTTTGTGGTGTTGATCATTTTTTGTTTATACAAAATCTTTACAACTTGTACAGTTACACTCAATTACATGTAATGCAGTAGCCAGGCACTTTTACTGCATGACAAGATTATAATATTTATTGATACTCAGTATTTCATAGGTTCTATAGAACATTAAACAGTTCTAATTTCTTGTTATTGCAGTCCACAATTCAGTACGATTCTGTGATAACTTTAGGAGTTCAAACATACACACAAGCTGTTACACCACTCCTTTTCTGATTCATTGCTGGAAGCCTTTTCCATTTCTTATCACCAATCACATAATACTCAACTGTATCAAAGCTTTCGGTCACCTCTTCTCCATGTACATTTTCGACAGTGGTCTCGCCGCCCATCACGACAATCACGTCGCCCATGATAACAGCAGCATGGCCAGCTCTCGCTTGAAGCATCGATGGTAAACGTTTGCACTCAAGAGTGTGGATGTTGTACATTAATACATCGTTCAACATCGAACCGCCAAACAAACTTTGCGGATCCTGACCACCAATGATAATGATATTATCTTTGTATACGACAGTCGCCATTCGGTACACTTTATATGGCAAAGATGTAAGTGTCGTCAACTCCCCAAAGGTTATATCAAATTTCTCGATGCGTTCCCTTGAATACCCGATGATAAAAATATCATCACCGATACATTGAAATGCACAACCACGACGACCGCTGAAACCACGTCCTTTGGTCAGTACAGTTGATCTCCACGGACGCTCTAACGACGTTTGTTGGAACTGCTCCCCACCAAAGGTAATAATACAATTATTCCACAATACACCTTTAAGATAATCAGATGGTAAACTACCTGGAAATACATTTGAAGTAAAACCGTTCTCGCTTGGATCAAGGAACTCGATTCGATTGGAATAACTTCCTCCACAAACCATTATTCTTTTCCCGAAAAGGAAGGAAAATGAGTTGTGGCGTTTAAAAAACAAACAGTCTTTAATCAGTGTCCATGTTTTAGTAGACCAGTTGAACACTTCGAGAGATTTGTCGCTGAAAATAAGAATTTGGCCCCTGGTAACTGCGCTGTCTCGCTTGAGTGTCGCGGAACTGAAATGACGCAGAGGATTTTGAAGATCTTTAATGCTTTGGTCGTGGGCTTCGAGCTTTTCAAGGACTTGATTTTGGGTGGCTGCCATAGCTTTCAACGACTTATTCATTTCATCCAAGCGTGACTTCATCTCGTTCATGTCTCTTCTTAAAGTACAGCGATGTTTCTCATAATCGCCGTAAACTATCTCCTCATCACAGGATTCACAAGTTATCTTTCTAAACTTGCATTTCTCTGTCTCGTGTTTTTCTTTATCTCGTCTGTTCATCGTCTCTTCGCAACCTTCATTCAGACAAGAGACCGGAGCATAATCACAGGATTCTTCGTGCGTCAACAGCTCTTCCACTTTAACATTCTCCTTGCAACCTCGAGAAACATGCCTGCAGCGCGGTTTCTTCATCTTTGCAACAATATTTGCGACAATTCGCGATGGCGGTCTTAGCGTTTCAAGCGTCAGTTGGTCAGCACACAGCGGGCATGTTTCGGAGTTCTTCAGATGTCTCGTGATGCATTTCCGACAGAAGTAATGCTCGTTGTTCTGACATTGAACTGGGTCATCCAGGACTTCCAAACATATCTTACACGAGAAATCATCTACGAACGAAGAGCTAGGATCATTGTAGCTTTCAGCCATGATGGCGTGGCTTGGCTTGAATGCCTGATATCACAGAGGAACTATACATATCATTGAAGATGTCCATGAATTTCCGGTATTGGTGGATTCGTCATCTATTCAATTGTCTATAACCTTACGACCTATGAATTACGTCTTGGCATGAAATGAAATGAGATCTTGCAGTTGCGTCCAGCGAAGCAAAACATATTAGGCTTATTAGCTCTTGCAATGTGTTGGTGTGTGTCTTATTTTCTTATTATATCGTTCTAGAGAGATAACGTTTGACTATCTTCTATATCGTGGTAATGATGACGCTATTAAACCACCTGTTCAATGAGGGTCTCTTGAATCTTGATAATCCGAAGTGTGTGATTTTAACAGCAAATGCAGCAATATCAGTTTATCATGACATTACCACGTCGTTGTATGGTGTATAATTAAAGAGCATCATTGCAACCAAAATGTCACCCACATGAACTTTGTTATAAATGCATTATCTTTTTATACCTTATAAATTTCCCTATTTCATTATTGAATGTTTAAGTTTACCATCAACTTTCTGAGTCTAGAACTCTAAGCCAATGTTGTATTAAATGTAGTGAATTAAAATATATTAAAATATAGTGTTATGCTGATCGTTTATTGGGATTCATGATCGTTATTTTATAACGCTCAGGCTTCTTTTTCGAGGTCCAGTAAGTTCTCAGAATCATCTTCAAATGCCTGTGTGCCGCTCCATGAAATCATGACTGGTTCAAAGTCCCAATTATCAGGATGCCCCAGAGGACGCGACCATCCTGACATTGTCCAGTTGAAGACTGGTTGCTGGTCGTGTGTTGGACCGCTGACTGCATAGACTGTGAAATCTTGGAACAGCTTATAGCTTGTTATCTGAAAAATACGGAGCATTCCAAATTATTATTCAATGAAAAGTATAGGGTTAGCACAGTATTTGTGACACTGGATTTGATTGTAACACTGGATCGATCGATAAGAGATGATCTTTACTGGATCTCTAGGAAGAACAGTTTAGAACTGATAGAGCTATCCAGTATAAACAAAGTTAGTTTAGTTTAGGTCTCCTCCTGTAGTACTACTGGATCAATAGAAATTGAATTAGAAATTAACAGTATAATTAATGGTTTACCTTCGCATCAGTTCCACCATGTTCACGATGGCCGAGAGCTGGAAATGGATACTTGCCAGACGCTGGGTTCAGATCCGATCTTGATGAGATGGCATTCTCAGCACTGTATGGCGGCGTACAATTGCACTTCGATAGTGGATCATGAGTGTAATCATTGTACCTGGCAAGTTGTAGAGAAAAAGTAAAGCATTGGCCTTTGGAAGGTGGAAGGTAAGGACATCCTTTTTCTGGTAAAATCTAAAACTGGATTGTCCATGAACTCTCGTTGTGCTTAAGTAGAACAAACACAAATCGCTTTGAAAATTTCTTGCGTGAAATGCTCACCCACCTCATCAATTTCATCATGCTAGCTAGATCAACAACTTTGCTTTGATCTCGTTTAAAGATCTGTGCGCGCGGGTTGAGTTCATAGTCGAACCAAGAACCGTACTTTTTCACCATATCTTCCTGTCCACTGACGGTGAATATGGTGTCAAAGAATCTGGAACGAGAAAGGAAGGTGATATTGGATGGATTGAGGAAACACAAACAAAAGAAATCTTCTGGTCGATTCGGTTCTGAGAACGAGTTTCGCGTGGAAAACCTGACATTGAGTCATTCTCAGTTTTTCTCGCCAAGAGGAAGAAGAAAAGCAGTAGGATTTGACATACGGTATGTTATAGCTTGCCCAGTAGCCATTGTTTATCAAATACAAGGAGAGATCTCCCATTTGCACTATTCCAGGCATCTGTTCAAGAACCCAAAGTGTCTCGGGTATCACAGGTTTCCCCGGTGTAAACATATTGTAGTTGAGGACCATCCACTGTTAATAAGAAATGAAATTACTATTAGAGATGATAAGAAAGTCTGTAGTGAAACTATCTACATTGAAAGGATACAAAATGTGCTCGAGAAATCTAAATGGCAATTTGCTTGCAATTATGAACTTACTTGGTTGTTGTACCTTTGTTAAAATCATAGAAAAGAAAGAAGATTTGGTTGAACTGTCGTCTAAGGTTTGGTTGACAGAGGGAACGGGTGAATACGTGCGATTGAGATGTGTTTACATGAAAAAAATGAGAAACTCTTCGCTTTCACTGGACTGGTAAAACTATTCCTAGCAGTTAAGTTATAGCACAGTCCAAAGCCTTTGATCCAGGTCAGAGATTGAACTAAAAACAGTTCTCTTGAAATGTCAAGTTCAAACCCGCTACGCTATCGGAAGTGAACTTACGTTCCACTGTTGTGTTTTGCAAACAAAGACACCCATTGTTGACCGTCTTGTGCGAGTCTGTTTGCGATTACCGTTCTTGCCCATTCCATGACAGAATTCGGGCCAATGTATTGCCATAAGTCTTTATTATAATTGTCATTGGTTGTCTCTTGGGTAACCTTGAGAAGGAAAAGTGGAAATGTCATAGGTTTAATCGTGCTATGAAAATCTTGAGACTGGAGTCTTAAAATCGTTTTGAGTCATCAAGGAGAACTGTCAGCCAGGTTCTTGTTAAAATCCTATCATTTAGCTAGTATGTATCATTGGGAAATATTGTACGTTACCAGTCCACTGCTAAGCACGTAAAAATCATCACCACTGTACAATCTACCAGGATACGAAGAAAAGCTGTGGTTTTGCGCAACGATGTGAAGAGCTGCAAAGAGAACGAATCATGATATCTTTCTGAGTATTTCTCCAGAAACAAGGTCAGAAAGTAATCCATATTTATACACACAAAGAGATAATGTATCATGTCAAATTTTGTATACATTTTCAGAAAACTCCTTGGCTAAAATAGTCAAATGCTCATGAAAATATCTGCTTACCAGGATTACTGTTATTCACCAGCTGAAGTTCGTACAGCTTGTAAATACGCAACATCGATGTGTAAGAGTTCCATGTCACTTGCGAGATCAGCAAATCTTCGTTTTTTGGTAGAATTTTGATGAATGCCGAGCAAGAGCCATCGCCAGCCATTTGACGTTTAGTTGTACCGTTCAACGCTTGTTCCAGATCACTTACGCCACCGAGTTGCATTAGACTATAAAGATATTGAAGCAAGAAAATCGCATCGGAAATCGCTGAAGAAATTGCAAGTGTGAATGTGTCTAAAGACAGAAGACAGAAAGCGGTTCATTTTTCATCTTACTGGAAATCAAATGAAGATAATGGATTGTTTGTTCCAGTTTCGCTTGCTGCGTAGCCACGACGGAGCCCAAGAAGTTGTTGATACAATAGTTTTACCTGCGTGAATTAAAGAAAGATAAGGTTCAATATTCAGTGATGTCGACTAGAGATCATGGTGTGAGGTTGGTATACAATGATAAGGACATGCAATGCTGATGATTTGACGAATACACCGCATCAAAGCAGGTTATTATCGTTGGTACCTGATACCAGTAAGGATCCTGCAGGTTTGATTCGATTTGGGACGTTACAAATACGGAATTCTTGTACAGAAATGAGTTTAGTTTGGTGCATATCGTTGGTTTTGCTTTGCAGTACCCAGAATCTGTGTTCTTCCAGTTCATAAGAATGAAGTCCGCTGTCAGGTACCCTTCGACCATGCCGGCTGCCAATGATTGGATGTCGTCTGGGTACCCTCTTGTTGTATGGACTTCCAAGTAGGACCATCTACAATGATACAGGAAAAATAGGGTGGGTATAGCGGAGGGTTTCTTTGGAGGGCGCCGCGGGTGAGGGATGAGAGGGAGAGTAGGGGCTTATCAAAAGGGGCTTATAATGTTGAACACTAATATATGAATATAACATCCCTACGTAGGGAGCGCCTTCCGTCACAGGTTAAGAATAAAAATTCGGCATTTCAGGTTTTGGATCTGGACCACTGCGGATTATCGACACAGTCACGAATCACGACGCAGTCACATGAGATCACATGACGGATGTATTCGGCTTACGTGAAAATATATATCTAGCAAAAATGCCTGTACTGATATCGATTTCTGGAGATCTACACCAGCTTATACCACCTGCTCTATTCCTTGAACTGTGTCGTTAAGAATGCTTCAGAATCCTTATCAGTCACGATTTAGTAAAGAAAACATTGGAATATTCACGACAAAACCTGTTAGGAAATTTGCAACGCACTTACCCCGTCTTGTTAACTTCGTTTGAAAATCGTCCCCAAGCGACTGCATCAGGCAGCACTGCGTCCTCGACATAAAGATGGTTCGACAGTGGATCCCATACAACGCTTGCATACAGGGCCTCGTCAGCCCCGGCAAAATGTACGAGAAATAGACAAGCGAAGACGAAATATCCCTTCATCTTTGTGTTCGCGCAATTTAAATATTTCTCAGTGGGAAGCCTCGTCAGTCGTCTCTTGCGAAATCCTCGTGAATCATTATGACACCAGCCCGCAACGCAGGTGTTTGTGCAATAAATGCTAAAGTTTTTCGGAGATCGAATACGAACACCTCGAAATCGGGCTGCTGTCTCAAAAAATGTGATCATACCCACCTGTCATTCTTTCTGAATACAAACAACGGAACTTACGATCCTGTTCATCATTAGCGCAAACGACGAAAGAAGGCAATACTCCAAATCCAGTTGAGGTCAGTGGCTACCAAAAAGGGGCAATTTATTAAATGGCGGAAGCAAAAGATTTTTAAATGTAATAAATTTGATCTTGTTTGCTTCAGCGATCCTTAGGAAATCTACTATGTTTGACACTTCTCAACTTCATTTGCTTTAACAGCTTCACATTGGAGTCAAGAAGTATGAAATTGAATGAGAGATTACTGGCTAAATTCGCCACGGATTCTATGTCTTCAGATCAAGAGGGTTTCCTGCTGAAAAAGGGGGAAGTAAATAAAGGATTTCAAAAACGTTTTTTTGTCCTGCGCGGGAACCTGATGTTTTATTCTGAAAAGGCGGGCAGCGAACCTATCGGTGTTATAATTCTTGATAACTGTCGGATTGAACTTTGTCATGTAGAGAACTCAATGTTTGCATTTCAGATTGTGTTCGATGGGGTAGGAACTCGGACCTATGTTTTGGCTGCAGAGACGGAAGATTCAATGAGAGCATGGATGAGAAAACTAACACATGCAAGTCATATTTGTATTAAGTCGGTTGTGAATGACTTAGAGAAACGGCTTGCAGATTTAAAAGAAAAGGAAGGAAGCATAGAGGCAGAGGAAGAATCGTCATCAGAGTCGGACTCTAAATCAGATAACAACAATGACCAGCCCACAACATCTACAGATTATCATTCACTGGCACTCCCAAAACCACCAAGTAATGCTTTACGACGATCGAATAAGTCGAAAACATTGCCTGTTAAACGTAATAAAAGCAAACAAGCTACTTCTTTGAATAATCCTGGTTTTAATCGATATAGTTTGTCAACTCCAGCAAAAACAACTTTAGATGGCGCAAAGTCATTCGACTTTGATAATTATGTAGATTTCTCAGAAAGGACAGACTTTTTATGTGAGGACATTTCACAGCCTGGTCGGCATTACAGTATGACGGCGTTTACTCCACCATCTTTCTCAGAACTAAAAAACCATGAACAAATAGAGGACCAGAACTTAATCGATCTATCGCCACCTGATGGAGAACCTCCAATGGAAAGAAGAATTGATACTATTAGATTGAATGAGAGGTTTAGTGGTAGCAGACGTGCAAAATCCGAACGAAATCGCAATTTGCGCAGTGGACATTCAGGGTTGAAAAGGGATCTTGGGGGTTCCCTTTATAGCCAGAAAAAACACCCCTCGGATAACGTGGACTCAGTGGAAGAAAATCGGGAGTCCACATTTCAGCATCTGCATCGACTTTGGGGGGCTACAATTTGGGTGAAAGTTCGTGAATATGAACTACAACACTCTCAGCCAGAAGCAGAAAATAGCTCATAAATAAAACATATTAATTGCTATAAGAATGTAATATTATTATGTATAAATCAGTTCAAAAACCCAAGTTTATCATTGTTGCAATCTGTTATTCTCTTTCTACCCCTTGTTCCCTTTTTGCACTTCTAATTCTCCTTTATTATACCCTAATGCCCATTACACTTTTGTTGATTTCTTGGTTTCTTGGTGGTCTAGGGTTGTGTCTGAACTAGCTGAGAAAGATATCTCAAACGTGGTGGTCCAATGTAGGTAGTATTCTACAATAAGCTGTTATGGTTTGTCTCTGAACTACCTGAAAAAGATATCTCAAATGTGGTAGTTCAGATAGGGTAAAGCTATAATTGTTTGTCAGTTGGTGGCTGAACTTGGTCTGAACTACCTGAAGAAGTTATCTCAAACATGGGGTACAGTGTAGGTAGTTTTCTAATTTCTAGATTCCTAGAATTAGAACTGTTAATAATTAATAATAATTAATGAAATATTTGTTAATAATTAATGAATTATTACATATATTCGAATGAAATAATTAGTTCTCAGGCTGGCTCGGTTTTGCTTCGTGGCTTTAAAAACATGGCGAACGACGGTGAGTGAGAAAATCATTTTTATTTATTTACTTGTTTTCTTACCATCTGGTTCAGTTTTTCTCCCAGATCGAAAAATTTTAAAATAAATAACTTGTGCAATGTAGCCTGTTGTGTTTTGAAAGTACTTAGTGCATGCGATTGTACTTTCTACGGAAGTGAATTATTTCATATTTGACATATTATGACAATTGATATTATATACAGTAATTTTGTAATCCACCTATTTACGATCAAGTGTTTATGCATCGTACTATTATATCATTAACGTTTTATTATGATCCCGCTTTGTAATTATGCCAGTTTTGGGGAAAGAAGGTTCAACAAGTGGTTATAAAACCGAATGATAACGATCGTATATATTGCATTGCTACTTAAGTTGAGTTTAAAAAGCTCGACAGGTATAGGTGGGATGGGCAGAATTTATCGATTGACGTTGATTGTTGTACTTGATTGCTCTTTCGTGTACTCTTCCAGCAGTGGAGCTTCAGAAGGCGCAGAACCATCTCAGTCTTTTGCGGCAAGAGTATGTCAAGCTTCAAAACAAATACGTGGAGCTGGAACAGAAATACAACCTGCTCGTTGTGCAAAGTGGTGGAGGAGAATTTGAGAAGGAAAGCTTTGTTGCCAGGCTGCTGAACAGTGTTGCTGAACTGTATGACAAAGAGTTATACAGGTACAAGTTCGGAAAGGCTGATAATTCTATGTATAGGCCAATATTGACATGTTAGCACATGCAAATGTTTGTATTGTATTGAATTGTAGTGACATTACTGTCAAGTTTGCTGGACAAATGCTAAGTGCACACAAATTCATCATGGCAGCCCGAAGTGACTTCTGGAGCAGCCGAGATCTGAATGAACTTAGTGAACTAGAGCTGACAGGTACTGTATGAGGGCTCTTGAAATATTTATTGCAGTGTCAAGCTGCTCAACATAACATTTTCCCATCTTTTTTTCTTAGATATAAGTGCTGAAGTTGGCCTTGCATTGATGAGATGGGTTTACACGGACAAGGTAGCAATAAAAAGCGAAGAAAACTTTTTGGTTGATCTTGTGAAAGCAGCAAACCGTTATAAACTGGCAGAACTGAGAGGAAGGTGAGAAATGACTTTTTTGGCCAACTGACACCATTTGAGTTGCTTGCTATTCTATTTATCAATTAGTTTCTGTGTCTTGAGACAAATGTTGGATATTTCAGGTGCGAGAGGATGTTGATGTCTTCAGTTTCTGTCTCAAACTGCATCAAGTTCTACCAAACTGCTGAGGACATTGGTGCAGAGGGGTTGAGAAAATATTGTGAGGAAATTATCACAAGTCACTGGGTATAAATAAAACTATTGGTTCATATTTCTTTGAAAGGTTGGCTTTAACTTCCCAATATGCAGATCTGCACCCTCACCTAAGATTATATGTAGTTAAATAACTGAATATGATTGCCTAATTTACAATTTTCTTAACTTCTAGTCAGATTTAAAAACTGAAGACTTTGCCAACATGTCTGCCTCGTTGCTCTACCAAATGTTCAAAAGCAAGTCATCATTTCCTCTCCATCTTGCCATCAAACATCACCGAGAAGATGTTGTGTTTCTTTTTCTCATAGAGTTTAATTCGCAGGTTGGTAGAGTGAAAGGTGCATTCACTTCTTGCTCAGCATCCAATCCTATTCTCATTTCATCTTTTCTGTAGCTACCAAAGAAACTTGATGAATTTGATCCATCCATGGGAGGTGTTCCCCTGGACATTGCTCTGGTGGAACAACAAGAAAGCATAGCAAAACAGCTCATCATGAACGGCTGTGATGTGGACGTACCTGACTCTGAAGGATCCTGTTTACTTCACAAGGCCATTGAAAGAGGAGACGAGTTTGCTTCCACTTTCCTCATAAAGAATGGTGCGAAGGTGAATGCTGTCACAACAGAACAGATTTCACCGTTGCATTTGGCTGCATCTTATAAGTATGTGATTGTTGTTTTGAGATGAAGGTTAATGCTGTTTTAGCGCATTTTTTTGCAACCGTCAAACCAAATCTGTTGTCAATCTTCGCTCCTGTCTAGAGCGTGGTCAGCAATGCACGAAAAAGCAGCAAATTCAGCCAACAGAACGTCTGCTGAAGGAATGTGTAGAGTCGCTCAACTTTTGCTATCCTCCTCAGCTGATGTGAATTTACAAGACAGTAATGGGTGGTAAGACAAAATTCACAATCACACCGACCTTATAGTTCTTGTTTAACTAAGACTAGAGTCATTTTTCAGCTGTGTTTAAATTTTTTTTGTGTTTCTCAGCACTCCACTTCATCAATCTATTCTGTCACAGAATGATCAAGTTTTCAATATCTTGCTTAAACAATCAAAGTAAGTACAGAAATTAATGTCAAACAATACAGAAATATCGGTGCTTTCGATAAAAAATTGTTTGTCGTGCGAAGGGCAACAATTGTTTTCATTAAACCCTCGGAATTGTGAAACACTATGATTAAGTGATTTGTGTCTTTATAATTGTACAAATGCCAGAATTGATCTTGAGTTGAAAGATAACAGAGGTCGGACGCCATTATGGCTGGCTTTGACGGTTCCTGATGATAAAATCAATCCGGACGACGAAGATTCTGTCCCAGCGAGATTGTCCCAGGCTGGGGCTTCACCTGATTCTCTCGACATTTCATCAGGTGAGAAAGATTTTGTCGAGAAATAAAGATATTGTTTTGCTATAAAGACGAAAAATAAACTCTAGAAGAAGTTTCTACATGATCTTGCATTTCTTTTCATGTCTTTCATTATTTTATTCACTCTTTTGGCTACATTCTAATTCTATTCTTTTTCTTCGACTTCCATCATCAATTCAATCTTTCCACGCTAGGGGATTCTTTGTTGCATTTGGCCGCGGCCCAATCTCGTCAAAACGCGGGCCTTTTTCTTGCCAGTCATGGAGCGGAACCAAACGTTACAAATAAACTTGGTGAGACGCCATTACACTCGGCTTGTAGAAGTGGCTTAATCAATTTAGTGTCGAAGTTATTACACTGGTAAGCCTTTGGGGATTGTGGGGACAGTTCCTACGGTTAATGCATATGTATTCATCCCAGGTATAAATAAAGTTAGTTTAGTTTAGGTTTCCTCCTGTAGTAACACTGGATCAATAAGAGATGATCCTTACACTGGACCTTTAGGAAGAACAGTTTAGAACTGATAGAGCTATCCAGTATAAATAAAGTTAGTTTAGTTTAGGTTTCCTCCTGTAGTAACACTGGATCAATAAGAGATGATCGTTACTGGGCCTCTAGGAAGAACAGGAAGAACAGAACTGATAGAGTTAATAAATTAATACATTTGAGAACTGTGAGTGTTTCATACTTTTATAGTGGTGCTAATCCTAATATCCAGACAAGTGAAACGGAGGAACTTAAAAAGAAGTCAGTGGAGAGACGGAGAGTGCGCTTGGAGACTAGGGCAGAGGCAAGACGGAAAGCTGTCGCCATAGCAAAAGAAATTGAAAATCAAAAACTACAGGCCGCCCAAGCTGCTGAAGAAATAGAAAAGCGAAAAAAGCGAGGGTCAAGTGCCACTGCTTCGGAGTCTAGATCAGAGTATAATCCTAATGATTCGTTTGAAGCAGATCTAGGTACGAAACAGGGGGGTCGTCTGATAAAAATAACCAGGGGAGGGGAGTGTGTGAGGACGCACTGACATCATAGATTTAGGAAGACAAATGCGTCTAATTTGACAATGCTTCATCAGGGAGCAGTCTAGTGTATCGATTGTTGTTGTTTTCTAAGGAATAAACAACCCATTCGTGGAACCTGATAAACGACCAGAAAGCCCATCAGATGTGAATAATCCATTCTTGGATGATCTTCGGGCGGCTGCGGCAGCCTCGGCTGTTGCCAGGGGAGACAGCAATCCATTTGATTCGCCACCTCTGGTCGAACAGAGTAAGTTGTTCACAGAACGACTTGTTGGTTTCCAGAGTAAACTCCAAACCCTCATTGACTACATTTTATTCTAATATTCTCAAATTTAGAGAACAAAGAACATTCCGAGAAGGGCCTCGCGGAAATCCTGAAACCTCGCGACGAATTCTCTGAAGCGGAGATCGAGGAGTTGATATTGGAACATAATTTATACGACGAGAGTTTGAACGGTCTTGTGGTTGATTGTTCCGGGAAAACGCCATTGCATTATTCCATTATTGAAAAACATGAAAACGTCATCAACTGCTTCAAAGAATACGACGGTATGCTTGTATTTCATAGAAACATGTGTGTGAAAGAATGATTTTACCCGAGTTTTATTATCAGCTACATGTGATTCCACCTGTGTGACTGACTGATATTCATTCCTGAATTTCTTCCCACAGACATGGTGAGCAGCGGTGGCCGTCTCAATCTCGCCCCGGACTTCGACATCTGCGACAGCGAGGAGCAGTCAGCGTTAGAGCATGCGCTGTTGACAGCGCAATATCGTTTGGCCGAGACCATCCTAGACGCTGGCGCGAGTATCGATCTCCGGGATTCCGAAGGCTGCAGTCTGATGTTAAAAACGATAAAACGTAAAGATGTGCCGAGTGCGTTGTTTTTGATCGAGCATGGCGCTGATATCAATGTGAGGTAAGAGATTGCTACAGTTATTCTCAAGTTTAGTTTCTCAGTTGAAACAGTGCTGTTCTCCGGAGGAGTAGGGGGGGTGAAGACTTTGGGTTGGGACAGAATTTAGAGGGGCACACCCCTTCTCACCCCTTCCAACTGATCCTAATTTAGGAGCAAGGAAAACAAGTCCGCATTGCAACTGGCTATCAGCTATCGTCTTCAACCGGTGGTGGATTCATTGTGTAAAAATGGCGCTGATCCGAACGTCAATGACGAGTATGGAAACTGTCCACTCTGGGCAGCCATGAAGAGCAAACAATTTGGAATCGCCGAGACTTTGGTGAGAAATGAAATTTGAAGAACTTTAAATGTCTAAAAAAGTAGATATTTGCGGTTCAGTGTTGAGTCAGAATGTACATTACTCCAGTCCTGTTTCTATACGCAGGTCAGTTATAATTGTGATACGAACGTCTGGCACAAGGGACCGAACAATTGTACCCAGTCTCTGTTGCATCGCGCGATTCACGAGAAGGACGAGGATGCGGGCTGCTTCCTGATTAGGTGTAGATGTGATGTTAACAGGTGTGTGCAGGTTGTGGCTTTCGGAGGCGAAGAAAATATCATGACGAAGATGCTGTATGGTGGTATTTGAAACATGGTGTTTGAAAGCTTTCAATCTTTCTTTTCCAGTCCTCGTCGCCCCTCGGCCGATGGTACTGGTGGAGTAGAGGCCTGGGATGGATTAACTCCACTTCATTTAGCTTGTATCGCCGGCTTAGATAAGATCGTTCAATTCCTTGTGCAAGAAAATGCTCAAGTTAATAGCCAGGTGAGGCTCGTGTGCTAGGTAGGATTAGGATTAGTGTGGTAAGATCGAGAGTTAGTGTGGTAGGATTAGGATTAGATCTGTGGTATTGGGATTAAAATGAAAAATGTGGTTGAAGGATTAACTTCCAAATAGAAGCTATGAGTCGATGAAGCACAAGTAAAGTTGATTTACTTCAGAAAATTCAACAGTCATACATACTCTTAACACGAAATTAATTCCCCTCAGGATTCCGAGGGTCGTGGTCCAATTCATGTTTCAATATTCAGTGGTCATTCAATCCCTACACAACTGCTATTGAGTCATCCTGAACTAAATCTCACACTGGAAGATCGCACTGGTCAAACGCCATTTGCTGTTGCCTTGGATACGAAAGATCATAAGTCAGCCGAAGCCATTCTCTCTAGGGAACCAAACGCTGCTGAAAGGGTATGTAGGGATATCTGATGCATCAAAGGGATAATGGTTGAGTTCAGAAAATATTGATGCTTACCTGTTTCTCCACAGTATGACAAGAAAGGCCGAAATTATCTTCATCGGGCTATTCTAAGTGGTGACGTTGAAACAGTGTTGTTCTTGATAAGCGTCAATGCAAACATTCATACTCCTGTCCAGGACTCCAGTCGTACCACTCCGTTACATCTCGCAGTCCAGGCTGGTTCAGAGATCATTGTCAGACATCTGGTAAACCTCAGTGAATCATTTTATACTGGATAGCTCTATCAGTTATAAACTGTTCTTCCTTGAGGCCCAGTAAGGATCATCCAGTATGATCCAGTGTTACTACAGAAGAAAACCTAAACTAAACTAACTTTATTTATACTGGATAGCTCTGTCAGTTCTAAACTGTTCTTCCTAGAGGTCCAGTAAGGATCGTCTCTTATTCATCCAATGTTACTACAGGAGAAAACTTTAACTAAACTAACTTTATTTATACTGGATAGCTCTGTCAGTTCTAAACTGTTCTTCCTAGAGGTCCAGTAAGAATCATCTCTTATTGATCCAGTGTTATTACAGGAGGAAACCGAAACTAAACTAACTTTATTTATACTGGATAGCTCTGTCAGTTCTAAACTGTTCTTCCTTGAGGTCCAGTAAGGATCATCTCTTATTGATCCAGTGTTACTACAGGAGGAAACCTAAACTAAACTAACTTTATTTATACTGGATAGCTCTATCAGTTCTAAACTGTTCTTCCTAGAGGTCCAGTAAGGATCATCTCTTATTGATCCAGTGTTACTACAGGAGGAAACCTAAACTAAACTAACTTTATTTATACTGGATAGCTCTATCAGTTCTAAACTGTTCTTCCTAGAGGTCCAGTAAGGATCATCTCTTATTGATCCAGTGTTACTACTGGAGGAAACCTAAACTAAACTAACTTTATTTATACTGGATAGCCATATCAGTTCTAAACTGTTCTTCCTAGAGGTCCAGTAAGGATCATCTCTTATTGATTTAGATCCTAGCAAATGCCAACGTCAACGCTGTGGACAAACACAAGAGAACTCCTCTGCATATCGCTGCTGACAACGATCGTGCAAATATTTTAGCAATATTAATACAAAATGGCGTTAACGTCAACGAGGTCGACAGCAAAAACAACAATGGTAAAACTTTAGATATTTGATTCTACTGAACTCTAAATATTACTGTTGAAAGAAGACAGGAAACATCTGACTTGTGTTTGTTTCTTATTACCTCAGCTCTGCACTTGGCTGTACAACAAGGTCACATTAACTCGGTCAGGGTGCTGTTAACAGAGTCATCGGTAGATATCAGTGCCGTAAATGACAGGTACGAGATCCTCTCCTGGGAATTTCTAAAGCTGAAAGCACGCTTTTTTAAAGCTATAATCTGAGATAGCAAATATTCTTTCCAGGGGCCAGAACGCTCTTCATACTTTAGCTCAATATGGCAGGGACAACGCCGGGTCCATCTTTGAAATAATCCGTCAAAATTCACCCGACTTTCCTCTAAATTCTGTGGACGCAGACGAGAACACAGGTACATTAACACTAAACGAAGCTAGAATTATCCTTTCTCGTTTCTTTTTCTGTGAATTTTTCCTCTTTTTTCAGCTCTTCTGCTGGCTTATCTTAATGGAAATGGCAGATTGTGTCGTGAACTGCTGAAGAATGGAAGCTCTCTTGGTGCTATTAACAAAAATGGAATTTCAATTTTCAACGCCGAAGTCGCTTCGAAGAAACTTTTATTTTCTCTATTAGGTAAGGAAAGAAATTCAGCTGCATTACTAGTGGAACAATTGACGATAAAAACTCTTTGATGTTTAGTTAATCTACCGTGGGAAATATTCTTTCTAAAGAATCTTTAACCAACTTGTTAGAAAAGTAGTTTTTGTATAGTTTATCGATTAATGCTTTTTAATGTCTCTTTGTTTCTAGATTTATTAAACTCTGAGCCACCATGGTCGGATGGTAATTTTTGCCATGAATGTTCAGTTAAATTCTCTGTTACAAACAGAAAACATCATTGGTAGGTCTAATCCCTTTTTGATGAATTATTATATGGCGAAATCCAAGCTAGAACCATTGTGTTTGGTAGAGTCAAACTGGAAGCATTCTTCTCACATGTGACTGAGGTGAAATTATAATCAGACAACTGCATATTACTGGAATCAAACCTCAGACACAGAATGACACATGTACTAACCACGGTGTTCGGTAGAGTCAAGCTGAATGCACTTTTCTCACATGTCACTGAGATGAAATTATATTCACAACAGACTAGCGTCAGTTAAATTCATTCCTGAACAACTTTATTTTCTCTTTCAGTCGTCATTGTGGTCGCTTACTCTGTGCTAAATGCTCCAGTAAACAAATACCGATTCTTAAATACGAACAAACTAAACCAGTCCGAGTTTGTGAGGTTTGTCATGATATGCTAAATAACGTTGGAACTAGCTTCTATTAAACCATGTATTTATTCATTTTATTGCAAGCTTTATGTCAAGCGTGGATCAATACTCGGACGTAAACGTTTTTTATTCGGCCAACTCCGCTCTGAATTCGTGTGAGGTCGGAAAACAGCCTGTGGAATTATCTGTGAACTTGTTTGGCCTTTGGCGCGTTTACACTTGCAAAATTTTGCCGCCATTTCAGTTTGTATTGTCAGTTGTCAGGGGGGAAGAAGAGGAAAGTAGGTAGGAGAAGGGGTTTAAATTGCAAAAAAGCGTCACGTTACATGTGACAATATCTCAAACAATATCTCAAAGTATATTTCAATGCCTGCTATATTAAGAATATTATTTGAAGTTGTTACGACATTAAATTTACCTATTTTAATGACGTATATACTCGTACCTATACGTCAATTCTAAATTTCTTGAGGACTTTGTCCTAACAGGAAATGACCCTCAAACACAGTTCTTAAAACTTGGACAACCTCACGTATCATTGTCATATCTATCTATTTCTGCTTCTGTATTATGTGAGAAAGTTACAGTTTGATATATTGGACGGCTACATCTGTCATGTAACTTTGAAAAGTAGACACACACGGTTTCCTAACCTCAAACGCGAGCTAGACCTTTCGCTTCCCGTAAGACTGTTGTTTACAGGTGGGATTTTGTTTTTCCGTTTCTATTCAGTCCAATTTCGCGACGTTTCCTTATGAGACAACTTCGTATGTGTTCAGACAAAGTCTTTTTATTTCCCCCTTTATATTATTATATGGTCGATAAATTAAGCTCAGATTACAATATTGCTGCATATCGGTTGTTTTCAAATGAAATTTGTCCAAAAAAGACATCTTTCGTTATTTGAAATCATTCAATACAAAATATACAGAGTTATGGGAAAAATATAAATATATACCATTTATTTTCGTTTGTTATCAAAGCCTGGTCTGTGACTCAAACGAGCTTCACGGAATTCACAAATCTCGAAGTCGTTTGATAGACTGAAAGCATACGAACATTCGTATCAGTTGAGGATGAAGAATTGAAGTTTGCACCTAACTGCATGTAACCTTGCCAATGGTAATGCTAGGAAACGAGTGTCGTATGTTGCTGTAGTAACCGTATGGGAAAATACTTCAATTCCTGAATAAATATATATATATAATATAGATGTAGAAAGTATTTCCTACAAATATTGGGAAACAGATACGCGACGTGAATATTCAAGATATCAAATCAATGATTATTGCGAAATTGAAGTTTTTCAAAAATCAGCCGTTGGCTGCTTTTACAATCTTATTACCCCTAAATATAGAAAGTATTTCATTCAATAAGGAATTTAAATCAACATTGTTAGCTAAATTAAAGAAAAAAGGCCACGGCGGAAGTTTCTCGCCGGCTTGAAAACTCGAAGACATCAGAGCTACTAGCTGCGATGATGATATCTAAACGTAAGCGTTTTGCAAAAGATCTCGGAGGATTGTATATATATATATATATATATATATATATATATATATATATATAAGGGAAATTCATCAGACATTTGTCTAAACAGCGTAATTGTTTTCTTAACTCATTTGAAACAACAGGTGTTTTGTAAAAACAGGCTTATATTTTGTTCCGCGATTGATTACGAAAGATTATGTTTTAAATAAGCAAATTTGAATGTTTATATAAGAACATCAACTGATTATATTTCTTCCGTTTCACGTCGTTTTAAGTTTATTAAATGTTTATTAAATTTATTAAACAGTTGAAGAGGTCAAACCTCCCTGTATTTGTTAGAAAGAAAACTTACTTGTATGAGATAAACCTTTTTTAATGTTTGCTATATCATGTAGTAGGTGAACTGTCCTAAGATCTAACGAACGGTCTCGTGTATGATGTAAATTATTTAACCTTTCATAAGGTCCTGGCAATTTTCTTAGAAACACCTGGGATATTAAACATTATATGGTACGATGCATGCAAGAAAAATAACAACAATTTCAATAAAGGACGTGTGTTATCTTCGATATAGTTCTAAAAATCGTTTCCCAACTGCAGCAATAGCTCCTATATTGTGCAACTTATTGTTGTATTTTTTGTCTGGTGAATATGCCGCAGCAATATCACTACGGAAAGGAATTATGTAATGTCATTTTATCGTCGCCTCCTTGTGTAACATATTTGGAGCTTCACTATCTTCGATGGGCAGTCCCGTGGCGTCTGGAGAACGCCTACGGGTCTTTTATATATATATCCCAACCTACAGATTCCTGAGTCCTGAACAGCAAGTCCAGCCTTTGTTTACGAATGCATATATAGGCGGGGCGGAGATTTGCACCAATAGGTGAGGTTAAAGTCCATATTCTGTCGTCGTTGGCATACAGTTATTTTCACTCGTCACTGGGATCACAAGTGTCACGGAATAATAAAAGTTGTTCGTGCACAGAAACGGCGTTGCTTGATCCACACAGAAGAAAAAAAGTGTTGGTGAGTTTTTGATGTTAAATTACATTCTTTATATATGCATTCATGCTGATTTTCTTTATTGTTGATTCCGCTTTGTTTGAAACTTGATCTGGGCTCATTATTTAACATACTCCTGTAGCGAAAAAACCGCAATTTTAAATTCTTTACTGCTTTGCAATACCTTCACACCCTTTTCATAGCGATTAGCAACTGGTTTTCTTTACAATACATTATGTAAAACTTTCTTATTTATCTTTCTCGACTTATTTCACACAGACTGGCACTGAATAGATGAAGTGTAGAATTTTAGACCGCAAGACGCCAAGAACGCGTATTTAAACCCAACCATTATCAAACGTATTTAAGTCCAACCATTATCGGGCAAATGAGTATACAACTAAACCATTTTCAACCATTTTCACAGCCGGTTTTGCATGACTAAAATTTAAACTATATAAGACTATATTTGCTAAACGCATACATTTTTCAGCAACTAAGAGATTACTGTTCAAACAAAACGCACTTTCAGCGTAAAGCCAACGAAAACAAAGACAACATTAATTTTGCAGTTCTAAAGCCACAATGTGAAATTCTAAACCACAACGTCAAAGAGGTATTTATCAAAGAAAAAACCGTCATTCGCTGCAGGAAACTTCTAGGCAACCATCTCGGAATCTCAAGCCTAATTGAGAAGGATATCGCGTGATATATTCGCGTGATATCTTTAAAATTTAATTTTTCAATTTCATTTTCAAAAGTAATTTGGAACATGAAATTTGAAAAATGTTAATATTGACAATGTTATGTCAACTTGCAACCCACGTTCTGAAATCTTAATTGAAATTTTGCTTGTACAACAGTGTGTTTTATTTTTACACCTTGACAAAAATGTAAATTTGAATAAACGCACGTATGCACATAAACTGATATATTTGTAATTTGACAACCAGCCCTTTGGCTTTAGTTGCATGAAATTTAGGGGTTATTTTGGCACATGTGTTGGCCGAGTTTTTTCGTTTTACATATAAAATACACGTATATACGTACATACCTACCCGAAAGTTAAAAAACTTCATCAAACTGAGTTAAATGACTTTTCATCAAGCGACTTTAATGGAAAAAAACCGCGTCTATATATATTGTCACTATCTCACTGTCGTAGATCCGTTTTTTTATGCCTCACGTTTCTTTTATGCATCACGTAGGAAGTTAAATTTGTGTAAACAGGTGTATTGGAACTTGGAAGCCAGCCATAATCATTATCATTGCCTGGGCATGATTGTGATTCCCGATTTTCAGTTTAAAACCTGGAACATTCTACGCGCATAGCCATATCTGCATAATTGGAAATCCTCATTTTCACACACTTCAAATACCAGATAGCAGTATAATCCCCTGCTGACATTATTGACTTATGCTATATAGGAGCGATATATGTGACTGGGAACACTTTTCAAAATCCACAAAGCCCATCAACTTGGCTGACAGCGTTCAGTTTTCACCCACGCTCCGCAGTTAGTTTGTAAAAGCGGTAAGCCATGCAGTGGCTCAGATAACGCCTTGCAGGGCGGTGAATGCGACTGCTTCATGACCCCTACTCCAATCAATGATAAAAATCTTAGTGCATGGGACGTACCATGCAGTGGCCGTATGTTAGTGCAGAGCCTTTAAAATCGTTTTCACATGCATGCAAATACACAGGTTGACCGCCTTGAGAACTGACCAAGTATTCGATTGCAAATTTAAGTCCTGTGATGACCAAACTTCTCCTATGGCAAAACGCAAATGCCATTTAAATTTTCATTGCATGAACTTGTTTATTCTATCCAAGTTCACTGTGTTTTTCCGGTATAACCTTGATTACCTTTCATGCTCGCCCTCCCTATGGCCTCCCACAAATAGTCGACATTGAAGTAATCGCGAGGTTTATTTTGTTTAAGAAAGAAAAACGTTCCCTACATTCAGCTTATGAAACGATAAGGCGTTTGGGCAAACAACAAAAGAAGCATCTTTCATATATTTAAGCAAGCATTTGTCATTATGCGATATCCTGGAGTTAACCAGATATAAAATGCATCTTCTTTGTTTTCGGCATTTCTACAAAACAAACAAATTACCAAAAGATAAGAGTTACGACGCAGTAAGAAACAACAATGCGACGGCCAGGAGTTATAAATATAACTTCAATTATATATTTAGGTGATTCAGTTTGCTACAAGATATATATGCGTTGTTAGACTTTCCAATCATTACAATTGCTTTTTCTACGTTTTCATTTAATTCGAAGAACTGGAACTGAATCGCCCAAGCGCATATCTTAATAATTGTCAACTATATATAGTTGTGTTTTAACCCCTTTTACACAAGAAAATTTTTACATGTTTTGGGAAATGAAACTTGCTTTAAGAGTTCAGTCGATCTAATTTGCCGTTCACATGCAGCTAGACAGCCGTGCATATAGTAGCCATATGAAGTAATTTCATAATGGTAACAAAGTAATACTCTTGCAAAAAGCAACTGGAATCATACACACGAGTCATATAATTGAGGCAATTCATGCAGACACAATTAATGAAAAACAGCGCGTGTTTTTAATTGATTGACTCGCTTGTAATGATTAGTGAAGTATTGTATTTAGTTTATACAATGATTTTATCTTTAGTCACCTGTATAATTTGAAATATTTTTAGACACAAGCATTCATTTCCAAACACCATCACAAGAAAGGGAGACAAATAATTTTCGAATAAAGGTGAGCTTTCCCCAAAATTCATATCGCCTGCATGCATTATCCTAAAGACGTTGAACAAATACTATTATCGGAATTGTTTTATCATTTACTTTATCATTTTACCATTCGCTTTATCATTTGGACGGCAGATTAAAAAGTAAATCGAATTTGCGCATGTAACATATCAATCTTCAAGCTTGCTGTTTTGAATGATGGCTTTGGGGTAGCATTGCTTGCAGATTATATATACACCGTCACGTCCATTTTTCCTGGAGACTCGATGAAACATATATGCTGCATGTATATTATGTATAAAGCTATTTCTTCTAGTGATATTTATAGAGAGAGACTCAAAGGCTCGTTATTTTTAATTTAAAGTATTTCGACAAAGAATGTCAAACGTTTAAACTTAAAACAGTCGTGAAATAATCTCGCTGCATGGATGACCTTATTTCACTTTGTCACCTGTAAATTGGCTGCATAAGATTTCGATCATTTCTATGACTCAATAAAATACTATTCTGAACAAACTAGTTCTTTACTGCCACCTGTTACCCACCATGAACCTAAGATATCGGCTGAAACAACCGTCCTGAATAAAATTCAAACTAACGCGAGCAAACAAATAACGGCAATCTGTTTGATCAACCGAGGACCTGGAAATTTATCAAGTAAGTTGCGTTGATTGAGGTCTCCGATTAATTGCAATTTTCACAGAAAATCTTAATATTTCTGGAAATATTTTACAGTAATTCACGAGTAATTATAGGAATCGCGGTACAAAGTTCTGTGTGTTTAAAAATCTGTACTTACATAACTAAGGACTGGCAGTTTATAATTGTCGTTAACATTTGCTGGGTTTTAATGTAGCTAACGATAACCTCTTAACGATAACTGATTTTAACGGACGATAACAGTAATGATATCTTCAAGTACAGTATTTTTATAACAGTACTCAGTTTTTCCGGCATCGACTTTGCACGTTCCCGTTAAAACTACGGCCTTAGAAATTTTGCAGTAATTTTGCAGTGTTGTGTCCCAGATACATGCAGGTCCTTTTTCAAGCGGTACTAGATGACAGATGATGTCTTCCCCGCCCATGCAGTCCCTTTTTAATCGAAAGAGGATTATGTCATAATCGTTCAGAGTTTGCGCAAAATTCATTCGTTCGATCAGTAGCTATAGTCTATATGTGTCTATATGTATGTTCGACAAACTATTGGAATCGCAATTTTTGTATATTTACAATTCATGTGCACAATATTACCTTACCTGTCTAGCTAATTGGTCTGGTACTCCATTCTGTCTTTTCACTTGAATTTCATTTCCGTTTTTGAATTTTCCGAGTTTTGAAAACGGTCGTGGTTTTCATCCACATGTTTGCAAACACGATCAAAGGTACTGGGACAAACAATGGAGCGCGCGGAACATTTTCTCCGCCAGCCTTGCGTTCGGTTTGCAAGAACGGAGTTCCTGCGTTGGGGCTGAGGCAATGTGCAATCTTTTGAAGTAGAAATACCTAAGTCTGTGATGATAGTTTGCGGTTGGATATGAATGATTTGTGTCACGCATCAATCGGATTAGTTTGAGACTTTGCCCACTCCTTTGTCGGCTGACGTGACGTGGCGTGGCGACATAGATTATTTGGTGAAATCGATATTTTTTTATTTTTTGAAACAGTTGTTATTCTGTTATCCTGCGCGTTGTTCCCTTTTTCCATAGCTGTATCCTGCTGGAGCAATAAACGTTTCCGTATTTTTTCAGGAAATCAACAACGACATCTCGAAAGATGCATCTCATAATAGGAGTTTTAATCTTCTGTCTGGCCAACGTTTGCGAAGGTAATTGTAAATTTTTGATTATACACTTACGACACGCTTTTGCTCTGGGAATGCATAGTGTGTTTAGACTTATTCGTTATTAATATACCATGAAATTGCTCGAGATGAATATATAATTCCTCGGCCACCACGCGGGATGTTTTGACGTCGCCTAATTGACTATTAGGATCTAGAAACCACAGTAGCTCAGTTTAGTAGTTTCCGGAGAATCATGTCGACGTGTGATTTCATGTTCGTTCATATGTACTCATGGTCGGTAGATGTGGAGCTCACCATCTCAGTCTCGACGCGTTTTTTTAACCAACTAACCACATCCAAAAATGCGCGCATAGTTATGTGTTCTGGCTGTGAATTTTCACCTGAATGCGCCACATTATGGACTTGGTTTGTCAAAGATTTCCTCACAATTGTTGCGATTTTGCACAAGCAAATTCCCATACGTGGTAAATCCGGGTAAAAAAATGCAAGCGTGTCTGTGTCGAGAAACAAATGTAGCGATCAACGCAATCATTCGCAACGTATTTTTCACCACGTTGGTTCGTTAACACCTGTGATTCATCGATGCAAAATACCGAAGGTTATCCGGGGAAGAATGGCAGAAAACATGATAGTGTTTATGTGAGATTTAAAGCTCTCTTAATGTTGAAAATGAGACTAGATCAGCTTAAGTTTGTAAAGCTGAGATGGCCAAAGATTTTCGTCATGAGTAAGTTAAATAATCAGACACAACCTAATGTAGGAAATAACGTGATATAATGTGTTTCACGCGCGTTGCAGTTTTGGTTGCAGTTTACTTTCACAAGAGTTACAGTTTGTGCTTACAACGTTTATCAAAGAAGAATGCAAAAAGAGGCTTTTCGAGTTTTTTTCATGTACTTAGTCGTAACGAAGCACTCATTGGTTTCTGCGAGGGCCTGCAGGAAATCTGACACTCTTTAATTTGAACAGCAGGTCAAAGGTATTTCTGGAAAGCGCGAGTGAGATACACCAGGTGCTGCCTTGTTATTCTGTTATAGTCCAGCTTGCCACTAAATGTTAATCGGATTAGAACAAATAACGATGAAAAGGAATGCTGATGTTGTTTTAGTGCCTGGGAAGAGGATAGGACATCGACAGTCGAAGCTACAAATTACAATTTGAGATTTGAGTTAAATTTCAAATTGCAGGCTCATTACGAGCTGTTTTATAGGTGTGAAGTGAAGCGAAATGAAGGTTTGCGCGTTCATGCAGCCTCGGGTTCCTGAACAGAACAATGTAGTCTTTCTAGTCTAGATTTTTAGGTGCGAACTCTGCGAACTCATACACGCTTAACAATTGTATCACAAAAATTTCAAGATGATAGTTGACTCAATTATGCCAAAAAACATTTGGCATTACGTGGATAATCTGGAATAATTTGGAATTTTTTGCTTTTTAGGATCAAAAGCCTGGGACTACAGCGGTGAGTTTCATTCGGTGCAATATTTAGGACAGATAAAAGATTGCCGAATAAGTTTCTCGCCGTTTTTTCAAACTTGCTTTATGCATGATATTTTGATGACATTGTTACAGATACGTCTAAATGGAAGAACGACTACCCCAAGTGCGGCGGAAGCAAGCAATCCCCGATAAACATTGTCAACCCGAAATGCGACAAAAGCTTGAACAACTCCATCACTTTCACGAAATATGAGTCCGCTGGAAGCAGTAAATTCAAACTTACCAATAATGGCCATAGTTTACAATTGAGTACATCTAGTACGGGGGCTTCTATTAAGCTGGGTTCGCTTGGTACATTCAAGTTGGAACAAGTCCATTTTCACTGGGGGAACAGCAAAAGTCAGGGCTCGGAACATGAACTGAAGGGAAAAACTTTTCCAGCCGAGGTGATGACATAACATGAGAGCACAGAATTGACATTATAAAATAGACATATATAGTATAATATCAATTGTGTGAAAGTACAAGGAGTGAGACTTCTGGCAAAGCGCCATAGTGTTTGCGTATTTTGCTTGCGTCATATGGCGTCACATTCTCAAAAGATCTCGCGCGCAAATTTCACGAAGTGAGACTTCTGGCCAGTGAGCTCTCTATGTATATACACGGCAAAAAACGCTCAAGTTGTTCCCGGTTGATGAGAACAGGCCTCAACAATGTTGTGCTGCACCCCATGAACAATGTTGTCAACAACATGTTGCAATATTGTTAAGCGTAACAAGGTGGAACAATGTTGTTGACAACATTGTTCATGGGGTGCAGCACAACATTGTTGAGGCCTGTTATCATCAACCGGGAACAACTTGAGCGTTTTTTGCCGTGTATATAGAGAGAGAGAGAGAGCTCACTGCTTCTGGCAAAGCGCCATAGTGCTGGCGCATTTTGCTTGCGTCATATGGCGTCACAAACACACTCTCTAAAGATTTCGATTATTCCAATGTGTAATAACCAATTCGTACAGTATTAAAATACATAAGCTATATTAATCACAACACCCAGATGATCCAGCTAGTTTCACAAAGAATAACATAAGATTTATTTGAATTCTGCAGAATGGATTTCTGTTTTGATCGCGAGATCACCAGCAAGATTCGGAAGAATTGTTTAAGATTAGGGACGACTGACGAGGGAGGTTTGAAATAAGTTTAACAAGAAATTTTATTTTAGATGCACATGGTCCACTATGACTCCAAGTATGCATCATTGGCGATAGCAGCACCCAAATTTGACGGCCTTGCCGTTCTCGGTGTCTTTATCGCGGTAGGAATATGCTCACGTATATCTTGTGCTGTGTTGTGTCCTGATTGGAATAAGAAACAGAATTATCAACGGCTTCGTTCTTTTCTTCCAGGTTGGAAACAACAACCCTACCTTTGACAAGTTTTTGAACTTCGCCACCAATGTCACTCAGAATGGTTAGAATTATGCCTGTTTTTACGTACTTTATTAACGTATTTATTATTAGCTAATATACGATCAAGAATATTTCTAAATTCGGACCATACCTTGTGTGAGAGGCTTTCCCTATACAAACCACAACTTACTTTAGAATACTACCTACACTGGACCACCACGTTTGAGATATCTTTTTCAGGTAGTTCAGATACAAAACAAAACTTACTTTAGAATGCTACCTACACTGAACCACCGCGTTTGAGATATTTTTCAGGTTGTTCAGACACATACATTTTACCACCAATTATTTATGATTTGAAATTCATTTTAGGGAGCAGCGTGGATATAGCACCATTCAAGATGGAGGATTTGTTGCCTGAAAACAAAAACTCCCTCTACCGCTACAGAGGCTCTCTTACCACTCCCCCATGCTATGAATCAATAGCATGGACGGTATTTGATCAGAAAATCCAGATTTCTGAAGCCCAGGTCAGGAAACCTGAAATCGTCTAGTATTACAGACTAATTTACTCTACATGTACATGATATTTAACAGTTATTCTGCGAACTCGAGTCGTATATGAGCTGATAGGTCGGGAAATGCAGTTCGGGAAACCTTTAATATACAATGATTCGTAATTTTTGCTTTTAATTTCAGCTTGCAAAATTCCGCACTCTAAAGGACAGCCACGGCAAAACTCTTCAGAATAACTTCCGTCCACCACAAGCGCTGAATGGTCGTAAAATCACTTACTGGAACAACACGAAATGTTCAGTAGATGACAGTGGAGTTGCTGCCCTTGGAGGAAGCGTCTTCACGGCTCTTGTATCTCTGCTTCTTTTTGCTGTTCTTTAAACGCTTGGCGTTACATCTTAGGGTAATTTTGTAGTATTTAATTGAGCTTATATTGTCATGAGTATATCTTCTATTGAATTATTTTAGATGTTAAGGTAGTCTTATAATTAATTTGCGGTTTTGAATCGCTATTTACCGAACTAGATAAGTAATTTAAGTAAGTAATTTAACTTCATAGATTTTCTGTATCTAAACTCAAGTTCATGCAATTTGTTAGGACAAAGGGATCATTAGATTGCAACGCGATTGTAGAAATCCTGAAATAGTTTTAAATATTAATTGTTTTGGGGACAAACACGGATGTTTTTTGACAGCACGTAGACTTAAGCGAATGCAAGTACTCCATTAGCAAAACGTCGAATTTAATATAATAAAGAGTTGTATAGTTAAATCATAATAACATTCATTTCATTTTGAATTACTATCTAATATCAATAATTTCTAGCTAAATATGTCATTTTAAAGTTCAAGAGACGTATTCAAAAGTCTCGTTCGTGTTTTCAAGCGTACGTCAGCCAGCTTTTGGGATTGGAAATCAATATTTTATCGATAGCTTCTTTTGAGATTCCTTTTCGAAGCATTTTTGGAACAACCTGATCAAAGATGTGGGTGTATCCGTGGCCTCCATATCTTGTGAGTCTGTGAGGGGTATGTATGTCGTGAGCAAACAGAACGCGCTCGTCATAGCCTTCGGAGATCAGAAGACCAACCCTATCGATTCGCTGAGCATCGCTTGGAAAGTCAATCTCGGGGGCAAACTGATAATAGGATGTCTCGATACCGAAAAGATCATATTCAAGAAACGTTCCACATTTTGCGAACTCCAGAATGTCGGCGTTTTCCAAGAGGGTTCTATCAAGGTGGGCCATCACTGTGTGTTTGGCATCCCCACCCTGTTCTTGGAAGACCCGGAGTATCTCGTCAGGGGCAGTGGGGTGACGACCCGGGTGAATCATGACTGGGGTGAGGGTCTGAGCCTGCGCTATGGCTGACGCGCGGAGGCTTCGTTTTTCAACTTCAGTTAAGGGCCATGAGCAACCAATCTCGCCAATGATACCAGGTTTGATGTTCGTGTTGTCAATACCGTCGTTGATTTCTGAGACGATTTTCTGGAATGGAAATTTGTTTAAGTTTGTTTCCATTGTGGCTTAACAATGATCGTCAGTTGTGGCAATGGTGAAAGTTACAGGACCTACAGATGATAATGGTAGCATTGCTGGTATCAATAGTGGTCTTGACAGAGTTACAAATGACAAGTGACAATAATAGGCATGGTGGTTGTGGTGATGATGGTGGCTGTTATGGTAGTTGTTACAGATGACAATGGTAGTAATGGTGGTTGTGGTGATGATGGTGTTAATAGTAGTTGCAGATGACAAGGGTAGTAATGGTGGTTGTGGTGATGATGGTGATTGTGATGGTAGTAGTTACAGATGACAATGGTAGTAATGGTGGTTGTGGTGATGATGGTGATTGTGATGGTAGTAGTTACAGATGACAATGATTGTGATGAATAATGGTAACAATTAAGATGATGTTGGTGGTAATAAGGGTGAAGCTGTAAATAGTGTTGTTAGTGATGGTGATTAATTTCACTGTTTAAAACATTTCATAAACCTCAGTCATTTGTTCAACTGAAAGTGCCTTCATTTCATCTGTCAACTGTTTTTCAACATAATACCCAGTTCCACACACAATATTCACACCAGTCTGTTCAGCAATTGCTTTCATCTTCATAACATCCCTCGACAATCCTAAACTGGTATTCTCCACAATGGTTGAACCTCCAGCTTTCTTATACAACTTGAGATCTTCAACCACGGCTTCTGTTTTGTTCGACAAAAGCACATTTGGTTTACAACTGTATGGATTGTGGCGGATCCAGTTCAGATTTTGCATGGTGAACTCGCAATTCACCATATTCTGGCAGGAATCAGATGTCGGGACCAAGTGTTTAAGAAAGTTCAAAGAAACATGTTCATGTGTCAAGGTTTGTTGCAACTCTCCAGGAGCAATTTTACCCAATACAGTCTCAATTTTATCTTTAACCATTTTGGCAGATAATGAAATGAGTTTAGTTTATTTCTAGGGCAGATGATCTTCCAATGATTGGGAGTTGAAGCCAAAGGGAATTATTCTATATGCACATAAATTAACATTTATTAGGTTACTTTACAAAGTATTTAGTTCCATGCCAAGTATGTTTCATTAACTTTCATATAGGAAAAAGTACGCATATTACATGTTTTAGCTCTAAAAGTAATCACATTGATTTGCTAAACTTTTGTTATTTAGAAAATGGATTTTTTCTGAGGCAATAATAATGATTTAATTTTATTATTATTATAAACATTTCCAATAAATTCTCAAATAAATTAGAATCTAATTATTTAGGATCCAAGATGGCGGACGACATAAACAAATGTAACTACTATATTTCGAGTTTGTTGGGAAAATTACAAAGTTCTTCTTTATCCAGCGTGCAAAAATCGTTGATTTCGTTGTCTCGGGCAACAAGAAAGCCTGAAAATGTCAAAAAATTACGCGAAGAGGGTGGAATTAAATCATTATTATCGTTTCTGCAGGCTTCAAACAAGAAAACCTTGGATATGGCAGTGAGCGCTTTAGCCAACTGTGCTATGGAGAGAAAATGTAGAAACGAGGTGATTGAGTCTTGTTTTTTACAAGATATACTTTAGAAGTCGATGTTATACTTTAAAATATTCACTAACTATAAAGCCATTGTCGTCCGTTGTCCATATATAATTATATAAAACAACAGTAACCCATAAACGTATGAAATTTCAACGTGAACGCGCCAGCTTGTGTCTTAACTAACCTGTGAACTAACCAGAGATCTTACATTTTTGTAGATAAAACAACTGAACGGTCTGGCTCCTTTGTGTAAGTTGATAGAATTAAGAATTTACATTTTACTTGGCCTTGGGTGTGTCTCCCTCAATCATATATATATGGTGATGATGATTTGCTTGTTTTTTTAGGTAATATATTAGCTTCGTTGGCGGATATCAGCATTCTCACCCGGGTCACAAGAGCTCTGGCAAATTTGTCGCAAGATGTCAGCATTGCGAACGTAATTGTAGGCCTGAAGGCTGTTCCTGTACTTCTGAGCATACTAGCATCATCAAATGATGCAAACCTCCTTCAAAATTCGTTGCGTGCCCTGAGAATTATGAGTGCTAGTTTCGCATGTATGAAAGAGCTGGAAGAGAAGAACGGAATACGTAGTCTTGTAGAGCTGTTGAACAAGGAAAACTGCAACGAGACTCAACGATGCTGCCTTCAAACCTTGCTCGAGTTGAGTAAAGTTGGACGTGGTCTCTTAGCCACGCAATTTCAGGAACATGGTGCCGTCGAAGCTGTCAGTCAATTGTCTTACTCCGATGACAAAGATTTGGCGGAGCGCTGCATTGATATTTTGTGTACCCTTACGAAATATTTTTCGGTACGTGTGTCTGTCGGAACCATGGGAGGAATCCAGGCTTTCTTTCACCAAATACGAAACCGCAGTTCTCTACTGCCGCTGTCTATCGAAGGTGTCTGTATGTGCTGTCGTGAAGCCGTCAATCGTAACAAAGTTCGTTCCTGTGGAGGGCTGGAGGTTCTTCTCGACATACTACGCTGTCCTCAGTACTCCGATGCTTTTGATAATATCTTAGGTGCTTTTGCCTGTTTCACGTACGATGACATAGCCTTAAAAAGTATGATTGCTTCGGGATTGATTCCGATATTGGTTGCCATGCTACGAAAACTGCTTTTCTCTGAGAACGCAGCTAAGAACGGGACAGAAGAACAAAATGATAATTTACCGACATCAAAAGATGAAACTCAGATCACACCTACTCCGCAAAAAAGGGTAAAATACGCGTCATCTACCATTCAAGATTCCAACATTCATTCCAACAGTACATTCCAACCTATTTCTTCGTCAACTACCCCAATATCGAGTGCAATAAGTGACTCTATTGTGTCAAGACCCCTCATCCTACCATCTTTGCATTATGCCAACAACTCTGCCTCACCACCATCGTGTTTGTCTCCAAATCTCAGTCCCGAGCTTCGAGTGCCGTTCCCAGCTTCTCATAGTCCTGAGTCCGCCCGTTCGTCAAGTCCAATGGTATATTCTCCATCAGGATCTGAAGCTGGCGAAGGTTCCTCATCCTGTTCGGATCACGAGGAAGATGCAGTAGAAGTTGCGGGAACTGATGCACAGATTACCCAAGATTTCACTGCAGTAAAATCAGATGGTCTCGCGGCAGAAGCACCAGCTTCTAATGAATGCACCATGTCCGGAAACACTACAAGCGGATTTGAAGAAGAGGAACGAGGTACGCCTTGTGATAGTCAATCAAGGATGAAGGATGATTCAACAACTCATTCTGGAGATACAGTGGTGACTGCTTCAGAAAAGCAACATTCCCAGCCATCTCAGCAGGAGGATTGTCCCTTTCTCCCATCTTCCTCCAAACGACGAACTAGAGGACCACTCCTACCTGGAGCAAGTTTCAGTGAGTATCATCACCTATTTTTGCCAGATGAAAACGTCTTCTCTGCTGATCAACCATCTCCTAGAAAGAGGCCAGAAGATCAATGGTCCCGTCGAAAATCCTGGCAGTCGTATGCTGCAGCACGTGGTCATTCAAAGACACCACGTGGAGTTTCAACGTCATCCAATCCGTATTATTCACACTCTAGTGGGCTTGAGGGAATGGAAAATAAAATCATTTTTTTGCTTTCCCGTTTTGGTCAAATGCCACATGCCTCGGACGTTGAAGCTTTGACATCATCGGAATGCATTCAGACACTTCTGGACTACTTGTGTTTCAGTAAGAATCGTGACCCCAGATGTAGGCGGCTGTTTAGTCGCCTTGCATGGGATAGAAAATACTTTGAGACTTTCGTTCTCATCATGTTTCCAGGTGCCGTCTACCGACAGCTCGTACGTGGTCTCTATCCAGGTTACCTGTTTTTCAACCAATCCAAGTCCAGTACTGCAACTGGAATCGATGGCAACGCAGGCAAGCAAATAGTTCTTACTTCAGAACCGATTACCGCTCGTGCAAGTGATAACGTTGCTGCAGACGTCATGCGATCTGCCACGTTTGTTCAAGACGATTCTTTAGCCAGGGAGTCTCCCAAAGACATCCCTAGATGTGATTCAAATTCTGAGCTAAATAGTCCTGCAAACTTACGCCAGTCCAGTCCTGATAGAGCTTCAACATCGTGCAGTAAGAAAACGTCTAGCAATGCAGAAATTGATGATGTAATAAAAAATAATCCAGTTGGTTCCAAGCTGAAGAGCTCGTTACAAACAACGCCTGGGAAGTCGAAGGAAAATGTACTTCAATATACAGCGAATCCTACGTGGAATGATGACACTGAAATAATCGGTACAAGCCTTTTATCTGTTTTGTCTACGCAAGCATCTACGTCATTTGGAGAGGGCATTCTGGCTCACCTCCTTCTTAGAGGTACAAAGAAGCAAAAGGAAGCCTGTGCCTTGTCGTTGCCTTATTTGTGCAAGTAAGTATCTGAAAATCGAAAGGCAGTCAGGTTAAAAGAAAGGCAGTCAGGCTTGCAATATATTATCTTCAGGTTTTTCGGTATGTAGCTCATTTAGAGGTAGACATCCGACAACTCAACATACCCCAAAGATAACAGGAATTCAAGCCTTGGCCATCTGCATTAGGATACAGCCATACAGTTACCATATTTACCAAGATTCGCGTGTGATCTCTCTGACCTGTATGGTCTGGAAGAGACCCGATTGTCAGTATTTTAAAAAACTCACTATTTTACGTGTATTTTATAGGACATCAAGACTGAAACAGAAATTGCTGGTCAACCTTGAGGGACTGATGCAGATATTATCATTGTTATGTAATTCAACGAATCAAATTGATATTATCCGTGCTGTTAATTCCATCACATACCTTATTGCAAATTCTGCTCTGAAGATGTATGAAATCTCTGCAGTTTTCATCGCGAAAAACACGATCCCTCGTGGATACAGGGTAGTTGATCTACTATGTATTGCTGGAATTAAGCGCGTTCCTGTCTGTTTTTACCACAATAATCATCAAACGCCCTTTGATGTTGTAATGAAAGTAGAGACTGGGGAATCTATCGAAGTCCATCGGTCTGTTTTGTGCAAACTCTCCGAAGTCTTTTCAGCAATGTTTTCCAGCCATTTCATGGAGGGCCATCAATCTGAGATTATCCTGAAAGATTTAAATCATTCCACTCTCCAGTTTCTTGTTCATTACGCCTATGGATGTTGCTGGTCTCTGAAATCACACTTCGATGTTTGTCCGTTGCTTGAGCAGATTCTCTCTAGTGATCGTTTTAAGCTCGACTTTGATTTTCTGTTGAACTTGTTAGCGTGTGCTGATCGATTTCTTTTAGGTATTTTAAAAAAACAGTGTGAAAATTTGATGATGTTCAGCTTGAGTGCTGAGCATGTGACGGAGGCGTATTTGACAGCGGTGCTTTACAACACTCCCCGTCTTCGTGTCCGCTGTCTTCAGTTTATCTTTCTCGGGGACATCGAGTTGAACTGTGTGTACAAGTATGTTGTGAAATTATTACAATCCCAGGAGCGAGATAGAGTTATCGAAGACTTTAAAAACATCGCGTTAGACTGTTGCACGGAGATTAAGAGTGATAGTGAATGGTAAATGGAAGCACTGTTTGCGCTACGTGATGAAGTTTCGAGAAAGTGTCTTCTTCACCTCACCACAATTGATTACCTATTGCCAATATGTGTTATCTTTTGGCGGATTTAGGGTGATAATTTCATGTCCAGAATCCACGAATATAATCCTTGATTCTAATCCTTTAGTAGAAGTAGTCGGGTGACGGTTAGTGTCAGATTTAGGATTAAAACTTAGGATTATATTCGTGGACTCTGGACATGAAATTATCACCGAATTTTGTGTGAAAATAATCGTGGAAAATAAGTCTGGAATAATTTGTCTTTAAAAGGTTCAATTACTATTGATATCAATGTGCAACCTCGTCCAAGAATGAGATAATGATGGATATTTTGCAATTTGCATTCATAATCTTTACTTTATTGCCCAATTAGGATCAGCATGGAAATAATTATGGAATATTTTGCACCATGATTTCTAATTTATTTCCTCATGGAGATTATGGAATATTTTGCACAATCATTTCTAATTTATTTCCTCGTCGAGATTATGGAATATTTTAGCTCTAATTTATGCATTTTCAACCGGAAGTCATAGTGCACAAAACAATCTCGGGGAAGAAGCAACAATGGCTTTGCAGAGAGACGAAATGTCCAAGTTTAATATACCAATATCGTCTCAAAATATTGAGAATCAGTTCCTGCAAGAAGACAGAAAGCCTAAGAAATCGAGCAGGTACAAAACACGTTTTAATTACATTTTTTGATCGGAGTTATTTTGAAAAAAATACATGAAAGAAGTCTGCACTTGATGTTGGAATGTTTATGACTTGGAAAATTAAACTTTACGTAGAAATATTTGCAGCAGTTATTAGAAGTAGTGAATCAATGAGATGATATTTAAATTTTATATTGAAGTAGTTTTAGTTTAAAATATCAAGAGGGAATACTTTGAAAAAACAATTTGCTGAATATTTTGAACAATTTTATAATCCTATTATCTTTTCTATCAAATTGGTTCACAACATGTCAAATACGGGTTGATAATCGGTATATTAATAGAGCTATCACTTGGCATATCTTCTAAGTTTAAAACCGTTAGTATGTCGTGCTTTCTAATCATCATTTTCATATGTAAATAGTCGTTTTGCACTTGAACTAAAGCAGATATTATCTAAAGCAATTACAGAACCGGTGGTGTGAATATTACAATGTTATAATAGTCATATCATCAAAATTTATAACAGTATTGTATAGAATTCCAACATAAACCCAAAGCTTAACATGTCATCTGTCTGATATGCTATTAACTCTGTCTATGCCATATGATTTATATTGTCAATGATAAGTAACGTAGTGGTACTAATGTAAGGCAGAGTATAAATATCAGACCTCTATAATTGAAACATTTTAGGGAAGTTGAAATTCAAACTGATGTATCAACAGTAAGTATGAAATTCAAGTTCTTTCCGCAAAGTTTTTTTCAAAGCTAGGATTCCATCAGAAACACAAAGTTCAGTTTTAGATGCATCACATAATCTAACATTCTATATATTAAACAGCCAGCAAATCCTTTCAACATGACTGCAAGGAACTTTCCAAAGAGACACAGGTTAGTTTAGCACAGCGTCTTCATTCAGAAATAACAAGCTTAATATATCTAGATTTCAATACCATTCAATTCCTATAGGAATTATTTTCGAGCAAGTGCCTCAAACAGAACCAGGTGTGTAGTAAACAAAGCCTAGTCTTTTTGAAAAAATTTAACAATGATATATATTTGATAAATATTTTAAGCTAATTTCTTTTACTTGATATGTGACCAGGGCAAGCTCCTTCAGTCCAGGAAAGGCACTTGATTTAGTGAGAGCTGCATTGCAACCATCCTTGAATGCTGAGCTGGAAAATGTTTTGAAAAATTATCAAGAGGTAGGCAAGCAATACTTTGTGTTCATTAAAAGTCTGAAAAATACAGTAAACATTGACAGTTTGTTCTTGTAGCTTTTGAAACTTGCAGCAGTAAACATTCGTGACAACACAGGCGAGGTTGTAACTGATGAACTAGTGAATACAACCATAAGAAAGGCTTTGGATGAGGTAGATCTTATCAAATTCTTGCAACTGCAATTCACTAATATTGCTAAATAGAACACATTTTATTCTTCGCTGTGTTTATCTTTCAGGCAAAAGTTCTGTTTCGAACTGACAACAAGCCTCTAAATGAGAAGGTATCTACCATTCAAATGTTAACATGAATATTTCCATGATTTTTTTAAGAACTTGAAATGTTTCTTATTTACTTTTTCTTCACCTACGATAGCCTGAGAGAGAATCAAGAACTGGTTCTCCCTTTGTACGTAAGGTAAGGAACCAGGAAGCCAGGACAATTATGATTATGGAAAAGACTTTCTGAATCACAGCCAATTGCCTCATACAGTTGCTTAATTATAGGGTCATTCCTGCATGCATCTTTCGCCCAATTAAACTGTCTTGCTAAGGCCTTACCAACAACCACTAGTTGATGAAAATCTCTCTCTATACACTAGACATTTTTATCATGTTGCATGTCTTATTGCAGTTGTAACAAACTATATATGTAATAAGCAAACAACAGCATGTGTGTATATCCTTTTCTCTTATCAGAAAAGGCGTCCAAGAGAAACAAAAGATGACGGTGCACCTGCAACAAAAAGTGCAAGATCTGACAAGAATGCACACTATGAGGTCTGGTTAGAATTTTCCATTCAATGCTTAGTTTTGCTACCTTTTAATGGACCAATGGTTGGCAAGACAAAAGAATGATGGAAACCCTGGTCTAACCATAGATATTCTTTGTTCTTTTTGCACATAGTGGGATCCAGAATGCATCAACTATGACACAGAGTTTGTCATGGGGGTGAAAGCAAACAAGTAAGTGAAACTCCCATGAAAATTTTAAATGTTTTACAAACAAGAAATAAGGTTCTCTAGCCCAGGAGACTTTCTATTTCCTCTTCATTTAAATTATTCTTCATCTATTTCATCTCAGAGCTCTTGGGTTTGCAGCAACCCGTGGAAAGTTATACAGCCGACATCCAGACTTATTCAAGGTACATTTCCACTTCAAACAATTCTCGAAACAAGATGAACAAAATGAGAAATGTTTTGCTTTTCGTATTTCTAGTATGTGGGCGACCAAGAAGACAAGCAATGGTTGTATGAGAATGGTCACCTTCCAATAACTGGAGGAAAGGTGAGTGCTTTGAATTGTGATAAAATGTTTTATTGGTTCACTTCAATGTTTAACCATGTTCTTGTCTGAAATCTGAAGAGACTTATGTGTGATTATGAAGATGCTTTCATCATGCATGTTTGAAGAACAAGGGTTGGGTTGGGCTTCCATAAACGTCCCTCAAAATATTATTTGTTCTTTCACATCTATTTCTTACAGGCTTGTTTATATTACAAGTTTATTCACATCTATTTCTTACAGGCTTGTTTGATGATTAAGGACAATATTTACGATTTGTTGAATCGGGACGATTATAAGTGAGTGAAAACGTCTGCCAGTGGATACAAGGAAATACATATTAGCAATACAGCGTTTCTAACACTGTTCGCATTTCCTTGCTTCTTAGGAACAGTGAGAATACGAGCATTGAGGATATTCCAGGATTTCGTGTTAGCAAACGTATGGTGGACAAGATGAAGGCCGTTATGAGAAGTGTGTAACCAACTCTTACCATCTTTCTTAAAGTTTCCTCCTGTAGTAACACTGGATCAATAAGAGATGATACTGAATCTCTAGGAAGAACACTTTAGAACTGATAGAGCCATCCAGTATAAATAAAGTTAGTTTAGTTTAGGTTTCCTCCTGTAGTAACACTGGATCATTAAGAGATGATCCTTACTGGACCTTTAGGAAGAACAGTTTAGAACAAATTAATCGTGATTTTAGAAAGCCAACTGAATCGAGAGAAAGAAGTAAAGGTGGAACCAAGCACACAATATGTTGAGAAGACTGCAGACGCACCACCAGGACCAGTTGAATCTGAAGTTGTAACCAGTACCTCATATGCATCGCGTCCAGCGCAACCTGGCTTGGATGAGCCGAATGCTAATCCCTGAAATATTGAAAATTGATCTTGCATAGTTAGGATAGTAATAGAAAAGGCAATATGTGACAGCAGAATTTTGTTATCCTGTTGGGCCTCGTAAAAAATAAAATGTTGGTGAAATGTATAACTTCCAATCACCATAAAGTTTTAGTTATAAACTTTAAATACTTGTAGTTAATATTGAATTTTATTTGTAAAATATAAAGAGAAATACACGAAAATAGGTTTTCCATGGAGGTTTAAAAAGTTCGATTTTTGTACAATTTTTTTTTGCCAACATGACGTAAGTTTTCTAGCGTTTACCAACTCAATTACTATTTTGTAACAATATAATACGACTATAGTACAGATAATAAACTTTGAAACTGCTCAACGGTTTAGTTGTTATTGAAACCTCGTAGATTTTAATTGTTTTTGCTAAGATTCTGTGTGTCATCATTATTTGACGTTTAAGCCGTTGGTTTGAGTTTTTGTTTCTCTTGATAACCTTGAAATAAGGTTTAAGCAAAATAGGGCAAAGATTGTACATTACCCCAACCTCAGTGATCAAGTCACAGGCCAACCTCAAATTGTGCGCTGTGGGTTTTTGTCTTCTAGCACGCCTTAATCATAAGTAATCTGGTAGAAATCATTCAGTCAATAGACAATGGTTTAATCCAATTTCCTAAAACGGTCTATAACTAAATTTGGACATGCTCTAGCGAACTTCGTTGCACGATAAATTAATGAAAATCGCATTAATTTTTCAAAAGAGACGAATTGAGAAACAAAACTCCTCAGCTGTGGTAGCAACTTTCCGGTTAATTATTTTTGCGTGCAATGTTCCGCTTTTGTGCAGAACATTGGATAAAGAATAACATTAAAAAATAATGGTTTCTAGGAAAGTTTCCTCCGGTAATGCGATTATGATGCGGGGTTATACCAGTTGAAAGGGTCTCCGATTGTTTTGAGAGGGGCGTGGGGTTAGGTGGGGTGTATGGCCATAAATAGAGGTTATTTTCCTCAATCTCGATCTGGTAAATTGGGTAACCTATGGGATTATAATTAAGACATAATTGTGACATTCAAATTGTTCTAATTGATGTGCAAAGTAGAGTAAGAATGTTTTGATCAAACGAAAATGATAACCAAGATTTCTAGTAAATTATATATGAAATCTAGCTCATATTAACGTGCTTTGGTGCTGTCCCGGGCCGATCAAATCAAATTGCGTGTGGCCAAAATCGTGCAAGAGTTGTTTCGCATTGTTTGTTACTCGGGGAGGGGTTTACGGTTGTTTTACGAGAGCGCGAACCTAGCCCTTCCTGTCAGAAGCACATTACAATACAGAGCCTTTGGTGTACAACTACGATCTGATATTTTGCAACGACGGGGCGCCACTGCAGGGATAAGCAAATATTCACGAGATCTTTTATGCGGAGGAACTGGAACGATTGTTAAAGACAGTCTCGATGAAGAAATGAAAATGTTTTACATGGCTTGAACTATGATCTGTGGTCGTTTCATCGACAGTGTTGCCCGAACATGCTTGTCAATAAACCAGATGAATGGGTCCGGATAGCTTTGCAACGCTTCCAAGTTCAGGTATATAGTTTAACTATCCTTTCCTGGTCTTTGGCACTTTAAATTTACAAACTGAAATTGATATATGATAAATATGTCTTCGTATGATATATAATATTCCTTATGAATATAGCGTAATGGATGATTTTAACCGCTGTTTTAACTCTCGGTACTCTAATTTTTGTTTATGTATTGCTTGTCGATATACGAAGCATTTCCTGAGGTTTTTCCTATGAGAATGTGCCATTAAGATTGACAAGAACACATATGCTTTATCAATGATTAACCATGAGCTCGACGAGACAAATTGGTCTTTATAGACGCAGTAAATATTGTCTTAAGTGCTCGTAAAATTATTTGCAACGGGGAAATCTTCTGAAGCATATCGCCTTGGCGTAGTGTGTCAAAGAAACGTATAGATATGAATATGTTTGGGATTTCAAATTTGCGTTAATAAATTGCTTAATTTTGGTTAATTATAAACTTATAAAATAGTAAAAGTGTTTGAGATTATCAATTTGTGGCAAGTTAATAATTAATGTGCATGTTTGTGAGGAGTCTGTTGTTCAAAACATTTATAATCTTATTATTTGAGAGCTCAGAAGCAACGTATAATTACAAAATTTGAATAAGTGTGGGAAAACGGCTAGTTTCTCATTAAAAGAAACCTGAAAGAGTTCGACGAATCCTGAGGTTTTAAAGTTATATTCTTTCAACGTGTCGGGTTTAATTTCTGCACATGTTTTGCAGACAGGAAGCAGCTTTGTGATGATTACTTTGGGGTTATTCAGGAAGCAATTTTCTTGCCCTGTGGGTACAATGATATCTGGCAAATCTATATTTGAAAGTGAATCTCAGTCAAGCCTGTCAGGGAATATTGATAGAAATAATAGACAATAATAATGCCTATTATTTCTAGCAAAATATCAAATGTTCAAGTCATTGTTTCAATAGAAATACCAAATGTCAAGGAGATATTGGATGTTAAAGTTATTATTTCAATATCAATAAGTGAACGAAGGGGTAAATTTTCCAAATTTCATAGCTTCCGCATGAGAGAACACCTGAACACAATGAATCAAAAGAGAGCATTGAGAAAATCCAGGAGACTCTCATCACTCTCAGTGAACAAAGGTTTCCACTGGTTATGCAAGGACTTACTAAGCTGATTAAAGAACCTGCCTTCATTGTAAGTTAACGTGATGACCCAGCCTCGTACCCAGGCGCTTTATTGGAAAACCTGCTACGAGGGTACGCCTGGGTATGAGGCTTGTGATGATCCCTCTTGTTAACCTATATCAGCTGGTAAAGTCATTGATTGATGTTAATGTCATATTTTCAGAACTCTTTTCCATCAGATAAGAAAGATAAGATTGGAGAATCCAATGTTATTGTACTCAGTACAATTGAAAAATGTCTTTGCAAAGTAAGACTTCATTCTGACTTTTGGTTCATGTTTAAGCAAAATGTGGCTATTAGACTTTTGTAAATGCCATAGATAATTGAATCTTTCTTTTTGCAGTATCCTGAGCAATGCTCACGGCTTGAGGATGATGTTTTATCTAAACTCCTTCCAAGTATTATACAGGTAGGTTATCACTGGTTAGTGAGTTGACCAGTCAGTGGTTGGTTGGTCATTTGTTTGGTTCGTTGGTCAGTTGTTTGCTTGGTTGGTTAGTTAGTTGGTTGGTCAATTGGTTGGTGTGTTGGTTGATTGGTTAGTCGATAGGTAGTTGTCCACAATTGCATTCTTTCTAATCATTTTTTTATTTAATTCCTTCTAGTATGTGCTACAAACATTTGATTTTCCCCATGCAACCGAAGTTCAGAAAATGGCAGCCAAAGTCGTATCACATGTTAGCTCCTATCACTTCTCGGCAATATTCAATAAAGTTTCATTCAGGTAAGAAAAGAAAATACCAAAATTTATTTATACTCAATATCTTTTCAACAAACGTCATCTACTCTCTTTGTCCTGTTCAGACTTCACCAATTCAAGTGGATGATGGAAGTAATGATGTGAATTACCTCATCCTGATACGATATCTTAAACTAACCTCATCTTCATTGGTCATTCTGTTAGAAGGTCAGTCAGTAATGCATTCGTTCAGGATTTACCACAAGATTAGACACTTACAAACTTTGCTTTATCCAGAGTGTTTGGATACATTTAAATCACTGAAGAAATCCGCAAAGATGACGTTAATATCTTCATTGGAAAAGGTAAAATTTTTCTTCTTCTAAAACCATACAATTGGACATCCGTCAAACTTTGATATAATGATATTTCCTTTCGCAGGCAATTTGGAATTGGATCAAATACAACGCGGAGGAATTTGCGAAGGTTCAAAGATCCCCTTCGAAAAAACTCTCAGGTAAACACACAATGAAAGCCACTACTTTGTGAAACTTTCTTCAATGTATTTGTTTATAATTTTAGAACTGTGTGACAGCCTTTTTGAAATCTTGGTTTCATTTGCCGAAAGCACGAAACGCAAAGTGGCCGCTTGGCCGTTACAGATTATGCTCCTAATGCTTAGCCCGGTAAGTGACTGTTGATTTCATGTTGAAGAATACGGTCATTGCTTTTTATCAAACGAAGACGAGTTGATGAGAGTTCCAGCACTCATAATGGCAGTGAGATAGGACACTCGATTATCAGTTTCATCGTCTTATGTTAGGTTGTATGGACTGGAACAACTGACGACGACCTTGAAATGAAATACAAAACATTTTACTGGACATTTCTCATTTTAGGACACGTTAAAAGCAATTGCATCAGGGGAAAAACAACAGGATGCCCATCTAGAAGTTAAGGTAAAATTATAAGGTCTTACAAGACGAGAGTAGGGATAAAAGCGGACTATGTTTCATGCTTGCCCTGATGGCAAGTATAACTGGTCGGAAAAGTGTAAGTAAAAGTCGGAAAAGTAACACCACTAAAACTACTAGTTCTGTTTAACTTGTTTTCTGTCATTGAACAGAGAGAATTTCTGGAGAGTTTGAAGACGGCGTTGACTAGCGCAAAAGGACTAACAGAGAGTTCTGCCATTGCTTGTGTGAAGTTGTGCAAGTGTGCAACTTATGTACGACCTGAAGATAACTCCGTGTTATGTTTCCTTGTGTTGACTGTCATGAACGAGCTCAAGGTAAGTTGAAAGCTTTGTGGTCGATCGATGTGCTTCGAGTTTTACGGACGCGAAGGGTAAATTGAATTATTAACGTATTCTTTCCTCCAGGCTCTTCTCTTCAACACAAGTAAACCGTTCACCGTTGCATCACAAAATGCGATTCCTGTTGAGACACTGATGGTCGATTGCTTCGTCTCCAGTTTCCGAATTAACTATCGGAACAGCCAGCATTTTGATATTTGCCTGGTGCCCACAGCACCCGTCATTTTCAGCGTTGTGTATGTCCAAGGATTATACACCATTGTTAGACAGGTAACCAGGTTAAATTGAGGGAGCACATACGACCTACATTTCCCAGGTTTACATCCACTGTGTCCCTATCATTCCATCTTCATTTCAGAAACCTTTAAGTTGGTGGCCGACGTTAAAAGTCATGTACTCCAAGGCAGAGTCCCTTAGAAATTTATTCGAGGTAAAATACAGGAAGATATGCACCAGAATTTCTGTCGTAATCGTAGTCAAATTAACCGCGATGAAACGTTGTTGAAAAGGCCGAGTTTTAACATCGCTTCGATTTGTTTATTGTAGAGAACGCTGGAGAAATTTCGTGGGCTTGAAAATGGTCATGGTGCTTCACGGATGAGCGTGGTTTGTCACGTTTTTAAACTTCTAAGTGCAGACTTCTGTGAAGGGTCTCATTTGATGTCCAACCTAACGGATGGTTTATTTCATAGCTTTACAAACCTCGGGAAATCAAGCGAGGAAAAGATGAAGAAATTGGAACACTGAAGGCAGAAAAGGAGCTACTGCTGTGGTTGGTTCGTCTTTTCCGAGTGGAACCAGCTTTTGCTTTTTCTGTAAGTATAATTTAGCGAACTTTGTGGCTGTGTTGTTTCCCTGTTATCTTGATGCCAGACTGTTAATAGAATTGGGAAGAAATCTCAAACAGATTTTATCCAAGGGTTATTCTCGTTCACATAGAACACACAAACTAAAGGCATTGAAGTTCATCAAAGTTCAAATAAGCTATTGCTTGGTCTTGTCCATTTAATACTTTCTTCAAATTTTGGCAAAGAAGTATCACAGGAGGCGTCCCAGGTAATCCAAATCTATCCAAAGCTATCCAAAGCTATCCAAAGCTATCAATAACATAGTGCATATGACTCAAGTGTATGAACTGATATTGTCATGGTGCTACTCTAAGTCACCAACTGGCTAAAAGTTTAGTTTGGTTCCCGCCGTGGTCAAAAAAATATTTCATCTTGCCTGGTTGGTATCTCAGAGTGCACCATCACATTATTTATATATGCATATTTCTGTTCTTTCTTGTCGACTTGCCCTGCGTTTTTTGCCAGGAATAACGTCATACGATATCTCTCAATTCTCTTCATTTGTTTTGCTCTTGCAACTTTCTTTCATGTAGACACTATTGACATTGCATTCGCCTGAAAATGTTCAGCTGTGGAACCCCGCCGAACCCATCTACTCCTTCTGGGAAATAAGGTCTGTGTTTAACAAATAATGTTTGTGAATTCCACTCTGTAGTGATACACAAAAGAATTTTGAGAAGAACTTCGGGAATATCTCTCAGTGATATTTATTTGTTTTGTACTACAGGAAGACGGTGTAAGAAATATAAAGAATGATTGTTTTTTTTTCTTGTAGTTCGGAGTGTGTTCATTCCATTGGGGATGCGCTTGTGAATCATGGCACGAAAGATTTATGGTTGTTGAAATATTTGAAGAAGTTGATGGCTTGTAGAGATGAGTTCATTCAAAACAATAAGGTACGAGTCAAGAGACACGTTGTTTTGGTTAAAATATTAGCGTATTATTAGGAGCCGAGGTTGTGTTATTGTACCAGAGTATCTCTTTTGTATCCCTCGTCCTATACCATTGTCTGCACTCTATAGCCGTGTGCTATCACTTGTAGATCTCTGCTGTCCCGTGCTATCCCTCGCTGTCTCTTTTATCACAGGACATTAACGTTTCCATCTCTTTCAGGATGACCCTAATTTCTCCTGTCACTCACTAGTTACGTCTTCAGCAAGAGTCAAACTCGAGGTAAATCTTCGAATGGATTGAAGTGTTGACTGTGTTGTTCTTGCATGTGTCTTCTAATGCAACCATTTCGTGTTCTAGGAAGTGTTTTTGCAGTTTCTGTGGAATCCGGACGCAGAAGCCATCATCACAGCGCTGTCTTGTCTAAAATTTCTGTGCACCGAAATTTACAGCATCTCAAACACGAGCATGGATAATATCGCTCAGATGAATCTTGTTACGTCCATATTTTCCGTGTATGAAGAACTCGCGAATCTTGCTAATGGCATTTCAACAGGTAGAACTATGTAGAAACGTTTTGCCTGTTAGGACGCGGAAGCCGAACGACTGTAAACTCACAGCTGCAAAAATAACACGGCTCTGCCTGGAGAAATGATGTGAATGGTTATTTATTTCATTACCAGGTCGTCTCGCTCTTCAAAAGCGAATCATGGGAATCTTGCGAAAAGTCAAGGTTCAAACGCCGGGCAACAAACTAGCCTGGGACGGAACCTATTTCAGATGGAAGAAGCTCACGCATGCGCTCATCAATTTTCCCAAAGAAGAAATTCCCGGCGAGCCTGCGCAATCTGCAAAGAGCATGCGCAGACGCACGACAAGATTTAGCCAATCTGGCAAAATATCTGCAGAAAGTATCGAGGTAAGAAATACGGGATGATATATTTTTGTTTCATTGTTTAGAATATTGTTTGAGAATTAGCTGATGTTAAATTGTTAATATTTTTAGGGTTACATCAACGAATGGAACTATATGACTGGATTTCTTTGTTCGCTTGGAGCAGTTTGTTTTAAGGAGAATCCTGAATTAAGGTAGAGTAATCGAGTTGTGTTTGCTTGGGCAGTTCTGTGCTATCTTCTATCCTGCCCTATCCTGGGATATCCTCCGCTGTTCTCTGCAGTCCTGTGCTATCTTCTATCCTGTCCTATCTTGGGATATCTTCCGCTGTTCTCTGCAGTCCTGCAGGTGCTATCGTCTATCATGTCCTGTTCTGTTCTATCCTCCGCTGTTCTCTGCCGTCCTGTGCTATATTCTATCCTGTTTTGCCCTGTTCTATCCTCCGCTGTTCTCTCCAGTCCTGTGCTATCGTCGGTCTGTTTCAATTACCATTTCTTCTTTCAAATTAGTCGCCGTATCAGCAGATCAAGATCAGCGGGAAAACTGAACCGTCAACCATCGGTTTCTCAACCCGAAGAAACAGAGACAGTCAAAGGGTAAGTGCTTCCGGGAGTTATGCAAATTTACCTTTGAATTCATGTTGCGAGCAAAGCTGAATTACCTAAAGAAAAATAATTTCTGTTCAAGATTCGTTTGTGAACTATTACGCCTCAGTGTATGTACCAACGAACACATTGGGACGAAGGTTGGTTGAACAAATATTTAACTAAATCGGACTACATACTTTAGTCTTCTCAGTAAATCATGCGTGTGGTCTAGTGTAGGTAGGATTCTACAATAAGCCCTCGTGGTTTGTGTCTGAACTATCTGAGAAAGATATCTCAAACGTGATGGTTTAGTGTAGGTAGTATTCTACAATAAGCTGTCGTGGTTTGTGTCTAAACTACCTGAAAAAGATATATTTCAAACGCTTGTTTAGATACGGCTTATTATCAAGGATCTGATTGGCCAAGAGTTGAGTTCGGCTTTGTATAGTGCTTTATTTAAAGAAATTCGCCGGGATTTTGAAGAATTTTTCACAGCTGGTGGCCAGGTAGGTGCAACGGTGATCAGTCGAAAGTCATCACTTTGAGTCAGGACTGAAGGCAAATTTTCTAAACTTTTTAATCTTTCAGGTTATTGTCCAAGACATCCATACTTGCTTTGTCGATCAGGTAAACATTCACGATGAATATATCAATTATAATGAAAGAAATGATGTTTTGTAAATGAAGGTCGTGTATGGTCCATATATTGGTTTTAATTCAGTGTCTTTTCTTAAGGTTATTGCGATAATGAAGCACATCTTGGAGAACAAAAATGCTGTTGCGGTTGAGTGCTTCAAAATGGAAGTCATTGAACCAATTATCATTTCAATTGTAAGGTACGTCATCTTTACTTGTTTGAGTATAAACCAATCACAACGCACTTTATCTTGACCTTGATTGTCTGATCATCACTGTGGATCATCAAAGCATTTCTCTGACTATCATTCGTAGCTTATATTCAACCTCCATTTGTACTTTGCGTTCTGCATTGCTTAGAAAGACGAGTACATAGAAATGTTTTGTATACAGTATATGACAGAAAATGTTTACTTGAGGATTTACGTCTATTATACTGTCGTTTTCAGCAGGGAATGTGTGAGTTTAGACCCACTGACCTCACAATCCTCACACTGACCGATTGGACTGTTTGAGACTTATTTTTAAAGATTTTTAAATGTTAACTGGAATGTGAGTTTTACACAAAACGTCTTATATTAAAAGTCCTAAAATGTATTTCTTTTTAGATACACTAGAAATCTAAAACCATTCGTTTCTCGTTCTTTGATTATAAAGTCAAGAATTTGTCAATTAGTCGTCACGGTTAGTTGCATAGAATCATCTCGTAACTTGTGTGCTTCATATCAGTGTGTAGTGACACTGTGACAGTGTTTAATTTTATTTGCATGGCCGGTAGCAATGTTTTTTTGACGGTCTCTTTTTTCTTTGTTTCAGCTCATGAGTCATCGTGATGAAGTGTTATTTTTTCAAGAAATTAAATTTCGAAATAAATTAGTAGAATATTTATCGGACTGGGTTGCTCATGCGTCGAACGACGAGACGGAACTACCATACGAAATTACGGTTAATTCACGGTATACGATTGTCTTATTAAATATAACTAAGTCCAGCTAATAACTTCTTACTTCAGAGGTTTCAACAGAGAAGGTTGAAGCTTCGTGCTATTTTCCAGCTCGTCTATTGTTCGCTCGTCTTTAGTTCATGAAACGAAAGCGCATCTCTTGATGATTTGAGAACTTGTCAATAAGAAGGGAATTGTGTTTGCTAAACTTTCAGATACCTGGACGAATGCGCCATGAAGGCAATTGCTCAGCTTCTTATCGCTCTTCCACTGCAGCCTGAAGCCACAGATGTTGACATCATGGAAGCAAAATCCGAATTGTTTCTCAAGTAAGTCTTTCTCAAGAGGTATGACGTGCGTCAACTGAAAGTGTGCAGGGAATGAAAATTACTATATCTGCATCTGCTTTCTCTCCAGATATTTCACACTGTTTCTCAACTTGCTGAGTCGTTGTGTTGGGCCTGGTGAAGACCACAATGACGCTACTCTGGAGAAGAAGCGTCAAAAGAGTATCTTAACATATCATGACAACTTACATCAGTGCACCGTGGCCGCCATGTCGAACCTGCTCAGCGCCAATATCGATGCTGGTCTAACTCATGCTATTGGTATGAAACTTGTGTTAAATCATTATCATAAATAATTATTATACTGTTCTTCCTAGAGGTTCAGTAAGAATCATTTCTTATTGATCCAGTGTTACTACAGGAGGAAACTTAAACTAAACTAACTTTATTTATACTGGATAGCTCTATCAGTTCTAAACTGTTCTTCCTAGAGGTCCAGTTAGAATCATCTCTTATTGATCCAGTGTTACTACAGGAGGAAACCTAAACTAAACTAACTTTATTTATACTGGATAGCTCTATCAGTTCTAAACTGTTCTTCCTAGAGGTCCAGTAAGGATCATCTCTTATTGATCCAGTGTTACTACAGGAGGAAACCTAAACTAAACTAACTTTATTTATACTGGATAGCTCTATCAGTTCTAAACTGTTCTTCCTAGAGGTCCAGTAAGGATCATCTCTTATTGATCCAGTGTTACTGCTGGAGGAAACCTAAACTAAACTAACTTTATTTATACTGGATAGCTCTATCAGTTCTAAACTGTTCTTCCTAGAGGTCCAGTAAGGATCATCTCTTATTGATCTAGAGTTACTACAGGAGGAAACCTAAACTAAACTAACTTTATTTATACTGGATAGCTCTATCAGTTCTAAACTGTTCTTCCTAGAGGTCCAGTAAAGATCATCTCTTATTGATCCAGTGTTACTACAGGAGGAAACCTAAACTAAACTAACTTTATTTATACTTAATTGCATATTCGTAGGTCTTGGCTATCATCCCGACCTTGCTACAAGAGCGATCTTCATGGAAGTTTTAATGAAAATCCTCAATCAAGGAACAGAATTCGATACGCTGGCGGAAACAGCCACTCGTGATCGCTATGAGCAGCTTGCAAACCTAATGGCGACCATGGGTGAAAAGGGAGAACTCCTATTGGCTGTGGCGTTAGCCAATGTCGTGCCGTCAAATGAACAGGATGATTTAGCGCAGGTTTTGGTAACTTTATTTGACGCGATGAATATCTTGTACCAGTTTCTGTGGAATATACTCTCTCAAGAGGTATGGTATATGAATCGTGTTAGTTAACAATATATCAACAGTCTGGTTGGTCATGTGCATGAGATTAATCAAAGCATAGCTACATATTTTGACCATATTTCTCTTGTCATCCTAGGTCAGGAACTGCGAAGGTTACCACGTCCTGTTTCGAGGCAACACGCTGGCAACTAAAGTGACCACGTTCTGTTTCAAGATCTTCGGTACCAACTACATCCACTACCTCCTTGGTCCGCTCATAGACCTTTGCTTAAACAGGAAAATCTTAACACCACATTTGAACTCGATCCAAGCAGGTCAGCGTTTTGTTTTTAACTTCTTCTTCTCTTCCTGTATTTAATAACTGCTATGAACGCAGTAAGATTATAAGAAGTGACTAACAATTGACGAGTTTATCAATCTGAATGAATATTGCTTCAATCGACCCCAGTACAATATAATTTAGACAAAAAGTACAACTGTTTTACTGTATAGGCTGGAAGAGGGAGAAAGTTTGGAGGAAAATACCCAAAACGTAATCAATTTGGCTGAGAAATTTCTTACCCATTTTTATGAATCTCTCGACAAGTAAGATCCAACGTTGTTATCTTTACTACATGCATGCATATCGACGAACCGAACGCAAGTTTTTTGTCAATTTATATGTCAATGGTTGCTTGATATTTTCTAGTTTTCCAAATGCACTGAAGTTACTTTGTTACTGTCTAAAGAAGGTTCGTGTTGTGTACGTTTGTAACGCGGAGAATTTCACTCGTGCGACAAAGAATCCGGAGCAATTCATGTGAATTAATCGCTTTTCAATTTTAGGTTGTTAGTCAAAGATTTCGTCAGCACAAAGCCGAGGCTGTCGGCAGCGCCATATTCCTTCGTTTCATCAATCCTGCGATAAGTAAGTTTTTTTCATTGACGAAACCTAAAAGGGCGTTTAAACTCAAGAGTTGATGGATAATTTTAGTAGATTTTCAAGAAATTCACCTTGAAATGTGATTACGCGTTTTCGTGGAAAGAGAGGTCTAATGGTGTTTTAATATTATCGTGAATAAACGAGAATTTTTGTATTTTAAGATTCCCCACAAATGCTTGGTATTGTGGATCATCCTCCTCCGGAAAATATTAGAAGAGGTCTGATGTTTTTGTCCAAGGTAAAAGACGCGATGTGTAATGATTTAGCTGTTAGAAATACCACAGTTTTTGGACCATGGTTGTACAGATTATCATGTCTGCTTTTGCTTTTACAGATTCTTCAAGTTTGGCCAACAATATGTTGTTTACAAAGAAAACATATGGAACCTTTGAATGGCTTTTTGAAGGAAAACCTCACCAAAACGCAGCAGTAAGTCAAATTTGGTGTTGTTCTGTTGGCTTGTGTCAGAACTACGTGAAAAAGAATTAATCTCTTGTAGGTACTTCGAGAAAATCTCGTTGCACCGTCCTTCGCTTAAACAGGATGACAGAGATGTTTATTCATTCGTCAGTGATGCGAATATTCTCTCACTTCATCGCATGTTATGGAGCAGTCAGGAAAAGATCGGATTATACATGGCTGCAAGGGGGTGAGAAATGTAGAGCCTGCCATTTTGTTCTCTAAATTCACTTGTCACTATCATACAGAGAGCGATTCTACGAAATCTAGATGAAGCTATCCGCCAGACACTAGTTCCTTCAATCGCTCTAAGATTGCCCGTTGTTGGTACACACTGATTTAAACTTTGGTATTCCTAAATTTGGGGTTCTCAATAATAATGTTAGCTCAAAATATGTAATTCTATTGCTTTCCAACATTTTTACCAACGGTTAAAGAATCCTAGTCCAGTGGATGGCGCTATCCTGCTTTCGTGCAACCTGCCCCAGAAGATTGTGATTCACAATTTATTAACGTTGGGAGTTAATAATCCAAGTAATGCTTGTTTTCTTGCAGAGAATTCAAAATTTACGGCCGAGGGGTGTTTGAAAAGTTGACAACATTGTTAGCTCGACTGGGACCGCCGGATCCTCAGAGATTGCAAATTCAAAAGAAGTGAGTAGTCTATTGAACTATTGTCGTAAACTGAAGGTCAACAAGGCTCCCGCGGGTTCTATATGTGGGTGCAAATATATTCATCATCGTCCCAAAAACATCTGTAATAATCTTTCATCTGTAATAATCCTACAGATGGACAACTCAGGGAGGCTCGTCTGATTTTGAGGAATTCATGGCACGTCACGCTGATACAGGGGAGAGAGATCTTGAGGAAATCAAGAATCTCAAGATTTTCTATCAGGTAAGGACCGTAAGGACACTGGGTTGGCATCGACGTCTATTATTAAAGATTAACAATCAACATACAATGAAGCCATCGGGTCAAGTCACAATTCCTACCTATTTGATTTGCACAACATTAATGGAGTTTTTGATAAAGTTTCATCGCTTGTTTTTATAGGAAGGGAGATCAAAGAATGGTAATCCCGTGTTTTATTTTATTCCTCGACGATTTAGGTGAGGATCTTAACCTATTCACGGTGTCCATACATCTGAGATGTGTCGCTAGCAGTTCTACCTTCTATGTTCACAGTATCATAACCACGCATACCATAATACCTTAACTTTGCCGTCTGATTTGAAACCTGAAAATGTGATTTGTCCATTAACAGAAATGACATAATCAGCCCGGATCGTTTAATTTATCACATGCTGTTGATGCTGAAAGCCTTACACGGTCAAGCCTGGGAACTGGTATGTGACATCACGCAGACAGCAAAGTCGAATCAAATGAAGGTGAGTGACGTGCTTGCCTGTGACGTCAGAGTCACGCTTGGTGCTGCTATTCACGAGGGCGTGAACGTCAAATACGACGTGAAAATGGCGAGTAAATGGCGTGGCATGTCCATATTTGGGCGCATCACGCCATTTATTCGTCATTTTCACGTCTTCTTTGACGTTCACGTCCTCATGCTAAATCTCCCTATTACCTCATGTGCAAACCATCTATTATTCAATCTGATAACAGCCTTATCCAGCCACTCGTATTTATTCTCTTCATTGTCAGGTTACATCGTTAAAGAATGGTATATCACTTCTCCCTGTCACAAATCTTCAAACTGTTTATGTTTACAACATGAATAGCGCCATGAAGGAATATATCAAAATAAATGAGAGGTTTTTTGCACCTTTTAAGGTACGAAATCTATTATATGTGATCGTTAATGGTTGTGGAAAAGCTCAAACACAATCTTCATTGATTTTTTAGCATCATAACCAAGTGATAGTCATCGACAATCTGAGTAAATTCAACGATTACATTTCACCGGAGGAATTAGGATTGCCAAGCTCGACTACATCTTCAGAGAAGGATTTAAATGTGAGTTGGCATTGAAAGCGTTTTCCTGCAGTTTTGAACCAGCCTAAACGAAACTCTTTCCTACACTTGACTCTTTCATTAAGTGATAAAGTGAGGAGTTGGCTAGACTTTGTAGTGCAGTTCAGTAAAATTATGTATTCTTTAGAATCAGACTAAAATTTATCATTCGTTGCAGATTTTTAACGCCATTAAAGTTCATTATAAAGTCTCAGTTTTTATTAAGGTATTGTTCTAAAATTCTTCACCTCATTAATTTAATTGTACCAATTTATGTTGGCAAACACCTTCGATATTTGGTCTTAAATTCTTAAATCTTCTATTTTATTAGATCGGGCCAAACTGCATACAGATTCAGACGTCAGAAAACACAAAGTTTTGGGCTACAGTTTCTATATCAAGGATATATTTTATCCAAACGAAATCGAAGATGTAAGATTCCAAGAGTTCTGTAGAATTCACAGTCACAAGGGGAACCTCTAAATTTTGTGATCTATTTTTTTTATTCAAAGGTCATCTCTCAAAGTACTGACGATAATCTATTTTGGATGAAGTTTAAGACAGCCGCGGGAATCTTGTACATGAGCAACGAATCCGATCAAATAGTCCAGGCCGTCACACACCTAAAGAAGCGATGGTTAATGTCTCAACAAGTAAGTTCATTGAGCCGAATTTGCTTGTTTTAACGTAGTCCTAATATAACTGCGGTTATGAGCCAAATCGCAGGAGCTTTCATGAAGCTTACACAAAGTGATGGCTGTATACCTGAAGTTATATGTAGCTATGGTTTCAAATATGTTTATGGTTTCAACAAACTTTTGGTTGGGATTTCGAAGTGGATAAAATGGCTTTAGTGGTAAAACTTCGCTGGTTTTATCAATTGTTATCCCCGTTGGGTAAGAAATTAACCTTGTTCACCAGTTCAGCAAACCTTATATGCATGTCTATACTTTTTCATCTGATTTAGAACCAAACGGCTGCAACAAAGAAAATTCTTCCCAAAGATGTACCCGGAACTCTGTTAAACATGGTAGGTTAGGTTTAATATGCTTGATGGAGAGAGGCCTGATTTAGCAACTATGTTAACTGTGTCACCCACAGGATGGAAAACGAGTAAAATTTACTCGCGGATTTCGTACAGACGACTGCACAAATTCCTCTTATTTTACCGCTTTTTTGTTCCAGGCATTGCTCAACCTTGGCACGAGAGATCCAAGTTTACGTTTGGCTGCTTACAACTTACTCTGTGCTCTTACGACTGTTTTTCATTTCAAAATTGAGGAGCGACTCTTTGAAGGAACTGGTAAAGTTTGCACAAAATTTACTTGATTTTATCTGAAGTACCTGACCCTAAAAAATATCCCAAGTCCAGAGGCTTGTTTGTTGAATACGGTGACTGAAGTGAGAAGACGTGACAGTAAATGGTATTACCAATACCTAGCAGTTGATATTGTTTTCTTTTTTTAAGGATTATGTATTCCTGCAAACAACACAATATTCATTGTTGGTATATCCAGCAATCTGGCGAGCAAGGAACCACATCTCACCTTAGAGGTAACGCTGAATTTAGTCGTCAACTTTGACGATTATTTTGGTGGTAGTTTGATAATTTATTGTCATTTTTCTGGCTTTAGTTTCTACAAGAATGCATATCAGGTTTTAAGAAATCCAACCACGAGCTGAAACATCTTTGCTTGGAGTATATGGCACCTTGGTTTCCAAATTTATCACGGTAAGGATAAAATGTAGCTACATGTTGGTTAAAGTGCAAGACTAGATGAATTTTGAACTTTAATACTTTTCAAAGATGTGATAAGATGTCTGAATGTCACAACTTAGGTTCGCTTCGGTTCTAAATGAGTGTGAATTAGAGTTTATCTTCAGAAAATTTCGGCCCTCGCGTTGATACGAGCAGGCCTGATGTACAGAACTGACTTGACATCCACTTTAATCTGAAGATAAAATAGGTTAGGATGATGTACACGGATAGATAGTCGTTTGTGGAAACGCCGCTTGGACAACATGCATGTCTGACCGAAGTTAGCTTAAATAAGGTGACATCCAGTGATGTTGTGAGGCTTCTCTTTCAGTTATTGCAAGGAACTAAGAAAGGAACAAAGCGTGCGCAAGTGAACGCAATTCTTGAAGACTTAATTGAACTGACCATTGCTGAAAAAGGGGTGAGCAATAAACATTATATTCAGGATCGTCAGAGAATATCAAACAGCATTTTGAAATAACTGGGGAGCAATAAATGGGTGATAGAGGTATTTTTACCACGTTTGAGTTGTGATTAACTATTATTTTTATTCCAGGCCATGTATCCATCAATTCAAGCAAAAATCTGGGGAAATATGGGAAAAGTCACGGAGTTAGTTGATACCGTTCTAGATAGTTTTATTAAAGTGAGTGTCTCCTCCACGATCTTATTTCAAAGATTTCCATTTGGATTGCGCGATTGTTTTACCATTAGCTTATCGATTATTACTGGATAATGCATGGTATGATTACGATGCTTGTATTAACTGGTTGGTTTATCTTCGTTAAGGCCAGTACGGCAGGGGGACTGGGCTCAGTAAAGGCCGAAGTAATGGCAGATACCTCAGTTGCCTTGGCCACCGCTAACGTCAATGTTGTGTCCAGCAAGTTCATCAATAGACTTTTGATGGTAAGCTGTCCTTTTCATAAGTCATTTGAACGAAGAATTGGCTGCTGTCGTTTTCACAAGGCATTTTAGAAAGAAACGATGAGCATGAAGAGGTGGCTGGTTGTCGCTTTTTAAATATAATTATAATCGAATGCTTGTAATTTTTTTCAGTTGATAAGAAAGACGTCGATAACCCCAACACCGCGTCTTGAAGAACATCTCATGTGGGAGGACATAGCGATTTTAAGTCGATATCTTTTAATGTTGTCATTTAACGATTCTCTCGATGGTAAGACAGTTTTTTATGCCATCCTCGTTTTTAAGAGTGAGTCAAATATACAGTGGGGATGAATAGCTACCATTTTTGGTGTTTACCTCATTATGTCTTCATTTAGTTGCAAATAATCTACCTCACCTGTTTCACATTATCATCAGTTTGGTATGCATGGGTCCCTTGTTCCTCAGAGCAACCGTTCACGGTATTCTCATCAATGTTATCCAGTCGCTGTCCACATGTACATCACTTGAGCTGCCAGGTGTGTTTTCATATATCTGTCTGGTGACAATTTGTAAATAGTCAGATGAAATAAGCGGATTAACTAACTCAATTCAGTATTAGCGCTAATCCTGGATTAAGTAATGTGGTGGGAATATTTGCTAAATTATTTTTGCTTTCTTTTAGATGAAACGAAGCGTTTGTTGCGGCTTCGCATGTCAGAGTTTTCTCTTCCTAAATTTTATCTTCTTTTTGGTAAGTCGAGATATCTTTGTGCGAAAATTTTGACAGGTTTCCGGACAAATGGCTTTTGTTAAATATTCTGTATCCGTAGGCATTTCTCAAGTAAAGTCGGCCCCAGTTCGCGCATTTCAGTCGTCATACCGCGGCGGTAGACACATGATCAACCTGAGAGACTCGGAGAAAATCCATATGACATCCATACAAACGATTGCAAATTCTCTTCTTGAAGTTGTTGAGGTAAGATGTGGAGAGTTTAGCGATGTATGGATCAATAAATCCTACCCAAATTTCCTCTCAAACAATAAAAACTGAAAGTGCCTATGTAGGATTATATTCTTTTAATTTTCATGTTTTTTCAAGGCATGCATGAAAGACATTCCCAACTGTACGTGGCTGGAGACGTGGACGAAATTGACAATGGAGTATGTTAATGTTGTTCTGTTTATTTCTTCTTCTGCATTCTTTACTTCAGTTAAGCTGTTTTCTAGAGGTTTTATCTTTTTCTTTAGATTTGCTTTTCAATACAACCCGCCACTCCAGGCCAGAGCTGTCATCGTTTACGGCTGTGCTTGTAAAGAAATTGATGATGCTCGAATAAGAGAACTTCTACTTGTTTTTATAAAGGTATTAAAACAACCGTTTACGAACCTTTGTTATTACAGAAGAAAACCTAAACTATTTTTTTATACTGGATATCTCTATCAGTTCTAAACTGTTCTTCCTAGAGGTCCAGTAAGGATCATCTCTTATTGATCCAGTGTTACTACAGGAGGAAACCTAAACTAAACTAACTTTATTTATACTGGATAGCTCTATCAGTTCTAAACTGTTCTTTCTAGAGGTCCAGAAAGGATCATCTCTTATTGATCCAGTGTTACTACAGGAGGAAACCTAAACTAAACTAACTTTATTTATAATGGATAGCTCTATCAGTTCTAAACTGTTCTTCCTAGAGGGCCAGTTAGGATCATCTCTTATTGATCCATTTAAACAGTGATATGCTCCATCTTTAAAGAACTTTCTCGTGAAATGTCTTTCTTATTGCAGGCTCTGAATGATTTCAGTGATGTTAGTCTTATCGAGGGTGTCATAATGTGTTTCACTCGTCTCCTGACAATCTTGGACAAATCGTCGAGATTCCACACGGCTTCGTTTTGGATCGCTATCGGTACTCTTCAACTGGCGGAAAACGGGCTTTACCCGGCTGGTCTAGCTTTGCTTGAACAGTCCTTGCTAACCCTGGAGTCGCAAGGTGCGTTCGATAACGAGAGTGTTGACAAAGTCCTTCTGAATTTCCGTAAAGATCCAAGAATGGAGTGGCATTGCAAACAACTGGATCATATCATCGGCGTGGCCTTTGCGAACAATTTTCATTTTGCCCTTGTTGCTTATCTGTTAAAAGGTAACAGTGTTGATGATCAGATATGATCGTGGATTGTGTATCGGATAATAACGATATTTTCTACTTCATCTTCAGGTTTACGTCATGGCAGCTCATCAACAAACACTCGAGCCATCCGAATTTTAAATCTCATGCTAAACATCGCAGGAAAACATCGAACAAATCATGTGTAAGGCTTTTTCCCATCTCTTTATTGTGTTACATACAGAGATGCTGTCTGGATGGTATTTTGCAATCATCTGGTTTTTGCAGTGTAGGAAGTATTCTACAATGAGCTGTCGCTGTTTATGTCTGGACTACCTGAAAAAGATATTTCTAGTGTAGGTGGTCGACAATTAGCTGTCGTGGTTTGTGTCTGAACTACCTGAGAAAGATATCTCAAACGTGGTGGTCCAGTGTAGGTAGTATTCCACAGTAAGCTGTCGTGGTTTGTGTCTGAAGTACCTGAGAAAGATATCTCAAACGTAGTGGTCCAGTGTAGGTAGTATTCTACAATAAGCTGTCGTGGTTTGTGTCTGAACTACCTACGAAAGATATCTCAAACGTAGTGGTCCAGTGTAGGTAGTATTCTACAATAAGCTGTCGTGGTTTGTGTCTGAACTACCTGAAGAAGATATCTCAAACGTGGTGGTCCAGTGTGGTAGTCTTAATGAGTACAATTTCTGCAGTGTACGAAAAATAATAAAATAATAAAAACAGAATAAAAAATTATAATTTGTTTTATTATATCTGTTTTACAGGAGAGAAAAATTTGCTGTGTATAAAGAAACAATCCCTTATCTTTCAGGTAAAGTTAGGATGCTTTTATTTTTAAACTTTATTACTGTGGTGATAAGGATGTATTCATCTTTCTTCTTCAGCGTTGTTAATTGTCTCTGATGAAATCCGCGCTAAATTACGTCCTGATAGTTCTCTTCACGCCCGACCGAAATCAATCCCGAAGAGCCAGTCGTCAATAACGCCACCAAATTCAATGCCTGTCAGTCCAGTTATGATAACGATAGAATCGCCCGTCTCTCCGGGACCTGCTCAAATCTCCGAGGCTGAAACTGAAATATTTTTGTGGCCAGCTGGAGTTGAGAACCGATTGCTGGATCCGGGGGTGGTAAATGACACGCAGACACAAGCTTTGTTGCTGACAACATTGGTAGGGAAGGAAGCGTTCGTTTATTTTGCGGTGTAGAATGTATTTCTGAATATGTTTCACGAAGGTTATTATACGAAGCCTTCGTTTTTACAGAAAACATTGAAAGTGAAATGCTATTCTTGCTATTTTAGTCGACTTTAGTCCGACATACAAAGGATGATGCTTTAGAGAAATTTTTATTTGAAGTCTTGGCGGAGGCAAGTCTCGTTTTTCCCAAAGTCTTTCCGGTTATGTAAGTAATAATATAGATTCATCGCTATAGCACGATTGATGTATTAAAAAAGAAACTATTGCTGACTTTCGTATCCCTCATAGTTATTCGTTGATAAGCAGTAAGCTCGCGATGGTCCTGGGTCACAGTCAGGATGTTGGATGTCTTCAAGCAGTCCAGACTATCATGCAGTCCACAATTTCGCTAAACTTTGCCGAAAAGCAACTGGGAACAAACTTTTTGCAAGGCCAGTTAATTTTTAATTTAACATCCATCTTTTTTGTTCCATGTCAGTCTCCCGCTTTGTATTTTCTTTACACTCTTGTTGTATTTAGGATTTGGATTTGATGGTTTTAGTCAATTTGCTGGTCCATTTTTTGACCAAGGGGTGAGCTTACATTGTAGTTTAATTTAGGTTTCTTCCTGTAGTAACACTGGATCAATAAGAGATGATCCTTACTGAACCTCTAGGAAGAACAGTTTAGAACTGATAGAGCTATCCAGTATAAATAAAGTTAGTTTAATTTAGGTTTCCTCCTGTAGTAACACTGGATCAATAAGAGATTATCATTTCTCATATAACAATTGTATTAATTTTCCCATCTGATGAATTCGTTAGGAACTGCAGTATGAAACTCGAGCGCAGATCTTTGTTCGTTTCGCCGAAGGTGTTCTAGAGAGTTGTGGAGGGATATTGGACGACAGTTTAAGAGCCAGCTGTATGTCTCTTGCTAAACCAGCTCCAGAGGTGGTGGAGCTTCCTCCGTTGCGTTCAAAGTCCTCCCTTTCATCATCGCTCACCTCGATACCAGATGATCCTGCATTGAAAGAAGACATCTCCACGCCCACAATGAAACGGAGTCTTTCGTCTCGAAGGAAGAGCACCAAGGAACGAAAAGAAAAGGACAGAAGCCGAAGCAAACGATCTCTAACGCAACGTGTGGTGGAAAGAGAGTTAAAGAGGGCATTGTCGCATCGTAATTCAGATGTTTGATACTTGGACCACTCAATATGGTGATTATATCACAGTTAAATATTTTAGTGTTTTGAATCTAATGGGAAGTCTAAAGATTTATTATCGATTTTTTGTTACAATTTGAATTCAGTGATTAATGTACAGAAGAAGTTAACTGTGAGAGTGTGAGTAATTTCACAATAATTTTCGAATTTAGTAAAATATTAATTCGGAAGACATCACCGTTCCAATAATTCTATTTTAACGCACCAAAGAATATACTATAATTTTTACGTAATATTCGTGGAGAATTGTGAACATCAATTTTATTCTATCGTCCTAAAAACGATATTTTTATCCTTAGTTAAATTTATTTTCATCTCAATTCAAAAGAAAGAAGGCTACGAATAGATTTAAGAATAAAAATGTAATTTTGTAATATTTTTCAAACTTGTATTAATGTATTGGAAAGGTCATAAGGAATAATTTATATTTGCAAAAGAAAGAATGGTTCGATATATTTTTTATGTTATTTTGTATTTCAAATGAGCGCGGATGATGAGCTGTGAGATTTTTTTATTGATTTATAGGGTTGAAAAAAAAGTTGAAGTGTGCTAAGCCTAAACTTGAAGATGTATGCAGTGATTTCAACTGACCGGAAGTTGAAACTAAGTCACCCCCAGTCTTTGCACGCAAAAACAAACACGGCCAAAACAAAAGTATTTTGTTGTGATTTTGTAAATTTGATAAAAACTGTCCGAGATGACTGCCTGAGATGACTGCTTGAGATGACTGCCTGAGATGACTGCCTGAGATGACTGCTTGAGATGACTGCCTGAGATGACTGCTTGAGATGACTGCCTGAGATGACTGCCTGAGATGACTGCTTGAGATGACTGCCTGAGATGACTGCCTGAGATGACTGCTTGAGATGACTGCCTGAGATGACTGCCTGAGATGATTGTCAATTTTACATCCTGTGGACAAGTGCTGCAAGGCCAACGCCATCCAGAATATTGAGTCCTAATAATTTTGTTCTATTATTGCTAGCCAAGGAACTGCCAACGATGACCTTCTCGGAGCAGAACAAAAGCTAAATCGGAGGCATGTCATTTAGTGTTATCATTTAACTGGACTTTGTGAGAGTTTTCTTGCAAAATGTTTGCCAAGGTAATTATTATAAGAGGTCATAAAGGCCTTGTAATGTTTCTCATGGTGACATGGTATACTGATCTGTGTTGTTTTCTGTGATTAAGTGATGTTTTTCTTCATGTTGTTTATCACTGAAGCTAAAGAATTGAGATACAACAATCTTTGACTGACTTTAGGTGTAAGACGTTCGCCCAGCTATTGTAGACCGCATGGAATCGATTCAAGTCCTTTAAAAATTTGTGAATCAAGATGAGAATGAACTTAGTGAATCGGTAATTGCTGCTATATGTTTTGGCTAAAATATAATAAAAAAACTGTTGTATGTCTCCAAAACAAAGGAGCTTATATTTATGATACCAAAAAGTATAGGATTGTTTGACATCAGAAATACAAAGAATTCGGCACACAGCGACAATTCAAAAGACAACTTTTTTCTAGGCTTTTAGCGATTCGTTTTTAGTAACATCGCTCACGATGATGTTCGGAGTTGATCGGCATGTTGTCGTACATTATCATACCACGTGATCTGCTATGATCACATGGTAATTATCGCCTATAAAAGTAATCTCAACGTTAAAAAAAATTTCTTTAATTAGGTGGCGATCGAAGGTGGACAGCAAGATCGAAGCTCAGCAAGATTGAAGATTGTTCGAGGAAGAAGGAGTTCGCCGTTGACTAAAAGGTGGGTTCCGGCGATTATATGCGTAATCTGCGGTTGCTTTGTCCGACCCCAGTAGGGGGACCGTTTGCCTAGAGCGTTTTGGTCCCCCGCACGCTGCTAGTTGACTAGTTCCCACTTGTAGGCCTTTACACTAATCTACGGGAAGGCCGTAGGCCTTTCCTTAAGGAGTACAGTGTAGCTGAGCCGAACCCTTTTTTTTCGTTGTATATAGGTTTATCTGAACAGCTAGTTGTCAAGATGAACGTGAAGAGAAAAAAGATGAAATAGAAGACTCGCCCGGCCAAATTCAAAATGGCGATGCCAAAGAAAACCATGCACGTGGACCGTTCGCGGACCTTTCTGAGCAAGATTGTTGTGCTGTCTGGTTAAAGTTAAGTATTTTACTTTGATGTTTGTGTGCCTTCTGCTAATTGTTGGCCAGAAATAACAAAAAGCCATATACAATATGAAATATTCTGCGTACAAGGTTATGAAATATTCTGCGTACAAAGTTTCGAGTTTAATTCTGCTTGCAATGATAATTTTTTAGTACTGAAAATTTATGTCATGAGCAACTTCCGCACCCATAGACTGTAGCAGAACTGAACATTTTGTCATTAACGTTTATCTCAACCGCCAGTTATCAAGACGAACGTCAAGAGAACAGTTGAAATAGAAAATAGAAATCAGTTCAAGACTCGCCCGGCCGCCGAATTCAAAATGGCGATCCCATACACGTGGACCGTTCGCGGACCTTTCTGAGCAAGATTGTTGTGCTGTCTGGTCAAAGTTAAGTATTTTACTTTACTGTTGTGTCTTGTGTCTTTTGTGCCTTTTGCTAAAACTAGACAATAATTAAGATAGTTGAAAATGCAATTTTATATTAAATAATGTCTTCTTATATTCAAGATTTTCCTTGGTCAAGAGTGCAACATGAACTGTGGATATGAACTTTACTGTCAGATGAACATTGGAAATGACAAGATTTCTGCACAGAGGTAATTCTATTGTTCCTTCAAAAGTTATATCAGCCTTGCAGCTGAAATTCTTGTAGTGACCTTGTAATACATATCAACTGCCTACAAATTTTGTTAAGATTAATAAGTTAACATTGCTTCTATGCTCACTATGTGTCACCAGTAATAAATTCCTGTGGTGGTCTTTAAATAAATATAGCAACCATAGTTATATGTTGAGGGATGAAGTAACCATGATTAAGATAGTTGAAAATGGAATTTTGTATTAATCATGTCTTCTTATTTATATATCTATATTCAAGATTTTCCTTGGTCAAGAGTGCAACATGAGCTGTCGATATGAACTTTACTGTCAGATGAACATTGGAAATGACAAGATTTCTGCGTAAAGGTAATTCGATTGTTCCTTCAAAAGTTATATTAGCCTTGCAGCTGAAATTCTTGTAGTGACCTTGTAATACACATCAACTACCCGGGTATATATTTGTTATTTAGTATAAGGGGGAATTTGCTGCAACTAGGATTTTTTTTTGGAAAATCCTCAGGCAGTCACAAATTTTGTTAAGATTACTAAGTTAACATTGCTTCTATGCTCACTATATGTCACCAGTAATAAATTCCTGTGGTGGTCTTTAAATAAATATAGCAACCATAGTTATATGTAGAGGGATGAAGTATAACCATAAAATACCTGACCAAAAACTAGACAATAGTTAAGATAGTTGAAAATGAAATTTTATATTAATCATGTCTTATTTATATATCTATATTCAAGATTTTTCTTGGTCAAGAGTGCAACATGAGCTGTGGATATGAACTTTACTGTCAGATGAACATTGGAAGTGACAAGATTTCTTCACAGAGGTAATTTGATTCTGTCATGGATTGTCAGCATTTGATTTTAAAAAGCCACTACATTGTTGAGATGACAACTATGAAATTGAAATTTGCTTCTATGGTCACCATGTGTGAAACCAATGATGAAACTTGACGCTATAACAGCTGAACCAGTCTGGCTGATTACTAAAATTCCTGTGGTGGTCTTACAATAAATATCCACAAAAAAGTGGGAGAACTTGGGAGAAAATTTTCTGATTTCCCTGTGATTAATATTCTGTAGTACTCAGAAGGGTGATACCCAGTTTTTTCTGTGTTCAAATTAAATAGTGACATATGTCTGGGTTGAATATATGCATGTGACACATTCTTTTTATTGAAAATGGCAAAAATATAATTGGCATAAAACAGATGACTAAAGTAAGATAATGAGTAATATCTTTTAATAATGATGTCAGGTTGAAAATACAAACTTTGCTGCCACTTTTTGCCTAAAAGGATTGATGAAATGCTTTTTCTCTTTAGAATGAATGAAGTTGAAGAAAGTTAAAAGGCACCCCTGAAGAACCTGAATTATTTTAGCCCTATCCTAGATTCATTAATTAATATATTTTAGTGTGTGATAACATGTGTGAAATGTGATCAATTATGTGACAATTTTCAAAACTTGGATTTATAAAGAGAAATTTTTCTTTGTAAAGTTTAAGAAGTAAACCTTTTTTGTCTGGTGGTGTTAGTGTTTTGATTTTGCATGTTTTTCTGTGTGCTTTCACAATTGAAAAGATTTTGGCAGTTGCTTCTAAATGTTTTTTGAAAAGTTTAAGAAGAAACTTGATTTTTGTCTTGTGGTGTTTGTTGTTTCGATTTTGCATGTTTTTCCGTGTGCTTTCACAATTGAAAAGATTTTGGCAGTTGCTTCTAAATGTTTTTTGAAAAGTTTAAGAAGAAACTTGATTTTTGTCTTGTGGTGTTTGTTGTTTCGATTTTGCATGTTTTCCGTGTGCTTTCACAATTGAAAAGATTTTGGCAGTTGCTTCTAAATGTTTTTTGAAATGTTTAGGAAGAAACTTGATTTTTGTCTTGTGGTGTTTGTTGTTTCGATTTCGCATGTTTTTCCTTGTGCTTTCACAATTGAAAAGATTTTGACAGTTGCTTTGGCTTTTTCTTATACTTCTTTTCTCTTTAATTTCTTCTTAGTATTAGTTTTTTTTTTAAATATATTTTCTCTTATTTTTTTATGAAATTCTTTTTTTTACTTTAGTGTTGAAGAAAGTTGAAAGGCACCCAGATTCATTAATTCATATATTTTAGTGTGAAATGTGATGAATTATGTGACAATTTTCAAAACTTCAATTTATAAAGATAACTTTTTTCTTTGTAAAGTTTAAGAAGTAAACCTTTTTCATCTGGTGGTGTTAGTGTTTTTATTTTGCAAGTTCTTCTGTGTGACTTGACGATTCTAAATTAAACCTCTTAGTATTTTTAAGTATTTTTTCTAAATTGAAAAAAAAACCTGTTAGTATTATCTTCTATTTATCTAGTTTTTTTTTCTCTAGTTTTTTTTACTCTAGTTTTTACTTCTATTTCTCTAGTTTCTTTTCTCTTCTACTTAGTTTTCTTTCTCTAGTTTTTTTTTCTCTCTAGTTTTTTTTACTCTAGTTTTTACTTCTATTTCTCTAGTGTTTTTTCTACTTAGTTTTTTTTCTCTAGTTTCTTTTCTCCTCTTCTACTTAGTTTTCTTTCTCTAGTTTTTTTTCTCTCTAGTTTCTTTTACTCTAGTTTTTACTTCTATTTCTCTAGTGTTTTTTCTACTTAGTTTTTTTTTCTCTAGTTTCTTTTCTCCTCTTCTACTTAGTTTTCTTTCTCTAGTTTTTTT